ACGTGACTAGCTATCATTTAAAATATCCTGACTCACCTATACGGGATATTTTAAATAACTCAATTTAGGATTTCTACAATATTCTCTCAGCTATTTGTTTGCAACCAACAGATTACATAATTGTGTCATATACGATCCTGCATGTTTCTGACACAATACTTCAACAACTTCAACATTTAGTAGCATATTTGATTGTAAATTTTGTTTCATTTATCCTTTTCACTTCTCTGTAACAATATGTCAAGTTGGCATTAAGTTTAACAAATAAAAGCATCGGTTTATGTGTAATAGACGTCAATTTCAAGTGCTCTAAATAAGATAATGGTCGATTTCTTCCTGAGAGTTTAACTTTCCGTTATTCAAACTGATTCTTTCAAAACCTTCCAATACCTCAGTCATGAATTCATTCAAGTTTGGTGTGAGGAGTATATCATTTAAGAGAATCTTGAAGATTGCTTATTCTCGGTTTGGTACCTGAAATTTCACAACCAATAATTCCTTAAGATGATCAGCTAATAGGATGTAATAATAAATCTTTTTAAGGTATGAGAACCTGTTGAAATGGGCGTTCTAAATTTTCTATACGAGTCATATTGTTAGTAGTTTAATCACAAGTGATACTTATCTTGAGGTGTGTCTTATAATATTATTGGTATTATATAAATCAGAGTTGATTACCTTTCTGTATATAACTTTATTTTAAATCTGTGACTTATAGTAGTTTATTTATAGTCCGCTGATATTCACACGGATTCAGACTGAATAATCCATGTGATTGTAGTATTACTATTATTGGATAGTAGTAATGAATTAGTAAACTTGCCAAGAGCAATTTATTATTGTTCGTCATTCCAGGTTGACTGGCCATCATTCAAAATATCCCGACTTACCTATACGGGATATTTTGAATATGTTTAAAACTAGTTAGTTATGCTTGAAACATCTGGATTACCAATCTAGGATATTTTGAATATTTTCTCACCTGGACTATTTGTTTGCATCCAACAGATTACATAACTGTGTCTTGTACGATCCTACATGCTTTTCACACAATACTTCAACAAATCCTGCCTCCTTCTTCTCATTGTAATTCAATTGATCAAAAATTTCTTTACCAGAGAAATTACCAATAGTTTGTGATTGTGGACCAATCGCCCCTTTGGTATTGCCTTCTGTGAAATTGTTTACACTGTCACTTGTCATAACTTCCTCAACTACTGGAGTTGGCGATATTTCGCTTGTGAACTTGTGCTTTGATTTAGAAACTTGTTTGATTTCATATAATTGCACTTGAATTTGACCTAACACAATAGCTTGATCAGCAATTGTATTGAGCTGTTCTTGCATTGCCATTTGCATCATTTACATTTGACGTGACAGCATAATCATGTTGTGTTCATTTTTGGTTCTAGGAGAATATACTTTGTCAACGGTCATACTGTTGAAGATTTGTGTCAAAAGTTTTTGTTGAACTATTTGTTGTAAAAAAGGGATCGTGTAAGACACAATTATGTAATCTGTTGGTTGTAAGCAAGTAGTCTACGGGCTATAAATAAGGCACTATAAGTCTCAGACTTAGAAGAAAATTTTATATAGAATAGTATCAAGTCTGATTTATATAATACCGATAATATAACAAGACACACCTCAAGATAAGTATTACTTGTGATTAAACAACTAACAATATGACTCGTATAGAAGATTTAGAACGTCCATTTCAACACATACTTCCGGGAGTACCTTCACTTGATACCACCTCTCAAGGCGTGTGTGAGTTTCAACAGCAATCATGTTAACATCGTGGGGGATTAGTTTTGGTTGGATATTCTTAGAAGGTTTATTAGGCATTTCAAAAACTATAACGATTAATTATTTTGACTCTTAATTTGTTGGTTAGTGGGTGTACTTAAGCCGTGTAATATTCGGTGGATTCTAAGACTATACACTTCTAAATATGGATGAAATATATCTCAATTTATATTCCAATTTCTCTCATTCTTCTTTGTCGTTTATCCCCTACGTTTCACTTTCCTTGTTTTCAACCTCCTTAATTATCACCACTTGGTCTTATCTGGTTTAACACATCCTCCCCTTTTTGGCACGAGATTCCTTAGTCATTATTGCCCCATATTTACTCCGTAGGATGCATCAGAAATTCGCACCCTTTGCAACCACATCTATCAATTTTTGAAAAATTTTTGGGAATGATTTTTCACGATCTCACCTCTATATGACGTTTAATCAACAGAGCGCAGTTCTGCACTGAAAACCTTATCATGTGCAGTAAGAAAAAGTTTGCTATTGGGTCGTGCGAAGACCGAGTTATTGAGATAGTAAATACCTTTGACAGAAGAAATTTCATGATCAACTGAGAATGCAGAAAGCAATACAAGATTAGTGGTAGCTGCAGGGACGTGTCGAACAGCACTAAGAGTGACATACGTGCCTAGAAAGGGTTTTTGAAGTGGTTGTTGATACTCAGAAATACCATGACCCGGCTTACCCCAGTTGTAGCAGATAAACTTGCGTGACGAAAAACGTCTTTTGGTACCTGCACGAAATGGTCGTCTGTTGTTGAAGGTAGCAAGAGTTATTTCAGGGGTCGACACTTTGGGTTCTCTCATAGCTTCAGACGCACATACCGACTGGAATAAATCAAAAGCAAGTAGTGTGCGACGTGGAACACCATCGACGATTGTAGGGGGAAGGGTTTGAACCCGGGAGTCGAAGGCGTGACGAATCGAAGTGGGTTGAGCCAAAAGGAGGTAAATGGCAGATAATTCCGCAGGGGAGTAACATTCTTGAATGCGTGTGGTCTCAAGATAAGTAAGAGCATAATCTTCCGTCTTGTGCAAGGAATCATAGAAGTTAATCAAGTGAGAAACAGTAGGAAACCCATATTTTTCAGTAATATATTTGTTAGCAGCGGTGAATGTTGTAACGGAATGAAGAGTTAAGCTTTGACAAATAGGATCCGAGAGAGTACTGATAAAAATATGATGAGTAATATGCTCAAGAGTCTCAAAAACCTTATCTTTCTCAACAATAGTAAGATCATCCGGAAAGTCAGGAATAGTACCTGCAACGATAAAGGCCACTAAACTTCTTGACGCCGTCTTACTACGAAGAGCCTTTTCAAGACTTCTCCGCCAAGGCACATACGTGCTACTATCAGTTAGCATAACAAAATCATCGGGAAGCTTAAAGGAGCTCATAACCTGTTGAAATGGACGTTCTAGATCTTCTATACGGGTCATACTGTTAGTAGTTTAATCACAAGTAATACTTATCTTTAGGTGTGTCTTGTTATATTATCGGTAATATTTAATAGAGGCTCGATCTCGATACTTTTCCATATAAAATTTTCTTCTAAGTCTAAGACTTATGGTGGCTTATTTATAGCCCGTAGACTATTTGTTTGCACCCAGCAAGTTACATAATTGGGTCATACACGATCCCCCTTTCTTCTGTTACAATTCTGCAACACACAATACTTCAACACCTCTGACACAATTCTTCAACAGATTTATAGCACATGCTACCCCTATTACAAAACTTTTTTAGCTATTATTACGTAAAAAATATATCTTTGTAGCGAAGTAATAAAACTAATATTACGAATAATTTATATATTTGGCATGAAAATTTCCTGGCAATGATAACGAAAATTACTGCCATAGTATGAAAAATACACGACCTAGTATGAACATTAAATGGAACCACTGTATGCATCGTCATGTGCTTATGAGGTTGGATGCTCCCAAATGTCCATTTAATGAGAAGGAGAACGGAAGATCGGTGGAAAATGGGATGAATACAAGCAAAAGAGGAAAGAATGTACTAATCAGAGCCCATGTGTAGTGTTACTCAAGGGAGGATGGTGATTAGAGTGGGAAAAAGGTCGGGCTGAAATGGGTACAAATTGGGAGAAACTGAATTCATATTTAGAGTAGTAGTAACTTAGAAGCAATCAAAAACCTTGAGCATTTAAGACACATAATCTGAATATACCAACGACGAAAGCAGAATGATGCAGGTAAGAATCAAGTTAATTCATGCTAACCGAAATCTACAGACAAAGGTAGCTACCTGGCATTTATCGCTGTCTCTGAAATCTAAGTTCCACGCGAATGGGAATCCAACTTCCAATAGGTAATGCTGTTGGATTTTTATTTTAAAATAAGATATGTTCACAAATACAGGAGTGGTATGAAAATGTCTCATTAAAATAATTCAAAAAGGAAGGGATTTCGTGTAACTGATGATTGCTTGAACCGCAATTGGAGTTTGTGGATAATAGATGTATTTATTACAGGATTCTAAATATTTGAAGTAAGAATGTGAAATTTCTATATTATTCAAAAGATCTGTACAATGACGGAATAATATTTTATGGATTTAAGCAATAACACTGTTGAAGTATTGTGTCAGAAGCATGCAGGATCATGCATGTCACAATTATGTAATCTGTTGGTTGCAAACAAATAGTCCAGGTTAGGAAATATTCAAAATATCCAGCATAGGTAAGTTTGGATAACTTGAATAATAGTCAGCCCACCTGAAAAGACGAACAACAATAAATTGCTATTGCCAAGCATATTAATTCAGTATTCAATAGTAATACTACAATCGCATGGGTCAAGACTAAATAATCCATGTGATTATCAACGGGCTATAAATAAGCCACCATAAGTCTCAGACTTAGATTGAAATTTTAGATAGATAAGTATTGAATCTTTGTTAAATACTAGCAAAAATATGACAAGAATTGAAGACTTAGAACTTCCATTTCAACAAACACAACATCTGCAACTTGGTAGGGGATGAAACAATTGTCCTTATTTTCACCGTTTTTATTAGCAGAAGCGTTGTTGGGGTTGATGATCTTAAGAGCAACCAGAGTTGTTCTTAGTTATTTGATTGATTAATAATAATAAAAAAAGCAATACAAGAAAAGGACGTATAACATTGGTCTTTATATACGATATTTTTGCAATATACCAAGAGCTTAGTTATATCAGTTGTTTCATGATTGGAATGAGCTAAATTGGGTAAGTTATATTATTTCTTCTTTCCAGCTATAATACCAATGTCAAGTATTCAAAAGTATTAAGCCAATAAAGAATCGTTATGATTTTACCCAATTACATCCTTAGATTGTGTTTTCTTAAATACTTAAGATTTTGGTAGATTCTATGACTATAATTTTCTTAATATGGTCTAAATATGGTCTAATTTTCGCTCAATTTACATTTCAATTTGGCTTCTACTTTCTTCATAATTGCAAACTACCTCCTAAACCTCGAACACCTTAATTATTACCACCCAGATTCTCCGGTTAACGCATCCCCTTATTCTGTGGTCAGAATCTAGTCATTATTTTTCTTTTTCTCCTCTTCCTTAGTAAGTTTAGTCAGTTGGTGTAAGGCTAAAGTTTTGAATTTTGCAAGTTCTAGAGTCGTTCCCAGATCAAGTTGAAGGAAATGATTCTCCACGATCTCACCGGTAAATGACGTTTAATCAACGTGCAAAGCTCCTGTTTACAATTAATTTGCAACTGCCGCAAATATATCCAAGCTTAAAAAGGAAACAATCGATAATTTTACAGAAACGTCAACAAACATGAAAGCAGATGCAGTACCAAGAAATCTCTGGAGAATTTTCAACGCTGTAGAAAGAATTGTAGTTACACCGTCGAATTTGTTAAAGAATTTATCAGTCAGAAATGTTTGCAAGAACGAAAAAATAACGAGATTATCTTAACTAGCTAGAAAATTTCTTCCCTTCTCCTAAAGTAATGATAAGGGTGTAATAATTTCCCACTACTGACAAAACTGGAAACTAGTTGATAATAAAATGCCTTTTAAAGCCCAGCATTCAATATTCAGGGACAGTGACTTGTTAACAGTCTGGACTATGTTGAGATGGACGTTCTAAACCTTCAATTCTTGTCATATTGTTGCTAGTGTTTAATAGATATTTGATACTTATCTATTTAAAATTTCAATCTAAGTCTAAGACTTATAGTGGCTTATTTATAGCCCGTTGATAATCACATGGTTTATTCAGTCTTAAACCATGTGGTTGTAGTATTACTATAATACATAGTTCTCAACTTAGAAGGCAAATTGTTAGAGTACTACTTACAAATTAATAGGGTGATATTGTGTCAAAAAGGTTGTGAAGTAATGACACAATTCAGTAATCTGTTGCTTTATGACGGAAGATTGTTGATAATATTCTGTTATATAGATGTTGAAATCGTGGAAGATCAATCCCTTCATGATTAGACATAACTCTATCAAAGGTCTGAAACAGAAAAAAGGGTTAAAATTAAGTATAAATTGAGGATATTCTACCCAGAGATATGGATTCTCTGATATTGACTAAGTATGTGATCTCTGGAAAAGTAGTACCAACTATTAAACTACTAACATTATTACGCGTAGAGAAATTGGAACGTCCATTTCAACATAAGTCCGTGACGACTATTCAACCAACCTAATCATTACTTCTAACTAGAGGGGTTGACGGGAAATTATGCACACTTCAAGAGCTAGTTTCTATCGCCTCTGAACGTTTGACTCAGTTGTCTTCGCTACAAAAGGGGACCTCTTAAATCAGCCCCAGTGAGTTTGGCATTTTCAGCATTACTTTTTTTTAATAATCTTTTTGAACTTATACCATATTACCGTCTCATCGGGTTTTAAGCATGAATGGGCTGTTTCGGAATTTTCAAGTACATATATTCATGAGAGGACCACTTTCTGTTTTTTTTTAAATATTCTGTATTTTCGTGGGAAAACCACCAAATTCTATAAAACTCTATGTGATACCATTTATGTAATATTTATAGAAAGCCTAAAAACCCAAAAAAATTCGTGGTTAATATTTAGCCACGCAGCTATGTCACTTCACATACTACCTGCGATAGCTACCCATGGTAAGTGTGCGTGAGCCATGTAATACTGGTAGGTTGAAGTTAGGGATTTACCAGACCAGGAGAGGAAAAGTCCTTTTGGGATCGTCCCAAACCCAGAAGGCGGCCTAATCAACCCCCTTCAAGCTATTTTATTCTAGGTTTTTCTTTCCATGAGTATATGTTTTAATTTAAAAATGCTAACCAGACACAAATTGTTTACTACGTTTATTATATTCTTTTTTTTCTTGCTAGATAATATAGCTTTAATTTCCCGCACATTTTATATGTCACTCTTTTATTTCGTAGTCTTGGAATTTAAGATACAGAGGCTTTTTAAGATCCCTTAATAATAATCGTTTCAATAGTATTAGTGTACAGTTGTCGTAAAGTTTTATATAGGCAAATTTCAACATAACGAGATCGAAGATCAACACTTGTTCCGTGGCAACGCTTTCATGTAGCTTGGTTGCATATTCTGTTTCTTATATACCTTACACCTTGAATGACTAAGTATTGATGCACATGGGAATCTACTATTACTGTGAATGATTGAAATTTTGCTTGACTTGTCTTTTTTTGGTAAACTAGGGGCTTAATAGTTGTAATCAAGCAAACCAAAACTAATCCTTCATTTTGAATATTACAAAGTAACTATCGTCCATTTATGTAAAAAGGGTAAACTGGTTATGTATTTGCTTTTATGAACTTTAGTTGCGCAATTACTTTTGGTCTGTAAGAGTTACCATATAACGCGATTTCCAGGCGCTTAAAAAAAAATAGCTTTGATCTAGCCGAGGATCGAACTCGGGACCTTTTCGGCGCTTACTTTGCAGTCGCAATATGTAAACGAAACGTGATAGCCGCTACACCACTAAACCCAAAGCATGATAGAAAATGAAAATTAGAAACCTTAATTTATGGGCTTAATGTTTACTACCAAAAGTGGTTTTCTTACGAATGTATGCTAATCCTTCAAAAAAAAGTTTCAGTTCTTCTGTGCCACCCTTAATTACATCTACCATATAACTAGTACCATAGAGTGCTCTAGATGTAAAAACTCAGATATATTCTTAGTTGAGAACCAGCCAGCAAACCGTCTATTTCACACTTCAGAAATTTCCTGCGCACAAAGAAACACGCGATAAGTTAAATCCGAGAAATTCATTCCACAAGTAAGGGCTCTGTGGCCGAGCGGTCTAAGGCGGCAGACTCAAGTTCTGTTATCGTAAGATGCGCGTGTTCGAATCACGCCGGAGTCATCATACTATACTTCCTTACTTCTTTTTTTGTCTATTAACTGGCTTCCAGTTCAATCTTGCCTATGGTAGGTAATTTTCTTTCATTGCAGTTATGGTATTCAAGAAAATATTTCGCATTCCAATCAGATAATAGTTTCACAGTTGACAAATGCTTTTCTCAAAAGATACCCAGAATTAAATTACAAGCAGTCCTCAAAATGCGAAGAAAATGTAATATACCATCAATCTATTGGAGTAGCAATTTGTACACATAAATAATCAACACGGAAATATTTAGAACTTGGTTTGCTAAGAACTTCGAATTTAGTTCCGCTGCCTAAAACCAAACCTCTAGACAATCTAAAGTCGAGGTCGCAATTGCAACTGAAGCCAAGGCCTTCCTAATTATTTGTACTTGTATATAGTACGCTCATCAATTAGCATGTACGAAGATAACGTCTTTTGGATTTATCACTGATAGTCTCAGCATCCTAAACCGACATTGGATAAATGCTTAGCGTGTGACATCAAAGTTTGCCTTTACATCAAACAAAGGAAATAGCTGTAGCCAAAATACTTGAAAATAAAGGTTATCTTAATCCAATACTTTAGCAAATAATTGTGACGTAAAAAAGTGAGAAATCAAACAAAATTAACTTGGGAACTTCAGTTATGCGCATCGTTCTTGTTGTCTACGAAGAATAGGATAACAATGTATGAAACACTGAATTTTAGCAACTTTCTTAGAAATACATCAACAAAAGCCTCCATCCCATTGACCTCTAAAAAAAACCGATATAATAGCTGTCACCATAGTTTCATATTTTTTATATTGAATGCAATTTGACAAGTTACTCAAATTGAGAGATGACTGCAAGAGAAATTTCTTGTATTCTTCTATTCATCATTTGAATGGATGCGAAAATAACAAACATAGTAGTCAGCTAATTTATGAAAAATCCTGTGCAATGTGAGTATTAGTTTTAGTCAACATTATAAACTTTTCAAATGTTTCTTTAAAGTTTTCATATATTCTTGGAAACTACCTAGAATTATGTAATGCTTAGGCAATGAGACATGAAAGCGGCCCGAAGTTTTTTTTAAGATACCATGTATTCGTGGGAAAACCACTTATGACTATAACTAGTACTATAGAGTCCTCTAAATGTAACAATCTAAATATACCCTTAGTTGAGATCCAGTCTGCCAAACGTCTATTTCACACTACGTATCACTGTGTTTCACTCACACTGTTTATCACGTAGGATCCATATAATGTCTTTAGCCCGTAACTAGGAACCACTTTCTGTGCTTCCCAACTAGGCAAAACTCTTTACTTCGCGGAAAATTTTAACCCAAGTAAGGGCTCTGTGGCCGAGCGGTCTAAGGCGGCAGACTCAAGTTCTGTTATCGTAAGATGCGCGTGTTCGAATCACGCCGGAGTCATCATACTATACTTCCTTACTTCTTTTTTAAACTTCAATTGGCCCATTATATACAACATATGTGAAATTAGAAGATGGACCTCAACTACCATATTTCTCTTCTAAGCATAAGCAGTAAATTCCTTGTGTGTGGTCACATGCTCTTTTTTTGAGCTCCTATTAATTCTGAGTTTGACACCCCAGATTTGGAGTTCGGAGATTTGGCCGAGCTTTGCACGACTTCACCGAGGGATATTACTACCATGGCATTGCGAATTACAGTACCAATATTAAGGCAATTGTCACATTTGTTCCACAATAAATAAATACTATCATTGCACATGCAACCTTTCGTTATATGAGTGTTGATGTCGTAACCGAACATGGATCCGAACACACCATTATACCCAGATTTTGCTCTCACTAGTCCGGGAATTTCCGGAACACTTCAACTTGTAAGTCCCTACATCCGTACCCATTTACCGTTTTAAGCAACCTACATCAAATGCACATGAATCAATTGAATATGTATTACAAGCAATATCATTTCATATTATCATAACATCATAATACCTAATTAGTATAAGCTTGTGGGGATTAGCCCCTATAAATACTTTTACACTGTAAATGTGACACTAATTGGACGTTCTTAACTCCTTCATTCAACCTAATTGTCAAACGGTGGGGAACATCAAAAGTTCGCGCAGGAGACATGCCCGGAGTTTCAGGGTCAAGTAAGTGCGGGTAACATAAAAATGGACCCCCGCTACCATATTCAGGGAAGGCCCATAATATAATAACAAAGTAATTGGGAGGGGTATATAAATGGACAATTCCCCAGATTTTATTTATTACCCGGTGAAAGGTTTTTGAACTCCAAGTTCTATTAAATTGCAATTGACATTGCCCTGAGAACTCTTATATATATACTTATACATTTATTTTACACATTCAAACATGGTTAAGGTTGCTGTTCTTGGTGCAGCTGGTGGTATCGGTCAGCCATTGTCACTTTTGTTGAAGATTAATCCAAAGATTTCCGAGTTATCTCTTTTCGATGTTGTCAATGTTCCTGGTGTTGGTGCTGATTTGAGTCATATCAACTCTGACTCTACTACATCTTCTCATTTGCCTTCCTCAAGAGAAGACAAGACCGCTTTGGCTTCTGCTTTGAAGGGTGCTGATTTGGTTGTTATCCCAGCTGGTGTCCCAAGAAAGCCAGGTATGACCAGAGATGACTTGTTTAACATCAATGCTGGTATTGTTAAGAGTTTGGCTGAAGGTATTGCGGAAAATGCTCCAAACGCTTTTGTATTGATCATCTCTAATCCTGTCAATTCCACTGTTCCAATTGTTGCTGAAACTTTCAAGAAGGCTGGTATTTACGATCCTAAGAAGTTGTTTGGTGTTACCACCTTGGATATTGTCAGAGCTAACACTTTTATTTCTCAATTATACCCTAAGGAAACCAAACCATCTGATTTCAACATTGCTGTTGTTGGTGGTCACTCTGGTGAAACCATTGTTCCATTATACTCTCTTGGAAACTCTGGATCTTACCTTGAAAAATTGTCTGAAGAAGACAAGAAGAAGTTGATAAACAGAGTTCAATTTGGTGGTGACGAAGTTGTTCAAGCTAAGAATGGGGCTGGTTCTGCTACATTGTCTATGGCTTATGCTGGTTACAGATTGGCTGAATCTATCTTGAAGGCTGTTGACGGTTCTTCAGGAATTACTGAATGTGCTTTTGTTGATTTAGACAACACTGCTATCAAAGGTGCCAAGGAAGCCAAAGAATTGGTTGGTTTAGGATTCTTCTCCTTACCTGTAGTTTTAGGACCTGGAGGTGCTGAAGAAGTTAAGTACGATGTTTTGGAAAAGGCATCAGCTGAAGAAAAGAAGTTGTTGGAAGTTGCCAAGGAGCAATTGGCTAAGAACATTGAAAAGGGCGTTGCATTCAGTAAGCAATAATTCTAAAACTACATACCTTTATAGTGTGTTTATTTATTAACATATATCAATGATTGTTGATGATTTTTCAATAGATTATGTTACAAAGCAGATATTAACATATAGATTACGTAGTATAGATTATTTTAAAGAGGTTACATTGCATAGATTACGTAACATGGATTTCATAACAATTGAAACAACCAGTCACGTGACCGTCCATCTCGTGCTTGCCATTAATGTAAAACAGGGAATGGTAACAAAATGAAATGGTCCTCAAGTGAAAATCAAATACTCAAAAACAATCCAGACCGACTCAAACCTCAAGGAAAAAAATCTAAATCATCATTGCAATAAGCACAGACTTTCATTACAGTGCACAAAGCAACAACAATAATAATCGATTGGTTATTTGATTTGATTTGATTTGATTTGATTTGATTGTTTCTTTCTTCTATCTGTTACTTTCTGTTTCTACTTGTTGTTCTCTTAGTATTATTACCATTGTACTTTTTTCTAATGGAAGTGATTCTAGACTTCACCAAGGAACTTGATGTGTCGGTTTTCGACCAAGTGGTCACGTCCTTTTATGCTGGAGGACCTGATCAGAAAAGAGCACAAGAAGTGTTGAATCAATTCCAAGAACACACTGATAGTTGGACAAGAGCTGATACTATTTTGACTAAGAGCAGTAATGCTCAATCAAAATATATTGCCTTGAGTTGTCTCAACAAAGCAATTCAATATAGATGGAAAACGCTTCCTGAAAATGAACGGTTGGGGATCCGGAATTTTATTGTTCAAATGATCATTTCAATGTGTGATGATGATCATACTTTTGAACATGAAAGGGCTTTGATTAATAAGATTGATTTGACTTTAGTTTCCGTTTTGAAACAAGAATGGCCTCATAATTGGCCTCTGTTTATCCCCGAGATTGTGTCGTCTTCAAGAAGTTCATTTAATGTTTGTGAAAACAATATGATCATCTTGAAGTTATTAAGTGAAGAGGTTTTCGATTTCAGTCAAGATCAGTTGACGCAAGCCAAGGCAACTCATTTAAGGCAAAGTATGCAATCGGAATTTCAAGAAATCTTCAAATTATGTTATGAAGTACTTGATAAAACAACTAAACCAAGTTTGATCATTTCAACCTTAAATTGTTTGTTGAAATATATTCAATGGATCCCCATTGAATATATATTTCAAACTAACTTATTAGAATTATTGGTTAAGAAGTTATTGGAACCAGCACAATTTAGATCGTACACAATTAAATGTTTGACTGAAGTTTGGCAATTGAAATCATCTCTGCATGATGATCAAATTGTTTTGACGTTTAGAGGTACTATGGAAATCATTTATCAGATTATCCCCATTGAAACAAACTTAAGGGATTCTTATAAATTGGCAAATTCAAATGATCAATCTTTTTTACAAGATTTCGCTCTTTTCTTGTGTACCTTTTTATCCAATCATTTATCATCATTAGAAAAGACCCCTGATTTGGAACCACTTTTGATCAACTCCTTATCATACTTGATTGAATTGTCTCGCATTGATGAAAGAGAATTATTTAAAACTTGTTTGGATTTGTGGTCTTCGTTTGTTCATGATTTGTTTGAAGAAATCGAACGGGTCCCTGCATCAGAACGGAATCCCTTGGCTCAAATGAGTTATCAACGGAATGTTAGACCTACCTCAAATGGCGCTCCAAACCCTGCTATTTTGGAAAAATACCCTTTGAGACAACATAGATATAAAGACATTTTATCAAGATTGAGACTAGTTCTTATTGAAAACATGGCCAGACCTGAAGAAATCACCATTGTGGAAAACGATGAAGGTGAAATTGTTCGTGAATTCATTAAGGATAGTGATACCATTTCCTTATATAAATCCATGAGAGAATGTTTAGTTTATTTGACTCATTTGAATGTTGTGGATACTGAAAGGATCTTAAGTGATAAATTGGCTAAACAAATTGATGGTTCCGAATGGTCATGGCACAATATTAATACCTTATGTTGGGCCATTGGATCTATTTCTGGTACTATGAATGAAGATATGGAAAAAAGATTCCTTATTGCCGTTATCAGAGATCTTTTATCATTAACAGAAATGAAAAGAGGTAAAGATAACAAGGCAGTGGTTGCTTCTAACATCATGTATATTGTTGGACAATATCCAAGATTCCTTAAAGCTCATTGGAAATTTCTTAAAACAGTTGTCAACAAGTTATTTGAGTTTATGCATGAAACACATGAAGGTGTCCAAGATATGGCATGTGATACCTTTATCAAGATCACCACCAAGTGCAAACGTCACTTTGTTGTTGTTGAACCACAAGAAAGTGAACCATTTATCAATGAAATCATCAATAGGATCCAATCAATCACAGAAGATTTACAACCCCAACAGGTCCACACTTTTTATGAAGCTTGTGGGATCATTATATCTGCTCAAACTGTTGCTGAACAAAGAGAAAAGTTGTTATCTCAATTAATGGAGTTACCAAATACTGCTTGGAGAGCTATCATTGATCAAGCTAGTAAGGATCCTCAATTATTAGTGAACACCGAGAGTGTCAAGATTATTGCCAATATCATCAAAACAAATGTTGCTGTATGTAAGGCATTAGGACCTGGATTTTATCCTCAGTTAGGCTTGATGTATGTTGATATGCTTCTGTTGTATAAGGCGGTTTCAACTATGATTTCTGATGCTGTTTCAAAGGAGGGGATCATTGCTACCAAGACCCCTAAGGTTAGAGCATTAAGAACCATTAAAAAGGAAGTGCTTAAAATGGTTGAAACTTATATTAATAAGGCTACCAATTTGGATGAAATAGTTCGTGATTTAGTTCAACCATTATTCGGAGCAGTTTTAGATGATTATAAGCTGAATGTTCCTGATGCTAGGGATGCCGAAGTGTTGAATTGTATGACAGCTGTTGTGATCCATGTGGGTCATTTAATTCCTGAAGGAGTGGTGTTCATATTACAGAATATCTTTGAATGTACTTTGGATATGATCAAGAATGATTTTGTTGAATATCCAGAACATCGTGTCGAGTTCTACAAGTTGTTGAGAGCCATCAATGAACATTCCTTTTCTGCGTTGTTACAATTGAGTGGTGAAGCCTTCCAATCTTGGATCAACGCAGCATTATGGGCATTTAAACATTCAAACAGAGAAGTGGAAGAAAATGGATTGCATTTGATGTTGAAACTATTACAGAATGTTGAAAACGTTGGTGATACTCCCTTCACTCGTGCATTCTATGAAAACTTTTATTTCCAAGTTCTTTCTGATACTTTCTATGTTGTTACTCAACCAGATCATAAATCAGGATTCACATTCCAAGCTGAAGTGCTTGCTCAATTAATCCATCTTGTACAAGATAATGTCATCAAGTACCCATTGTACACTCCAAAGCAAGCACCAGAGAACACTTCCAATTATGAATATTTGAAACAATATTTGGGAAATTTGTTATTATCTGCATTCCCTAACTTGCAACAACTGCAATTGACCAATTTTCTTAACGTTTTAACCGCTGTATATGGAGACTTGATTAAATTCAAGAGTACTTTAAGAGATTTCCTTGTACAAATTAAGGAATTTGGTGGTGACCCAACTGATTATTTGTTTGAAGAAGATAAACAATTAGAACGGGAAGATCAAAATAGAATCCAGAGAGAACGTGCTCTTCAAATTGGTGGGTTAATTAAACCTTCTGAAATGGATGACTAACTGAGATGAGTGGACCCGTTTTTATATATGTTAGTTAAAATGAATAGATGATTTTAGTGCTTTTGTAACAGACTTCCCAATTAGGAAGTCTACAAATTTTTTTCAAAACGATGAAGGGACGACAACGAAAGAATAAATCCACACCCTGACTAAGATCATCTCCATCATCATCACACCTTAACCCAACGCAAAAATGTCTAGTGAAGAAGTTAAGTCTAAGACCGAAGAGACTGCTGCTGCTCCTCAACCTCCAACTTCATCTGTTTTTTCCATGTTTGGAGGCAAGAAGGAGAAGAAGGAAGAACCAAAGGAAGAAGCTGAAGAATCCTCTGAAACGAAAAAGAAAGGAGCAGAAGAAGAAGACGAAACTGCAGAAGAAGAAGAAGCTGATGTTCACTTTGAGCCTTTAGTTCATTTGGAAAAGGTTGAAGTTAAGACCAATGAAGAAGATGAAGAAGTTTTGTTCAAGGTTAGAGCCAAGTTGTTTAGATTCCATGCTGACACCAAGGAATGGAAGGAAAGAGGTACTGGAGATGTCAAGTTCCTCAAGCACAAGGATACCAAGAAGACGCGTGTTTTGATGAGAAGAGACAAGACATTAAAGATTTGTGCCAACCATTTCATTAGCCCTGAGTATGAATTAAAGGAAAACATTGGATCTGATAGATCATGGGTTTATTCTGTTGTTGCTGATATTTCCGATGGAGAAGCCGAGGCTCAAACTTTGGCCATTAGATTTGGTAACAAGGAGAATGCCGATAAGTTTAAGGAATACTTTGAAAAGGCCAAGGAGTCAAACAAGAGTACATAAGAGTGTATATGAATGCATCAGAGTAGAATAGTCGCATAGTGTAAGGTTGTAGTATAATGTACTATAGATTACTTGTGTGGTATTACGACGTGTAATATTATGACGTGTAGTATGTAATATTCCTATATTGCTGTAGATGTGACTAGTCATATTAAATTGTGATTATTTGCAGCCATAGCGAAGCACATTTACAGTAGAGGAATCCACGTGGAGAGAAAATCTATTCGCACCTTAAATCATATATAAGTAACTTCACCTGCCACTAATTACAATAATTTAACCATACTCATTAACTGCGTACAATAATGAAATACGGTAAATATTTAGCGTCACGACAATTGGAATTACCTGAATATTCCGGCCATTTCATCGACTATAAGGCATTAAAGAAACTCATCAAACAATTGGCTATACCCTCAAATAAAGAGAATGTCGCATTAGTGGTCAACATCCATCAATCACTAAAGGAGAATAAGGCGACATTCTTTTTTAGGGTCGAAAGAGAATTGGATAAGGTCAACTCGTTTTATCTTGAAAAGCAAGCAAATTTATCCATCAACTTGGACTTATTGCTAAGGAAGAAGGAACAATTGTTCCTTAAGACTTATGATTATATCCAATTGATGAAGAATGATGCCGCCACATTAAACGGAGGTCAAGGGAATTCTTCATCTTCTTCCAATGGTGGTAGTAGTGGTGGTGGTGCCTCGAATGATAGTAACTTTCGAAATTCCATTTCTTACCTTAATTTATACCAAAACTTTAAGAAAATCCATCAGGATTTGTTACGATTGCAACAGTTTATTGAATTGAACGAAACTGGCTTCTCTAAAGTATTGAAAAAATGGGATAAACGGTCCAAATCTCATACAAAGGAGTTGTTTATCCTGACGGCTGTTAGTGTACAACCAGTTTTCCATAAGAATGAAATCAATGATGTTAGTGATTTGGTAACCCAATCATTGTTTGATTTAGAATCAATAATGGATGGTGATTACACTGCATTGGAAACGTTTGCAGCTAAAAATTCTCCTTCAATTAAGAACTCTATAGAAAGATCAGATTCAACGAGAAGAAGTGGTGGAAACTTTCCCGGCTCAGAAAGGCATCAATCGATAGCTTCAATGAGTGGTGGGACTTTCCTGTCAAGACCAATGATAAATAATCAAATAGATGATCTTTATTCAAGTTTCGTCAATGTGGCTACAGTTCAAGACCCAACAGACACTTCACTACTTAAAAGATGGTTAGAAAAGCTTAAAACGGTATCAGAAGGTGGTGGTAGTAAAGATGATTTGTTTAGTGAAGAAACAAGATTCAAAATATCGCGAATATTCTTATTATCCTTATCCAATATAAGAATTTCAGATGTGTTTCTAGAATCGTTTTTAAAAATCATCAATTATCAAGTGGACTTTACTTATGTAAGTGACGATTTCAATAATAATAGAACCATTATTCATGAATGTTGCTCCATTCCTCCAGCAACCAAACATGAACATGTCCCCATTAATAATGGGGTTAGAGTTGTCAATGCCAACGACTACATTGCCCATTCAAGAACATTTATCATTGATTACATAATGACCTTACATTTAGATGAAGAGTCCAAACATAATCTTCTTGTGGCAAAGGATGGCAATGGGAAAACATGCTTACATTATGCTGCTCAAAATAGTCGATTAGACATTTTAGACATTGTTTTACCTAATTTCCCAAAGGAAAATGTGGACGATTTAGATAATGAGTCAATGTCTGCATTATTATTGGCTATAAAGAACCAGAACTTTACGGTTATCCAAAAATTAATGGAACATGGTAGTGATTGTTATCCAAAATCAACAGAAACTCGTTTACAATATTTACCCATAAATTATGCTTGTCAAGTAGGGAATTATGAGATTTTGGAATACCTTTTATCATTCAGCAAACCTGATAAAGAGTTGATCAATCAACAAGATGTTGAAGGACTTATGCCTTTACATGTAGTTGCTAGATCCGGAAATTACAAACTCATTAAGTTATTAATTGAATACGGGGCAGAAATTAATCGATTGGATGGACTTAATAAATGGTCTCCAATATTTTATGCTGTTCTGGAGGGTCATCCCAAAACAACTGAAGAATTAGTTAAGTTGGGAGCTAGATTAAATTTAGTTGATAATGATGGTTTCAATGTCTTGTATTATTGTGTCGTTGAAGGCCATATTGATGTGTTGAATGAATTATTAATCTATAAGGATTCAATCTTTGATGAAAAAAAGGAATCATTAGATTCAATTTTAAGTTCAACCCTTGAATCCAATATTGAAAAGGAATCATCAATGTCGATCTTGGATGAAGGAGAAGATTCGGAAGATAGCGGAAGTATTCTGAAAAATAATGTTGATTCAATTCCAGATTTACAATTACCACCACCAGTCTTGCCCTTAAGAAGATATGGACATAACTTTTTGGAACAAAAACTATTAATTGAATTGATCTTCCCTAGCAATACAAGCTTTATCAAATTCTTTGATTCAGCCACAGATTTGAATCCTGGTCGTATTACTTTGACTTCAAATATATCTGATATTGTCCCCAGAAACATTTTACTTTCAGTGAGCGATGGGATCAGAGCAAATGGAAATAATTGCATATTTCAAACCGATTTAGATTCGTTAACTGATTTCCGTATAGATTTTGAAATCTTTCCAAAGTTTGGTACTCGGTTAATTGCAAAGACAACAGCCTTATTATTTTCACAAATTGACCCAACCTCACCCATGGTAAACTCTTTTCAGCTTCCACTTTTTGATTTGCGTTTACGTAATATTGGAGAATTAAAGGTTCATTATCAAGTGATTTATCCATTTGCTGGTACTTTATTGGAAGCCTCCAAGTTTGACACGTATTGGAAATCTTCAACCAGTGTTTTGAAGAATAGACCATCGAAATTAAATGCTGCTGGTGGATTATCTCCCAATAGTATCTTGTCACCTGTGAGTGTAAATTCACAACTTGGAGGAGTAGGAGGGAATGCATTAGGAAGCACTGCAGTTCCCTCGACCAATGAGTTGATTAGTGGTTCAACTCCTTCATCTGTGGTTACTGCAACTTCGTTATCTGGAGAATATCTTCGGATTAAAATCTGCTTATTGAATGATGGAACCCCAATTGTCTGTCCTCATTGGTCAATTGCCATTACTGATAGTATTGAGTTATTCTTACCTAATTTATCACTTGAACAATTGACTTCCATCACCAATAGCTTATTTGACTATAATAAAGTGATTCAAGATTTATCTGGTATGACTATTGAAGACTTACAATTGATCAAATCTTTAATAAGAATCATTTATTTACCTTTGGACATTGTGTTAGATGTTCTTAGTCCCAGTATCAATTTAAATATGGAAATTATGTTTCCATCTGCCTATGAATTGGAAGGGTTACCATTTAATGGAGGAATTCATAAGAATTTGAACAATTATATTGATTTCACCCTTAATGATGTCTTTAATCATGTTAGAGAACTGAAATTAAAGAGTAAGTCAAGGATTGCCAGGTCTATTATCTTTCTTTCATCAAATTCACTCATATGTAAGATTTTGAATTGGAAACAACCAAACTTCCCTGTCTTCTTAATTATGAGTGGAATCTCCTATTCTCTTGAAAAGAATAAATTTGAATCCAGAACTACAAATGGGTTACTAATTGATTCTTTAGGTGCTTGTGGTGGTTCTGATATGAATAACAAGCAATCATACAATGGAGATTCAGAAGAGAGCATTTCCACAGCTCATTTGAGGTTACATGAACTGCAAAACGATTTAAATCATCAAGAACTTGCTATAAGGTCCATCAAAGAAGCTGTTAATTTCTCCATTAACAATAATCTTATAGGGATAATTACCTCTATTCATCTTTTGAATTTGGTACCTAAAATGATCCCATTAGTTAGGTCTCGAGGTCTTGTGTTAGTAGCAGCTAGTGACTTAAATGACCGTGAAGCACACAAGGAAGAGTTCAATTATGAATTGGATGCTTACACTAAGACTGAGATCAATGGATTGCGATTTGATGATGTGTTGAGTTTTAAAGAAGATATAACTATGTGAATATCGCCATCTATTCCTTACAAAAACGCCTGCGCCTTGGAGGAGGTGGAGGAGGTGGAGCCTTTTTGGCTTTTGCCTTACGGGTAAGCAGTGATTCTACCGACATTGAAGTACCATTACCTCCGCTATGATGATTCCTTGAAGGGACTTGAGGAGGAGGATTATTTTCAAGATATTCTGTGGGTAATTCAAGTATATTCTGTTGGATACAAGGAGGAGTTTGATCTTTAGTATTATCATTATTATTTGATAAGGTAACCTTTTGAATATCATTTGTGACTTCCACCTCCATGTTATGAATTCTGGTCTGTTTGTAATAATCATTTTTATTTGCTGCTCTTACCGAAGATCTGTGAATTAATGAATGTTCTGGACCTCGGGGAACACTCGACAATGATGAGGCAGAAGATTCAGCTGATGAATGGGTATAAAAGGCTGCTGAAGAAGCCGTAGGCTTGGCTTTTCTCAACCATGGGATCTTCATACATTTTGCTGCTAGCAAGGAAAGAGTCTCTTCTCTATTGTCAGTTTCAGTCCGCGAAGAATTGGTGATGAAATTCCCCAAGGTTTCTATAACTTGCTCCTTCTTATATCCTTCACCTTTATCACCTAGTTGAGAGTTTTTAAGTAACGGATACATAACTTTTAAATAACTGATTATCAATTGTCTGTTCCCAAGGTTACCTGAACCCGTATAATCAACATCATTGCATTCCCGCAAAAAGACGTCCACCAAGATCTTCAAATCATTCAAATAAAACAACTTGCAACATTCTGGGTCTGTGAACATGAGATAAAGAAACTTTAATATTAGAATCTTGATGATTTCTGAATTCTCTCTGTTCAAATGATAAACTAACAAGTTAAGAAAGCCAGTATTATTATGCTTGGTGTTTTTCATAAGACCGTTATAAACAGCATTCTCAACTTGCGTCCCCAGGGTATAAGATTTCATTAAAAACTGTTCATTAATAAGAAGCAATAACTTGAATTCTTCATAGGCAATGAGTTTCAGTTCGTCTTCAAAATAGTCGATTTCATAAGCATCCAAGTTTCTTGCGGATAATAAATTTTCGGTTAATGATTGGACCAAACGAGAGCTGGTCACCAAACTCACAAACTCTGTATCTGAAAGTAACTCCGTAACATACAAGTACTCAAAAACAAGATCCGATGCAAACTTCAATAAGATATAAGGAGAATCTAGTCGTTCCCAAGCAACAATATGAACGGAGATAAACTTGGATATTATAGCAATGAAGTCTAATTCCCGTAGTATGGTAAATACATCTATTTGTTCAAGCATTGAAAGACATTCATTATTATTGGCTGAATGCTTTTGTTCAGTTGCAGTTCCTCCCTTGAGTCGTACTATCAACAAAAGGGCTATCAATACAAACTCTTTATAAGCAGCTGACTCTCTCAAGAACTTCTCATCTGGCTCTATTTGATTGTGTATATATAAGAGTGTCATGTCGGAGAAGGTGCCTAGCATCCCCAACAACTTGGCTACTCCAAACCGAAAGTTCTTCATGAACATATTCAGATTAAGAAGTCGCAATGCATATTTCAGTATCAAAAGAAAGTTCTTATCTTTGTTGTTGTCGACGTTGTAGAAGTTGTCCACTATGACTTTGAGGTATAGAGATAAGTTCTCGTTGCATGCCTCGGTGTCGCTGTTGACGAGAAGCACAGCGGTGTGTTCGTCAATCTCCCGCTTGGTAAGAGGAACAACAGGGAACAGAACGGGAGGTGCTTCAGCCATTGCAGCCGCTAGAAAGAATTAAATGACAGTTTGGATGGTTTCTTTGACGGGTATGCATAAGCGGCTTTTAGCTCCATTATACGGCGCTACCATACATATCACTGAGTGACATCAACTGAAGAGATTCACGTGATACATACATATATCACGTGATCCATACCAAGTACTATGCTATAAGTCTAATATGTTATAAATATACTTATTCATACTAGTAACCCACTGTCTTTAGATAGACATCAGTACCCAAGCCATAATACGTCTGTAAACTCAACAGGCCCTTGCTATACGTGTTCCCCTCATCATCAGGCAAAGTATCATTGAATAGTTCAATATAAGCCTTCAGTAAAGGTAGTCCATATCCCATACCTGCAACCACATTAGCTCCATCTCCAGGTGGAGAATTCAATGTCTTATAAGCCTCGCCTTCATTGGTTTCGAATGTGGTATAAGAATAGTCAAATATGTGATTCAATACTTTAGGAGAAATCCCCTTCCCTCGATCTCTGATTCTCATCTCAAGGTACATTGGGTTATTGGAAATGGAGATGGTTGCTTGGACCGGACTTTGAACTCCGTTTTCAATATGAGCTCTAAAGGAGTTCTTAAAAAGCTCCATGAGAATGTAATCCAAATGATATTCAATGTAAGGGAACATGATGTTTTCTTCATTTAATATGGGAGTTAAAGAGGGGTCCTTTTTAGACCAGAATGTAGGAGGGTAAAGATTAGTATCAATAGTTAAAGCAACTGTTTGATCATATTTTAAAAAGCAAATATCATTAACTAACTCAGCATTTTTCTTTATGACATCTTTAATGTTTAAAAGCTTGATGACTCCATTATATTTGCCCCCTTTTACATAATTGGCCCCACCTTGTTGTAATGTTTTGGACAATTCCATGTGTTGATGAGCAATGAGTCTCATATGGATCCGTTCTCGAAGATGGACATCGAGAAATGATTTAATGACTCCTTGAGGTAAATGGATTGATACCTCTTCAAAACCTTTAGAAAGTACAGGTAAAGTGTCAGCATGGATATCAATGAATTTCTGAAGGATCAGATCACAGAAATCACCATTGGCTTCTAATGTTAAAGGAGGGTTTATGGATGCTTCAAGTAGTAAAGACATGGTCATCAAATATTGATTATAGGTCTCTGAGATCGAAGGGTTCAATACTACCAAATAAGGCAACTTACGGAACTCCTTGAGTCGTCTAGCATTATAAACAAGTAATTTATCAATGGTTGCATTTGCATTCTGAAGTATAAAGTTGGACGTGAGTTTTTCACTTTGTTCGTATAATCCAGCAATGGACATTTGAGTCATCTTCCGTTGAGAATAATGCATGATGAGTCCCTCTAAGGAGGATCTGATTTTATATTCCTTTAGAAATGCTCGTTGTTGTTCTGTGACTTCATTTGAATCAGACTTTGATCTTGTCCATGAAGTCATCAATCTCCATCTACGAACAGGTATACACCATCTTTGACTCTTGGTCAAAATTGTTCTGTCCAATAGCATGATACACGAGTGAGGCTATAAGTGAATGATATTATTGCTATGAGTACTTGGCGAATGATGATGGTCTTGTGCTGGTTGGCTGGTTTTCCCTTTAGCCGTTTCCAATGTCGCTTTGTTTAACACACAACCTTTAAATCGCGAATGACGTCTTAAAAACACTACGGACTAAAGGAATAAGCATTGCAGTACTACCAGATACCGTATGTATGCTATGGTGGCAGTGAAACGAGAAAATGAGTCTCAGGACTCAATTACAGTCTCAAGTAACAACAGTGGGAATGAGTGTATGATATGTGCCAAACTCGGGTCGCGGAAGAAAGATTTTTCAACTTGGATCCAATGCGATGTTTGTAAGAGATGGACCCATACTGAATGCTCTGGATTGGATTCGGAAACCGTTAACGAAATCAACTTATATCATTGCAACGATTGCAATGCGAAACATGGTCCACTGGTGATGCGTCGTAAATCGAAACGCAGCAAGGTTCTTATTGATTACGCCGCTTATAATGAAGGACTCACATTTGCATTAAACAAATCCCACCATCCTCATGTTTCCAAATTTCATTCATTCCCTATCGAAGTACCTGACACTGTGCGAGATTTAACAGTCAATCCTTATATTGACGTGGTGTCATCGTGTACTGCAAAGGAAGCTATATCTAGTCGATGGACTCGACCTATTTTGGTACCTCAAGCAGATTTACTGGTTGTGGGAATGGAATTACCCCGGCCTCGCGAGGAAATTTCCGTCGACTACATCGCAGAGCATGTTGGGAAGGACCAACCTATTGAAGTAATGGATGTTCTTTCGCAATTGGGCGTAGTACCCGGTTGGAATATGGGCCAATGGCAAGAATATTTCACTACAGCCAGTAACCATCGTGATCGTATAAGGAATGTTATTCTGTTGGAGGTTTCAAAAGTTACAGGTTTGGGAGATAAATTTATTCGACCTAAAGTGGTTCGCGATTTGGACGTGGTAGATAAAACTTGGGTCGACCCAGATCAGGAACGACCCCAAGTTACCAAATATTGTTTGATGTCGGTGAAAGGTTCCTTCACTGATTTCCATATAGATTTTGGTGGAACCTCAGTATACTATACTATTTGTTCAGGAGAGAAGATTTTCTTAATGTTCCCTCCAAATGAATCAAATCTTTATCTTTACACTCAATGGTGTCTTGAACCTAACCAAAACTATATATGGTTCCCTGATTACACCAAGAAATCATTGAAACCGAATAAAGGGTTTAAAGTCACTTTAAAGGAAGGCGACCTATTTTATATACCTAGTGGCTGGATCCATTGTGTTTATACACCAAGTGATTCTGTGGTGATTGGAGGAAACTTTTTAACATTAATGAATATGCCAATGCAGTTACGAATAGCCCAATTGGAAAAGGATACTCTGGTTCCGTATAAGTTTCGATTCCCACTTTTCAATAAGTCCCTTTGGTTGACCAGCTGGTATTATTACAATCATAAAGCTGAATTTGAAGACTTTTTAGGTGGTGACAAAGCACTTCAATACGAGGTCATAACTACATTAAAGGACCATCTTGAAAGCCATTTGCTTATTAGTAAGAAGAATAAAACAGCAAAAATGAGTATTCCACAGGAGATTATAACACAAGAGATTCCACAGTTCTTATACCATTTAGAGGAATGGGCTTTATCGTACAAAATTAAACGTGATTAAAAAAGAATAAAAGTTTATTAATAATAAAGTTCGTTAGGAAATGAAATTAGAGCCGTTATTCAACTCAAGTCATGAAGAGATTTTTTGTGGTGGTGGTGATTTAAATTCATAAAGTCAAAGGAGTACCCTTTTCTCTGGCAGCTTCACCATACTTCTTAATTCTGATAGCTTGGACAGCAATGAAACCAGAGGTATCCTCTGGAGAGAAACCGGTTAATTCATCCATAGAAGATTCAGTTTCATCATACAACTTTTCGGTTTCAGAAGATCTACCCAAGATGGTCAAAGTACCTTTGTAGCAAGAAGCTCTAACAACACCATTGACGGTAGTTTGAGAAGCAGGAATCATGGATCTAACGTATTCACATTCTGGAGTGAAGTACATACCATTGTACAATTGTCTGGCATAAGAGACAGTAACAAATTGATCTCTTAAGGCTCTAACTTCACGATCCAAAGTTAAACCTTCCAAATCAACATGAGTGGATCTTAAGATGGTTAAACCAGGAGTTTCGTAACAACCTCTGGATTTGATACCAATAAATCTGTTTTCAACAATATCAATTCTACCAACACCATTTCTTCTGGCAAGAGCATTAGCTTCCAAAAACAATTCAACAGGGTCTGTGATAACCTTCTTACCACCGTCTAAGATCAACTTAACTGGCAAACCCTTTTCGAAATAGATGGAGAACTCTTCTGGCTTATCTGGAGCATCAGTTGGATCAACAGTCAATTTCCACATATCCTTTGGAGGTGTGGTGTCTGGGTTTTCTAAGATACCAGCTTCAAAGGAAATATGGGCCAAGTTTTCATCAGTTGACCATGGCTTGGCCTTGGTTTGCGCAACTGGAATACCCTTAGCAGCAGCATATTCCAATAAATCGTTTCTACCAGCAAATCTGTTGAAGAAAGCAGGGTCTCTCCATGGAGCAATGACGGTAACATCAGGCTTTAAAGCATAGAAAGATAATTCAAATCTAACTTGATCATTACCCTTACCGGTACAACCATGGGAGACAGCAAAACATCCATTTTCTTCAGCAACCTTGATTTGAGCTTCAGCAATAACTGGTCTAGCCAATGAAGTACCCAAAAGGTAAACATTTTCGTAGATAGCATTGGCTTGAATAGCTGGGAAACAAACCTTTTCAACAAATTGTTGTCTAACATCAACAACAACAAACTTGGTGGCACCAATGGCTAAGGCTTTCTTTTCAGCAGCTTCGAAATCTTCTTCTTGACCAATGTTGGCTAAGAAAGCAATGACTTCATAACCTTCCTCTAATAACCAAGCCAAAATGACTGAAGTATCCAAACCACCAGAGTATGCTAAACAAACCTTTCCCTTAGACATTGTATTCTTTATTCTTATATATGCTTGTGCTTATAATGTGCAATGATTAAGAGAAACAAAAGAATGGAAAATTTTTTACTTGATGGGTTCCCCTGACGTTTTTATAGTGTTTTTTCAACGACTTTTGTGTGTCCTGTCGAAGATAACACAGCGCGGTTAGTGGCCAAAAGAGTTACCCAATTAGGAGTGACTCATCGCGGTTATATGCAGGTACTATTGAAATAATGAATAGTTATATTACATGTATTTAATACTGGTGTTTAATGGATATGATTATTTGTAAATATGTATTTTTAAAGCTTGTTGGACGCCTACTAAATGGTACTAACTTTTCAATTTTCGACGGTTCTGATACATTTACGTAGAAACAGTTACTTTTTGAGGGAACCATAAGGAGAAAATGTGTATCATTTCTCTGTGCAATTCTGAAAAAAGTATTAAATAGAGAGCACTAAGAAACTGTATTTTAGGACCCATTTCTAACAAGATATACGGCATTACTGGGTTGTATTCGTGTAAAATGACTCTCTCTTAACTATATCACGTGACATAAATCATTTCTCTTTCTCTAAAAAATGACTAGTAAATGTATCACGTGATATAAGCTATTGCTGCCTCAAATGACTCCTACACATATCACGTGACTTGCAAAATTTTGCTGCACCAAAAGGGTTACCCGGATTTGCAAGTAAAATAGGAATGACTCATGAACTGTCACAAAACCCTTGATGATTGCCAGTCACCACGTCGCCAGGGTACACGACCCATATGCGGTTTGAATCACCATAATTTTTTAATCATCCAAAGTGACATGACTCTATTTTGCCCCAGATTAAGCAAAACCAATTCAGCAAGCTTTATATAGCTGCACTAGCCTTAGCCAACGGCATTAAACGCGAATAGTATTTATTGCATGACTGAGTCGTTTTAGTGATGGGAAGATGATTAAGATGGAAACATCCAAAGGCTCAACACAAGGTACATCGGATAGCCCGAAGGAGACTGATTCACACGATGATAAGAAAGTGGGGGTGACTCATGCTATTAGACAACGATTAAACTTCACAGATGAAAGGTTGTGGAAACGGTTCAGTGCTCGACGATTAGAGATGATAGATACAATGGAGCTACTGACCAAAAAGGCAAGCGAACAAGAAGATGAGATAAAAGAAGTGGCAGATTCCTTACGTAAGGAGTTTGAATATCCAGAGGAATATTTTGGAGATTTTGATAAGTTAGTGAGAGCTGCTGTCCAAAGTGTTAGAAGGAATAGAAAGAGAAGCTCGAATTCTCGTCGAAAAGACAAAACCAGTAGTGGTGATCAAAATCAAAATCAGCTGTGTGTTGATGATTCTACTTCTACTCCTTATAAAAGACAAAAGATTGCTGCCATGACAGATGTGAAGCCTTCAGCCTTATCTAATTCCAATGCTCCAACAGAAACTGCATCTTCTGATTTGGCTCAGAGTTTATCATTTGTATCGGAGATTGCTCATTTGAAGACAGATATTAATAATACTATATTTGACTTGAATTACTCCAAATCAAAGAGCTTCTCTCCACAGGATCGAAGCAGAGCCATTATGGATAATATGATAAGACCACGTGTTGGTGGAGTCACTTCGTTTATCCTGACACCAGGTGTTAGGACTCCTACATCGACCAGAGGTTCTGCCACTCCAATACCCCCACCCCCTCCACTACCAGGCACCACTACCACTGGCACCACCACAACAATATCTGCCTCGAAGTTGTCTTCCGGATCAAACAATGGTGGCACACCACCTGCTACACAAGTTACTCGGGTGGGACATTTGTTACCTCCATTGGCAAATGTACGAATCAACTCGTCTTCTGAACTGCCAAATGGGAGTGGTGTTGTTCTTAATGGAAGCTCGTTAATTGATGGTAGAAGCACAACCAATGGTGTAGTAATGGGCCAAACTGCATTACCATCCGTTCCCTACAAGCCAGACGTGACAGGGGCTCGTCGAACGTTACAACGTTACATGGAAGCATCTAAAACATGTTCTGAAGACCGAGGGGACAACTCCAATATCCGAACGTTGGGTAAAGCATGTATTGAGAGTGGGATAGCTTATTTATTTGCTCATCTGTTTCAACGTGTTGATGGATCTCTGATTGAGTATTTGAGGCTGAAGTTAACTCTGACTACGTCATCGGAGAAGATCTTAAAGTCAATGGATCCCTTGATAGTATCGACCATAGGGAAACAAGATACAGAAACTGTTTCCTTGACGTTGAATAGAATCATTGGATGTTGTGTTAAGGATTTTGGGTTTGAACGGATCTTGATGCCTCTATGTGAGTTGATATATGGGTTAATAATAGACGACTATGCTGCAGTCCTGAGGAATTCTGTTCCCTTCAAGGCCACGGAACGTTTAGAATTGATAAAAGAGATGTCGAATGTTGACCATGTGACATCCTCCTCCTCATCAAATGATAAGAAAAATATGAGTGGATTAAATTCACTTGCAACCATAGCCACAGAACAGATGAAACTGGAAGTGAATGGGTGCTCATTAGGTCAATCCGTACTTATGTCGAGGTCGACATCACCGCTTATGCATTCGATTGTTACTGAACATAATAGCAGTAACAATACCACTACCACTACCACTACCACTACTTCTGACGATAATGATAATAATAATAATAATAAGATTGCGATCCAACCACCATTTGGACCGTTTGCACCCAAGAAGAAAAAGGTTATACTTCGATTCATAAACCGAGTCATTGAATTGGAGTTTCCTATGAAGAATGCAGCTCCACCAAGGTTAGGAGAGTTGATTGAAAATGCCCGAACGGCATTCAATTTAAACTACTTGATGAGTAATGCGATGTGGGGGGTTCGAATCCCTGATGGGCAGATTATTACTAGCGACTTGGAATTGGAAAGAATATTTTTCACCGAGAACTTTGATCGAATCGAATTGGAAATCTTCAACCAAGGGTCCAAAACAATTCCAATCTATGAGATCACCAGTACCATAAGCAGTAACCCTTCAAGAAAGGAGGAATTCCAGTATATACTTCCACCTCCAGTTGCATCCCATAATCTTCATTTATACCCTAACTCTCCATATAGTAACGGTGGTACTCAAGGCGCTCCACCACCACCTCCACCGCCACAATTACATCCCTTGGCTCGACCTACATCCAATGGGAGTGGTGGAACCACATTTATGGGTGATGATCGTGGTAAACATCATACTCGACCACAACCGATGTTACCCCGGTTCCAGAGATTATTGTGAAGAAGGTATATAATTGTTCATAGTTAAAAGTACAGAATAGATAAGTGCATATAGAGCAAGCGGATAATTGGGTGCAAAAACTACATTGCCATCTTTGGGGTTCGCTCTTATTACATAAGCATTTACATAAGCATTAATCAAGTTGACGTCAAGTGGTTCGCAGCGACTCAACAAAAATCAGCACTCAACAAATGATTGGTGGTGCATAGTATATTTCTGGAATAGTCGTGCGCATACACGACTAGCATTGTAGTCAGTCCATTTTTAGTTTGTATGGTTAATGTTGGGATTAAAGACGTATAATATAATAGTGACATCAGATCCGTACGTAATGTAAGATGCGTTTGGTCTGGACTATATTGTCTATAGTGATTGAAATCAAGGGCGATGAAATATAGGTGACGCTTATGTAATTAATTGGATTTAGATGTATGGTAGTGGTAAACACACGACCACATATATTGATGTACTTAGCCTGACTATGCTGAGGAAGCGATTGACTTACCAACTTACCATCATGGAAACTAAAAGCATCTACACTAAAATGCAATAATTACAGGTTACAGGTATGTCTGTCGGAGTTAAGTGAACATCCCAGTTAATAATATTATAGTAATTTTTTTTTTGGTTGAAAAGGGTTGACAGTTTGCACCCCAAACTTTTTCAAGCTGTTGATGGGAACCACATGTGACACAAAGTCGTCTCAACAATTATTTCAAGGGCCCAAAACAAATGTTTGGGTAAGTTAAGCTAAGGAAATAGATAGTAGTGAATTAAACGAACAAATAGTATGTAAGAGAGCGTAGCAATGATACGCCCCCCTTCCTTGTTCCCGGAAAGAATAGGAATTGTGTAGGACTGGGTAACCGGTTCAAAGTAGTACATACCTAATAATTAATTTAGTTGAGTAAAAAGTTAACTTGTAGAAGCGCGCAAAGAAGTTTACTTTGAAAAACTCTTGTATACACACGGTTAGTATAAATATAGTGGGAAGCCTTTGTTGAATTGAGTTTAAGGGCATTCGCTCATTTGAGAGTAAAGGTATAACCCAATACTTTTATATATATCACCATAGTGACTAAAGCACAGTATGTATATAGTGGAAGCAGTGCAGCATATAGTTGATGATCAATGGCATAACATAATGGTACAAGTGATACCGATGAAGAGATGATATGAGTGAACAGCAGTGAATCAATGATCAGCAGTGGAACAATGATGTGATACCAAAGGTAAGTGGATAGTTAATGTGGTCCAATGTGCAATGTCGTCTATGTCGTCTTGCCCTATGTCGTTCCATTCCGTGACAAAACACCTCAAGATCTTCAATTCCCTTGTCTTACACATCCGCTAAGACTTTGTTTGTTGACTATGTACACCGGTAATACCACCCCGCGCTGTACGACAATCCCAATATGTTACAAGAAACACCACCAAAGACATTATCATTATACGGCCACACCACACTCCTTGTCGCAGGGGTCAATGTCGTGCGATGCATGGAAAAAGTTCGTAATTGATTCGGGTAACCAGCTATTTTGATCTGGTTGTTACCACCCAATTGATACAAACAATCGAAAGGGTATCTCATTGATCCCTTGACATAACCCGCATTGTAATTATATAAATGGTGGTGGCTTCATTTATAATTTTTTGATTAATGATATTTTCAATTCACACCACTGCTTATGCTAAGGGGCCATCTAGTCACCAATCCCATTCCCATTCCCATTCCCATTCCCATATACAACTAATTGCATGCCTACCAGTAAATTTATCCCAGTGCTAAGTACTAACCAACGCTTTTATAGGTCGATCAAGGGATTGTTACTAGGTACGCTCTCAAGAAATCCAACTTTTGTATATAATTCCAATCGTCGACTTCATATATTCAAAAGAGTCTCCGATAACTTCATTCGTGCCAGAATGTCTGAAACAACTACAACTACTACTTCAAATGGTACGGCCGCCGCCTCTTCTGGCGGCTTGAGCCAGTCCACTCCTCCTCCAACAGACTATTCCTCCTTACACAAAGCATTGCCACCACACTTTATAGGTCTTAATACAATTGCTAATGCCGAGCCTAGTGTTGTCACTGATTTCGTCAAATCCCATCAAGGTCATACTGTCATCTCCAAGGTGTTGATCGCTAACAACGGTATTGCCGCAGTTAAGGAAATCAGATCTGTTCGTAAATGGGCTTACGAAACGTTTGGTGATGAAAGAGCCATTCAATTCACTGTTATGGCCACCCCGGAAGATTTAGAAGCTAATGCTGAGTATATCAGAATGGCTGATCAATTTGTTGAAGTCCCTGGTGGTACCAATAACAACAATTATGCCAATGTGGATTTAATTGTTGAAATTGCCGAAAGAACCGATGTTCATGCTGTTTGGGCTGGTTGGGGTCATGCTTCTGAAAACCCATTGTTACCAGAAAGATTGGCAGCTTCTCCTAAAAAGATTGTGTTTATTGGTCCTCCAGGTTCAGCTATGAGATCTTTGGGTGATAAGATTTCTTCTACAATCGTTGCCCAACATGCTAAGGTGCCTTGTATTCCTTGGTCTGGTACTGGTGTTGATGATGTTTTCATTGACGAACAAACTAACTTGGTCAGTGTCACTGATGAAGTTTACCAACAGGGTTGTTGTACTGGCCCAGAAGATGGGTTAATTAAAGCCAAAGAAATTGGGTTCCCCGTTATGATTAAAGCTTCTGAAGGTGGTGGTGGTAAAGGTATTCGTAAAGTTGATAGTGAAGAAAACTTTGTCACCTTATATAATCAAGCTGCCAATGAAATCCCCGGCTCCCCCATTTTCATTATGAAGTTAGCTGGTGATGCCAGACATTTGGAAGTCCAATTGTTGGCTGATGAATATGGTACGAATATCTCTCTTTTCGGTAGAGATTGTTCTGTTCAAAGAAGACATCAAAAGATTATTGAAGAAGCTCCTGTTACCATTGCAAACAAAGATACTTTTAATGCTATGGAAAACGCTGCTGTCAGATTAGGTAAGTTAGTCGGGTATGTTTCTGCTGGTACGGTGGAATACTTGTACTCTCATCTGGAAGATAAGTTTTACTTTTTGGAATTGAACCCAAGATTACAAGTTGAGCATCCTACAACCGAAATGGTTACTGGTGTCAATTTACCTGCTGCACAATTGCAAATTGCTATGGGTATACCAATGCACCGGATTCGTGATATCAGAACCATGTATGGTGTTGATCCTCATACATCTACTGAAATTGATTTTGAATTTAAGTCTGAAGATTCATTGAAGTCACAAAGAAGACCAGTTCCTAAAGGTCATACAACTGCTTGTCGTATTACATCTGAAGATCCTGGTGAAGGTTTCAAACCTTCAGGTGGTACATTACACGAATTGAACTTCCGTTCTTCTTCAAATGTTTGGGGTTACTTTTCTGTTTCCAATCAATCATCCATTCATTCTTTCTCTGATTCTCAATTCGGTCATATCTTTGCTTTTGGTGAAAACCGTCAAGTTTCAAGAAAACATATGGTAGTTGCTTTGAAAGAATTGTCTATCAGAGGTGATTTCAGAACCACAGTTGAATATTTGATTAAATTATTGGAAACTCCAGATTTTGAAGACAACACCATAACAACTGGTTGGTTGGATGAATTAATTACCAAGAAGTTAACTGCTGAAAGACCGGATCCAATTATTGCAGTCTTATGTGGTGCTGTGACTAAGGCTCATATTCAAAATGAAGAAGATAAAAAGGAATACGTTCAATCTTTAGAAAAGGGTCAGGTTCCAGGTAAGAACTTGTTGAAGACAATTTACCCAGTGGAGTTTATCTACGAAGGTTCAAGATACAAGTTCACTGCCACAAAGTCTTCTTCTGATACTTACACCTTATTTTTGAATGGTACCAGAAATGTTGTAGGAGTCAGACCATTATCTGATGGAGGTTTATTGTGTGCTATTGGTGGAAGATCTCATTCCGTTTACTGGAAAGAAGAAACTTCTGCTACCAGAGTTTCTGTTGACGGTAAGACTTGTTTGTTAGAAATTGAAAACGATCCTACTCAATTAAGAACTCCATCTCCTGGTAAGTTGGTCAAATACTTGGTTGAATCTGGTGATCATGTTGTCGCTGGTCAAGCATATGCTGAAGTTGAAGTCATGAAGATGTGTATGCCTTTAATCGCCCAAGAAAATGGTGTGGTCCTGTTGTTAAAACAACCAGGATCCACAGTTAATGCTGGTGATATATTGGCTATTTTGGCCTTGGATGATCCTTCAAAGGTTAAGCACGCTAAACCTTATGAAAATACTTTACCTGACTTGGGTGAACCAACTGTTCAAGGTAACAGACCCGTTCACAAGTTCCAAGCTTGTCATAACATTTTAAAGAATATTTTGAGTGGTTTTGACAACCAAATGATCTTGAATTCTACCATGAAGAGTATTTTGGAAGTCTTGAGAAATAAGGAATTGCCTTACTCTGAATGGCAATTACAAATCTCTGCCTTACACTCTCGGTTGCCTACTAAGTTGAATGATTCTTTGGCTCAATTAATTGAACGTACTGAATCAAGAGGTGCTGAGTTTCCTGCTAGACAAATTTTGAAGTTGATCCAAAAGGCAAGCTCAGAATCTGATGACTTGTTTGGTGCTATTGTTGCTCCTTTGGTCGAGATTGCTACCAAATATCAAAATGGTTTGTTGTCCTATGAATATCAATACATGGCTGATTTGATCAAAGAATACAATGCAGTTGAGTCTTTGTTTAGTGGTGCCAATGTAAGAGAAGAAGATGTGATTTTGAAGCTTAGAGATGAAAATAAGTCTGATTTGGGTAAGGTTGTATCCTTGTCCTTATCTCATTCTCGTGTTTCAGCCAAGAACAACTTGATCTTGGCCATTTTGGAAGAGTATCAAGATAAGATTCAAGCCAACCCAACTATTTCTGGTCCTCTCAGAGAAGAGTTGAAGAAGGTTGTTGAATTGGAAAACAGATCCTCTGCAAAGGTTGCATTGAAGGCCAGAGAAATCTTGATTCAATGTTCTTTACCATCGATCCAAGAAAGATCTGATCAATTGGAACATATTTTGAGATCCTCTGTTTCTGAAACTTCATATGGTGAATTCTACTCTCAACACAGAAACCCTAAGGTTGAGATCATTCAAGAAGTTGTTGATTCTAAGCACACTGTGTTTGATGTTTTGAACCAATTTTTGGTTTCCAATGACGAATGGGTTGCCATTGCAGCAGCAGAAGTTTATGTCAGACGTGCTTACAGAGCCTACACTTTGGGTAAGATCAGCTATGATTTTCAAGATCGTTTGCCAATTGTTGAATGGTCGTTCAAGTTACCAAGCATGCAAACTTTTGAGTTCAATGCTATTCAACAATTAAAGGGAGATTCATCTGCCATGAACAGAGCTGCTTCTGTTTCTGATTTGTCCTTTGTCACAGACAAGAAGGAACTGAAGAACAGATTAGGTGTTTTAGTTCCCTCTAGACATTTAGACGATGCTGATGAAATGCTTACCGTTGCCTTGGAGAAGTTACTGCCAGCTGACGCTATCACCTTCTCCACTCATGGTAAGACTCCGGAATTGTTGAACGTGGTTAATATTGTTGTCACTAGTGTTGATGGTTACATCACTGAGAATGAAATCTTGAACAAGATTCATGATATTTTGACTGAGTTCAAGGAAGATTTGATACAATCTGGTGTTAGAAGAATTACTTTTGTGTTGGCCAATCACGTTGGTACTTACCCCAAGTATTATACTTTCACTGGACCTGAATACGAAGAAAATAAAGTCATTCGTCACATTGAACCAGCCTTGGCTTTCCAATTGGAATTGGGAAGATTGGTCAACTTTGATATCAAGCCTCTTTTCACTGACAATAGAAATATCCATGTCTATGAATGTGTTGGTAAAAATGCTCCATCCGATAAGAGATTCTTTACCAGAGGTATTGTGAGAACAGGAATCATTCGTCCTGACATTTCACTTAGTGAGTACTTGATTTCCGAATCCAACCGTTTGATGTCTGATATTTTAGATGCTTTGGAAATTATTGATACCTCCAACTCTGATTTGAATCATATTTTCATCAATTTCTCCAATGTCTTCAACATTTTACCTCAAGAAGTTGAAGCTGCTTTTGCTTCTTTCTTGGAAAGATTCGGAAGAAGATTGTGGAGATTAAGAGTCACTGGTGCTGAAATTAGAATTGTTTGTACCGATCCTCAATCTGGTGCTTCATTCCCATTACGTGCTATCATTAGTAATGTTTCTGGTTATGTTGTCAAGTCCGAATTGTACATGGAAGTCAAGAACAATAAGGGTGAATGGGTCTTCAAGTCTATTGGCCAACCAGGCTCAATGCATTTGAGACCTATTTCTACTCCTTACCCTGCCAAGGAATCCTTACAACCCAAACGTTACAAGGCTCACAATATGGGGACTACATTTGTCTATGATTTCCCTGAATTGTTCCGTCAAGCCACTATTTCCCAATGGAAAAAGGGTAACAAGAACCCAAAGATTCCAAAGGATGTTTTCACCTCTCTTGAATTGATTCAAGACGATGAAACTGGAGATTTGACTGCTGTCGAAAGGGAGCCTGGCTGGAACAAGATTGGTATGGTCGGTTTCAAGGTTACTGCAAAGACACCCGAATACCCAAGAGGTCGTCAATTTATTATTGTTGCTAATGATATCACCCACAAGATTGGTTCATTTGGTCCTCAAGAAGATAACTACTTTAACAAGTGTACTGAATTAGCTAGGAAGTTAGGTATTCCAAGAATCTATCTTTCTGCTAACTCTGGTGCCAGAATTGGTATTGCCGAAGAATTGGTTCCATTATTCAAGGTTGCCTGGAATGATCCTAATGATCAACAAAAGGGTTTCCAATACTTGTATTTGACCCCGGAAGACAAGAAGGCCATTGATGATTCTGGTAATGGGTCGACCATTGCAACTGAAAGAGTAGTTGAAAATGGTGAAGAAAGATTTGTCATTACTCACATCATCGGTGCTGAAGATGGTTTAGGTGTTGAATGTCTTAAGGGTTCTGGTTTGATTGCTGGTGCAACTTCCAGAGCTTACAAGGATATTTTTACCATCACCTTGGTAACATGTAGATCTGTTGGTATTGGTGCTTACTTGGTCAGATTGGGTCAAAGAGCCATTCAAATTGAGGGCCAGCCTATTATCTTGACTGGTGCTCCTGCTATCAACAAATTGTTGGGTAGAGAAGTTTATTCTTCTAACTTACAATTGGGTGGTACTCAAATTATGTACAGAAATGGTGTTTCCCATTTAACTGCTTCTGATGATTTGGCTGGTGTTGAAAAGATCATGGAATGGATGTCTTATGTTCCTGCTAGTAGGGACATGCCAGTTCCTATTTTGGAATCTGAAGACAAATGGGACAGAGATGTCGAATACATGCCTTCAAAGAGTGAACCATATGATGTTAGATGGATGATTGAAGGTCGTACTTTGGAGAATGGAGATTTCGAATCTGGATTGTTTGATAAGGAATCATTCCAAGAAACATTATCTGGTTGGGCTAAGGGTGTCGTTGTTGGTAGAGCTAGACTTGGTGGTATCCCCATGGGTGTTATTGGTGTTGAAACCAGAGTTGTGGAGAATTTATTCCCTGCTGATCCTGCCAACCCTGATTCAACTGAAGTTATGATTCAAGAAGCTGGTCAAGTTTGGTATCCTAATTCTGCTTTCAAGACTGCTCAAGCCATTAATGATTTCAACAATGGTGAACAATTACCATTGATGATCTTAGCTAACTGGAGAGGGTTCTCTGGTGGTCAAAGAGATATGTACAATGAAGTTCTTAAGTATGGTGCATTCATTGTTGATGCCTTGGTTGATTTCAAACAACCTATTTTCACCTATATTCCTCCTACCGGTGAATTAAGAGGTGGTTCCTGGGTTGTTGTTGATCCTACTATCAATGCCGATATGATGGAAATGTATGCCGACACAGAATCCAGAGGTGGTGTCTTAGAACCAGAAGGTATGGTTGGTATCAAGTTTAGACGTGATAAGTTATTGAGTACCATGTCAAGATTGGATCCCACCTATGCTAATTTGAAGAACCAATTGAATGCCTCTAAGGCAGGATCAGAAGAACATTCTCAAATCTCTGCCAAGTTAGCAGCCCGTGAAAAGGCCTTGATGCCTATTTATGCTCAAATCTCTGTTCAATTTGCTGATTTGCATGACAGAGCTGGTCGTATGGTTGCCAAGGGGGTTATCAAGAAGGAAATCAAATGGCAGGATGCCAGAAGATTCTTTTTCTGGAGATTACGTCGTCGTTTGAATGAAGAGTACGTCTTGAAGTTGATCAGTGGTCAAGTCAAGGACGCTACCAAGTTGGAGAAGGTTGCCAGATTGAAGAGTTGGATGCCAACTATTGATTATGACAATGATGAAGAAGTTAGTAACTGGATTGAACTGAACCACACCAAGTTACAAAAGCGTATTGAAGAATTGAAGGCTGAGTCTTCTAGAAAGAACATCACCAAACTTTTGAAACAAGATGCTTCTGCTGTTGATGCCGTTAAGGATTTTTTGTCTTCACTTTCTGATGAGGAAAGAAGTAAGTTTATAGGCTCTCTTTAGTCACGCGGCAAAACTCACGTGACACAATTGGTTTCTCGCCTGAAAGAGTAATAATTTTGCACCCAAATATTTTTATATACAATTACATATACATATTTTGTTCTTTACATTCTTTACAGTATGTTGTTGATATTTGTAATCTTGATGTCCAACGTATGTCTCGGACTTAACTATTTGGTTTCTCTTAAACCCACCGAAGATTTGGACTCCTTCTTCCTATACGAAGACACTCATTATCGTGAACCCGATCGGATCCGGTCGCTTATTAGCAAGCGGTTCTCTATAGGCAACTTTTCAGCGTTCAGAGGCGAGTTCTCTAAGCTGGTTTTGACTCGGTTGAAGAAGTGTCCGATGGTTGCCGCCATCACACCCGATATTGAAGTCAATGCCTTTGGAAATGTCGTTGTCCAAGATGAAGCGCCCAGACACCTTGCACGGATATCCCAAAGAGATACCTTAGAACCTGGAGATAGTTACTGTTACTACTATGATGATGATCTCCAAGGTCACAAGATCAACGCATATGTTATTGATAGTGGAGTGGAAACAGATCACCAGGAGTTTGACGGTAGAGCCGTATTCGGAATTGATCTTACGCTGGAAGGACCTGGAGATAAGAACGGCCATGGCACTCATGTTGCCGGTACCATTGGATCCAAGACGTACGGAGTTGCAAAAAGGGTTCTGCTTATTGACGTCAAGGCTCTTGATGGTAATGGCATTGGGAGTCTCAGTACAATAATCTCTGGCATTGAATTTGCTGTAAGGCACCGCCAGAATAGTGGTCGACACGGTGTGGCCAATCTTTCTTTGGGGTCCACTAAGAATTCCGTTCTAAACAGTGCGATTAAGGCAGCAGCCGATTCCGGATTGGTGGTGGTAGCAGCTGCTGGAAACTCGAACGAGAACGCGTGCTACACAAGTCCTGCCAGCTCACCGTATGCCATTACCGTGGGGGCCATCGATGATTCCACAGATACCATAGCACCCTTCTCCAATTGGGGAGAATGCGTTGATGTTTTCTCGAGTGGAGTGTATGTATACAGCGTCAATTACCAAGACGCTAAACATCCTCATATCCTTTCCGGTACGTCAATGTCATCTCCTGTAATCGCCGGGATAGTGGCCAATATGCTTAGCGAGGGCATTGAACCGTGGGACATTAAGGATCAGTTGATCAAACGGTCCACCACAGATGTGATACCTAAAAGGTCGTTCCTCTTCCGTCGGAAGACCCCAAATAGAATAGCGTACAGTGGTGAACCAGATTCTGATGAATCAGATGATGAATAGAGTATCTTGTACGTAGGATACTGTACGGTAATACGCTATGATACAGTGTGCGGCTGTACCCATACCCATTCGATTCGCACTATAAAAGGACGCGAATCTTCCCCCTCCCCGATAATATTTATATCTGTTTCCACTATTCTTCTTTACAGTAAAATGGGGTTCACGTCTCATCTGAGGTTCAGTGTGAGACCAGTAGATTCAGATAGCGAAGCCAAACGTATGATGATAGAATGAGAATTGTAGTTATTACGACATACCTGTATACTAACAAAAGTGCCTTTTTGCAACCAGTACTCCAAGGAATTATGAGCAGTAATGTTGTTCCATTAAGTGGCTTCAAAACACCATTTGTCACCTCAAGCAGATGGTCAGATATCAATTACACCGAGGGCCATCTCCATGAAGGTGCCAATGCTACCCGGGCTCCCGGAAATAAGTTTGCTGAGGCCACTGCCTATGAAATGTTTAATAAGGAATATGAACCATATCCTGCTTGGGGACCTCCTAATGAAGTCCCCATATCAAAGAAAGATATAGAGGCAATTTTCATAGATCTTATGGAAATATTTGGGTTCCAAGAAGATAATGTTAAGAACTCCTTTGATTTGATGATGAGATTGCTTGATTCAAGAGCTTCTCGTATGAGTCCAAGTCACGCCTTGAAACTGATCCATGCAGATTATGTATCTGGAATTAACGCCAACTTTAGAAAATGGTATTTTGGTGCCATGCTTGATGTTGATGATGACATTGGGTTTGCTTCTTCTAAATCTTGTAACACAACATTAGAGGAACGAGAAGCTTATTGGGTAAGTAACATGACCAATATTGGTGTCCATGAATGCACTAATCACATAGCGTTGTATATTATGTGTTGGGGAGAAGCTGCAAACATAAGGTTCATGCCTGAATGTCTTTGTTTTATATTCAAATGTTGCTGTGATTCTTATTACTTTATTAAAGAGGAGGGTATATCAAAGCCCTTAAGTAATAGTTTTCTTGATCATACTATCAAACCTTTATATGAATTCTACTATAACCAATGCTATATCACTGTGAATGGGATTCCTCAGAGAAATAACAAAGATCATAAGGATATTATTGGATATGACGATATGAATCAATTGTTCTGGTATAGGAAAGGTTTAGAAAGAATCTGTCTCAGCGAAAATAATACTAAACTTATGAGTTTCCCCCCAAGAGAACGTTACTCAAAGTTGAATAAAGTAGTATGGAAGAAAGCTTTTAGAAAGACTTTTTATGAAAAGAGATCTTGGCTACATGTTATTTCCAATTTTAACAGAATATGGATAATTCATATATCCATGTTTTGGTATTATACAAGTTTCAATGCTCCGTCACTCTATGCTAAAAATTATCGACAAGCGTTTAACAACAAACCCACAACAAAAGCAATTCTCTCCATTATGTCTCTTGGTGGTGCTATTGCTGCTGCTCTTACGTTGTTCTCTGTTATTTGTGAACTCATATTTGTACCTAGGACTTGGCCTGGTGCAAAACCAGTTTTGAAGAGAATTGTTTTCCTCTCAACAATGTTAACTGCAAATTCTCTACCCACTTGGTATTTGCTTTCAGAATCCGATCAGCGGCAAACAGCAACGGAGTTAACCATTGCAACTATCGAATTTGTCTTTTCCATTATTACAGTGGTATATTTAGTTATTACACCCTCTGGACAGCTTTTCAATTCTAATATCGTTGATCACAGAAGAGAAACATTTTCACATAAAAGCTTTGTTTCAAACTTTTACAAGTTAAACGGTAGCAGCAGATTAACATCTGTTGGAATGTGGTGCGGTGTTTTCTTTTCAAAGTTTGTTGAATCCTATTTCTTTTTAACTCTCTCCCTTAGAGATCCAATAAGGGAACTAGGGATGATCAAAATCTCCAAGTGCACAGGTGATTACCTATTCGGAGCTATTTTATGTCAATATCAAGCATGGATATTGCTATTCCTAATCTTAATTACGGATTTGGTGTTATTCTTTCTCGACACATATCTTTGGTACATTGTTTGGAACACAGTTTTCTCCGTTTGCAGATCATTCTATATTGGAGTGTCCATTTGGACACCTTGGAGAAATATCTTCTCTGCTTTACCTAAACGTATATTTTCAAAGATTATTTGTGGGAACCTGAAGAGTATTCGAGCAAAGGTAGCAGTTTCTCAGATATGGAATTCAATTGTCATTGCAATGTACCGTGAACATTTGCTTTCTCTCGAGCACGTTCAAAATTTGATCTACAGAGAAATAAGAATCGAAGGGAGTGAGGACAAAGCATTCTTGAAAGAACCCAACTTCTTTGTTTCTCATGAAGATCAATCCTTGAGTTTTGGTTTGTTTACACAACCTTCTGAAGCACAACGTCGAATCACGTTCTTTGCCCAATCCTTAGCAACACCAATGCCCAGTGTGACTTCCTCTAGTTCAACACCCACCTTTAGTGTATTAATTCCCCATTACGGAGAAAAAATTATACTTGCTTTGAAGGAAATCATAAGAGAAGAAGAGAAATACTCCAACATCACCTTGTTAGAATATTTAAAGCTGTTACACCCCTTAGAGTGGTCCTGCTTCGTGAAAGATACAAAGCTATTAGCGGAAGAATTCGCAACCGATACTTCTTCCACAGGAAACTCAATGGTTGATAATAAACAAGACTTACCTTACTATTGCGTTGGATATAAAGTTGCTACCCCAGAATATATTACTCGAACTAGAATTTGGGCTTCCCTCAGAGCCCAAACTTTGTATCGAACAGTTGCTGGGTTTATGAACTATTCTCGTGCAATAAAGCTTCTTTATGACGTTGAAAATCCACAATACGAAGATGAAGATGACGAATATATACGTCTTGAGAAAGCTGCTGTAATGGCTCTCAGAAAGTTCCGAATCGTTATATCCATGCAAAATATGAAACATTTTGATTCTAATGAAAATGAGAACAAAGAATTCCTCCTAAGAGCATACCCAGAGCTCCAGATTTGTTATTTAGATCACGATATTGATCCTCAGAGTAGTGAATTGGTATATTATAGTTCTTTGATTGACGGAACATGTCTGTTGTCTGAAACAGGAGATCGAGACCCAAAATACAAAATCAGATTGCCAGGAAATCCAATTCTTGGTGACGGTAAGTCTGACAACCAAAATATGGCTATTATCTATACTCGAGGTGAATATCTTCAATTAATTGATGCAAATCAAGATAATTATCTCGAAGAATGTTTGAAAATAAGAAGCGTTTTGAATGAATTTGAAGAAGTTCAACTACCCTTGGATCCAATTGGGCCAGATAACAGTGGGACGGATTATTCTCACCCTGTTGCAATTGTGGGCACCCGAGAATATATATTTTCAGAAAATGTCGGTATCTTAGGTGATGTTGCAGCTGGGAAAGAGCAAACATTTGGAACCCTTTTTGCCAGAACGTTAGCACACGTTGGTGGTAAACTACATTATGGTCATCCCGACTTCTTAAACGTGATCTTCATGACCACAAGGGGTGGATGTTCTAAAGCTCAAAAGGGATTGCATCTTAATGAAGATATCTATGCTGGAATTAATGCAATAACTCGTGGAGGAAGAATCAAACACTGCGAATACATGCAATGCGGCAAGGGAAGAGATTTAGGATTTGGCTCAATTTTAAACTTCTGTACCAAAATAGGAGCGGGTATGGGTGAACAGATGCTATCAAGAGAATACTTCTACTTGAGCAGTGAATTACCCCTTGACCGCTTTCTTTCGTTCTATTATGCACATCCTGGATTTCATATTAACAACTTATTCATCATACTTTCTATTAGTATGCTTTTACTTGTGGGTGTCAATTTATCAGCTTTGGTTTCTGAGTCAGTTATTTGTGAATACGATAGATTCCGCCCAATAACAGATCCCCGAAAACCACCAGGCTGTTACAACCTCATTCCAATTGTTCAATGGCTTGAACGGTCAATTTACTCTATTCTTATTGTATTCTCAATTGCTTTTATTCCACTTGCAGTTCAAGAGTTGACCGAAAGGGGATTTTATAAAGCCATTTCAAGACTTGGGAAACAGTTTGCTTCATTATCACCGACATTTGAAGTGTTTGTATGTCGCATATATGCACAATCTCTTGCTGGAGATATTGCTTCAGGCGGAGCAAAATATATTGCAACAGGACGTGGGTTTGCAACAGTAAGAGTACCATTTTCTATTTTATACTCGAGGTATGCAACCGAAAGTCTTTACTTTGGAGTATTCTGCGGAGTACTAGTACTTTTTTGTTCATTAGTAATGTGGAAATTACCATTGATATACTTCTGGTCAACTGCTGCTGGATTATTGCTTTCACCTTTTATCTTCAACCCCAATCAGTATTCCCCCAATCAGTTTTTGAAAGATTACAAACACTTCCTATTTTGGATCTTTAGTGGGAACTCAAAAGCAAGACTTAACTCATGGTCACAGTTTTCGAAAATGAGACGAGCCAGACAAGTTGGAGTAAAGAGAAGAACTGCCAATATTGATTTAGATATGGCCCACAATGTTAGGGTTTCTAGAATGTTAGCATTCATTACCGATGCAGCACTTCAATCAAGTATTATATTGGGTGTAGGATGTGCTTACCTTTTTGCTAACTCACAGAATGAAATCAGAGGAGCTATGCCTTCAAATTCTGTCTTGAGAATCTTGATAGTCGCATATGGACCCATTGCTGTCAATGTTATCATATTATTGGTTTTCCAGATCATTTCAATGATAACTGGTCCAATAATATCACTCATATTCCCATGGTATCCCTCTATTATTGCGTTCTTTTGCAGAATCTTAGGGTTGTTGTCTCATGTCATTGGGTTTCATCTCCTCTGTTATTTGCAGAACTACGACTTCTCAACCACAATCTTGGGTTTCTTGTTAGCATGTTGTTTGGTGAATCTATTGTTCATCTTCCTTAGAGTTTTGTTGAGTAAAGAATTTAGTCACGATTGCTCGAACAGAGCATGGTGGTCTGGTAAATGGCTTACTTCTGGTCTTGGGTGTCATATTATTACTCAAATACCTCGAGAGTTTCTTTGCAAAGTAATGGAGATGAGTGAGTTCTCGTTGGATTTCACGTTGGGAAATGCCCTATTTTTCATTCAGGTTCCTATCATTTTGATTCCATATGTTGATACCTGGCATTCTCTCATGTTATTTTGGCTCCACCCTAATCAACAACTAAGGCCTCCCATAATAGCCAAAAGGGAAAGACGCAAAGTGTTTTGGAACTTTGTCTTGTGTTCCACTTTATTCTTGTTCATGTTGTTGTTATCAACGAGCATAGTAACCTTTCCTTTGGTATTGGATAAGGCCCTTGATTTTAGCTTTGATGAATACGCACCACCATTTTTGATGGATTTGATGCAACCATATTCGGCGAAGTTAGCAAGGAAAGGTTTGCATGCCAACTTGGTCAAAACCTATTACTAGAAAGTTGGTACAAGTGTGCACCTTGAAGATTCAGAAAAGCTGTACGTGCGAAATGAGCTGAAAGAGTTAAAAATGGATTGTTTCTTTCGCATCTTCCTCAGAAGACTCACAGATCAATAGGAAAATGACCGTTGAGGAGTTGAAAGATGAGATAGACGCAATCAATGCCATATATCCCAATTCAACCCGAGAAATGGCAGAGCAACTTTATGAATGCATTATTCCTGAACATGAGAATTTGGTGATTCAATTAAGTTTCCCTGTTGAATATCCAGACCTGAAACCATGGTGTGTTCAGGCAGTTAGTCATAATCAAGCAAAATACCTGGATGCTTTATACATTGAGAGGAATGTTAATGAAGTTATTGATAGGCTTTTCGTACCTGGAATGGTAGTATTGTACGAACTATTTGAGGAATTGCAAGTATTTTTAGAGAAGTATAATGTTGAGGAGGTGTACCAAAGCAAAGAAACCAGTCCTCAAATACCAGAACTGAACGATAGAACAAGTGAAATAGATGCTCAAGCAAGCAAATTATCTAAACATATGGAGATATTGACCACTGAAGTATATGAACCTACAGCATTGTGGATCAAATCCGAACCCATTCTAGATAGAGGATCTACTTTTATAGCATTTGCCAGAGAGGTAAATTCCGTCGAGGAAGCAAAGGAATATCTTGATGATTTAGTAACAGATAAAAAGATTTCAAGAGCTGCTCATAATATCTCCAGTTGGAGAATCAAGGGGGAGAATGGTGTACAATATCAGGATTGTGATGATGATGGTGAAACGGCTGCTGGAGGTCGTCTTTTACATTTATTAACGGTGCGTATCATTTATTCAAGCTTGCTATGTGAGGTTTATTACAGGCATATCACACTGCTACAAGTCAATTGATCGAACTCCTATCATAACGATGGCTAATCCAATCAACAAGAATATACTAACTTTAGTTTCTAGATGATGAATGCTTGGAACTTGATTGTTGTAGTCAGCAGATGGTTTGGAGGTATTCATATTGGACCTGATAGATTCAAACATATTAACTCTTGTGCTCGTGAAGCAGTATTGAAAGGATCTTTCACCAGTGATTCTGCCCTTAAGATAAATACCGAAGCTACAGGGAAGCTCAAAAAGAAAAAATAACTGAATAAATACTAAGACGAACTTCCAAAAGAGTGCTCTGCATTTGGTGATAATTACGGAGTCCCCTTACTATAAGACTTCTGCTGGGTATTACGTTTAGAACGTTTCTTATCTGCACCCTGATCTACTTGTTTCCGCTTCTTCGAGTTTGCTTCTTTCTGAGGACATGTTTGTTAGTAAAATATTGTTCAACTTGGGGTTAAGAATTGCAGTAACATACCTTTTCATCGTCGAGTGACTCTCGCAAATTATTCAAATCGAGTTTGACCTTGTCTTCTTGTTGACTATTTGTTGTTGATGATGATTGTTGTTGTTCTTTTGGCACAAACGACCGTCTTCCACGTACTAGGGCTTCTGTGCAATCCCCAGAACCAAAGTTCTGAATCGATGCATATCCTATAGAAGTCACCTTGGTATTTTGTCGCAGTGACTTGATGCTCTTGACTATATTTGCGTTGCTCTTGGATGTCCACTCTGAACTGTCCGATGCTTTGGCCGCTTGTTCTCTGGAGATCTCCAAATCGGAGAGCTTGTTTGAGTTTAAAGATGATTTCTGCATGAACTTCATGTTCATTACACGCAGAGACAACCCACTCATTGTATTTTTATTATGCTTTATCTATGATCTATTGGGGATAGCTACTTTGGGTTACCATGATGATAATGTTCATTTAGTATACTAAAGTTCTATTAAGTTGGGGTCGTCCGAGAACCAAAAATATATGATCGAAAATTTTGTGCGATGCTCATCTGCCACCACAGTTAAGGTCTTTGATGTTAATGAGTATAAGCTTGCATTCGATTGTGTTTTATTTTTTGTCTGTCATTGATACAATTAGAGAGTGAAAAATAATCATGAAGTCTGATTTCAAGTTCACCAACTTACTAGGAACAGTTTACAGACAAGGTACACTCATCTTCACAAGCGATGGGCAACGGTTAATCAGTCCCGTTGGGAACAGAGTGAGTTGTTTTGACTTGGTGCAGAACACCTCATTCACATTTTCCTATGAACATCGTCGTAATATTGCATGTGTGGCATTAAACTCTCAGGAAACTTTGATGTTGACTGTGGATACTGATGGCCGAGCAATTTTGGTGAATTTTGTATCAAGACAAGTTCTTCATCACTTTAATTTTGGCGAGTCTGTCACAGAAATCAAGTTCTCTCCTCTGGGAGAATACTTTGCTGTGGCTGCTGGCCGTTTCATACAAGTTTGGAAAGTTCCAGGATTAGAACAAGACAGACAATTCCAACCATTCATACGACACCGCATATACAGTGGTCACTATAATGATGTGATTTCTGTTAACTGGTCAAAAGATTCCCGTTTCTTTATTTCAACAAGTAAGGATATGACCTCTAAAATATGGAGTGTTGATCTGTCCGAAAGAGATGTGCAATTCACAATGGCAGGACACCGTGACTATGTTGTCGGTGCCTTTTTCAATGAATCCCAAGACGTCATTTATACTGTTAGTAAGGATGGTGCTGTATTCCAATGGGAATACACCGTTAAGCCAGGTGATGAAGAGGACGAAGATGAAAGTGATAGTGATAGTGATGAAGAAATGGATAATGGCAACTCAGAAGTGGTAAAACAATCTAAACCCATGAGTTGGCGTATCACCCGTAAAGATTTCCTCCATAGTGATGCAAAGGTTCAAAGTTGTTGTTTCCATAGTGGCAGTCATTTGCTTGTTGTTGGATTGACTAATGGTTCCTTCAGACTTTATGATGTTGGTACAAGTGGTTCTACAGTTGGAGGCAGTGATTTCCAATTGATTCAACAATTGTCGATGGGACAAAACAGCATTGACACTGTCAGCATTAATTCCAGTGGGGAATGGCTTGCATTTGGTCTGAGTGCTTTGGGCCAACTTTTGGTTTATGAATGGATTAGTGAATCATATATTTTGAGACAACAGGGGCATTTTGATACCATGAACAAATGTGTCTACTCACCAGATGGATCTAGAATAGTGACTGCTAGTGATGATGGTAAAATTAAGGTATGGGATGTTGCCAGTGGGTTTTGTCTCTATACTTTCAGTGAACATACATCCAATGTCACTGATCTTGTATTTTCTAAGAAGGGTAATGTGTTATTCAGTTGCTCTCTGGATGGTACAGTTAGAGCATGGGATTTAATTCGGTTCCGTAACTTTAGAGTTCTTACTGCAGCTACAAGAGTACAATTCACTTGTGTGGCTGTCGACCCTAGTGGAGAAATTGTTGTGGCCGGTAGTCAAGATCTGTTTGAAGTTTACGTTTGGTCGGTTCAAACTGGCCAGCTCTTGGATAGTTTACAAGGGCACGAAGGGCCTATTTCATGTGTTAGTTTTGGAGCTGAAAATGGTGTGTTAGCTTCAAGTTCCTGGGATCAAACTGTTAGAGTATGGGATGTTTTCAACCGTGGTGAGCAAGTTAGAAACGAACCCATCAGTGTTGAAAGTGATGTACTTAGCCTTGTTGTTAGACCTGATGGTAAAGAATTGGCTGTGAGTACATTAAATGGACAAATATTGGGTTTTGATATCGATAGTACAAAGGAAAAATGGATGATTGATGTTAAGAGAGATATTCAACAAGGTCGTTATTTGGAGGATCGTTTTGAATCAAAGAATTCTGCAAGAGGAAAGAATTTCACAACCATTAGTTATTCATTTGATGGGTTAAGTTTAATTTGTGGTGGTCGAAATAACACAATTGCCATGTATGACTTGGCCAATCAAGTATTATTACGCAGATTCACAGTTTCTTTGAACATGACTATAAATGGGACACAACAATTGTTGAATTCATCTCGTATAGGGCAAGGTGGAGAAAGCCTTGATTTAATTGACCGTCAAGGTGAAGAAGAAGAATGGATCAACAGACTTGATAATTCATTGCCCGGATCTCATCGTGGAGGCTTGGATGAAAGAAATGTTAGGCCAGAAATTAGAGTCAACAGCATCACATATTCTCCTACCAGTTTATCATTTGCATGTGCCTCTACTGAAGGTTTATTATTGTATGGAGTTGATGATAGTGTTATTTTTGATCCATATGACTTAGACCTTGATGTTACACCCGAACTGATTGGTGAGCTTTTACAAGAGAGAGAGTACTTGCAAGCTATTGTTATGGCCCACCGCTTGAATGAGTGGAATGTTTTGGTACGTGTGTGGGAATCAATATCGTTATCAGATATTGAACTAGTGGCTCAAGGGTTCCCTGTTGTCTATTTAAACCGGATGTTTGGATTTTTGGGCGAGTTATTAGTGAAACGGGAAACCCATCATTTTGAATACGGTTTAGTTTGGATTAAGAGTTTGATCCAATGGCATGGTAAATACATTAACCAGCATAAAGCTATTTTCTCCAGTAATGTCAAGTTACTTCAAAGATGGTTGACTAGAGTTGGGAAGGAGTTGGTTTCTATTAACGAGAAGAATAATTATTTAACTACATTTTTACAAAGTGCCAGTACCAAGGCCAGCGAAAGCAGCACGCAACACCAACAGGAAGAAGAGGAAGATGTCGATGAAGATGACGAAGAAGAAGAAGGTGATGATGATGAAAGTGCGAATGATAGTGAATTTGAAGGATGGTTTGGTGCTGAGGCCAAGACGGGAATAAAACCATTTGCTGAAAGTGAGGATGACAGTGATGATGACGACATCAATATTGATACGTAAGGGGATTGTGAATGAAAGTACGTTGTTATAGAATTATAGTTAAGAGTAGACTATATGGAATAATAGTGTGTTTGCGTAAAAGCTCGGAACAATCTAACCGAAATATTCCGGAATAGTAACGAGTAGATGTACTATTTTGCAATTATGCGCTTAGAAAGGCGAATGTGACACAAAGGTCAGGGAACACTTGCCTATAAGGCTTTGTGACACATTTACCCCACATTTATTACCCATTGCGTGGGGGAAGTGGATATAAATGCGGAAGTAGGTGAGCCGGAAGGTTGGTGTGGTGAGTTAATCCGGTGTAAGGGAACATCAATAAGAGATGGCGGGGTCTAATGTTGGACTAGGGACCCCGCGCTGGTACGAATGAGACTACTTGATTAAGAAATAGAATATTGGTTGCTAACAGCGAGGACTTAAGGGAATGACATCAAAATTTTATTTCTATCACCAAAATAGCTGCTGTACTTTAATTGAACCCTACGATTGTCAAAATTGGAATTTGGGTATGTACTTCAGTCGTTTAAATTGTTCCCGACCGGAAAAAAAGTTTAAATAAACATATGTAAAGACAGTAAAGTATTACTTTTCCGATTCAACTGGAAGTAGCAGACATACATGTATACACACATATACACACATATACACACATATACACACACATATATATATATATGTATGTATGTGGAAATGTGTCGATAATGTAGTGACAGTTATATAATGATAAAGGGACTTTTGCAAAGATGGTATCGGAGAAGTGGATACCGCTTTATAGCCGTTCGTTGAAACCGGCATGCAGAATGGTGGGGTAATGCAGGAGTCTCCTGACGACACCCACGACCCAGCGACGACGAACAGCGAAAACCAGCATTGACCACAATGGTATACAGTACGGCCCTAAAAGTTGGTTTGTTGGTGCGCTAGGGGGAATGGAGCGGACAAAGAAAGATTACATCAGACAAGAGCATAGTGTATAGCTAGGATTGATGACAATTGATATGACTGTGGTCTATATAGCGGATGGGCAATATGCAGTATGGTATTGGGGGAGCTCACCGAAACGATATACTAAACCATTATAGTATAACACAGTAGTCTATAATTGGACTACACTATAGTAACTCATACTGTCCTATACTATCTTATGCTTCACTATATATTACTTTACTTTCTTAGAGTGCAGTAGAGTCTAAAACTCATACTGAATTCTACTCCTATACTGTAATATACTGTAGTAGGATCTCTCCACAATTGTATGAGTATAAATTGTCCAAACGTCCAACCCCCGCGCGAAAATTCGCTATAAATACCCCTCCAATCCCCCCTTGGGTTTTTTCTAAGAGTGAAAGACACCACCAACTGGAGGAGCATACTTTTGTTACTATGACCAGAGACATCAAAAACCACTTACTCTTCGAGGTGGCCACTGAGGTTGCCCACAAAGTGGGAGGGATCTATTCAGTGTTGAAATCCAAAGCTCCTATCACCGTGGCCGAATATAAAGAACGGTATACTTTAATTGGTCCCTTACATGATGAATCTGCTGCCATTGAAGTGGAAGAATTACCTGTGAAAGACCCTAAAATCAAAGCTGCCTTGGATCAAATGAGTGAAAGAGGAATCCGTTGGTTATATGGTAGATGGTTGATTGAAGGAGCCCCAAGAGTTCTTTTGTTTGATATCTGGTCTGCTGCATATAACTTGAATGATTGGAAACTGGATATGTGGAACATTGCCGGAATCCCCACTCCTGATCATGATCAAGAAACTAATGAAGCCATTCTTTTGGGTTATTTGGTGGCTTGGTTTCTTGGAGAATTGACTTATCATGACCAAGAAAGAGCGGTGATTTGTCATTGTCATGAATGGTTGGCTGGTGTTGCCTTACCTTTGTGTCGGAAGCGTAGAATTGATGTCTCCACCGTTTTCACTACTCATGCTACGTTATTGGGAAGATACTTGTGTGCTGGGTCCACCGATTTCTATAATAACTTGTCGAATTTCGATGTTGATGCTGAAGCAGGTAAAAGAGGAATTTATCATCGGTACTGTATTGAAAGATCAGCTACTCATTCTGCTGATGTTTTCACCACTGTTTCTCAAATCACTGCTTATGAATCCGAACATTTGTTAAAGAGAAAACCTGATGGTGTCTTACCCAATGGGTTGAACGTTGTTAAGTTCCAAGCAGTTCATGAATTCCAAAATTTGCATGCTATTAAGAAAGCTAAGATTAATGAATTTGTTAAAGGTCATTTCTATGGTCATTATGACTTTGATTTGGATAATACCTTGTACTTTTTCATTGCAGGTAGATATGAATTCCGTAATAAGGGTTGTGATTTCTTTATTGAATCCTTAGCTCGTTTGAATCATCGTTTGAAGGAAGCTGGTTCTAAAATGACGGTTGTGGCCTTTATCATTATGCCAGGTAAAACTCATTCTTATACTGTGGAAACTTTGAAGGGTCAAGCTGTTGTCAAACAATTAGAAAACACCATTGGTGAAGTTCAAAAGAAGGTTGGTGAACGTTTATTTGAGTATTGTGCTCGTTTCCCCAATACACAACATGCACCAGGTTCAAATGAAGTGCCCTCCATTGATGAATTGATTAAGCCAGCAGACAGAGTCTTGTTGAAGAGAAGAATCTTTGCCTTAAAGAGAGATGGGTTACCTCCAATCGTTACCCATAACATGGCGGATGATAACACCGATCCTATCTTGAACCAAATCCGTCGTGTTAGATTGTTCAACACCCCAGAAGATAGAGTTAAAATTATTTTCCATCCTGAATTCTTGAATGCTAACAATCCAATCTTATCCCTTGATTATGACGAATTTGTTAGAGGTTGTCATTTGGGTGTTTTTCCTTCATATTATGAACCATGGGGTTACACACCTGCTGAATGTACTGTTATGGGTGTTCCATCTATTACTACCAATTTATCAGGATTTGGATGTTATATGGAAGATTTGATTGAAAACACCAATGATTATGGTATTTACATCGTTGATAGAAGAATGAAGGCTGTTGATGAATCTATCAATCAATTGTGTGACTTTATGTTTGATTTTGCTCAAAAAACCAGAAGACAACGTATCAATCAACGTAACAGAACAGAACGTCTTTCTGATTTGTTGGATTGGAAACGTATGGGATTGGAATACATTAAGGCTCGTCAATTGGCTTTGAAGAGATCATATCCAGATAAATTTAAGAATGGATCCAATCCATTCAATAATCTGGAAGCTCTTAAATTGACTAGACCTTTATCAGTTCCTGGATCTCCTCGTAACAAAGGGTTGATGACTCCTGGTGATTTGGGTTCATTACAAGAAGCTCAAGAGAGTTTGAACACTGAAGATTACATTGGATTCAGGTTAGGTCTTGGTCAAAATGGTGATAATGAGGATGAAGATGGAGAAGACTCAGGGTATCCCTTGACATTAAGAGGCAATAGCATTCCTCCACCTGAAGAATAATAACTTTGTTAAAAAATGACTTAGAAAAAGAAAACAAGATTTTCATTTTATAATTTCTGTTGGTTCAATTCACTTAGACGAGCTTGATTACTCGTTTTTACATACATAATGCTATTATTATCATATTAAATTACTATTGTAGGAAATAGGAGAAATTGCCAAATATAGTGAATATAGTTGCATTATTACATAAGCAACAGACAATACCCATTTGGGCTAAACTGAATGTTGAAATCACAACGAAAAAAAAAACTTTCAGAAATTAAAGATATAAGCCAAAGAACTATATATCAATAATACGACTAGTGATAATGGTATGTTAAAAATGTGACGACTCATAATTACTGGCCACTGAATAATTACTAACCAAAAGCAGTTGCCTTTATATTTGTTGATGTCTGCGAAGACCAAGCAGATTTTGATTGAGTTGAAAAATGGAGAGACCTTGAATGGAGATTTGGTCAACTGTGATTCGTGGATGAACATGACATTAAGCAATGTCGTACAAACCAGTTCTCTGGGCAACAAGTTCCTTCAGATCCCGGAGATTTACGTTAGAGGGAACCATATCAAGTTTATGAGAATTCCAGATGAGATCATGGATTATGCTAAGGAACAACAGCAACTCAACCAAGAGCAACGGAACCGGAACTTTAATAAGAGAAGACCCAACTTTAGAGATACTCGAGAAAGAAGACAAAGCCAGGGCAGAGGTGGATACAATAGCAATAACAATAACAATAGCAACAATAACAGCAGTCATAGTAATAATAATGGTGGTGGTAATAATAGTGGACGTAGGAACCAATCAGGGAACTTCCATCGTGGAGTACCACAATCACAATAGGTTTATGTATTATATATTAATATATTATTGGGGTATAATAGAATGTAGTAGTATGGGTAGAGTTGTAAGGTACTCTAGTGTATGATACGTGCATTGACAGGGTAGTATATACAATTTATAATACAATTCGCCGGTGTAAATTTCAGTACAGCGACGTATATTTGAGCATTCGCATAATGTATATTCACCGTATTTTGTTAATGGGTGCAAAAGGTATCAAAGCACTTCTTCTATCACACACTTCTTACTATCACACACTATCGTCTTACTATCACACACTAACGTCTTAATATCTTCTACTCATCTCAATCAACTTTAACATCAATGGAATATGTTCCGATGGATGCTAAAAGTTCTAGTGGTTCTAATTCTAATCTCTTATTTGCCGATTTAGATCTGCCGCCGATCATCAAAAGAGGTCTATTCAGAGGCATGAGCAATACCAGATCGTCCATGTGCTGGAAATGCAAACAAAAGAAGAACGAGTTAATCCCTGATCATTCATGTCAAATGTGTCAAACCATATGTTATGTCAGTTCACCTCTAAGAAACGAACAACAAGACCATACTCATGATGATCTGGACGACCCTGAAAAGGAGTATAGAGATAAGGTTGACAACATTGCTAAAACTCTTCTGAGGCTAATGAAAGATCTACTTCCACATGTTAGTGATAAACCAAATCACAAGCTAATCGAAAGTACATAACTAGTTCCATAATTACTTCCATAATTAGCTCTATAATTAACCCCAGCTCTTTAAATCTTCACGATATGATATTTCATTGATTAACCCATTCAAATTCCGATGTGAATCATCTTCATCATCATTATCACCAGGTTTAACGCCAAACTTCTGAGATAACCGTTCGTTCCAGCCTTCTTTGAAACTATCGGGACTCTCAAAGATATCATTGATACATTGTTCTGGAGGATAATTCAATAGTGTATGAAGCTCAGGGTCCCAAGTACTTTCCAATACCCTCTTATATAAAGTACTAACCAATGTATCCATTATCAACGGTTGTTCAATACTATTGTTAGCAGCAGAAACAGGAGCAGCAGTGGTAGTTTTTGTTGTATTCTTTTGAACTGAGCCATCACTATGGGTGGTTCCATTGCCTCCAGATTGACTACTATGGGTATCGCCTCCTCCAGTAAGAACTTCATTGAAGCCGGAGAATACATTCTTCCGCTCAAATACCGGAACGTTAAACGTTGGAGACGCCAGAGCCTTCTTCGCTCCTAAGGAACTACTGGTTGTAGTAGTTGTTGTTGTTGCCGTTGTGGGTGAACCAGTCAGATTGGACAAATCCTCAACCTGAAGATTGGTATGAAACTCAACATCCGGAGGGATCTCCTTCAACAGAACAGTCACACTAAGAATGGAATTAACCTTGGAATCTCGTAGCAAGTATTTGGACGTCTTGGGTTCTCGGAAGTTAAGATACTCCGAAAGATTAATGTCTACTTTCCCCAATGTGTCATAATGAAGATGATTATATGATTGTGACGACCGCAGCATCAGCAGCTCCGATTGCTTGCTGTTGGGTACCGGAGATGTCCGAGTGTACACTGTGAAATAGGCATGTTTGCTACCAATAAGATTCTCTGACTTCTTAACGGGGAACTTCAAGTTACATGTCACTTTACAGTTGAAAGCACATTTGAAGTTATGGATCTTCCGGAGTCCCGTAGAAACAGATACTCCGGAAGGTGATGATGATGAACTAATTGTAGCAGATGGACCGTTGCCATTAGACAGATCTGAATTCACAGTCGTTTTGTTCCGGGTTAAGGAGAATCCTCGTTTATCACCTATTCTTAATTCTAAACCGCACTTACCACTTAATTGGGGGATATTAGATAATTGGTTAATGGTCATTTCAAGCCTGAATCGGGCCTTATCTGAATGGAGCATGGCGGATAAAAGGAAGTAGTAAACAGTATGTAAATATATGTTTCCCAAGAGTCATAAAGCAATAATGCTTTAATTGAGCCCAACGGTCCAGACCTGTTCCTTAAATAATTTCGACTCCATGCTCACTGGACACGTATTACTTTAATAGGCAAATGTAGACGCAGTACCTGCTTCACTTAAGAATGAAGCCCCTGTATTGATATTCATCGCGACATTTTGGCGAGATCCCGCAATCCTACAATAAACGCGTACTGCACCGCTCAACGTCCCACGACATTTGTGTCCAGTGTCGCGCTGCCCCATTCTGTTTATTGTTTCAGTTCAAAAAGCCTTACACCCCATATCATCAATTACATTACTATTCTTCCTTAACGGAGTTCTTTCTAGCACGACACTTTGAAGCGGAGCCGGAAATCATCCAGTGGGGTTGAAACCGGAGTAGAACCTGACCAAAAGGCTTTAAGCCAATCAGCAATAATAACTCCATCCATCATCTTGTGATAGTACACAAATAATTATTGTTATGGTTGGGCAATTTGACCCAGGAATGGAGAAGGGGTTCCAAAGACTTTCATTGGATATTCCTGTGTCTGTTGATCAATTCCACAAGGTTTACGCGTGTATTGAACAGGTTTTTGGATCTGTTGATCCTACAGATATACTACACAATGATCACAGCAGGAATGATAGTAGTCATAATCTATATGTACCGATTATTGGATCAAATATCATGTTTCCCAGAGAAGCATGGTACAGACCTGAAGTTGGCGTGAAGAATTCCAAGGTTAAAGTGACCCTTTTATCCGATATCATTCGAGTGGTTGAATCTGAATTAGAAGATGGTGCCACTCAAAGTGCAGAGAATGAAGTGTCGTTAGCGTATTTTGAAAAATTATTGGTGGCATTTAAAGTTTACGATATTCCTGAAAGAAGTTCGTTTGACAGTAATACCAATAACAGTAATAGTTTTACTGATAATAGTCTTGATAATATAAGCTCCAAATCGTCCACAGGTGGAAGTACTTGGAGAAGTCAAAGCAATGGCGGACAAACCAATAGTGTTTATTCCTTTAATGAACGAGATGAAGATAAACTCAATGGAACCATTCATTATGTTCTGCTTCCAGAGAATCATCAATATGGAAGACGAAGTTCAGTATTCTCAAAGGAAATATTGAACGGAAAACGAAGGTTACTGTCGTTCCTACTGAATAACAGCAGTAATAATAGCAGTAATGCTGCTCATAACAATGGTGTATCCACTGGTCCTGAACCAATGGAAGAAGAGGAAGACACTAAACGACAACAGGCTTTGTCTAATTTACTTTCGAAAACCAAACTTTATTCCAAAGCTAAGAAGAATCGTGATTCCGCTGGGTCTCAATTGTCTGGTGGTGGAGGTGGGCAAAGATCCAATCGAAATAGCTTTTCAAGTTCTACGCTCCACAAGGTCCAAAGTTCTCAAACGTCACTGATATTAGTTGAATCTGTTTCCTTAGAACGGAGTAGTTCTAACTTCAATAGTGCCATCCCCATCATGACTCCAGCACAGAAACTTGAGGTTCAAAAGTGTAAGAGTGAATATTTGGTAGAGACCAAAAAATTGGTCCAACTTGCAGGATCAATGGCCAGTTCATTGGATAGAGCCAACAAATATTCTCGGTTGATTCGATTCATTATGAAGTTTGTATTCAAGTTCATAATGTATGACATTCATCAAATGCTTTTAGATTATTGCTATGTGAAGGAAGCTGATGTGGTGAAAAGAATGTGCTAAACAAATGTATTATTAATCAGTTGGTCAACTGTATCTGTGTTTTATATGTATTCTGGTTACAATTAATTATAATAATAATATACTAATAATAATATTAATATACTGCTGCTAACAGTTGGCTAACATTTGCAGTATAACACTTAATAACTGTTCATTCTCGCACGCCGCAGCTACTCTTTCCTTATCATTCAACTGCTTATTCACTTGGTTCTCTGATTGGTGGGTTCCTTCCTTAATGAGAATTCTTATTCTGAATCTCGGAGGTAAACACCTCTCAAGCCGTACTCTGATTCCTAACCCAATTAATGTTGCAAGCGAACAGTGTGTGATAGTGGGAGTGATCTTAATCAAGACCTCACTTAAATCTTTGGTCTTGTCTGCTCCTTGAGTAACAGTGATATCTGATAAATTCACTACTGCCAATTGAGCTAATGTTAATGGATGTTCAGGGTCATTAATAGTGGCTATCAAATCAAAGATCTCCTGAGAATCAATATCTTCGTCCTCATCATCATCGTCATCGTATTTATATTCTAATTTATTACCAAGCTCTCCATCATTATCAATATCATCATCTTTACTGGCTTCATCTGCTTCTGAATCGGAATCTAGTGAAAGTCCAAGTATCGTCTCTACCAACTTATCATGAGGACTGGCACTGTTCTTAGTAGACGTGTCTTGTCTTTTAGGTAACTCAGACACATCTAGCACCGTGGGGTTGGCATTAATAGGATCAGACATTGGGTTTGAGGGAAGAGAAGGTGGTAGCATTGGTTACTAATGAGTGCTTATCAACTTTTAGAGACAAAGTAATCACATCACGTGACTGAAAATGTACACGTTCTTTTAATGTGACACCAGGTTCAACAATAGTGGATGAAATGAAAGCGCAGAAGAGTGATGAACGTGGAGGTTAGAATACATGAAGTGAATGAGGACCCAAATCCATGAGAGATAGCATATGAGGCAGTAAGCGAGAAGATAAATGAATCAGAAAAACATGAGGTAATGTGAGTAAGTTATCGTGAGACTGGATGCGAAAAAGAGAAAATTGTAACAGCGAGAAAACTCTTGACTGAGGTGTGAGGAAAGGGCATGGAGGAACTTCATGCGAAAGTGTCCCTGTAGAGCTTCATATAAAGCGGCATTAGAATGAGAAAAGCATTGAGTAGAGTATTAATATTCTTATTAGATTACGATTAGAAATAACAAGAGAGGACCTATGGGATGAATGTGACGAGATTATATATGTACTGAGATTGTATATTGAGACTGTGATTTAAAGAATATGAAGAAATCTTGGGAAAACTGGAAAAAGTAACGTCTATGATTATGAATCATTACGCTTTGAAATACTAAAAAAAGTATACAAATGAAATGTTTATATACTAGTATTTATGGATATTATGAATTAGAGGAAGTGTGGGAAACAGCAACTAATATCGTGCATTGTAAAACTGTAGGGTTTTAGAAGAATTAATAGCTGAAACATTAATCTATGAAGAAGGCACTGAAGAAGAACCATACAGAAAACAAATGAGAGCTACTTCTTATATTTCATATATAATTAAAATTAAAACAACTGCATTAGATATAAATTTTATATAGAATTAGAAAATTAAGAAAAATGTTTAGAATGTATACAAAAGACGGAAGAAGATATACATGTATATAATACTGATAATGAAAGAACAATAAAATTAGGAAACGCTCAAGAATCAGTAGATTTTAGCGAATTTTATATTGAGTGATTATAAATATAATTAATAGTTTTTTTATGTAGCGATTGTAACAAATCACTTAAAGTATTTCCAAATTTAAAGTATACTTATTATATTGTTATATCTTTATATAGAGATTTTGCCCCTAGTTTAAATTACGAGAATAGTGATGATTTGAGAAGATTAGGATTGAGCACACAAGGTAGATTTGAACCAGGAATAGAAGTATATTTTTTAATATATAGTGATCCAGATATTAACGTGAATTCAGTTATTACGCCAATAGCTAATTCATTAAATTTTTGAATCGATATCTTTTACAATCATAATCAAGCTCAAATTCATCTAAATTTAAATGACTCTTTTAGCAGTATCGTAATAAACTTCTTTATCTACATCTACGTATTGCAAAATAGGCTTATCTTTACACACATTTATAATAGGTTTTAGAAGAGCTAAAGGACAAGATCTTTAATAGCTAATAAAATATGGTTTTCAATAAATTCTTCTTCTAATATGCATTATATTAGAATAGACAATAACATATCTATACTGCTTTATTATAGAACTATATTTTTCTATATATTTTATGTTATATGGAACTGGCATAAACTTTAAGAAAGGGATATATTTTTTAGCATAGTTTAATGAAACATCAGGATTTACAGTCACAAATCTAGATAAACTAAGATCAATATTGACATTATTTTCAAATGAATTAATAGCAGACTCAACGTTTTCAACTATATCATCATATTTATTCAATTTAGTGAACCTAGGATTGTTTACATATTCTTTCAGTATATATCCTTCAATATCCTTTATACCCCTTAAAGATAATATATCATGTCTTTTAGCATCAAATAAAATAAGTCCGTTCAAACGAGTCAACGAACTATAGCAAACTGATTCTAATTCAAGAAAATCGAATTTTATTTCAGAATCTCTATCTACATAAGTAGAGGTAACACTACATCCTTTTAATGGTCCTAAAATCAAACAGCGCACGGCATCCAATATCAATACAGTGTCTAAGAGTTATTTCCAATTTTTTAAAAATATTATCTTTGAATAACTCTTTAAATTTGATTAAGTTGCCGTAGTAAGCATACTTATGTAGTAGATAAATATTATTTGGAGTCATAAGCTGATGAATATCATCATATCACATTACATGTTATACTGTTCTTTCTTCAGTACTAAATGTATAGATCTCTTTTATTTATTTTTGGGAGTAGAAGGAGGTTATAGTGACGAATATCTAATTTCTTATGAAGATAATGATAAATTAACCGTAAGATTTCATCTAAGAGACAAAGAAAGAGAAATTAAATCTAAATAAATTGGTAAAGAAGAGTTTTTATATTTATAAATACTTTCTGCAATAAGAATATCGATGTTTTAATTTGTGCCATCGTTACATAATTTAGTACACGGATTTCCAGCTGGATTTCTCTCAGGTTTTTTTCATTTCCTTCAATTCTTTAACTAAATCTATTTTGCCATACATTCTAAGGTCATCAAAGTTTGCTATTAAATCATTTGAAACTGATCGTTTCAAGGTTTCCAGCTTTTTGATAACATCGTTTTTAATCATCTTAGTGTATTTAAAAGTCACTAACGTACGTGTTTCCAATACATTTTTGCTTATGTATAAACCTTCAAAGCGAGGAAATGTAACTATTTCTTTATCTTTTTTCTTCCTATACCTATATGTGATAAAATCCATAATAATCTGGCATTATAGGTCTATATCACCAAAGTCGTGCACCTACCACCTCCAATATATGTATACAAAACGAGCCCCAAGTTTTAGCAGTTAACGATGCTGATATTCCCACAAAACCATGGATAACTACGATTCCCTACTACTACAGCTTGCGGCGCCCTTGGTGTTTGTGGATTTAGAGACTCCGGTGCCGATATCGGAGAAGATCAAACATAATCTCCATCGAAGCATTGCCATCAACAACATAGACACCAGAGTATGGGATAATTGCATTATACTGAATCGTCTAAATCGGGCCAAGTATCGGTTCCAGTACCGAAAATATGAAGCAATAGACTCTAAAGGCAGTTCAAAATTATCTCCGTTCCACCCTGAATCAGATATCTACCCCAATGGGATCATAAGCAGTAAGTGGTTTGAGAAATACATGAAGGATATACCCTTTGCGGTGATAACGGTGTATCAATTGAGTGAGGATCCAGCGCATGATATCAGAATCATTAATGAAATCAACAATAATGGTGGATGCGGTGACTCATTCACTCAGATCTCGGTTCTAGCGTGTAGTCAGCTGAAAGATATGGATAGAATAGACAAGATTAAGCTGGTGATTCATACCAAAATGGTATATTTGATTGACGATTCACAACAATTACCGAAGGATACGGATGTGTTGGTATCTTCATTAATCAACAGTTTAAAACAGTCGAGTCATTCATTTTACAGTGGCTTGGAAACAAGAATCAGAAACCGGAACTCCAAGTTCTATGCCTATCCGAGTGAAATTGACCATATTGACACCAAGATCACCATTTCACCGAAGATCCTTGAGACTCGGAATCTTATCAAACAAGCAATGGTAAGTCAGTTCTCTAATATGCAACATCTTGAACCGTCTATCAAACTACTTGAAGCTGCGTATCAAGCGCAGATAGCTTTGCTTAAACAGCATATCGATGTATTTGAAGACGCTCCTTCTACTCATGACCAGCAATTATATTTCCAACTTCGAACGGCCATTGACATCACTGCTTTCCACATAGTCAGAGCCCATCTTTCATTAGAAGACCCTATAAACGCATTGAAGAAACACCAAGCACACATTATGAATGTTCAGAACGTTGTGAAGACTAAGACTAACGAAAGCAATTGGCAATCTATTCAATATGAATGGCTAGCAGATTTGCTTTCACTTGTACCTGATTCTATAATACAAGCCATTCAACAATATCATCCTTCTTCAAAGAAGGCCGTGGCCAATCAAAAAATGGTCCACTTCTTTGGTGGATTCCAGTTGAAAGATAAGAACATGACCATTATAACCGAATCGGCATTCATCTATTCCAAGTCATATGATTGTTTAAAGAGTCTTACAACCTTACCTGAACCCGAACTGATCTACATGTCTTGCAAAGATTCATCTCTAGGGTTAACCAAAAAGAGAGCGACTCTATTAGAGAATGCATTATCGGCGTTATCTACAAATTCCTTAGAACTGAATGAAGAAGAAGACTATAAACATTTTATTGCATATTTGAACTGGCAAGTTGCCCAAGAGTATTTGCAAATGTCCGACGATACTACTGTATTGGTTAAGGCTTCGAACTTGTTAAAGACAGCTTTAAGCCATTTCCAAGATAATCATTGGAGTCTTGTTAAGGAAAAGATTATTGAAAAGTTGATTGAAATAGGCATAAAACTTGATAGCAACCCTGAACAAGTTGTTCTTTTTACTTTAAAGCTTTTACGTATGAAAAACCTTTTTTCAATCACCAAACACTTTGAATTTCAATTCCCCTCAGAATTCACTATGGATATAAATGTGCCTTATTTCGACACAACTGTCTTACTAGCTCCTCAATTTGGAGCAAAAGACATTAGAATTAATGATGTGTGCTTTACCCAAATAGAATTAAAGCCCACCATTCATAGGAACACTTTTCACCGACTTTTCCCTGGTTCAGAATACTCTTTGGTTATTAATCAACTTGATGTTGAATACACTCGAGTAGATGGGAGAAGAACTGGAACCAAATCGTTTCCTTCAATTACGTTGAACCATGATCCAACACGTGAACTGTTAAAGGTGACCCAAGTTGATGATTCAAATGAATTAAACCTTTCATTTGACGGAATGGAGAACAAAGTGATTTTATACTCACAAGAAGCTGATTGTGTGGGTCATCATAAGATTCAAACATTAAGATTCCAAAGTACTTTGGTTATTAAGAATGAGAAATTCGTCTTAATATTGCATTCATCATGGGAGGATAATTTGGATCAAATAAACCGGACCAACCAGCTTGTATCGACCAATTTCTATCAGCTGAAAGCTCTTCATCCGACAAAGCTAAGACTTAATGGAAGAATGCCTCACACTATTAAAATATCACCATTGGTTCCTGATGTGACAATTGATTGGAACAACCAAGAATTGTCCAATATCACCATTGGAGAAAAGGTTGAAATCCCCTTGGCTATTGAATATAAAAAGCCACACAAACATGCATATAACAGTATCAAACTTCAAGCTAATGTTGGAGTTCTGGATTCCAATAGTCGATTATCCACCAGATCTTACTGGGAAGGGTTTAAAGATGACGAATCGATTCCATTAGATGTTGGACACACTAATGTTCGATTATTTATTTCATTAATTGGGCCTTCAGAAGTTACCGACAACTCTTCTTCCGTGGAGGAAGTTACCATTAATTTGAAAGTACTAATTGTGGATGAGGAGGAAACTGATGAAGCTGATGTAGCTGATGAATTAATTAATGATAGTGGATATGATTTGAGTGTTGTTGTTGAGCCTATTTCAATGGTATTTGACATTAAAACATATGGTTTACCCATAATTTCCAGTCCGTTCAATGCCAAGTTCGTCATTCTACCAAGATACAGATCAGAGCCTGGGTTTAACGATATGCCTGTTCCTTTCATACTTGATGACCATGCACATGATTCTAAGAGTAGTTATTCAATGCCAGCAGTGACCAGGGTTTGGCTTGGAAGTCTTTCGCTTTTGGAACCAAAGCTTAAGAATATCAAAATTGATGACGTCAAGTTCTCCATGACTACCTCTAACCAAGACATGATGATTTCAAAACAAGAACAGAACAACAACAATATGTCAATGTTTACAGAACTCTTCTCCACAAAGAGTAAGATGGGCTTTTCACATCGGAATGTTATGATACTGACCAATGCTACATTGAAGTATCATAGACTGCAAACACCTAACATTACCAATGAATATACCACCCGAAATTGGGATATCTTACTCCCATTATCTGACCCCAGAGTTTTGGTTACCTTGACTAACGTTAACAAGACTTTGAATACTGTTACTTTGAAATATATCATCGAAAACCCATCTCCACGGGTGTTCACATTCAATACCGAGTTGCAATTGGACGAATTGTCTTCTTCATCATGGACACTAGACGAAGAACTGCTGCTGCTGCCTCCATTGAAGCAATTTGAAATGCCAGTGATGCCTTTCAATAGACATGTTGTTGAGTTCAAAGCCAGATATAATGATTTCAAACATAATCTAACACCCCTACCTTTGTTTAAAGTGTACGATGTTCACTATCATGTTTGGTTACCTACACTTTCGGTTGACTCCAATCTATTCATCTACAACAAGAGACTACATTGGCAGATTAATGGCCACAGTTAAAGTATGGCATTGACAGTACTTACTACTTAGTTGACACCCAACAATTCAACATCAAAGACCAAATTGGCTTGAGGTGGGATCACACCAGGGTAACCTCTTTCACCATAACCATCTTGGTAACCAATGTTCAATCTAGCAGTAGATCCAACAGACAATTGAGGAATACCCCAATCCCATCCCTTGATCACCTGACCAACACCAATGGTACATTGGAATGGCTTACCTCTATCACGGGAAGAGTCAAACTTCTTACCGTTTTCCAAAGTACCAACATAATGGATGGTAACCAAATCACCTGGCTTGGGGAAGGTTTTTCCGTCACCTTCTTGAAGAATTTCAACCTTAGTGTGTTGAGCAGCGGACATTGCGGAGTAGAATCTTAATCTGGGAGTAGTTCTGAAGACAGGGGTTCTGATAAAACAGGTTCTGAGCATCAATTGAGTTAAAAGAAGAAGAAAGGATTTAACTTAATATCGCCAATGTCCAAATTTGATCATCATCATTTGGCGGAGTCGGAAGTGGAATATGGCCTCGGAAAACGGTGAAATTACCCTCGGATATCAGTTCGGGATGCATTCCAAGAGTATAGTGATAACTAGAGAGTATTACTAAATGTGATCGTCGACAATGTAATATTAACAGCGTAACATTAGGAGTACGAAACTAACAGAGTAGCATCAACAATGCAACTTTAACGGTGTGACTTCATTATCTTTGTCCTGGCAAGTATTGTATTCCGAACCGCGCTACCGTATCCGTGCCTCTTTAAGAGATAAAGACATTAGACCAACTGTTTATCGCCAATACACCCAACCATTGCCGAAAAATGGCACCTTCATCGTTAGTTAAGGTGGAAATAGATCGAGATGACACCGGAGGAACATTTACCAATTATGATATTTTAAAGGGAACTGTCAGACTCACTGTAACCGGGGCCTTATCACTTAACTATATCCAAGTGAAGTTAGAAGGGGTATCTACGTCAGTATTGATGATCCCCAAGTTTAAGAAGGGTAGAAGAGAAAAGGATAAGCCCATTCAAGATCAACATCGGGTTTTGTACGATACTGTTATGGTGTTTCCGCCTAAGAATATTCGAGACGTTTCCAATGCCAAAGAGTTCACTTTAACTCCTGGTCAATATGAATATCCGTTTGAATTCAAGATGCCCTTGGAAAGCTCATGTGTTAAGATGGTAGGTATCACCAATAAGGTTGCTTTCAACTCCAAGAGTATTATTTTCAACAACAATATGTCAGATAATTTTAATGGCCCTGTTAAATTGGGGATGTCACTCATGAATAATCAAATTATAGAGTCACCTAATAATGTTACGAGTCATAATCAACAGTATCATATTGTGACTCAATTGCCTCCGTCTCTTAGTGGGATGGATGAGATGGCCAGTGTTAAGTACTTTGTTAAGGTTACTTGTAAACGGTCACTGCTCTTCTCCATTAACTTACGTGCATTAGATCCCTTCATTTTTCTTCCTTTGGATATGGATAGTCACAACCGACCAATTATTCCTGGGAGAAGCTACGAGGAGTATAGAGAAGTTTTTGTACGGAAGCTGACGGTGTTCAGAGAAAGATTACCGGAGATAGTTGGGGTTAGAATGCAATCTAAGTCTTCCAAGAGTAAGGCACAACAGCAACAGCAACAACAACATTTTACAGCTGCAAGGAAACCTTCATTTATTCAAAGGCTATTGGGAGCTTATCAATATCCATTTGACGCAACATCTTCATCGTCTTCATCGTCTTCATTATCAATGTCATCTTCTTCTCCTCATCATCATCAACAACATGTTGGAGTTGAAGCCAAAGACGTTCCCTTTTCCTTTGAGGCTCGGTTCAGACAACCAGCCTTCTTGATCCCTAACAAGCCTCCTTCGTTCCGTCTTTATATCTTATCTCCTTATCATCCAGCGAGATACTCCTTAGGGCAATATGGCAAGCCAGAAGAGAGCAATGGGTTGGGAGTCATTTACTTGCAATCGCTTGTGGTTACAATTGTTTCCGAAACTATTGCGTCTGCGGTGGAAAACAGTAATGGCGAACCAGAACTCCACAAGTGCTATAAAGAAGAGATCATTCCTGTTTGTCACAATTCATATATGAATATGAAGTTTGACTTGATGAATGCCAAAGCTCCAAGAAACACGGCTACTACTACGACCACCAACACAAGCACAACCACCAACAATCAAGATGTTAAATATGAACTTGAGATTCCTAGAAAGTTGTTTGCTAATGCCGTTCTACCTGATTTCATGGCTCCTTCGTTCAAAACTTGCAATATCACTAGAAGATACCATTTACGACTTTCTGCTGGCTTCTCTGCAGATAAAATAGATCACCACAAAGACAACAACAGTAATAAGATCAAATTAATTGACCTTGAATACCAGAATATAAAGATTTTAAGTGGACTCTTCTTATCAGCATTGAACTCCAAAAAGAACAACTCAAGAACAAATAGTCAGCTTTCCATTGGCCAGCAAAATGGGAGTCAAACTGGTGGAAGTCAAACTGGCGGAAGTCAATCACCTCCACCTCCAGATTTACCTACAAGACCCTCACCTCAACTGTCAAACAAATCTGACACTGGCGAGCTTCCAACCTATAGTGATGTCATGAAAGAACAATCTCTTCAGAATGAGCTGGAACACATGGAAGCTCGTAGAAGATACCAACAACATGAGCAATATTATAACAATCTTGAGTAATGCTACAGCTACTGCTTATAGCCTTTACAACGTCATTGGTTCACAAGGGACGGTACCCCAGAACAGAACCCTTAGGCTTTGTGTAACCCTCGGACCGATCGGTCGTGCGCGGTTCCAATCACCAACCAACCCCCGTGAAAAATTTGTACCTTGAGATTTAAAGTTGCCGTTGAGTTTATTGCTACACTTCTTTAAACCACTTTACAAATAAGATGAGTTTGGACCATTCATCGGGGTTCTTTGCTCGGAACAAAACGGCCATTGCGCTTACGGCCTTGGCCGGTGTTTCTGCCGCCGGAGCTTACTATTACTACACTCAAGTTCAAGGTGACAGTGATTCAACCAGTGAAGGTAGTTCTAAACTGAAAAAGAAGAAGAAGAAGTCAAAGTCAACAAAGGGGGGGGATTCTGAAGAATCTTCTTCTAATGGGGGAGCAAAGAAATCTTCCAATGGTCCAGTTACCAAATTGTATCCTGTTGATTCTAAAGGGTTACCAGCTTTAACTTCTGAAATCATTGAAGGATTATCGGAATCTGACAAAAAGGATTGGGCTGCAGCATTGAAAGAGGATGGTAATGGGTTTTTCAAGGAAAAGAAGTACACAGAGGCTATTGCCTTTTACACTGGTGCTTTGGAATTGAAAATTGATCCTGTTTTCTATTCAAATAGATCTGCTTGTTATTCTGCTTTAAGTGATCATGAAAATGTCATTAAGGATACTACTGAAGCTATAAAACTTAAGCCTGATTACACCAAATGCCTTTTACGTCGTGCTACTTCCTATGAAATATTGGAAAACTATCCTGAAGCTATGTTTGATTTAACCAAATTGACTGTTTATGGTGGATTTTCAAACAAGTCAGTGGAACAAGTATTGGAAAGAGTATTAAAAAAGCATTCTATGAAGATTGTTGAAGAAAATATGAAGAATGTCACTTTGGAATTACCATCAGCTTCCACCATGAGCTCATTCTTTAGTGCCTTTGTTTCTGAATATACCCCTGAAGGAATCAATGAAGAATCTGAAGGTGCTGATAAGTTTTTGTTTGATGCTTTGGCCCAAGTTTACACAGATACTGTTGAAGGCTATGAAGAAGGTAACAAGTTATTCAACAAGGCAGTTGAAGCTTATAATGTTGAAGAATTAACTAAGGAATCTCCAGAAGCTTCTAAGGCTGCTATTGCTTTGGAATATAGGGCTACTTTTAACTTTTTGAAAAATGATTCTGCTAGTGCCACTGTTGATATTGAAAGAGCTATTACCTTGAAGGCAAGAGCTAGAACTTATGTCCTTAGAGCATTATTGAATGCTGATAAATCTTCTTATGCTGATGCTATGGGAGATTTTGAAACTGCTCAAAAGATAGATGCTGAATCTCCTGATATTTATTACCACTTGGGTCAATTATATTATTTAACTGGAGAATTAGAAAAGGCAAAGACCAATTTCCTTAAAGCTAAGGAATTGAATCCTCAAAATGTTTATGCTTATGTTCAATTGGCATGTATTACTTACAGATCTGGTAAGTTTGAAGATGCAGAAGAAGAATTTGCTACTGCCAAGCTTAAGTTTGCTACATCTCCCGTTATCCCCAATTACTTTGGTGAAATCTTAACTGATCATGGTGATATTAAGGGAGCTTATAAGCAATTTGATACTGCTGCTAGATTACAACAAGTATTACCCACTTATACTGTTGGAGCTTTACCATTGATCAACAAGGCAAGTTTATTGGTCAAAGAATCACCCGATAAATTAAATGAAGCTGGTGCTTTATTGGAACAAGCTTGTGACTTAGATGCCAAGTCCGAATTGGCCAAGATCTCATTGGCTCAAATCAAATTACAAAATGAAGACGTTGATGCTGCTATTCCCTTGTTTGAACAAGCCAGTAAATTGGCAAGAACTTTTGAAGAAAAGGTTCAAGCCACTTCGTTTGCTGAAGCCACAAAAATGCAAAAGAGAATTAAAGCTGATCCAGAAATCAGCAAAAAAATGGAAGAATTAATGCGTCAAAATGGCCTTGCTTAAAGAACCACCTCCCTCTTATTGTTGTTTTGTATATATTTTATCTCCTCCATTCTTATAAAGAACCATATATGAATGTTGTATGTGTGTAGTTTATATTCTTTGGTTGTATGCAGGTGACGATCACAAGAAGAAGTATATAAGGAGGTTCAGATCCCCCCAGTGAAAACAAATACCTTCGTACTCTGCTGCACAAATAATATTCTATGCTAATAATATTTTAAACGTATATTTACTACACCACTGTTGTGTGCATTACAGTATCTATTGTGTATCACAGTAACTGTACCCTGTTGTAGTTTCCAGTAACATGAAAGCTTGGATAAGGTCTGTAGTGGCATCTCCCAAACTAAGTCATTATGATCCTCATCTGCATACTGAATTAGACCTATCATATATTACTCCCAGGTTGATTGTGTGTTCTGGCCCGGTATCTGATTGGCTTCATACTTGGTACCGGTACCATGTAACTGAACTAGTTGAATTCTTAGATACCCATCACCCCAATAACTGGCACATGTGGAACTTTAGAGGTGAAGGGTCGGGGTATTCTGATTCTCAAGTGCGTGATCAAGTATCTCATTATCCGTTCCCCGACCATCAAATCCCTCCGTTAACTGTGATATCTGAATGCACTACGGAGATTGATCAATGGCTCCGGAAATCTCCAGATACGGTGGCAGTTTTGCATTGTAAGGCAGGGAAGGGACGTAGCGGAACATTATGTTGTGCTTATTTACTAATGGGAGATCCAGCCGTTAGCGGGCTACAATTACCATCTACCAATTTAACTGTTGATAATGTGGTGGCAGAATATACAGCCAAACGAATGCGTAAACAATGTGGATCAGGGATCAGTATCAAAAGTCAACTTCGATATTTAAGGTATTGGAACAAATACTTAATGGACCCACCGGAACAACCACTAACCACCAGTGTGAAGATAACTAGAATAGTGCTCCATGATATGGCACCTCTGGTGAAAGTGCAAATCCAGTCATATGTAGAAACCAAAGGTACTTACTGCATTCACAATAACAGTACATTTACAATGGGGAAAGAAGTGAGGGAGTTGGAAATAGATCAAGTTATGGATACACCAGATATACGGATTCTTATTGATGACTATGCTTCTTTCTGGTTTAATGTTAACTTTGAACAACTGGGCACCGCATTTGAATGGACTCAGTTTGATGGGTTCAAAGGTACTGGATACAAAGGAGTTGCAAGTTTCCATGAAATGATATTATATTGGCAATAATTATATGCTATAGATGCTACTACTACGGTTAACTACCCTTCTTTAACCCCCCCTTTTTTGGATATCGATTTCAAGCCAAACTTCTCGAAGATGCTTTCGTACTTCATCATAATGAATAGGATTTCTCTTCAACTTATGAAGAGAATTCTTCCCCAAAGTATACGGTTTTGTTAATCTGATTTCATTTTTGATGACAATATCATTCTCCTGCCATCGAACACCATCAACCCCCCATTTTTCCACCAATTTTTCAAACAATAAATGGGCATTGGTAGTTGCCTTAGGATTAGTACTATTCCCATAGACAATGATGGCTTCATTCAATTTCTTTTGGAATTGATCAACGTTAACCTTTGCGAAGCCACTCGAGGTCATTTGATTCCCAGTGGTTTGCCTGTTGAGAGATCCTAACACCTGCAACAGCTTGATGAACTGAGTGTTTATGAATCTATAATTATCTTCAGTCCGATCTTTATTAGCTGACGTTCGCAACACTAGGATATCATCGGCATAAGTGTAAATGAACCCTGTGATGGTGGCATCTAGATTTGTGGTGATCTTCACCTTAAGGTTGATGACTTGAGATAAAGAATGGGCCAGCATTATTGCTGTGGAAGAGTAACGAAGAAGTAAATGGGATTGGTAATAAACGTAGTTGTTTGGAAAGTTTTCTTGTCGGAAATGCTGAGATCCGGGGGTATATCCGGGGATACAATGGTTAAGATGAGATATACATATAAGCTGTATATTATAGCATGAACTATGGTATGCCCTATGGTGTACACTATGCTATATACTATTGTATAAATGCTATTGTATAAATACTATTGTATAAATGCTGTTGTATATACCGTGATGTTTATTACATTAGTGTTCCCATTTGTCCTGCACGTGGAGGTGTACGGGTGTCTGGATCAAAATAAGCGATAATCACAGCTGCAAACACCAGACAACAATGAGCTCTCCTCCTTTAACTATGACCATGCAGAATGATGAAGAAATTCTGATTGACCAATTGGAAGACCAATTGATAGACCATCCAGACGCGTCTACGCAACTATTCCTTGATGCGTCGCTCGATAAAGCATTCCAAACCAAACTTAATGCCAGAGCAGAAGAATTATCTACCCGAGAAAGTGATCAACAGAACGATCATATATCAAATTCCACCAATGAAATCAATGAAGATAACTTCAAGTTCGATAAGACGGGATATCCGTATTTAGTAACACGATCACATTTACAATACGAGCATTTTGAGTATCAGGATCTTGACGTTGAACTTTCAGAATGGTTTGTTTTTAACGACTACCAGATGTTTGGGGGGTTTGTTAGTTTGGTGTGTCCTGAATCAGCCAATGAAGATCAGCAATTGAGTGAAGCCATTAAGGACTTAGAAGCGTCAAAGGAAATGTTCGAGTCTCAACTGTTGGGTAGAGCTACTAGAAGATTACTCTATTACTCCTTTGGCAAATATGATATATGTCAAGATCGATATGAGCAGTTGACATTGATAGAGCAGAACAACTTGAAGCTTTATCAGATGGGAATAGTTAAGCCATTGGTGCGATTAATCAAGAAGTTTCTCGAGTCAAGACTTGATGATAATGGTACTAGTAAGGGGAAACCATTCACTATAAAGGAACAAAAGGTCTTATTTCAACTTTTAACGTTATTATATTTCCTATTGAATGTATTCTTATTCAATAAGGATTTGGTGGAATATTTGGAATTGAGATCTGTGTTATCAGATTCCAATCTTATAACGTTAATTGTTAGATTTATGGATTATTGGAAACTTCATCCTAATCCTACTTATAGATTACGGAATTTAATATTCCTATTATGGAAACTATTACTTATTGAAATGGGTGATATGGAGGATTTAAAGAAGGCAGATGCCTTTTTGGTTCAATTGCATAATATTAAGAATAAACAAGATAAAACAGATGAAAAAAGGAAACTCATCTGTTCACCTTTAGATTACTTTTCTTTTAAAGAAGATTTATTGGATAAGTATCCTCTACTTGATTGTCAAATTAAGTCGGAACAAGAACAAAAACCCAAAGGTCTGTCTGATTTGTCAGAACTTAATAAGAAGTTTGAACAATTAATGGCTATAAATGATCAATGCTCCTCAATATCCAATTATATTGATTATCCTCGAACAAACAAAACCCATTCTGTTTTAAGTCAGTTGCCTCAACAAAATATCCATCTTTCAACTCCCATGCCATCCCCATCGATAGAACCGAGTGAATTCATGAGTGGTGGAGAAAAGATTCGAAAGTCATATCAAGTAAACCAAAGTATTCCATTTATTTATCCTCAAACCACAGATGATATTGAAGTCCCCTTGGCCATTAAAGAAGCTGATGAGATCTTGAAAGCCAATATTTACGATAGTTATTCCGATAAAAGACTTTGGAATGAAAGACAGAAGTTCATGTCACAAGAAAGAGGGTATATTAATCAATATAAGAATGCTAAAGATTATGATGAATTTGAATTTGATTATAATGAAGGTCTCTATAAGGAATACCCTCGGAATAAATTTGAAATCAGTTCTATTTTAAATGTGGAAAAGTTTTATGATGAGAATCTTCATCAATTGCATAGTTTAATTGAAGTTTTATTAGAAACTTTAAAATCCAATGATTTGGATTTGAATTTGAATTATTTTGAATGGGAATTGGGGTCCAATTATCAACAAAATAGAAGCATTGAATTTGATGAAAGTGCCAGGCAAAGAGTTAATTTTGTTATGATGCAACAATTGGAAGTTTATCAGCTGAAAGAATTGATATTAAAAGTTAGTTGCAATATTATTATCTTATTATTACGATGGTTTAAAGTCAACCATATTCTTAAGGCTTATTATTTGCTGACGATTTTATTTGATCAACAATTTTTGTCCACATCATTAGATTATTTGGGAAGAAGTTTTAATAATTCCAATTTACAGGCACAAGACCCCACCAAGGAAGAAGACCATAATAATAATATTTCAACCAGTGCCAATAATGCCACTAAAGATGATTTAACAGAATACCAAAAGTTAATCAATGAGAACAAGTTAATGAACCCTTCAATTGAATTAAAGAAGTTTGAATTCTTTAATAATTGCCACAATAAAACAACGGAAACTGAATCATTTGAATTGATCAATAAAACTTATATTCTGACATTACCCCGAGTTATTGATAAAGATAACATTAATAACATTTTCATTACCAAATATAATAAGAATTTCTGTTCCATTTTGGTGAACTTGATGAATATCACCAATAAAGTGCTTATCAAGGGGATTACTCAACGAATCTTCAGTATTAATGAATTGAAACCTTCAGAACTTTTCAAAATGTTACTTTTGAATTATGATAATGAACATTTGAATAAACCAACCCTCAAGACTTTAAAGAAATTAGTACCTTATCAAGGCCGGAAATGGAAATCCATGAATATGGATTTGATCTCATTAATATATCTTAATTTGAGATTATCACTTAAAGATAATTGGTTAAGTGGGAAGGACTTGGAAACTGATTACAATAAGAGTTTTGATCAAGAAGTGGCTTTACGGTGTATGCTACAATTTTACAATATGAGAAAGTATCCTAAAAGAATGGAACATATGGGGTATACACTAGAATTTGATGGTATACCTGACCTATCAATTTAGAGAAGGAACTTGGAACAGAGTTGGAACCGAATCAGAGCTACAAGTTATTAAGAGACTCAAGCCCATATTATATAACGATATATATTGTGCCGTGCACTACCTTCTTGCTCTATTAGTACTAATATTATTATACCCCCATTACGATAAATAGACGCAATATCACTACAGCCAGGCCAAGTGTCATCATTTTATATAGTAAACTGTACTATTGTATACTACTATTTTCTAAGGTACATACATATATATAGGTTAATATTGGATTATGTACTGACTTCATACTGTTTCAAGAGGTCGTGCACATCCCACTGTAACGTTGGGAGGATAAAAATTTTCCATAGTAAAGCAACACCACCAGCAACCCACATAGTCTCCATTATTTACACAGTGCAATACAATGGTCAAGATCGTCACAGTTGAAGAAGGAATCGAAGGTGCAGTTGAAGTGCCTGTAGTTGAGAAGGTCGGAGTGGAAGGAGAAGGCGAGACATTTTCCGATAGCGAAAGTGAAAGTGAAAGTGACTTTGAAGATGATTTCGATATTGAAAATGAATCAATCTACGACAGAATTGTTGCTTTAAAGGATATCATTCCTCCACAACACAGATCCACTATTGTGTCGACCACCGAGAGTGTTTACGGGATGATTGGGTCCACTTTAAGAAACAGTGGTAATGCTTTGTGGGTTGTATCATCATCATTATTATTATTAGGAGTTCCATTATCATTAGCCATTTTATCCGAGACTCAATTACAAGAGATGGAAAGAGAAATGAAGTTACAACAAGCTGCACAAGATCTCAGTGCCATCGATGGTGCTAAAGCTTAATCGGTCTTTATTTAGTCTTGTATATAATAATCTATTGATTCTTTGGTTTCTTATGTTTGATAGTCAAGGCATAGATATCCAAATAAGTTGTAATTTCATGGATGATCTCAAACACAAATCCCATGTGGATCATCACCGTTAGCACCCAGCCGAACCACGTGACATAGAAGGAAACAGTCGAAGTATTGAAATCAAAACCATAAATTAAAACTTGACTAATCACCAATTGTACACTGGGGATAAGCATAGCAGTATTAAAGTAGGGGAACCCTTGTAGAGTCAAATGAGCCAAGATAATTCGTCCTACACAAAAGGCCATGGTTGACCCAATGGATAACACCAAGGGGATACCATTTGCACTCAAGATTTCAGGACGATAAGTCACCAATGCACCAATGGAGAAGTAGTAGAGGAAGAATGGGGCTAACCCTTTAACTGCTTGTTCACTTTCATACTTGATTTTCAACCCGTCTTTGGGGAACTTTTTCTCGTAGTAATGATTAACATTCTTCAAAGCCAGGGCGATATTGAAATACAATGAGATCAACCCCAATACAATGTACGCGGTTTTCAAGTCGACGGTGATATGATTGGTTGTACCGGCAATGGTGATGTCTTTATCAAATAATTTATAGGAGAACATTTGCGGACCGAAAATGCCCGTCAAAATAAATACTCCACAAATCATCAAGATTCCTTCGACGGGACCACTGAACGCACTCAAGTATAGCGTATGGGTATGGTATTCTTCCCAAGTAGATAAATAAAAGTTACAGATGGTTGAGAATTGTGTCAAGAGTAATAATTTCCCATATCCAAACTGTAATACACTAGCAAAGATAATTGACCCCAAGGTAGTGTTGATAGCATCAATTGAGTGATCAAATAATTCTCCTAGTGGACCACTTTGTCCAGTACGACGAGCATGGCATCCATCGCATCCATCAAAAGTCTGATACATAAATAGCCCAAACGCATAGAAGAAATAGCACCATGAGGGCACTTGCTTGTCTAAAGTTGGATTATAGTAGAAAACAACTGCCAAATTCATCAAGATGAATCCTAAACCTAACAAAGTAATTAAATTAGGAGCCATTGATTGGGGGAACACTAGAACAAATGTATTCCACCATTTCTTTAAAATGTACTTGGAAATTAAAGAATGATCTTCAGAAGAATACTTATATTTCTTCAAGTTAGCCAACTTGTCTTCAGGTATAAAGTTCCCCATGGTTGATGATAGAAAAGGGTTGTCCTATAATTTTTTACAACAATTGGCTTGTGCTTTATATACGTGCACCTGAAATTTGCACCAGAACGGCTAATATGGTAGCGCACATGATCACGTGGGCAAACGACCATTGACTCAAGTTATTATGAAGTTCATCAACTAAAAGTCTACCAATGACTTCAGTGGGTAGCATTGGTTGTGATGAGCCACTAGTCAATAAGTTCCATCCATTCATTTCTGTATGCGTAATTATACTACCATATTGGGTCTAATCATATATCGTGGTTCCATCTCTTCTTATATATGCATATGTATGTATGGCTCTTCGCCCACATGGATTGATCCACCCACGACCATTTACATCCCACGGGGGGTATAAGCACGAGGTTATAAAGGTTATTACATAATGTGTTCTTTATCTTTTAATATTACCCAATGCTGAACATATACAACAGAAATTAAATATACAAGTAATTTGCTTAATCAACATCTTCCATAGCTGATTCAACAACTGGCTCACCTTCAGTCTTAGCTTCTGGCTTAACTTCTTCAGCTTCTTCAGGTTCTTCAATGTTTAATCCCAAAGAGATTAATCTATTGATTCTATGAGCAAAAGCTGCAGGTTCTTCCAAAGAGAAACCAGAGGTCAACAAAGCAGTTTCATACAATAAAGTAGTCAAATCCCTAACGGTCTTGTCTTCAATACCATCCTTTTCAACCTTCTCTTTCAATTCCTTAATAATAGGAGATTTAGGAGAAATTTCAAAAGTCTTCTTGGATGACATGTATGCAGACATAGTGGTGTCTCTTAAAGCTTGAGCCTTCATAATTCTTTCCATATTAGCAGACCATCCAAATTGGCCACTTCTAATAGCAGCTGGAGCATCAACCAACTTGTAAGATACAACAACATTAGCAACTTGATCACCCAAGATTTCCTTCAAAGATTTGGTCAATGGTTCAAATTCTTTAACTTCTTCTTCTCTTTGCTTCTTTTCTTCTTCAGTTTCTTCCAATTCGAAATCCTTGGTGATATCAACCAAAGTCTTGTCTTCAAATTCCTTCAATTGAGTCATAGCATATTCATCAATTGGGTCAACCAAAAACAAAACTTCAAAGTTCTTAGCCTTCAAAGCATCCAAGAATGGTGACTTTTCAACAGCCTTAATGGATTCACCAGTAATGTAGTAAATATTCTTTTGGTGAGATGGCATTCTGGTAACATAGTCAGTCAAAGAAGTCAATTCTTCAGTAGACTTGGTGGAGTTGTATCTCAACAACTTAGCTAAAGCAGCTCTGTTTTGTTGATCTTCGTGAATACCCAACTTGATGTTCTTGGAGAAAGCAGTGTAGAACTTGTCAAATTGCTCATGATCTTCAGCAATTTCATTAAAAGTTTCAATCAACTTCTTAACAATGTTCTTCTTGATAACCTTCATGATCTTGTTTTGTTGCAACATTTCTCTGGATAAGTTCAATGGTAAATCTTCAGAATCAACAACACCCTTAATGAAAGATAACCATTCAGGAATCAATTCTTCAGCATCATCAGTGATGAAAACTCTCTTGACGTACAACTTAATGTTGTTCTTCTTTCTCTTAGATTCAAAAGCATCAAATGGAGCTCTCTTTGGAACAAACAAGATAGCCTTGAATTCTAATTGACCTTCAACACTAAAGTGCTTAACAGCCAATGGGTCTTCCCAATCATTAGAAATGGACTTGTAGAAAGCATTGTATTCTTCTTGAGTGACATCAGATGGGTTTCTGGTCCACAATGGCTTAGTCTTGTTCAATTCTTCCAATTCAGTGACTTCCTCCTTAATCTTCTTGACTTCTTCTGGCTTCTTTTCGGTTTCTTCATCTTCAACTTCTTCCAATTTAGGCTTCTTGTCATCTTCACCTTCAACATCGGTCTTATCTTCTTCCTTGGTTTCAGCTTCTTCACCTTCTGGAGTGACTTCTCTTTCAACTTCCTTGGTGACAGTCAATTGGATAGGGTAAGAAACGAATTCAGAGTGTCTCTTGACAACTTCTTTAATTCTCTTTTCTTCCAAGTATTCCAATTGATCATCCTTCAAGAACAATCTCAAGATAGAACCACGACCGAGTCTTTCGTTAACGGTATCCAAGGTAACAGTGAACTTACCACCAGCATTTGATTCCCAAATGTATTGTTCGTCATCATTGTGCTTGGAGATAACTTGAACGTGGTCAGCAACCAAGAAAAGGGAGTAGAAACCGACACCGAATTGACCAATCATAGAAACATCGGCACCAGCAGATAAAGCTTCCATAAAAGCCTTGGTACCAGACTTGGCAATAACACCCAAGTTGTTAACCAAATCAGCTTTAGTCATACCAATACCAGAATCTCTAATTTCCAAAACCTTTTGGTCCTTATGAGGAGTGATACGAATAAATAAAGCTGGTTCAGTATCCAACTTTGTAGGGTCACTCAAAGCTTCGTATCTGATCTTATCCAAAGCATCAGATGCGTTAGAAATCAATTCTCTCAAAAAGATCTCCTTGTTTGAGTAAACAGTATTGATAATCAAAGACATCAACTGAGAGATCTCAGCAGTGAACTCATGAGTTTCAACCTTGGCGTCAGACATCTTTCTTATTGTATTGTTTGACTATGATCTATAATATGCTAATGCTAGTATTTCCACAGCTAGTAAAACCAATTGAAAAAAAAAAAAGTTTGGCCCACGAGATACCACTTGGTCTTTATATGGCACTGAAAATTTTCAAATACGTCGGTTATATCGTGGTGATAGAATCTTCCATGAGTTTCTATACGGCGCTACCGTTTCTTGATCTGTGGGGAGAAAAATAACACTAATAACTAGCCTAGATTATACTATAATTTTCCATTAAGTTCTATATAATTTCAGTCTCTTTTATTTCCTATTTAAGTAATTTGTGACATTAATATCACTAAAGTACTATATCTTCAGTTTCAACTCCGCAGTCAATACATCTTCGTTTAACTATTTTCATTCCATGACCTTCTTCCTCCTCATTGTTCTTAGTCCCTACACTAATGGGTGCAGACCAATCATGTACATGTCGTTCACCTAAAGATTTTCCATCACGAAGTCGTCTTGTATATTCTTCTGCTCTGGTTTTCTTTCTCATCTCTTTCAACAGATCTTGATAACGTTTGTCTCGACGTTTAAGCTTATTCTCCTGTCGTTTCTCCCATTCTTCATCTAACTTTTCTGGTGAACCCCATTTTTTCCATGCATATGCTTCAACTTGAAATCTAAGATAAAGTTTCATTCGTGAAAAACCATGAGGATTGGGCTTCTCTATCCGAGATAATAATTCCCTATCTTCTAATTCAGGATCAGTAAGTAAATAATCTTCTCGACATTCAGTCTTGGTTAATAAGGCATATTTATCCAGTTTCTCCTTCTTACATCGACGACACACTCGTACTCCTTTGAAATTTGTATATAAATCGGGATCAATTTCTAAGGATCCACATTCAAAGCATTTGGGGGCCTTGGTAACATCTATAGGCGGTGGAAGGTCTTTTATTATATGATTGGCCTGATTTTTCTCCTTCCATTCCTCTAAAGTTTGATTTCCTTCATTGCTTCCTCCTCCTATACTTCCAGTTACTCGTTCATCACTCCCCTTATTGGGTTCTCCATCTTCAATACCGATAAATCCACCCCGACTATCTTTCAAAGTGGAAAAATCATATTCAATGTAGTCTTTCTTATTCACCATTTGTCTGTTACTGTTGTACCGGGAGTCTGTCTTCTTAGTTGGTTCAACAAGCGTAGCACTGCTTCCCAAACGAACATTAATAGGACCAGAGGTTGTCGGTATCAGGGAACGGGAGTTGGTATTCTCTTGCGTGGCTCTGATGGCTGTGATTGGAATACTATGGCTAGAGGCATCCTTATTGTTCATTTGAAGCCGCTCACGGATTTTCAATGCTTTTTTTCTGTTCTCTTCAATCCGGCGTTTCTGTTCCGGAGTCAATTCGGGCCGCTTCATCTCCGATACCACATACGATCTTAACCAGTAGCGATGTGCTTCATTATACCTAAAGCACATTTCTTTCGCCTCATCTTATCGCCATAGTCGTGTCCTGGCCAATAGAGTCATATAAGGCCTTGGGCAAGTCTCTACTTACTAGCCTCTTGTAGAAGCTCAAATGCCAATCTCGTTAGCTCTTCAATGGTGTCTAAGACAGCTTGAGCTTGCTCGCGAACTAGCAAGTCATTGTCTGTCTCAGTGATATAACGAAGCACAACCACCGTCTGCTCTCTATATTTTGAAGGAAATATCACTTTATCAGTTTTAGAGGTTCCAAGAATCAAATCATGGATCAACACAACAGCAGCTCTTCTCATGATTGCACTTTCAGATCCAATTTCCAATTGTAAGATACCAAAACTACAATCCAAGGCAGTAGTAAGATGGTTCACAATACCAAGAGGATTGGTCTTACAACAAACACCCATAAGTGACATTGCAGACATCCGTATTCTATCGTCTGAATCCTTTCTCTTGTCTTGATGTCTACTGATAATCAGCAATGAAGCCTCGGTAATTAATTGCGCCGCTTCTCCACCAAAAAGTTCATTTGATGTTTGAATGAAGTTCAATAAAACTTCACCAATCCTAAGTCGTTCATCCAAATCATTAGTCCCTTCTTCTTGAGAATATATCTCTGTCAATTTGGGAAGAACTTGTTGGGGGTTCCATTCAATTAACGAAGTAAGCCCCTTGATGACGTTAAGGTACACGAAAGGTTCCAGGTCTTTCAATTGAATCAAATGCAAATTGATAACAAAGTCTAACGTGAGCACTTCGCTTCGTTGCTCGATCAATTGACGCAATAAATATAACCCATGTGCTCGGATAGGCACTAAGGGGTCATTTAAGGAAACAATTGCTCTTTTAAATACTCGTTTTTGTATCTCTTTCTCATCAGTTATGACCATTGCATCTTGACTTTGAAGTTCTTTAATACGTTCAGATAATGCCAATAGAGAATCTTTAATCTTTGGTGACAACAACCCAGTGCTGCTACTGCTGTTTGCCTTCATCTTCAATTGCTCATCTATCTTGAGTAATAGTTTCATTCCATCTTCATCTAACTCTACTGAGGATTCTGTCAAAATGGCAGAAAGCAACTCAAGAACAACAGAAAGGATATTGAATTCAGATTCATTACTATTCTTAGAATCGATTTCCATGTCTTCATCATCAGAATCCATTTCAGTATCGGCATCACCTTCTGTTCCATATACTTGGAGTTTATCATCGTCAGCTGCTAGAAAGTTCACAATAAGTTGAAGCATCTCAGTTGGAGACTTTGCAATTGCGTCGGTAAACTTTTGACCAATAACTTCTAATAATCGAAGGTCAATTAAAACAAAAAATGGATTCTCTTCATTTAAACTAGTGGATTTAGTGGTCAACCATCTCTTTAAAATTGAACTGAACACTCTAGATACTTGAGTGTCATCTAAATTCTCCAAAAGCTCGACAAAATAAGTACAGCACGACTCTAAGTTGTTCAAGAAATCATTGACTCGTTTATCTTTACTCTCAAATGAAAGCTTATCATTATTGTCACATTTCACCAATTGGGGAAGACCATTAAGTCCATATTCAAACATCCAATTCTCACCACCTTGATTCACAAGGTTTTTACTAATCAAATCTAAGGCCAAAGTGTCTTGCTTGGATTCTTTGTCATCTAAAACTGACAAATAAGACACCAATATACCTTGAGCAACTTCAAAGGATTTTTTATTGGATTTTAAAAAAGTAATATAGCTCCAAAGTGAAACAATAATGGGTGAAAACAACGTAATCAACAAATCGTCATTCAAAGCCTTCAGGGTCAAAGAAAGTAAAACATTGATATTATTGTTCCATTGGGTCTCAGAAACCAATACCCTATCATCATTTTTATTTACTGGTTCAGGATTGAATATTCTCCAAATAGGCTTAAATATAAAATCTTGAGTTACAAGCTTGTTCCTTTCCCATAGCCTTTCCACAACAAATACCAAACAACTAGTGACTGCAGGTTTGTTTATGTCCACTAATAAATTGTACATCTGGTCGCCAATACTGGTGAAATATTCCACCGTAGAAATGGATTTAGGTTTCAGTAGTAAAATCTGGGCCACATGTTCGTATTTTTCTACTTGAATTTCCTCTTGGTCTCTAAGACCTAAAACAAACTCCACTAACGTAAGCACTCCATCGTTCCTGGGTGCCTTATACGGCAATTTCTGGAGGTGTTCTAGAACAAATGAACGGAAATAAGGGGGGCATGGCGATGCTAATAGTAAATTATATGTTTGAAACAATTCAAATGTATCTGGTATGCTTTCAATTTGATCATCATATTGAAAGTTTATTTCTTTCTGTTTAAACTCTGGAATAGAGTAGAGGGCCATAGAAAGTACAAGAAAATCGGATACACCTGTTCCTCTCATCATTAATTCCTTAATGTCGGAACTTGTCAGGAAGATCTTAAACAATTGAGAATGAAGTAGCATCATCAATGTGAAACATTCATCATAAGTCATCAAAATTCCGGGAATTCTTAATGGTTTATTGATCTCCTTACCAAAATCCTTCAATCTTCTCTTTTCAATGGGTATCCCAATTTTAAACATATGCAACACTGGATATATCCCAAAGATAATAAGCACGCTAATAAGTTTACTAAATGTTTTGATATCATGTAAGGAAACAGCAATAATTTTGGTATCTGAAGCCTTTGACTCTTCTTCCAATGCACATTTTTGAACTTCAAGGAGCAATTCCGTCAACTTTCCCATTACTCGATAAGTAATATCAAAGGGAGAACTATTCTCCGACTTAACGGGGCCGAATAATCTTTCATCGAGACTTTCAATGGTCAATTCGTTAAGTGGGCCATTTAGTACACGTTGTATTTCCTCAAACACAACATCAATCGGTTTATTCCGAGTAAACTGGGGTTTGTTCAATCCCTTCTTCTCAGGGTATATTTCAGAAGCTTCTCTTTTGATTGTCTTTTTCTTCTGTCCTATGGCAAACGGGTTCTTGAGTGGCACCTTTTTCTCTATAGGTGCATCATCTAATTCCTCAATCTTAGGACTCATTTCGGGTCTACTTAGATCATAATGGATTAATGATGGCAATTGAACCATGGTTTCTCAATTGGTATACATTCGCGACTTTTGTGTAACATGGCACAAAATTAGTGTATAAGAGTCTTGATATATCAAGATTCTTACGAACTCCTAATAGTAACAATAAATGCTTTTTTAATAAATATATATATATAAGGTTTTATACGTCTAAATATCACTTTTTTCGACTATACTAGTTACCTGTTGAGTTAATAATTTACCAAGACTTGAGTCTATCTTGGCATTATATGCAGTCGTGCGATTTCCTCATCAACTAAAGCTCATCTTAAATGATGCCAAACCTAGTACCCACTACTACTCTTTGAGCGCCACTACCTCCCCACACACACACGCACACACGATATGAGTGACCAGAGTATAACCTCCTTGACGCAGGAGGAAATGGATGCTGTGCTTTATGACGCAAGAGAAGGTGACTTGCAAACATTGCAAGAGATCTTCAGCGAAGTGCCCGCACACTTGTTGAAAACTATTAAGGATGAATACACCTTAAGCAACATAATTCATATGGCTGCCGGTAATGGGCATTTGCAAATTCTTACATATTTATTAGGACTTTTACCCCGTGCTGATGCTGTTGAATTGGCATCACAAGTTAACGATACAGGCAATACCCCATTACATTGGGCAGCATACAATGGTCACTTAGATATAGTTAAAGTACTTGTTGAAGAATACGAGGGAGACGTTTATGCTAAGAACGAAGCAGGTCATGATGTCATGTTTGAGGCGGAGAATAATAACCGAGAAGAAGTGGAATCTTGGTTACTTCAAAGATTCTCCGTAGAAGAAGCATTTGATGTAACTGAAGATGGAGAAAACACAAAGATCACATATAAACCCGGTACTGAAAGTAAAGAAGCAGATGAAAAGGCTAAAGAGGCGACATTTACTTCTGAAATTGAGGCTGGAACAGCCAGTTTAACGGTTGAAGACCGTGTTTAGTGGGTGTATACTATTTATTTGCAGACAAAACAGACATAACATAATAAATGTCTTGTAATATCACATTTAATGATGTAAGCTATATATTGGTATGTGCTTATCCATACATACCAAAAACGATTGTCGTGCGCATCCCAATTTGGTGTCTTAAAAATTTTCACTTAAATGTCAGACTAAGACACTGACGATCTTTACCTACAAACGATAGTACTAACGCCATAATGAGTGACGATTTAGGGTTTGATCCCAGCTTGAAGAAGAAGAAGAAGTCCAAGAAGGTCGAGGATGGGTCCTCAGAATCGACTCCTGTTCCGGAACTTGATGACATGTTATCGGGCTTAAAGAAGAAGAAGAAGTCCAAGAAGATTGATGGTGATGAAGAAACCAATTCACCAGTACCAGATGATTTGACTGCATCTCTAGGTGATCTTACTTTGAAGAAGAAGAAGAAGAAGTCACTTAAAAATGTGGATGCTACTGATTTCGAACAACAATTGGAAGAAGCTGGTGTAGAAGACGTTAGTGGATCCAACAATAACGCTACCATTGATGGCGAATCTTCAAATGGTGATGAAGAAGGTATTATACCCTATGATGATTTATTATCACGTTTCTTTGATATTTTGAAGAAGAACAATCCAGAATTAGCAGGAGATAGATCAGGTCCAAAGTTCCGTATTCCTCCACCGGTATGTCAAAGAGAAGGTTCCAAAAAGACTTTATTTGCCAATGTTCAAGAAATTGCTCAAGTATTACAAAGAAACCCAGAACATTTGATACAGTTTTTGTTTGCTGAATTGGGTACTTCTGGTTCTATTGATGGGGAAAAGAGATTGGTTTTGAAGGGTAAATTCCAACCTAAACAAATGGAATCAGTCTTGAGAAGATATATCATTGAATATGTCACTTGTAAGACTTGTAAATCCATGAATACCGAGTTGAAGAGAGAATCAGGTAATAGATTGCATTTCTTGAGTTGTAAGGTTTGTGGTTCTACTAGATCTGTTTCTTCTATCAAGACTGGTTTCCAAGCCCAAGTTGGAAGAAGAAAGAGGGTTTAAAGTATCAACTCTCTTTCACCAATAGCAGCATTTTTAGTGTACATTATTCTTTTTCATTCCGATTTTGGTTTTCTTTGGGGACTATAAATATTCATTGGTTGTTTAAAAACAAACTAATACAGATTTCTAATAAATAGATAGTCTTAAAGAGAATACAATTTAAACTAGTAAAGGCACCTTATTTATTATGCAACGTTCAAACTCTCCACAACCTTCCGTAATGGAATGCACCATCCACTAACTCCGTCATTCATAATCATATACTGAACAACATCACTTTTGATTGAAGGAATTTGTGCATTAGCTTTGGCTTTAGCTGCAGAATCAACTTTTTGCAACACAGATACCAAAAAGGTCATATGATTCAGTTCAAGTGTAGAATGAACATCTTTTAATTTCTTCGCATAATGACCATGCTCTCTGTCCAGTAACAGCGATTTGGCCAGGAAAAGAGATTCTAGTAATTGACCCACATCAGTGGTTGTCGTAGAGACATCATCATCATCAACATCATCTTTTATTTGTGTATTTGAAGCAAGGGGCGAAGGACCGCTCAATCCACCTTGTGATACCTTACATGGTGTAGGTGGTAATTCACTTCTTGAAGGTGAAGCTGCCATATTCAGTGAACCCCCAATTCCCAGCAATGAGGTATTCGAATTATTATTAATGTTATGACCCACTCTTTGAGCTCTCTTTTTCATCTTGTTCACACTGGTACTTGATCCATTGGTATTCATCATCATTGGAGGACAATCATTCCATCCTTCCACAGGGTCCCCCCTTTGGGCACTGCTCAATGTCATACTTTAATTCTACAAGGTCCCCAAAACACCAACTCAATGATTTGAAAATTTAGATTCTCTGAATCATAAACAATTATATCACGGGGCCACCTCACAGCTATTTGTGTTTTGTAAATGACATTTAAAGTTATCTCCCCAAAGACCACGTGACGCGACGATCCATACACACACAACCCCCTTTCTTACCGTCTCAAGAGATCTAAACACCGTTCAATCAATTGATCAATAGTCGGACGTTTATTGGAATCCAATTGTAAACAGTCATTAATGACTTGAATAAGTTCGGGACTGTAGTTGCCGTATCCGGAAGGGTACTTGAATTTTCCAGCAGAAATAGCCACGGTAAGATTTGCACCTTCATCAAGCTCCATTTTCTCAAACGGAGAATATCCAAAACAGGCACAGTACATCAAACAACCTAAGGACCAAATATCAGTAGCCTCGGTTATTACGGCATTAGAAGAAACATCTAGAAGTTCAGGTGCTCTATAGGGAAGTGTACAATGTTCCTGAGCAAATTCTGTCAATTGTAATGCCTGTTGACGTGACAGAACAGTTACTCGAGCTTTAGAACACGAACCAAGATCAATAAGAACTGGTAATCCTTCAGGTGAAATCATCACATTAGCGGGTTTAAGATCACGATGAGCATAAGGTGAGAACTCTTCTAATTCTGTACTGCCATCGAAAGCATCTTCAACTTCGGATTCACCTATTGTTGGTAATAAACCTTCTTCTTCATCGTTAATTGAATCATGAGAAATGGTATCACTATGAGAAGAAGTTGCTCTCTTCTTGAACTTGTGTAATGTTTGAACGCCTCTACAAATCCCCACGAAAAGTTGTAACACTTCTTCCTCTGGTAACAGTTTATCGAGAAGCACATTTTGAGTAATGATGTCTTGTAATGATTGTTCAAAATAGGGCATCAATATGTAGATGGTTGAAGAGTCATCCGCATCATTCATTATACGTTCTTCTATGGATTGTATGACATACGGTGATTGGCCAAACCGTTTGTAATTGCGGAGTTCTCGTAATGCATTCTTATAAGTATAATCTCTAGTACCCATTGGACATCTTATCTTCTTCAAGGCATAGTAAAGATGACTATTGGATTTTAAACTCACAAGGTACACATATGAATAGCCTCCTTCACCAAGCAATCGAACAATCTTGTACAGATTATTCTTGATTGAGATTGATGGTCCACCAAAGTTAGGCAAACAGGGGAAAATACTACCTAAAAATGACAACAATGCATCCATAATGTATTGATAACAATATAAATAAATACTTAACAAGCCCTTCAGTGTATGATACAGACTCAATTGCCTGTTTATGTATTTGGTATTGACACGATGTTTTGAGCAATCCAGTGTATCAATTGACATGGGACACAATTAGTAAACATAGTTAACGTTACGTTACATTTCTTGTTGATGTGAATTGGTTCGTTTTGGAAACAATGAATAGTCACTAAACAAAGACTTAATGGATGTATACATATATATATATATATATATATATATGAGTGTGTGATTTGCAACAGTGTTATGTAATAGATATTTCACTAAAGATTATGGTAGCGCACACAAAAAATATTAGAAGGTGATTCAAAAGTGATGATAATTAAGACACTATCAGCATATCACTTTTACAATATACACAAACAATGGATGATACTGGGCTTGATGCAGGGTTTGGAAATGACGCTGGGGTGGATAACGGAACAGGAGAGAATTTTCTTCTGGAAGATATACAATTCACAGTGATACCCAATAGCGAAGCAGCAGTGGCAGTTAAAGATGAAGATAACCCACTAGTCAATGCTTTAGGAATATCTAACAGTGAAGGGATAGAGGTAAACATACCAGCTGTCGATGACAATATAGCAACTATGGAGGAAAAACCTTCAATCGATGGAGAAAAGATGGATATAGATAACGATGAAGTAATACCTGCAAGTGTTGACTCTGGACCATTGGAGAAACTACGGAATATACAACTTTTACCTGAATTATTTAATTTACTTTATGATCTTAGAAATGGCACTCTTCTGGCCAAAGATTTCGGTAGCAATGCTGGTAGTTTAAGGCTTAAGTTAACGACATTTAAACAATGTCTCCAAGAGATTGAAGGTATCAATGAGTCCATTGAGGAACGACAACAACGCATTCAGCTGTTAACCAAGAGTAAAACAAAGAAGGAACAATTTTTAATGTCTTTAAAGAGTAAGATAGAAGATGATTTCAAAGGAAGTTCGGTATAATCATAATGATATAAATGTATAATCAACCTAGGATACCAATTTATGCCAGACACGAACTTCTCTCCTCGCACAAAAGGAACATCATCTTAACAAAACAAATTACAATCCTATACAAGTACCACTCTAACTACTATACGGCAACGATGGTGATCTCTTCTGGTACCGGATACGGTTACCTCGATCAAGCTATGGGGACATTGTCTCAATATCCAGCACTTATGGTTGGATATGCTGTGTTCACGTTATTTATGGTACTCATTGACATTAATCAAAGTGTTTCATATAAGCTTGGACTTCAAGGGAAATCTTTATTTGAGTTTGATCTTAATCGTATATCACTTTATGTTATTGTCCATCGAAACTTATTCCATTGGCTTATCAATACCGTTACGTTGATGCCATTACTTTGGAAATTTGAACCAAAATTTGGTACTATTCTGACTGGAGTTACTCTCAATTTATTGGCAGTGGTTGCAGCAATTCAATATTGCATTGTTTGTCAGATTTTGGGAATTCATCAAGAAGATTATGTTATTGGATCTTCTGGAATTTGTTTCCTGTTTTTCACATATAATTGTTATATGGATCATTTCACTCATCCTGTCATTCACACATTTAGATATTTAGGAAGAGAATTCAAAGTTAAAGCATTACATTTCCCATTCATTGTATTGGCTATATGTTTTGTTCTATTACCTGATAGTTCCTTTTTAGGTCATTTATGTGGTATTCTGAGCGGGTTCTTGTTAGGAAGAGGTTATTTAAAAGTCTTATATCCACCTTCTAAAGCTTTACTCTTTATTGAACAGAAATTGGCTACACCAATCTCAATGTTAACTCCCTTGGTTACTTATTATAAGGAAGAACAAGTTATGAATTCTAGAGTTCATGGACCTCCATCTTCAGTAGTTGATATTGAGGCTAATCTTCCTGGTACTATTCGTCCTTCACCACCACCTCAAAGAACTCAATTCGAGCTGGAATCAAGAGTCTTGGGCTCATAGAGTCTTGAGCTTATGGAGTCATCATTCACTATAAGTAGATATGTATTATGTACTAAATAGCACACTAGCCTAATAATTTTCCCATTACGGTTATTCACGTTAAATTTTCCCCATGTTCCTCGGGAATCGAACCCTCAAACACAAAAGTCGCAATGGTTAAAGCCAATATCATCAACAGTTTCTTTGAACCAACGGCATCCCTGGTAATGTCGTATCCCCCGCCTGCTGTCGATAGCGAAGGTAAACGTTCAAGCAAACGAAAGAAGAAGAGAAGGAATGTTTTGGCGAAACTGAACAAATCAACGCACGAACCTTCATGTACTGATAATTCAACTGTAACTGATGCTATAGGATCACCACAATCACAACATAATAATGCTTCTGCTTCTGCTATTGCTACCACTGCTGCTCCTGAAACTGTTCCTGAAACTGTTCCTGTCACCAATGCGGACAATGGCATACCTCGATTCTCAGCTTCAATGAGTCCAAGAAGACAAACACTTTTACGACATAAAAAGAATGAAGACGCAGCTACTAGTAATTATATTTCAGATTTGAAAGGTGGACTTAAAAGCAAACCAACAGATTTATCTGTTCACAAACAGTTGGATATGAATAAGAAAGTCACTCTATTCAAATATACGTCATCCAAAATCCTTGTGTTTGATCATAATCTAAATAGTACGAAACCTTATAATGATTTAGGACGTTTGTTAGGTCACGGAGAGTTTGAAATCTTTCAATTACATAATGGTGGTGTTACTTATTTACTGTGTGGGGCATCATTTGTATATCCTTTATTACCCAGATTAAAGATATTAAGAGTTAGTTTCAATCAATTCTTGTTGCCGTTGGTTAACCCGGAACGGTACTGGAAAATCCTTATAAATACACAAGAGCAAAATGTCATAGAGTTGTTGGAAAAGACCTTGGACAAAATCATTCGTTACAGAAACTTATATTTCGACCATGGGGTGGGGAAGCATTTGGATGTGATCTCAGAGTTATCTCCCTCTAAAGATGATGATGATAATCATGAGTCAGGTTATTACAATCTTGATATGATACCAATTGAACTTCATAACAATACCTCCTTCACAAATGACGAGAATAATAGTCTAACCAATTCAAATATAATTTGGAAGACCATCCCGGACTCTCCTCCTTCACCTCCTATTTCTCCAAGCCAATTAATGATATCACGAGATAATCCAGCTATCAATTATGACTGGAATCTAGATAAGAGGAAGCCACCTTCGAGTTCGGCTAAAACTTCAAGTTCAATTCCAGGTTTCAATTTAGGAGGTAGTTTGAGACTCAATGTCACTAATGAAAGCCTGGATTTAATCAATACTAATAATATTAGTATTAATAACCAATTGGTTGCTCCGAAACCAAAGAGATTCTTGCCTCAACAAAACCACCAACCAATGTATAATGACCACAACCATTCATACCAACCACATTATCAAAAATCTCACTTGAAACATGTTGATGAAAGATCAGATGAGTCAATGGATTCACTACTTGATGAATATGAATCAAACATGACTTTCACCAAAAGTATTACTGGTTCTCGACCTGCTTCACGTGCAGGTTCCATTGCACTGGCTTCAGTGGTACGTAATGTGACTCAGTTCCCTTATAAGCTGAATTACAAGATTGCAGATCAAAGAAAAGGGCCGCCTACTGCAGATAATGAAATTGATCTTGATGATGATTTCCCTACAGCTTCATTAAGTGATTATAGTAAACGGATTAAAGGAGGTAATGGTGCACCATTGTCAGCTCGCTCAAGGCGGTCTTCAAGGAGTGATCTTTATTCTCAAGCAAATATTTGGATGGACCCGAACAAGAATAATAATAATGATAATAATAATAATCGAATACGTTCAAGCAATGCTGATTATTCTAACTTATACCGAGCGATAGGAAACCGAGGATGTCCTTTGCCAGATTCTCATATCGATATACAAGGATTAACATCCAGTCCTGGTATTCTCAATAGATCTACAAGTATGCATAGTGTTCGAGTTAACGCAGCAGCAGACGTCTACCGGATGGTACATCCACGCAAAAGCACCAACATGGAACCTTCTTCTGTGAACACCAAAAATAATAATGCAGACAAGTCCATTACAGATGAAGCTCGGAATACCAAAGGGCTATCGAGATTCTTTGGTTGGTAAAAGGTTTATGACATAATAATGTAAATGGCATTAAAAGGCACTCATATGTATATATACAAAAGAATTGAGACGTGAATCGAGTATGAGATCGGATGGATAGCTGCTTTTTTTAATGTATTTACAATTGAGGTGCACCAGGAATTGGGTTACCATTAGCATCAATCAAACCTTGTTGCATCATCAAGATTTCTTCATTACCAGCCGTTTCAAATTGTAAACCAACACCTAATCTTGATTCACTCTTAGCTTGATCAATTTCACCAGAGAACAAGATCGCAGCATTAGGCAAGATTCTCTTTTCCATGAAAACTCTTACTTTACCAGCAGAATCAAGTTGACCTCTGAAAACAGATTGACGGTATTCGTACTTGGCACCAATTGTAGTTTCAGCTTTAACTTCAGGTTCAAATCCAACTAAACCTCCTCTTAATGGGTCCATGATTGGCTTAGCATCAAGTCCAATTTGGGTTTCAATACCAGCTTCAACCTTATCAGTGACTCTTCTCCAGAAAGAAGCCAAAAGAGAACCTTGACCTTGGATTTGAGCAGTACCAATCCAGTTACCAGCATTATATCTACCAAAGTAAGAAATGGAAGCATCTGGAGCAGGACTACCTGGTTGTCTTGAGAAAGCAGATTCTAAACCAACAGCCAACTTAGGAGTTAAAGACTGTAAGAAAGAAGCTTGAGCAACACCAGTGTAAGAACCATACAAGAATGAAGGGTTCAAAGCCTTCAAATTAATAGAATAATCAGAACCTTGGTAATCTTGTTCAAATTGACAGAATGAAGGTTGGCCATTAGCAAATTGAAGAGTAACCTTGGAAATATTACTCTTGTCCCAATTCAAGTTAGCTCTACCCATAAAGGAATAATCACTATCAATGTTACCTTGGACAAACATGTTGGAAGAAGCATATAATACAGTGAAAGTGTAAGGAAGTAAAACAGGAGATCCTATAGATAAAGTATGAGCAGTTTGGAAAGCTGGATCCATTGAAAAAGTCTTGTTGAAATCAGCTCTTAACCCAGTGAAGAAATATTGGTTCAAAAATACATCACGACTAACTTCTTTATTCAATCCTTCAACAGTACCAGGGTTAACTAAACCTAAGGACTTTCTGTGTTCAGCAATCGAGATATAAGTATCATTGATATAAGAAAATAATGGGTTAGAAGACCAGAATCCACCAACTTTGGGAACTGGCTCACTAAGTGCGGGCAAAGTAGGAGCTGCCAATTTGGATAAATCACCAAAGTTAACACCGGCTGGTGCAGTAGAAGCAGTAGTCAGATCAGCCATATTTTGTATAATGCAAATGGGAGATCTTTAATTAGAGTCAAGTTACAATTGACCTTTCTAATGTTGGCCTCCTCCAAACAAAAAATTTTTTTTCAGATTGCCAAATTATGTCGGTTACCCGGATGCGTTTTGTTTCTATTGCTTATGTAAGAATGAGACTGTGATGAAAATTCATTATTAGTGGTTAATAATTTGAAAGATATTAAAGTATAGTTAAATCAGTCGATATTGATGGTAGTGTTTGGAAGTGTTTCAATATTCAATACAGCTAATGTGATAATTACAGCTGACTGTGATTAATACCCCACTGTAATCACTGTTTTATTTGTGTGAATGCGAGTTTGTATTAGTTGGTGTTGAAGGTCATATTGTCATGATGTTATGTAAGCATTTGTCGTGTGATTACGTAATCGTAAGTAAATACAAATGTAGATTAAGTGATTCAAATATACTTGATATCATTTGTCTAAATAGAAAAATAAAGACACATGATATACCTGACACTATATAACTGATGATATGGTCTTTATCTGTCCAATTAGGTTAATGCACTTAAAGATCACCATGTTACGCATTGGAACCGTCCGAACGGAGTTGATCGCCGAAAATTTGCGCTACCTTAGAAACCATCAGAATGCAGCATATGTCTAACTACCTCACCTGATTGAAAGCAATCAATGACGTCTCCATACAAATAAGGTAGTTGCCGGATAATAATATAATATCTCTATGTTTTACCCACCTGATTCGGAGTGTATAGGAATACACAGCACACCATCTTAAAATCCATTTGGGTGTTCAACTGAAGACTTGCAAAATATGCGCTTACATTGTCCGCATAAAGTGAAAGTAGTGCACATACCATGGATAACCTGTTAACTGACTCGATCCAATTTAAAGGACCCCAGATGGGAGAAAGAATGAAAGAAACGGACGACAAACAAAGTTAATTGTAATTTTTATACCAAAATTAGTTCCTCCTATCATTATACGGAAGTTATATTCAAGTGTTTCCGTGAGTTATAACTAGTGTGGACTTTAAAAGCTACAATAAAATATTTCACAGAAGTAGTCTTATCGGTTCGGTTGGTCCCCCCAGGTTGAAGATGCCATTTTCGTTAGTTAATGGAACTTCAAGTGTTACGCTTTATGCCAGTGACGGTGCATTGCTTAGTGAAGCTCTTAATTTTTATACCAATGTTTTAGGATTCACTTACCATTCAGAAGATGGTAATGTTACTTATTTGGCCAATACTGGGGCCAGTATGGTGGTTAAGATTATTGTTAGTAAGACAAGAGGTTTAAGTTCTAGTGACATTCAAACCAAAAAGCAAGAGTTCATCAAGATTTTAAACGTTTATGATTGGCGTTCAGTAGAATCCAACGTAGTACTTAAAACTGCTAGTGTTGCTGATTTAACCACTACGTTACAAACATTTGGATTCCCTATTCAAGTTTCTCCAAATGAAATGTTCCCTAATGAATTATACACAATTGATCCCTTGGGAACTGTTATCGGGTTCTGTGCTGCTAAGAATCCTTTGACTTTGAATCCTCCTCTTCAAAAGACAAACAGACTTCTTAGTATGGAAATGAAGTCCACTTCAGGGTCTCAAACTGCTCAATTGGTTCTTCCCTCCCATAAGAGAAACATTGCTGTTATGACCAGTGGTGGTGATGCTCCAGGAATGAATGCTAATGTGAGAGCTGTTGTTAGAACTGCTATTTACCATGGTTGTAAGGCATTTTGTGTTATGGAAGGTTATGAAGGTTTGATCCGTGGTGGTCCAGAATTCATTCGTGAAATGAGTTGGGCTGATGTTCGTGGATTCCTTTCTGAAGGTGGTACTAACATTGGTACTGCTCGTTCAAAGGAATTTAGAGAACGTAAAGGTAGATTATTAGGGTGTAAGCATTTAATTGAAGCAGGTATTGATGCTTTGATTGTTTGTGGTGGTGATGGTTCCTTGACAGGTGCTGATTTATTCAGAGCTGAATGGCCTTCATTAATTGGTGAATTGAAAGATACTAACCAAATTACTTCCGAACAATTTGAAAAGCATAAACATTTGAATATTTGTGGTACTGTTGGTTCAATTGATAATGATATGGCCACTACTGATGCTACAATTGGATGTTATTCTGCTCTTGATAGAATTGTTCAAGCCATCGATTACATTGATGCTACTGCTAATTCACATTCAAGAGCCTTTGTCATTGAAGTCATGGGTAGACATTGTGGTTGGTTGGCCTTAATGGCTGGTATCTCCACGAGTGCTGATTATATTATGATTCCTGAAAAGCCAGCTTCTTCCAAGGATTGGCAAGTTCAAATGTGTGACATTGTGGGTAAACATAGAGCTAAGGGTAAGAGAAAGACCATTGTTATTGTTGCAGAAGGTGCCATTACTAATGATTTGAGTCCTATTTCTGCTGAAGATGTTAAGAATTGTTTGGTGGATGAATTAGGTTTGGATACAAGAGTTACTACTTTAGGTCACGTTCAAAGAGGTGGTAATGCCGTATCTTATGATAGATGGTTGGCTACTTTACAGGGTGTTGAGGCGGTCCATGCTGTGTTGGAATGTACACCTGATACTCCATCTCCATTAATTGCCATTGAAGAAAATAAGATTGTCCGTAAGCCATTGGTCGAAGCAGTTGAAATGACAAAGAAAGTTGCAAGTGCAATTGAAAGCAAAGATTTTGCTAAGGCTATGTCTTTAAGAGATTCGGAATTTACTGAACATTTACATAACTTTTTGGCTATGAATTCTGCCAACCACAACGAACCTTCATTACCTCTTGAAAAGAGAAAGAAGATTGCCATTATGAATATTGGTGCACCAGCTGGTGGTATGAATTCAGCTGTTTATGCAATGGCCACTTATTGTATGTCCAGAGGGCATGTTCCTTATGCTATTCACAATGGATTTGCTGGTTTAGCTAGACACGAATCAGTGAAACTGATTGATTGGTTAGAGATTGAAGATTGGAGTTCAATGGGTGGATCAGAACTTGGTACTAACAGAGAAACTCCAGGAGATACAGATATTGGTATGATTGCCTATTTCTTCGAAAAATATCGGTTTGATGGTTTAATCATAGTTGGTGGATTTGAAGCATTTGTTTCATTGGATCAATTGGAAAAGGCTAGAACAATGTATCCAGCTTTCAGAATCCCCATGGTTTTAATTCCTGCCACCATTTCTAATAATGTACCTGGTACTGAATATTCATTGGGTGCTGATACATGTTTGAACTCATTAATTCAATATTGTGATATTGTCAAACAATCTGCATCGGCCACCAGAGATCGTACATTTGTGGTTGAAGTTCAAGGTGGTAACTCTGGTTATGTTGCCACTAATGCTGCATTGTGTTCTGGTGCCTTGGCCTCGTATGTACCTGAAGAGGGAATCACATTACCCCAATTGGAAGCAGATATTCAGCATTTGAAGGCAGCATTTAAGGCTGACCAAGGCTTGGCTAGATCAGGTAAATTGGTATTAAAGAGTTCCAATGCCTCTAAAGTGTTAACCACAGAAGTTCTTGCATCTATTATGAAGCAAGAAGCTGATGGAGAATTCGATGCTAAAACAGCCATTCCTGGTCACGTGCAACAGGGTGGATTACCCTCGCCTATTGATAGAACCAGAGGTGCCAGATTTGCCATTAAGGCCGTTCAATTCATTGAAGAAAACTGTGATACTGTCACCCGTCATAAATATGACCTTGATTTTGATGTCAGTACTAGAGTTGTACAAAACACTGCAGCTGTCTTAGGTGTCAAGGGCTCTCATTTGAGATTCACTTGTATCAGACAATTGTTTGACTTTGAAACTGACCTGAACAAAAGAATGCCAAAGAAAATCCATTGGCAAAAAACAAGAGATATATCCGACATTTTGGTTGGTAGAACCCGTGTTGTGGCCAATAAGAACACTGTATTTTGAACGTCATTGCTTTCTTTAGATTAACTAATTATTGTATTTAGATCATATTGAATTTTGCACCCAAACGGCTGCGAAAAAATAATGAAGCGCTTACTCTTCTTCTTAACCTAAGCCATTACCTGCCCCTTAACTGCCACTTATAAGAACATACTCCTAGTCAATGGAGGCGTTTAACCAAATATTCAAAAGGGATGCTCCTGTTGATGCTGAAACAGAAGTAATACAAGATTCGGGGCCCCAATATGATCATGAACCTACAAAGAAGGCACAACTCCAGCAGAGCATTACTCCTATATCTGCTCAATTTATATCCATTGGCAGTGCCATTGGAACAGGTTTACTCATTGGTAGCGGCAAGTGTCTTACTGCGGGACCATTGGTAATGATGATAGGGTATTCTGTTACCTCGATGTTCATCTATTTGATGTGTCAAGCTTTAGGAGAACTTACCGTCACTCTTCCACTGAATGGAGGCTTCACCAATTACACCTCAAGACTACTTGGTCCAAATTGGGGATTTACATTAGCTTGGAACTATGGGTTACAATGGGCCAGTGTACTTCCCATGCAATTGATAGCTGCTCGAATCACCATGGATTATTGGAATGATGCCAAACTCCCAATAACGATCCCAATGTTCATTGTGGTCATGGCTGCCAACTTGTTTAGTGTACGAATTTATGCTTATCTTCAGACTTTCTTTTCAATAATCAAACTTTTTTCACTAGCATTGTTTGCCATTGCAGCCGTAGGAGTGAATATGGGGGCATTTAATGATGATGCGATTGGGTTCAAGTACTGGAAGAACCCAGGACCAATTTCAGATCAAGGGCTATTAGGGTTAGTTATTTGTATTTCAACCTCGATATTCTCCTTTGCTGGAACAGAGCTAATAGGCGTAACATCTTCAGAACAAATGAATCCAGAGGAAACTGTTCCCATTGCTATCAAACAATTGAGCATGAGGGTAGTCAGTGTTATACTTCCCTGTGCTTTCATTATTTCATTGTCTGTGCCTTACAATGACCACAATTTGATTGGCTCCGCCAAAGGTTCAAATTCATCCCCATTTGTATTAGCATTGAGCAAAGAAGGAGGAGGGGTTGCTTCCAGTTTAATGAATGGAGTGGTTTTAGTAACGGTGATTTCACTGGGTGTGAGCTCAGTGTATGCCGCGTCCAGAACTTTAGTAGCATTGGCTGAGAATGGCCATGCTCCTTCATGCTTCACCAAAACTACTAATAATGGGACTCCTTTTAATGCTGTTGTTGTGGTAGGATTAGTAGGGGTTACAGTACTCTTTCTTGATTTTTTGCCAGAGTTTTTGGATCAAGCATTAATGGTATTCATTTCGTTTGGCGGTGCATCTATTTTATTCTCATATTTGACTATTTGTGCTTGTCATATTCGATTGAGAAGATTACTTTCCGAAATGGATATTCCATTGGCCAAATTACATTTCCAGGCTCAATTTGGCATCTACGGCTCAATAATTGCAGTTACAATGGCAACTGTATTACTTTTGTTGCAGCCATGCCTACCATTCTTCTCCCCAGAATCATCATCAAAAATATCATTGACTACTATTGCAGAATGTACTCTAGGTCTTTTTGTCCTTCTGATCCTTTATCTCCTGGGATTGTTGTATTACTGTATACGTGATGTGAAGTTTAAAGAAGAAGATAATTCTCTTTCCATTTATGAGTTCTGCCTCGTTAATTAAACTGGGGGATTTTAGTAGAAACAAACCAGTTCTCAGAGAAAAGTGTATTGTCACCAAAATTATTATTACGTACTTGATACGTTAACTCTATCCATGCATCCATTTCTACACTCATATATTCCTACGTTCATACATTCCATCCATTATAATACCCCATTGACCCTTCCTTTCTTCCTTCATCAGTGCCCTCATCATTCCATCCGTCCATTAACCGGTATTTTCGTCCATTCCTTCACTTTTTCTTCCATCAGTCCATCTAAACATATTATATCGTTATCCTCAAAGATAGCAATAACTCCTTTAGCTGTTCCTGATTTAAATGCTATCAGCTGAATTACAAGCTTAATTATACCATTGAATGTAATCCCATCCATGACGTCATTCACCATTCATTTATCAGTCCTTTTCTTAGTTCATGCATTCCATGCCATCGTTCTTACATTCATGCATCCTCCATCTCGTCATTCTTTGATCCATATCTTTATGCATATTCGTTCGTTCTATTATTTGCAATCGCTCCATTCATCAACGTCCTTTATAGATTTACTGTGCGAAAGAAAATCTACAGCCCAACTGATGTCGCATCCCATTCCTATTACCTCAGCCCAAGATAATCGATACACATTTCCACTCACGCCCCTTCCTATCATCCTAATATGTCAACACTATCGCATCAAATAGAAAGTACGTTATACACCAGTCAATAGATAAACCCTCCCCTCCATTTCCCCTTTATACATCCGCAATACTAACCTTGTCAAAGCCCTACGAAATACAATCACATCCAATGGCAACCCCAAATTATACCGAACTCTTGCTGCCAGTTATGCTGAAGAAATCCAACAAAGCTCACTGAAGATGACGGCCTATGAGCAACAAAAGTGTTTGGACTTGCTAGAAAAAGTTAACGCAGACATAATCACCAAGTGTGCAAAACAAAGAGCCCCTTTCCAATTCACAGGTTCTCCAATCCCCCCTGTTTCCAGTTACAACAGGACGCAACAAAAGAAGACAAAAGTAGAAACCCATGATGATAAATTTGAGATCTGGACAGAACCCCTCGTGGACGAGAAGAGATCTATAGAGACCAATCACATTTATCTCAACTCAACTTCAGGCAGTGTTATTGTGTGCAATGGGAAAGCTATTCGATCAGTTCACATTGCAGAAGCTCAGAGATCTCTATTGATAATTGCTGCTTCCGATTCAGTATTCCTTAGAAAAGTGGAGAATTGTGTAATAGTGGTTTCTTGCCACCAACTACGATGTTTAGAGGTCAAAAATTGTTCCATTTACGTCCATGTTAGCAATAATACCATGACTATAGAAAAATGCAAGGGGCTCCAAATAGCATCACCACCTGACTCAGAACCAGTGATGGTGGATGACTTTAATGCACCCCTCAAATCGGACCGGAATCCTCATTTTGTTTACATTGACTATTCGTTATCGGGTCAATTGAGTGAATGGGCAGAATCTTCCATGGACGATGGGCCCCTTTTGCCGCAAGGTAAACAGACTCTTTGTACATTTTTGGAGCCGCAGACTATAATTCGATAGTATGGCATATTAAGGGGTTATGAAAACAGAGCCTTTTAAACGTTTGCCAATCACTTATCGGTCAAATATGTCAATATAATTAGCGAGCCACAACGGTTAATCGCGGTAATAACCGGCTTACGCAGGTGTTGAGATGGTCACGTGCTCATAATCAATTCCCGTCACCTACCGTGTCAGGCCGCGCGTTACCGTTATTTACCGTCTTTAAGCGAACACTAGGGTTGTTGGCTGCGAATTTTACTACTTGTCATCAAGTTGTTTTTAGAATTTTACCAAGAGGTATAAGAAGGGGGCCATTTGCCCTCTTGATTTTGGTTTTACGGTTTCAAAGAATCTATTATTATTCAATTAACAATCGGACTTCTATAAGATGGCTCCAATACTTACAAGACCTCCTAGTGGGGGGAACTTAGACTTGCAAAATGAGATGCTTCCATTGGGTGAGTATATTTTCCTTCGTGTCTTACAAGCTAATCCCAATATGAAAACTATTTTGGGAATTCCTGGTGACTTCAATTTGAACTTGATGGAACATATGTACGCTTCAAGTGTTGCTCTGAAGGCACGTTTTGTTGGTCTTTGCAATGAGTTGAACGCCGCATATACTGCCTGTGGATATGCTCGGAGAATGAGTGCTATGTCTGTGTTGATTACGACTTACGGCGTTGGTGAGTTATCAGCATTGAATGGTATTGCAGGTGCTTTTGCTGAATATTCCCCTGTACTTCATATCGTGGGAACCACAAGAATTGTTCAAAAACAGGCTGCAGAAAGTATAACTGACCCTCTGCAAGTTTGGAACATCCACCATTTGGTTCAAAATAAAAACCCATTGAAATCTTCCGATCACCAAGTGTATGAAAAATTGGTAGAGCCTTTTTCTGTTGCTCAAGAATCATTGATCTGGGATGGTGAAGAGAATGCTTCTGGTGTCAACTTGGACAAGATTGACCGTGTTTTGGTTAAAATCATTCAAGAATCAAGACCTGGTTATCTCTTTATACCTGCTGATATTCCTGACACAAAGGTTCCAAAGAGCCGTTTGTCAGTACCATTGGATGTTGCTGAATTAAAGGATGAAATCTCAAAGAACACCTTGCAATCATTGGTATCGAGAATTTTGAACAAATTATGTCTGGCTCGTGAACCTTCTGTATTGGTTGATGCTTTGGTCTCCAGATTTGGTTATGCACAAGAGTTGAGTTCATTTATCCTGACATTACCTGCTTATTATGTCAAATTATTCTCTACTAATTGCGGTCGTTTCTCAGACGAAACTTTGGTAAACTTTGTAGGTACTTATGCAGGTGGAATGTCTCCCACAAAGGAAATCAAGACACTGCTTGAAGATGAAACTGATTTCCTTTTACACCTTGGTAAGTTCAACGTTGAAGTTAACTATAAGTCTGACTTTTCCCGTATCAGAGATGTTGTGGTTGTACATCCTGATTACATTTACATTGATGGAGAATATATCTATACGAAGGATTTCACCACTGATTCTCGTATCTTCTCCATTGGTGATTTCTTGAAGGAATTGACTACCCAAACAGATGTTCTGGGTTTTATCCATCATGCACCTCATGTCGGTAACATCAACTACAAATATAACCCTAAGTTGTTTCATGATCCTAAGACTCTCAAGGTTAATGGAGTGGTAACTCAGAAGTATTTGGTTGATTTTTTCAACAGTTATTTACAACCTAATGATGTTTTGGTATGTGATACTTGCACCTTTCAATTTGCACTTGCAGATTTAAAGATTCCTAAAGGGGTTCAATTTGTTTCGCAATCATTTTTTGGATCCATTGGGTATGCTCTTCCTGCTACATTGGGAGTTTCGCTTGCAGAGAAGGATTTGGGTGCTAAACGCAGAGTGATTTTGGTCGAAGGTGATGGTTCTGCTCAAATGACTGTTCAAGAATGGTCTAGTTATTTGAGAAATGACATTCAGCCTCCCAAGATCTTTTTACTTAATAATTCGGGTTACACTGTTGAAAGATTGATTGAAGGACCAACTCGGTCATACAATGACATTCAAAGTACTTGGCAATGGACTGAAATCTTGAAGATCTTTGGAGATGCTGAGTGTAAGAAGCATACGAGCGCAAAGTTGAGCACTATTAAGGAATTTGACGACTATTTCATCAAGCAAAACCATATGAACTCGCCTAATGACAAGATTGAGTTTTTGGAGTTGGTTTTAGGTAAATTGGATGCTCCAGAACGGTTTGAAGCTATGGTTAACTTTCGTACTTTGTGTTAAATAAGAATTTGTGTGTAGTAGTTTTGTATTTATTAGCTTTTAATAAAAGCGTTGGGTGTATTAATATGAATAATTGTAGGTACAGTATCAGCTTTAGCTGAAATTATGAACCACGCACGACCTAAACTTTGGTGTATGGATATTTGATTTTATTTCCAAGTTGCAAATTAATATATTTACACCCTTTCGGCTGAGTTCTATATGCCTATATTCAACTAAATGCAACGGTTAAACCTGTACAGTTCATCCTTAGTTGACATTTAATACGGGAAACAGAGATCAACCGAGTGCCGTTAATATGCAGTAGCTCCCGAATGATTTTACCGAATAAAAACTCTCAGATCTATTCCCCTTTTATATATAGCAGAAAGTTGTTCGCAATCCTCAGCCATTCAGCAATCCAAGAAAATCTTATCAATTTTGCACTCCACTTTAATTATCCTGGGATATATTTCGCCTCAAGCCGATACATTCCGATTGGGGGTTCGCCTTTTTGGACCGAGACGTTGGCTTCCACGTTAACCGCCGTTACCTAGCAAATCTGGGGTACTGTGGTTGTTCGGAGGGGACTTGTGGCACAAAGTCAGTTTCCCCACTTTACGTAATACCGAGTGCAATCATTATATATAAGGCCCCACCATCATATTAAAAATATAGTAAGCATAGTTTAGTAGTAGTAGTGGTAAACCGTATCGATGTCTCACTATTTATATGCTAATAAAGAGAATGCGCCTCTTTCGGAGGTTGTTCAGAAAATGATGCCTCTTCCTATTGAAAAATGGAACAAAGGTATTGCACTTGAAGGAACTGAAGAACCTGGTTATTCAGCAATCTATCGTAATGGTGCATCACCTGAAGCGTTAAAGAGTGCAGTTGCTCCTGGTCTTTCAACATATAAGGAATTGTTCAAATTTGCCGTGAGCACCTACCAAGACAAACCGTTATTCTCCTACCTTGAATATGACTACGCCAATGGCCAATCAGCCACAGTGCCTACAACGATTTCATATAATGAAGCAGATCATTTGCAACGGAATTTGGGTTCTGGGATCGTATATCTCTTGCAAAATAGTCCATATCTTCAGCCGCAAGTGTTGAAATCTCATGCTAAAGTGGTCAACCATTCAAGAGACTATCAAAGTTATGATAAGCATAATCATTCCTTTGTTCTTTCTCTTTTCTCAGGTAACAGATGGGAATGGGCTGTTACTGACATGATGTCTTCATGTTTTGCCATTACCAATACTGTTTTGTATGACACTTTGGGTCCCAATGCCTCGGAGTACATTTTGTCATCGACTGAGTCTCCAATAGTTGTGTGTTCCAAGAATCATATTCGAAGTCTTGTGACTTTAAAGAAGACCAATCCCGATTCGTTAGCACCTTTAGTCATGATTGTATCAATGGATCCTTTACTGGAAGATATGGGGTTCACTAAGAGTATTATCGAAGAAGCCAAACTGGCGAACATTGATATCTTTTCCTGGGATCAAGTGATTGAAATAGGTAAAGTATTTCCTCATCGGGAATTGGATCCAACTGTTGATTCGCTTTTCTCCATTTGTTTTACCTCGGGTACAACAGGTAATAAACCCAAAGGGGTATTATTAGAACAACGTCAATGTGCCGCGGGGATCACTTTTGCTTTATCCCAGTTGGATAAGTTTGAAGATAACACAACCTTTTGTTTCCTTCCCTTAGCCCACATCTTCCAAAGAGAAATGTTAGCCTTTGATGTGGTTGTGGGGTCTAATATTGGGTTCCCCCGATTAGACAGTTCGCCGTTGACTCTTGTTGAAGATTTGAAGATTTTCCGTCCAACCAGTATGGCCAATGTGCCACGAGTGTTCACTAAGTTTGAAGCAGTGTTAAAGGCTGGAACCATTGATTCATCTTCAGTTATCAAGAGAACACTTTTCTCCAGGGCTTTCAATGCTAAACTGGTAGCCCAAGCACAAGCTGATGGTTGTGAAGGTCATCACTTTTTTTATGATACGTTGTTGATCTCCAAATTAAGAAACGTATTAGGGTTTAATAACATGAGATATAACATCACGGGGTCTGCTCCCATATCTCCCTCCACAGTGAAGTTTCTCAAAGCAGCTTTAGGGATCGGGTTGGCTCAAGGCTATGGACTCACTGAATCGTTCGCAGGGTTTGCCATTGGGTGTCCCTATGAAAAGGAACCGGGGTCTTGTGGTCCCACTGGTGTAGGGGTTGAGGTTAGAATAAGAGAAATCCCTGAAATGGGTTATACATTAGATGATCCTAAAGGTCCCAGTGGAGAGTTGTTGCTTCGTGGGCCTCAGATCACTCCTGGTTACTATAAGAATCCTGAAGAAACTGCCAAATCGTTTGATAAAGACGGTTGGTTTTTAACCGGAGATATCGCCAGAATCTCAGCTTCAGAAGGTAAATTATACATTGTTGATAGAGTTAAGAATTTCTTTAAACTTTCTCAAGGTGAATATGTTACTCCAGAAAAGGTGGAGAATGTTTACTTATCGAATAACTCTTTACTTCAACAATGTTATGTTCACGGAGACTCACTCAGAAGCTTCTTGGTCGCAGTCATTGGTATTCCTCCCGCAACCCTTAAAGAATTTCTCACTTCGCAATGTGGTGTCAGTCCTTCACAATTGACAACTGATGATCAACTCTTACAGGTTGCCAACAACAAGGATCATCGTAAGAAGTTGTTGCATGCTTTGAATAAGAATATTGCATCGAAACTCCAAGGATTTGAAAAAGTTCATAATGTATTCGTTGAGTTTGAACCCTTACAGCTCTCACGTGATGTGGTGACTCCTACAATGAAACTTAGAAGACCTGTGGCAGCAAAGTACTTTGCCAATCAAATAGATGAGATGTATACCGAAGGCTCCTTAATAAGTAAATCTTCTTTGTGATTTTAATAATATGCATATACGATAATATATTTAATTTTACATATTCATACATATTCATACCTTGTAATACATAATACTATGCTTATTGTATAATGACATTCAACAACCTTAAACTAGTATAATACATAATGTACCTTGATCATCACCAAAGTCGTGTACTAACCACTTTGATTATTCACCAGCAAAATTTCACTATGGGCAATGACCATAACATACAACAACTTATACTCTTCTGCAATATAGAACAATGGTATGTGACAAGGTACACCGTGGCCATTGAAAACACGCATATTAAAATGATGAGCGAGCTAGCGACGTTTACTAACAACCCCATAATTTAGTCAACACCCAGTATTAGTACCAACGTACAAGAGAAGGATGTTTCCGGGTTAGCCTTGATTGCTGCCCACTCTCATATCACAGGTCTTGGGTTGGACGACAACTTGCAACCCAAGGAATCTGCTCAAGGTATGGTTGGACAATTGAAAGCTCGTAAGGCTGCTGGTGTCATTTTAAGAATGATTCAAGCAGGTAAGATTGGTGGACGTGCAGTTCTTATGGCTGGGCCTCCATCGACCGGTAAAACTGCCATTGCTATGGGATTATCTCAAAGTCTTGGAAGTGAGGTTCCCTTTACAGCTGTTGCTGGTTCTGAGATTTTTTCATTGGATTTATCAAAGACTGAATCCTTAACTCAAGCGTTCCGTAAATCAATTGGTATTAGAATTAAAGAAGAAACTGAAATCATTGAAGGTGAAGTAGTGGAGATTCAAATTGACCGTTCTATTACTGGTGGTCATAAACAAGGGAAATTGACCATTAAAACAACTGACATGGAAACTGTTTATGAATTAGGTAATAAGATGATTGAAGGATTAACCAAGGAAAAGGTTTTAGCTGGTGATGTTATATCTATTGATAAGGCATCTGGTAAGATCACCAAATTAGGTAAATCTTTCACTAGAGCCAGAGATTATGATGCCATGGGACCTGACACTAAGTTTGTTCAATGTCCAGAAGGAGAATTACAAAAACGTAAAGAAGTGGTTCATACTGTATCATTACATGAGATTGATGTTATAAATTCAAGACAACAAGGGTTTTTGGCGTTGTTTTCTGGTGATACTGGAGAAATTAGATCTGAAGTTCGGGATCAAATTAATACTAAAGTGGCTGAATGGAAAGAAGAAGGCAAAGCCGAAATTGTACCTGGTGTTCTTTTCATTGATGAAGTTCATATGTTGGATATTGAATGTTTTTCATTTATTAATAGAGCTTTGGAAGACGAATTTGCTCCAACAGTTTTCATGGCTACCAATAGAGGTATTTCAAAGACTCGTGGTACTAAGTATAAATCTCCTCATGGATTACCAATGGATTTGTTAGACAGATCTATTATCATTCACACATCACCATACAATGCTGATGAAATTAGAACGATTTTATCTATTAGAAGTACTGAAGAAGAAGTTGAATTGAGTGCTGATGCCTTAGCATTATTGACCAAGATTGGTGAAGAAACCAGTTTAAGATACGCTTCCAATTTGATTTCTGTGTCACAACAAATATCTTTAAAGAGAAGAAGTAATACTGTTGATTTACCTGATGTTAAAAGAGCTTATACATTATTCTTGGACTCTGATAGATCTGTCAAATATTTGGAAGAGTTTTCTAGTCTGTTTATTGATGATGAAGGTAACGTGACTCTTGGATATAATGGTAACAGCAACAACAGTGCAACTAAAATTGGAGCTAAAGTCGAAGACGACAAGATGGAGACTGATTAAACAAAAATAGTAGTATATAATATTATTAAGACACAGAACTAAGAACTTCCTTTAGTATTTAAGATTAAAGCAATAATCATACCATAAAGACCTAACACTTCAGCAAAAATCAATATCAATACAATCCCTACAAATAATCTTGGTTGATGCATGAATTGTCTAATTCCTTCGTCACCAACCATTCCAATGGCATACCCTGAAGAAAGACAAGCCAACCCCACGGCTAATCCACAAGCCAAATGCATAAATCCATTGAACAATGTATATTTTTCAGTTGGTGATAATCCACCAGCAATCAATACGGCTACCACCAAACCATAAACTGATAAAATACCCGACATAACAACAGGAATCAATGATTTCATAATTAACTCAGGTGTAAAGGTACCAATACCAGCGATACCAATCCCAGATTTGGCTGTACCAATAGCAGCACCCGCACATGAAAACACCATGGCTGCTGCACATCCCGCAAACCCGAGGAAGGGTGCAAATGCTGGTGCATATTCATCCACGGTAGACATGTTTTTTATTGTGTATTTCAATGGCAGAATAGAGTCAGTCTGTCGTCATTAGACTCTTATCAATTTCGTCCATAACGTTTTTGATAATAAATTTGGGATGTCGTGTGTGGATCAATAAGGTAGTAGTTCGATTCGCACTCGCGAAGAAAACTAAAGCATGAACTAAACATAAACAAACATCATCAATCCAAACGCTATCACATCCATTGTCTAAAATATGTCATATAGCCACGAGAAACTAGCAATATCAAAACAAGAACTTCAAGCTCTTCATGGGCATCTACAAGATGTAGTGTTACAACATCTTGATATACATCTACCTCAAACAGTTAAGCATGATCCACTTCGAAATCAAGTGGGTAAAACCGCCACGGATATTATAGAGAGCGCATTTGTCATGGCCAAAGACCTGATGGTAGTTGATGGAGTTGATGGGGAAAGATACAAAGATGTTGGAGAAATATTAGCATGGGAGCCCAAAGAAGTAGTGGAAGACCTTGATACCACTATAAATAACGAACTTAGAGAAGTTTTGGTGGAATACGAAAAAGAAGTAGGCAGTTTGACTCAATTAAGAAGAACTCTACCGCAACAATTGGGTCAATATTATGATACTTTGGTTGCAGATACTGATGAACATATAACTGATGTCTTGACAGAAATTGACCACAATATTTCAGATGAAGAAAATGATCAACAATTAGAATCCTTGGAAATTGATAATGATTCTTTGAAGAGATACATTGATCATTTCTCAGAACTTCAAGAAATAAAGAAATCTCTTCCACAACGTAAAGCTGATCTTGAAAAGCTTCAAGACACTGTTAAGTTTTTGCAATATCAAATAAAATCAAATAGAAATCAATAATTTAAAGAACTGGGTTGTTTCTTCAAACATAGTAATAATGAATAGGGTTATAGGTAGTTAAGTATTGTTATGGTATACTTCATTTCGCTTAAATGTAAGTGTAGAGTTTATTTATCAGATAACCTAACCAAAATCTATTCTTAATACAAAACTGTTTGTGGAACGACTTCCCTAGCTTATAAGCACCATGGTATATTTTGTCCTTGCAATCATACTATTATATGCAAATTACCTGGTAGAAAGTCAAAATGTCAGCGTGTACCTGATTGACTGCCAGGCTGCAAAGAGTGCCAAGGGTGCAATCTGGCAACCAACAAGGTTCAACTAACCTTGCAGAAATAATTGATATCAGCCATCGATCCCACTTAATGTATACACATGTTTGACTAAAATGCATACTCTGTAAGCACCTTTTGCAACACTTCAGGATACCATCTTGCCGCCACATCTTGATGAGATTTAATTCTATTCTTAAAGACAGCCCAACCAACAGGCTGCGTAGCAACATCAGGAATAAATTGGAATCCTATATCCACACCCCATGCTTTAGCCTGTTCATCTCTACCATCTCTAAGCGCTAGCACTTCTGCAGGAATATTATTAATAAGCTCTTTGGTGGTATCCAAATTAATTGTTTGGAAAAACGGTATTGAAATCCTTGTACCTGAACCAGACTCAGGTATCAAAACTCTATGAATAGTAGCTTTACATACCCCATCAGTAATGGCTTCCAATGTTTGACCACAATTAATCACCAAAGAGTTGGGAATATAAGGTACTGTGACCCATTCTCCTTCAAAGTTTTGCACTTGTAACGAGTTACGATGTTCAGTTACTTGATGAATGTATGTTAATAAATCAGAGTCTCTATGAGGACCGCATCCTTGCTGTGTTTCTCCAGGTGCATCTTCAGTTTCTTTAGCCTCGACAGAATCAAGTTGGTGTGAATCAGGATATGCCACCATCTTCATCTTACATTGCTGATTAATTTTGAAATATTTATCCAAAGCATTGGCATCTAAGCCTAACAGTTCACTTACCAATCGACGGAAATTGTTACTGACATTAGTCATTTTGCTAATATAGTGTTCCACTGCAGGTCTAAAATTAGGTATTGCTTCACTTTTAGGCCATAAGTTGGGTCCTTCAATGTTCTTATATAATGGGTCTCCCTCCTTTGGTGGAGGTAACTCCGTCCCTAAATCTATTTGCTCTCTCCAATCAGTATGAGAAGCGGTTATTTCATTGGCCAAACGGGAATACCCCAAGAAATGCTTGGAATTGATCATTTCACACCCCAATTTGATCTCATCAGGTAACCGAAAGAAATCCACGGCTGCCTGTTCAATTTCATCAAAGTTTTCTTTATCAATCCCAAGAGTATAAAAGTTGGTGATTACTAGGAATCCAACTTCCACCAATGCATGTCGTAATTGAGCAAAAAATTGATCCTTGGTGTTAGGGTCTTGTGCCAACCGAACATCAAGTATAGGAATATCTTTAAATGACATTTCTAATAAAGAATCATATTGAATGTGGGAGAGACTCGAAAAGCGGAGAGTGCCTCCTCCCCCACCTTATATAAGATTTGAGTCACAAGAGTTATTTTTGATTCGCAGCCACAGTTTTTTCTCACGACACCCCAACACCAAAGCTTGTAATCGATGGGAGGAACGGGTACCAAGAGCAAGCCACAACAAGTTGGAGTTAAAGATAGAGCAGAAGCGCCACCTAAAATAGAAGCCACAGTTAAAGTGATAGAATAAATGCTGTTACCACCTGTTGTTTATTCTGGAGATGAAAGCTCGCAAAATGTCATTGGCGTCTAAATCACATCCAGTACCAGCCCTTTCACAACCCCAATTGAATTACACTAACAAAGTTAAATTAACCTCATACTTAATAGGAAGCATTGCAGATAGCTCAAAACCCAAATATAGTAATCTAATTACGTGAACAAAGTGTACTTTCGTAATACTAGTCGCTTCCAATAACTCCTATATCGTAAGTTACATTCTTTCGGGTTTGCAGTTGCTCTATTGCACGTGCTACTTCCCCGGAGATGTTTACCGAATCCGGAGCCGTAGCGAACAAAAGGAACTGTAATGGTATTGAGCCTAGATGATAAAAGTCATTATGGAGTGTTCTTTGTCGCTGAATAATTGAAAGAGCTACAGCTTGTGGCAATGATTCGTGGTACTGTGTTAAAGTTGCCAGGAAGACTTGCATCTTCCTTCTCCACAGGTGCACCCTGTCTTACAAAAAACTTAAGCGCCTATCGACTTAATTCCATTAGAGTGAAATCAAACATAGTAAGACTGCAGAACGTTGACTTTCGTCGAAATTTATGGAAATCGAGCATCTTATGCAAAGATTCAAAGACTCTGGAATCAACCAAGAAACCTAATAGTGCTTCTACACCTAAAAATGACAATGGATCAAATAAACCAACAGAATCAGAACCAACAAACGATTCTTCAACCTTATTTGGCCAAGAGATCTCCACATCCCAAATAAAAATGCTTCGGTCACTTTTGACAACCATTTGGCCTGCAAATAAACCAAGCTTCAAAATCAGAGTGTTGGTGGCTCTTTCATTATTAATAGGATCCAAGTTACTTAATGTTCAGGTCCCCTTCTTTTTCAAATCGATTATAGATGAAATGAATATTGATTGGGCGGCAGAACTAGGTACTGTTGGAAGTGTTGTAGGATCTTTAATTATAGCTTATGGGGGAGCAAGATTTGGAGCAGTTTTGTTTGGAGAATTGAGGAATGCTGTATTTGCTTCCGTAGCCCAAAGTGCCATTAAAAGAGTTGCCTTAAACACGTTTAATCATTTATTAAGTATGGACTTAAATTTCCATTTATCAAGACAAACAGGTGGGTTAACAAGAGCCATAGATCGAGGAACGAAAGGTATTAGCTATGTCCTTTCAGCTATGGTCTTCCATATTATTCCCATTACTTTTGAAATAAGTGTGGTTTGTGGTATTTTAACATATAATTATGGGGCTTCCTTTGCTGCCGTCACCTTATCCACTATGCTAGCTTATCTGATATTCACTATTCGCACTACCAGTTGGAGAACTGGGTTCAGAAGACAAGCCAATAATGCAGACAATCAGGCGGCTAATGTGGCATTAGATTCGTTGATAAATTATGAAAGTGTCAAGTATTTCAATAACGAAGCATTCCAAGCATATAAATATGACTCCGCATTAACCAAATATCAAAATGCTTCTATCAAAGTTGCTACCTCTTTGGCATTTTTGAATGCGGGTCAGAACTTGATTTTCACCTCGGCGCTAACTGCAATGATGTACATGGGATGTCATGGTATTGCTACAGGAGGATTGACAGTTGGAGATTTGGTTTTAATCAACCAATTGGTATTCCAATTATCTGTTCCCTTAAACTTTCTAGGTTCAGTTTACAGAGAATTGAAGCAATCCTTGTTAGATATGGAAAACTTATTTCAATTGCAAAATTATCCTATCAAAATCAAAGATGCTCCTGGCGCCAAACCTTTAAATATCACCAAAGGTGAAATCAAATTTGAAAATGTTAGCTTTGGTTATCATCCTGATAGACCTATTTTACGCAATGCATCATTTACAATACCTGCTGGTGAAAAGGTTGCAATTGTTGGACCTAGTGGTAGCGGTAAGTCGACCATATTGCGGTTAGTATTCCGTTTCTACGATGTGGATAAAGGGCGGATTCTTATTGACGGTCAAGATATTTCCTTAGTGACATTAGACCTGTTACGGAAGAATATTGGTATTGTTCCTCAAGAGACACCTTTATTCAATGAGTCGATTCTTGAGAACATCAGGTATGGAAGATTAGACGCCACCGATCAAGAGATTGATCAAGTTATTAAACAAGTTCATTTGGATTCTTTAATTCACGATTTGCCTGAAGGTGTGGATACACTTGTTGGAGAAAGAGGGATGATGATTTCCGGTGGCGAGAAACAACGATTGGCTATGGCCAGATTGCTACTCAAAAAGTCGCCCATCACCTTTTTTGACGAGGCTACAAGTGCTTTGGATACCCATACAGAACAAGCCTTGTTGAAGACCATTCGACTGATTTTCCGTCTGGCAGGTCACAGAACCACCAATGTTCTGATAGCTCATAGATTGAGAACTATTGCAGACTCTGATAAAATCATTGTCTTGAACAAAGGTGTGGTCCAAGAAGAAGGTACGCATATGGAACTTTTGCACATACCTAATTCATTGTACTCTGAATTATGGAATATTCAAGAGAATTTAGATTTGGATGAACTTTTGCATAAGGAAGCAGATGAACTTTTGTACAAGGAAGCCGGTGAACTTTTGCATACGGAATCCAATCAACTGAAATCTGAGTAATTCATAGGCGTTGTTATCTTGTTCATAGTTAGTTGTCATTATAACCTAATACACACTTTATTTAGTAAAGATCAATAACATTATGCTTGATTAGTACTTCATTGTACCAGTTGAGGTAGTTGCAATTCGGATTTCTGTGGTTACATTTCTGGTGAGATAGAGGAGGTTAGTGAAACAATTAAGGTTCCAGAATCAGGGTTGAGTGATCCGGGGCTTCAGCCGTTGACACACAAACGTATTTAGGTTGTTGCACTGACCGATGATCTGCACCAATTGCCTTTTACAATCAGGTTGCTCGACTGTCAGGTAAAAGATACTGAGCTCTTTGTTGTTTAGCTCTGGGCGTACTGATGTAACTGATGTATGTACGCGCTGTAACTGCCAGCTTGAGCATGGGAAAACGGTCGCATCATTAGCCGAGACAAGGCCAGTATGGGATACGGATTCGAAGTTGAAACCTGTGAGCCCCTGGAGCTTAAACTTTCGTATGGCTGCAAACGTTCGGCAACGGTTGCAATTGAGGCATGATAATAATGATGGTGATGATATTGATAACAAAGATTATTGTCCTAGACACGAAAAGGGGGGCAGTTAATTCACTATGTATACTTGATGAAATTAAAAATTTCTACTAGTGGAGACAAAAGTATGGCGGTTAATGATAATTTGAAACGATCTAGTGCCAAAAACAAATATCAAACACAATCAGCGAAGACTAACCATGTTTCAGATTGGTATTGAATGAAGGGCAAGTGAAAAAAAGTGATGGCTTATTTTCAGATCAATGCGGACATGTGATACATCGTAGGAATTAAAAGGGTGTTTGTACGTGTGTGAATGTGTGTGCATTGATTCTGGTGCACCGAAATAAATGAAACGTTTCTACGGCAGGTTGAAGAAACACGTTAAGGGTAATGTGACACACTACAACTGCTCACTTGATACATATGTGAAAATTATGAGTCCAATTTAGATATTCCCCGATGCAAATTAGCTTGAATACATAAATAATGATAACAATAACAATAACAATAACATTGGCATTACTACTGATAAGTAAGACAACGATTATTTTCGGTATACTTTCCTGACACGGTGCTGTAACAAGGGTAAAAAAAAGTTCAGCAGGACAGACACAGACGTTGGATCACAAAACGGCAAGCAGCACAATCCAAAGAAGCAAATACACACATTTAGAATAACTACCAACTCAATTGTTTCAGAGCGTGTCTCTTCTAGGAGAGGGGTGAACATAATCTGGAAAACCATTGAAGGGGACGGGGTACCTACCGCGGATGCCTGTAATTGTAATTGTAACTACCTTTACTTTAATTTGCGCTCTCAAAAGTTCCTTATCACGAAATTTTTCCCATGGGGTAATTCGTACTTGTAACTTTAATTGTACAGATTAGAATGAGGGTTCTGCTTATGAATATATGTACGTAAGTATGTATGCAAGCATGTAAGTATGTATGTATGAACCAATAAGTGCGCCAATGATTGAAAGTATTTACATATGTACTACTAAATTCTAAGTAAGAGTAAAGGTGCGAAAAAAAAGGAGTGTATTTATTGTTTGTTTACCATATTGGCTGCGACTTTTACCTGTTCTGGTTTCCGTCTGAGCCACGTAAACACCACTTGATGTAAACAACCTCCTTAAAACAATCAGAAATAATAAGCATATCGTAAACACAATGCATCCCTGCAATCTGGAACCTCCTCTATAAAACAAGTCGTGGGGTTGATGCAGACCTTTACCCAAAGGTTTTATGTCCATATATTTCAGTCTATTTGCACCTACTAAACTAATTCTTATCCAATTCACACATAGTTCATATACATATACATATATATACCTATATATACTGATTTATTCGGTCCAAGGATCGCTACACCATCTCAAAGCATAACCGGTTTTCATTTATCATAATTGTTTTTTTTTGTCAGTCATGGGCAAATTCTTTTCCCACCATTCATCAACTTCACTACCATCAGAGAATGCTCCTAAGGTTCTAGTGGCCCGTTCATATTCAACTTGCAGCAATAACAGTGTGGTGAGCAGCTCTTCCTCCTCACTCTTATCACTGTTTCGCATTCGTTCAAAGTCCCTACAGTCAAACTTCAATGAAAACCCTCCCAAACCCACTACCAATCCACCTGTTTCTCAAAGCAGATCTCACAGTAGATCCCAAAGCAGATCTTCCGATACCACATCATATTCCTTTGTCCAAACACCTATCACTCCTACTTCCACAGCAATGGATAATCTTTCCTATTTCAGTGGTATACGAGAAAACACCTATAATAATGACAAGGAAGAAGAACAAGAAGACGACGATGATGACGACTACGATGAAAGCGATGTCTTTGAAGTATTTCTGTTGACTGCTAATGGCACTGGTGCCATGTCTGCCAACACTTCGGCTGCACTGATCACAACCCCCAGTCCAATTACATCTGCAACACACGGAACAACCGCGCATTCAAGGAAACCTCTGGATCTCGATTGTATGCTTCCTCCCTTGCCTCCAACAGATATTCGTCAGTTTCAGCAGAAGATCAACAATTCTCCAGAACATCAACAGTACAGGAAATTAGAACATCAACAAAAACAGCGTCAGGCAAACAAGGCAGAAGATTTAGCCAATTACATTCTTTCGTTGGTGGATGAAGACACTTGTGACTATAACAGATGGGCTTTTTAAAACATCTAGAATCTTCATCATCAACAACATCATTGCAATGCACAAAACTCTATAGTATATATGTACAGGTTATATATGGTGCTATACTAACGAAGCTAACGAATTTACGATATGATTTACAATTGATCCACCAACCCATTGTAGTAACTGGCAAGCACTCTTTTCGGTTTGTTTTCCGCTTCTAATTCCTCCACCAATTTGGTCAAACCATGGTCTGGTAAAGTACTGGTCTTATTCTCGACAAACTCCTTTACTTTGGTGGGCTCCAGGGCCATCAATTGACCTAAAACCATCCGTGCTATGTTTTGTAACGTGATACCAATCTGTTTCGACCAGTCACTTCCCTTTCTAAGCGACCGGAAACACCATTGATTGTAGTGCAAGTTGAACCAATGCCATACTTGATCCTTGCGATCCACCGTTTGGTATTGAGAAACAGCACCCATTAATGCCAACTCGATTAATTTGGAATCGATATTGGTCATAATAAAGTTGAGTGTCTTGAGGAAAAGTGCATCATTGGAAGTGTACCCCAACGAAACAACAGCATATGTTTGAAGTTCATGGTTGGAGACATTGGTGTTGTTCAATAAGGAAACGTTTGAGTTCTTAGCAAACTCAAGCGTACGTTTATATTCCTTTTGAGTGGCAACATACATCTGACCATTAAAAATAGCCAGAAGAAGCTCTCCTGGAGTGAAAGACTTGCTAAGACCGGAACTTATAAAGTTCTTGTACAACTTGCGGACCAAGTCTTGAGCTCTCTTGTTGTGACTAGTGTTAAGTTCAAGAAGAGTGTTTCTACACTTCATCTCCACAGCGTTGTACTCACCTCGTTCAAGTTTTAGTAACGAGTCCCATTTCCCAACCTTATCATAAAGCTGTACGGAATAGGCATTGATCCATTGGGAAAAGGTGGTGTATTGAGTGAAGTTGATAAACACCTTATTGATATGCTCCAAGTAGTTTAAGGCCAAGTTCAACACGTTAAAGTCGATCTTCCATGACTTATGAGCCAAGCTGGTCAAAATTGCAAAGAACGTCGTCACTTCTTGTTCCGTGGGGGTTTCAGTAAGGACTTTGCCATAGTCGTTGATAAGTCCAAGTAAATCTATGGTGCTCAATTGATTGCTGGTTATGTTCTCGGTGATTTGGTTCGTAAGAGCGGGTGATTGGTATAATGTTCTGTAGAACCCTGCCTTATCATGATTCAAAATGACTATCTGGTTCACGGGGATTTCAAACAGCGCAGATCTATCGGTCATCATGATAGTCATTAATTTGGTTTCACCGTTATCCGCAACTATTTTGATGTTTAATGGAATATGGAATGGTACATTTTCATCATCATTAGAAGAGTCGACCTTGTTCTGAGTCAATAACAACTGCTTACCATTATGAGTAACCTCAACAATTGGATAAGCAGTTGATCGTAACCAAGCATGGATAAACGCAAGTATATCAACGGATTCAATTTGGTCGTTCATTGCCTTCCAAATATCCTGCAATTTGATTGATTTAAATTGGTACATCTCCAATACAGAGCTCCAAGCTTTAAAGAAGCCCTGGACACCAATGATCTTCATAAGCATCCGAAGAAGCACCATACCTCTTTCGTACATTTCAGGATTGAAAATGGTGGCTGTTGAACTACCGAGTCCAGTATGAACTGTTTGCATGTATTGGTGAATTGAAGCTGAGGAGGGAACATCCATTCCTTGTTCCCAACTATTTGTAGTGATATCGATCTCGAAATCATCAAAATGGCCCATTTCTGAAAGCGCATAATTACCCAAATACGAAGCAACAGATTCATTAAGCCATAAATCATTCCATTCTTCGAAAGTAACCAAGTTACCAATCCATTGATGAATTAATTCATGGGCTAAAAGTTGCTTTAACGAAAGTGGATTAGGGTTATGTAACAAGTGGTTTGAAACAACAGTAATGATCCCCCAGTTTTCCATGGCTCCATCACTTAAAAAGGGTAAACTAACAAAATCCAACTTGTCCAAAGGGTAGGGTACACAGAAAAGTTTGTCAGATATATATTGCAATATTTCAGACACCAAACAGGCAGATTCTTTGACAAGATGTGAATCACCTAGGCCAGTATAAAATCTAACGGGGATAGACAGTTTGGATGAAGTACTTTCCACATATTCCAAATCTCCGATAACGAATCCAAATACAGAAGGTGAGATTGGTGGAGTGGGTTTGAAGGTATGCTTTGTGTTTTCAGTCATGGAAACGTATTCTTCAGATTCTAACTGAGCATTTGCAACGACTTTGAATCTTGAATTGGTTGTGATGGATAATTGTACAGGAGCTTTGGAAGTCAATTCATCTATAAGTGGGAAGATAGTACGACAACCATGAGGTTGGGTATGAGTTGCTAAAACATAATTATCCGCTTTCCCGTTAATAGAATCCGAATAGTTGGTTTTGAATAATCCCCTTGTTTCATCTTTGAAGGTCTTGATGGTGTTCAATTGTCCCACATATTCGATCAAGACTTTCTTTGGTGCTACTGAACCTGGGTTGATTGTCCCAATAAGGTCAACAGTTTGGGAATCTTTGTTGTAGGAAACTTTCAAGGCCACTTCTTCTTCAGGGTCATCAGAAACAGCAAGCTTTGCCGTGGTGATGATAAGACGGTGAGAATGCAAGGTTAACTTGAAGGTGCTCTCATCTGGTTCACCACAGTAATTGGAGTTAGCAGCCAAGTCAATTGCTACTGTACCTGAAAAATTAGGCTTCAAATGGTTAATGGCAAGCGATACTCCATACTTCACAGGAAGATACTCATTTGAGAGAACAAGCACGGTTCCCATCTTTATTTCTCCTTTCTATGAACCAATTGGGGTTTACTTAAAGGTATAAGTACTTCCCAATACAGATCAAGATTTGAAACTGCGAAAATTTTATGCGACACAAGATACCATTTTGGGAAACCGCGACACTGGCGATACAATAGTAGAGCGATCATTGTATTGTTTTATGTTCCAGTCGATGATGATTATGATGGAGTTGCATCATAAGTCTCTTTTGAGGGTTATGAAATCGTATTGGTTATCAGCATTTCATTTATTCTGTTTCGATTCGGTTAGATTCGATTCGGTGCGATGCGATGCGATGCAATGCAATGCAATGAGATGAGATGAGATGATGCGAATCTCTTCATTCATATTCACTTATAAGGTCAAGAAAACAGAATAAGTTCAATAATTCTACGCGTATTGTGTCAGCTGAGCTAGAGAAGCTTATCGGTATTTGCATCGGGCGTGCGGGTGAAATACCACCACAATAGCCCCACACTAACTACAGGAAGCTCGAAGCGCACTACCTTGTACGAGGTGACAGTGTACGATCACGAGAGGTCATAGGCTAAGGTACGGAAACGGAAACGGAAACGGAATACTGTTAAGAATCTCAATTAGTCATCTCAGCTGACCACTCTACAGCTATACAACATCGCCAACATAATCACTTGAATCATATGATGAAATCAATATGAGCATTAACTAGTACGTACAGCTAGTCCCTTCTTAACTATCTCATTTAGGAGTATCTCTGTCACGCACGACCTTGCCGGAGTTTTGTATCTTGTTGGGACCGACCCAACCAGACGCAAAATTTTGCTTCTATTAGAGAGTCCATCTTCCATTAACAATAAAATAACCATTGGGACCGAAAGGCCGCGGTTTTGCTGTTCCCGGTATTTCTCATTTCCCCTATAGTGTATAGGATATTGGAATGTCGTACAGTCCAATCCCTTTAGTCGTAGTAGTAATAGTAGTGCATTTTAGTAGTAAGTTTGCGGTGTAGAAAAGTTAGTTGGTTCGGCTGAGGGTCTTCCCCGGATTTTTCACCCAAAACTTTTAAAGCTTTCCTTTTATATATATTCCCACTATTGGCGGTAATACGCATAGAAGCTTTATGTTATTATTATTGATATTATTAAACGTCATAATTTAATCCATAGTCGTTATTATTAATCCCGTTCCCCATACGACCAGATCCTAGCGCCATTACGTCTATAATTAGCGATAGTAGTTATTATTGCATGCCATAGTTATTTATTCATTCTCCACTATTTATTCTTGTACTTAATCATTGGCCATGCCATTATTCCATTCTAAAAGGAAACATTCGTACATTCAAAACAACGGCGAGCTTTCCACGGCGTCGTTCGGTACTATTAAAATTGAATGTTCGGGTGCTTACATTGCAAACGACCATCTTCTTCTGGTGAATAAAGAACGGACGGATATCAGTGCATCTTCCTCGAGTACCAACTCATCTCGAAGCTCACTGGATACAGAAGAATCCGAAGAGAGTCCAGCATCAACAAATGGTACATCTCAATCATTACAAGAGTCCAATCGTCATGAATACATCCAAGCCAATGGCTCAGCTACAACGTTAGTACTGAATGGCAAACAACAACAACAACAATTACTGCCTGTCCCTATAGATACAACCATAGATCAAAATCTTACTAAAAGAATCACGTTACCACAACATTCAACGGAAATCATACACATTTCAGTGGACATTGGTGGTACATTAACCAAGCTAGTTTATTTCACTCGCAATAGCTACAAACAGAGAGGAGGTAAACTCCATTTCCGAGATTTCCAAACAGAAAACTTCACTCTGGAAGTACTTGATTTCATCATAGCATTGGTTAAAAAATCATGTAATCCTACAGAATCCAATGGGAACCAGCCTCCAATTACTCATATAATGGCTACTGGTGGTGGAGCGCATAAGTTTTATCAATTTATGAAGAGCACATTTGAAAAACGTAAGCTACCCATAAAAATCGTTCCTACGGATGAAATGGAGTGTTTGATCAAAGGTTTAGATTGGCTAATCACCAAAATCCCCAATGAAATCTTTACATATGACCTTAAATTGGATAAGACCATGTTTGTTGATGATGATGCCATTACTCAAGACAACATATACCCCTATCTCTTGGTTAATATAGGTAGTGGTGTATCTATGATTAAGGTTACTGGACCAGGTAAATTTGAACGGATTGGTGGATCTTCATTAGGTGGGGGCACATTATGGGGGTTACTTTCACTTTTAACTGATGCCAAAGATTACAATGAGATGCTAGAGATGGCTTCTAAAGGTAACAACGAAAATGTTGATCTTTTGGTGGGGGACATTTATGGAACATCTTATAATAAAATTGGGTTAAAAGCTTCTCATATTGCCAGTTCCTTTGCCAAAGTATTCAAGAAACTCAGGTTTAACACAGATTATTCCAAACTTACACCTCAAGATAAGCTTGCCATGTTCAAACAACAAGACATTGCAGTTTCACTTTTATATCTGATTCTGAATAATATTGGACAAATTTCATATCTTCAAGCTCTTAGATTTGGACTTAAAAGAATCTATTTTGGTGGCAGTTATATCAGTGGCCATATGCAAACCATACATACACTTAGCTATGCTGTTAATTTCTGGTCCAATGGAGATATGCAAAGTTATTTTCTTCGTCATGAAGGTTATTTAGGGTCTGTGGGAGCATTTATGATGGGACCAGATACAAAGAGTCTGCCACCCACACGTTCTGGAACGCCATGAGATGAGATGTGCTTCAAAATTATTATTATTATTATTATTATTACTATTTATTATGTATATAATATTATTTATTAGGCTTCATTGTTTTCCATATACTCCTGACCTTTAATATCTCGGAGTTCTTTATGCCATTATTGCCCCTCTTGACCCTGACACCAGAAACCCAGTGCCCCACGAGGCATCAAGGTACAATAGTGATTAAAGTTATACTGCCACACACTCAGAGCGTACTAGTACACGGTACTAGAACGCTTCTGCTATCATAGAGCGTCATACGGGACTCTGTAGTCATCGCACACATACCTCGGTTCAACTATCAGCTACTCTCTTCCACCTACACCATACAATACATGACAAAATGAAGCGGCACCAATAATCAACACCAGTTCAGCTCCTTCTCGGAACAATATAGGTTAACTGTAGTGATGCATACCGTTAGTCTTGTCTGCGTCTGCGTCTTGTCTGCGTCTTGTCTGTATCTAGTATGGCTTGGTCTGGTCTGGTCTTGTCCCCCACCCCCGCCAAACCTCCACCTAATCTGGACCAACCGAAAAAAAATATAGACTCAAGATGTGCACCACTAAACAACAACACCCATTCATTTTTTCTTTTGAGCCAGTCCATCCAGACATCCATTCCATTCCATTTCATTACGTCTAACCATCGCAGACAGGCACACGAGTTAACGTTGCGGCTTTTCAATATATCTGACTCGTAGTATATATAAGGACACATAGAGCTACATATATATAACATATATATATTTAAGGTATATGAATATGGGTACACCAGGTCCCACTCAAGAGTGGACAGACGTGCTTCAGCACAGAGATAATCATATTGCAACACAAACTACCTTTGGAACCAGTCCGACTAGAAGGTTATTCAACGATATACCCAATATGCCCACTACGGCTACCACCACCCCTTTAAAGGGAAGATTATATGATGCTATGGTGAGTGGCGAGAAATGCGAGACCATCACCATCAATCCGGCAAGTCACGAACTGGATCACCAAAACGAAGAAGCATCAAAACAGGTTACGTCTTGGGATATATGGTGGTCAATGATTTTGACAGTTTTGGGGAAGGATAAAATGGCAAGAATGGCTCAATATCTGCTTCGATTGATTGTTTATTATGCAAACAAGAGTGAAACATATTTAAGTGATGAATCTATCAATTTACAACTGATTCTTAATCGATATAATGATAGAGAGAAACAGTTGAATATATTTCGGAATTTGTTTAAACATCCTCAAAACTTTGCTAGAATTGCAACCATTCTTGGATGTCATGTGTTACAACAAAGAGTTAAAGCAGTGGTGCCTGCGTTATCACTTTTCAGACAAATGCTTAGAACTGGGAAATCACCTTTTAGAATCCGAAATTTGGTTGTGGCTTTGAAAAACGCCATAGCACCAGATGGTTCAAGTATCAATTGGCAGAAACTTTTGGTCAAAAAGAATATAAGTGATCTTACTGGACTTTACTATAATATTTGTGATGAATATTTATTACTTTATAAACTTAAATTGGTCCATAATCGTGAGATGCATACATGGGCATCGAGACACGAAATGATAGCATGGTTTGTGGAAACTTGTTTTGCTCTTAATACCACCTGGAAAAATCTACAAGAGTTATCTGAAGAAGAAATGGATTTGAAGATTCAATCTCAAGTTAAGCAAAGAGCTCGGGTGCTTAGTCGACTGATTCTTGGTTCAGGGTCGGCAGTCATTAATCATAATACTACTACTACTAATAACAATAATAATAATAGTGGTAATGTTGCTGCCACCACCACTCAAATAGAGGGCTTGATTCCAGGTAGTGGTTCAAATAGTATGTCCAGCAGCATTATGAGTTCTTATCTGACACATGAAGATTCCAAAGAGGAATTGAAACAAATGAAAGATCTTCAATTCAAAAAGTATTCCAATTATATGGATTTGTATAAATTGATATCCGATTTTGCATTCTGTTTCTATCTGGTATTTAAAGTACCGTTACCCTTTGGTTCTTTGCAGATTATATTAGGTGTGATGTCCAGTTCATTCAGTTTACACAAGATATATCGTGAACAACGGAAGAAGTTGGTTGACCGTAAACGGGCCGAACTTTCCAAACAATAATATTCATGATAATACTAATTAATGCATATGGGATATAGAATTATAATTATGAACTGAATATTTGGTCTAAAGCGAATAATTATGAAAATACTTGGTCCAAAGTGATGTCACTTGATATTTTAGATGCTTCTTTCCAAAACTTTGATAAATGCCTAGCACCCAGATCACATGCTATAAGGACAACTTTTCTACCCACTAGACCTTGTTCTTGAATCATTTTGATAGCTGCAACACAATTAATAGCTGAACTTGAACCCCAGAAGAGTCCATCATGAACACAGAGGTATTTGGCCATTCTAATTGCTTCTTCATCTGTCACTTTGTAAGCCATGTCTATGAATGGTTCTGCTACAGTGAAATTGTGAGTTAAACGATTTAACCCAACTCCTTCAACAAGTGTGTCTACTTGATGACGTCTTCTGGTTCCTTCTCTTTCCACAGTATCGTACATTACTCCATAATTGACTCTATTAGCCAACCCACTCCCTTGGGGGTCAGCCAAAATAACTTTCACATGAGGATTTTTACCCTTTAAATACTTCAGAACCCCAGCTATAGTACCTCCTGTCCCCAGTCCAGCAATAAAGTAATCGATGCCTCCGTTAGTCTGTTTATATATCTCTGGACCCGTGGATTCATAATGGACTTTCCAATTCAACTCTGTTTCAAATTGATTGGCGAAAACAGCCGTGGCAGGGTTGCTAGGATCGTTGTTGATGGATTCTGCTTGTCTTCGAGCGGCGTTTGTGTATTGGTTGGGATCCACTATACTGGCGGGGTCTACAGGATGAAGAACACATCCTAAAGCAGTAAGAGAATCCAATTTCTCTTTGGAAGTATCGTTAGGTAGACAGATATGACATTTATAACCCATCGCATTGGCCAATAATGCTAAGGAGATCCCGGTGGATCCAGAAGTACCTTCAACAAGCACATCATCTCTGTGAGGTTTGATTACACCATTTTGTTCATAGTGCCTTATAATAGCAAGAGCAACTCTGTCTTTAGCTGAGCCACCTGGATTGATGAGTTCGAGTTTAGCATATATCTTACATCCTGTAGCTCTAGATAAAGATTTGATCTCTATAAGAGGGGTATTACCTATAAGCAGTTCCACACCTTGTGATAATGGAGGACATGCCTTTGGAGATGATGGAATGATTTTCTTTTTATTATTGGATCGGGGAACAACATTATTAATATCTATACCCAACTCCTGATGTATGTGATAGATCACAGCTATTGCTGAGACTATTGCTAATGTGGTTTGAGCCACGTTCAGCCAATTCAACGGCATTGAGTTATAAGACGTGTGGCTATAAGCAGAAAAAATGTAAATGTAATGGTTAACTTGTGGATGTTTTAGTGTACTTAATGTCGCATTGACGGTTTCTTATGTAAGCGTTTGACACATATCGTATATTTCAACGTTTTAACCTAGTTTTAAAGCCTCCTGTTGTAAGCTTAAATTGGTATTCCCCGATATGCCGAAAGTGGGGAAGGCTGCAATAAATGTGAAGTCCGATTAACGATGAGCCTAAAATCAACTGCTATCAGTTATCAAGATCCGCAATAGTTTTAAGAGTTTAATGGTTATAACTACAGATTTCTTATGTAGCATTACGCCATAGTTTTTCTCTATCATGTCCAATCATAGCAAGTTTCAGAGAATTGATTTTTTCATTAGGAATTCGAAGTAGATATCGTCGGAGTCAAATATCGGTTCGTACTACTCATGATGCCGAAGCACCACCAATAATACTATTTTGCACCATTATACAGTACAAAAGCCGTTAACAACTCAATTACATATGTACAAATTCTGGAGGTCGGGTAGCACTCATGTAGGGAAATACGTATGTAGAGAAGTACGCATGTAGAGAAGTACGCATGTAGATCTGGAGTACGTAACGACATGTGGGAGAACATATGCACTTATGTAAGAGCATTAGTACATATATGTATACGAATTACTACATATCAATATGAACGAACAAATTGGTATTAACCCGTATAATGGTACTCTTTTCCGTGCTTAATTGGATTAATCATTGCTCTGTAAGAACACCAATACATTCTTTTTTTTTCCATCTGTCCATAGCCCGCTGTTAAATATTTGTATCCGGATCTTCCCCGCAGCCTGGAATAGTATGGCTCCCTCTTGCTGTCGCCACTACCCACCACGAATAAGGCATCTGCAAGTGCCACTGCTATTACTTCGACTAGGACGCCCTCGTACCACGACATAGCTGCTACCAGTACAACGTTCCACTTCATTACCACCACAGTGTGTCCACTACTACGTCCAGGGTTCTTCTTTTTACGCTAGAGCCTAAAGTACAGTCCCTCACAACCAAGACACTACATACCATACCCCTTGTTAAGCTTTTGTTTGTTTCATTCACTCATTCACCCCACCCCACATTTGCCGCCACACGCAATCCTCCAGAAATAAGGTAGTTTGCCTGCTTACGTACACCTAACGTTAATCATCGTTATATTAGTGAATAGGAAAAAGTTATCTGCAAAGGGATAACAATCTTTAGCATCGTCAAATCCACTCTTGTGCCCCTTGGCGTGTCGTATTTGCACGTTTATAAATGACAGCAACAAGGGAACAAGCTGAGTCCGCTCCCGTAAAGCGAGAGGACCAGGAGGTCAATGAATTTTTGCCGACCAAAAACTCCTCGTCTTCGAAGGTTGGCGGCGTTGTTGATGAGCTGGAAGCAACAACAGGAGCGGTAACGGCATCAGCTTCGGCAGCAACTGTAACGGCGTCATCCACAAGTCCTGAAAAGACCAAGGAGAAACCTAAAGCGTTCACCATCAAATATAAAAGACCCAGAGGATCTCGTGCGTGTGCTGTTTGTCGTTCAAGGAAGGTTCGGTGTGACGCGGAGATTCATATCCCCTGTACCAATTGTATTACCTTTGGATGTGAATGTGTGCTTCCAGAGGCTAAAAAGAGAAGCAATAGCGACACTACAAGAACAAAGCGAATAAAACATGGTGGGGGTGATTATAATACTCCCATCTCCACTTCAATGTCTAAATCTGGGTCGTCAAGCGTAGCTGAAAACGGTGGCGATGGAGGCGATGGTGATTTAAGTGGTGGTGGTGGTGCAAATGGCAGTAAAAATGGAGGGGTTACCGTCACTCATAGTGGTGGAGGTGGAGGTGGAGGTGGTGGTTCCTCTACAACAACAAATAGTATCCATGGAAGATCTACCAATTCGTCTTCTTCTGCCAATGGGCCACATTCAGCGAACGAAACCATCCTAAATATAAGTCAAGTCCTGATTCCTCCTTCTCTTACATCTAATTACAAGGTCAGGCCCGGTATTCACAAGAGAGAAGTGCTTATGGGCAATACAAAGCCTACAGTCACCTTTCTTGGGGCATCATCTGTTGGTATCGTGGCTCAAAAAGTTGGAGAACCTCATATTAGATTGACCGAAGACGTTTACGATATCCCTGATGGGTCCCTTGATTCAGTTGAATTGGAGATCTTGAAGATGAGAGGTGCATTTCTTTTACCACAACATGATTTAGCGTTGGATCTTATTGAAACTTATTTTGAACGTGTTCACCCATTAATGCCGGTGATTAATCGATCAGAATTCATGCGGAGATTCCTTGATCCTAAAGATTCTCCTTCCCTTATGGTTCTTCAAGCTGTTTTACTTTGTGGGGCCAGAATTTCCAAGAATCCATTGGTTTTGGATCTGAAAGGTTCAACCAACTTGGCATGTCTTACCTTCTTCCGTCGTGCTAAGGCATTGTACGAAACGAGCTACGAACTGGACCCAGCATCTACATTACAAACATTGATTTTAATTGGTTCGTATTGGGAGGGTCCTGAAGATGTCACCAAAAATTCATTCTATTGGACTCGTGTGGCCGTTGGGTTGGCTCAAGGGTTTGGATTCCATAGAGACGTTAAAAACTCTCCTAATTTAAGCACAGTGGATAAGAAAATTTGGAGAAGAATTTGGTGGTGTCTTTTTGAAAAGGATCGGAACGTGGCCATTGCCTTTGGACGTCCTTCGGTAATTGATTTGAACGATTGTGATGTTCCCATGTTAACAATGGAAGATTTCAATGAAGATGAACCGGACTATAAACTGCCTTATCAAGTGAATGAAACCCATGCGCTTTATTTCATTCATTTGGTGAAGTTGGCAGAGATTACAGGAATCATTCTTAAACATCAATACACGGTGAAATCAGAGCAAATGAAATCAAAATTGAAATTTAGTGTCATTCAACATAGTGATATGTTAATGGGGATTTGGTTTACATCGTTACCACCGGAATTATCCTTTTCTTTAACTGACCCAAAGACTCAAAACTTTTATGCTTGTCTTTTGAATGCTCAATACTATAATCGACTCTATTTGATTCATCGGTCCAACTTGTTGCGTATGGCCAAGTCCAATGCTGCGAATTCCAGTAATTATAAATACCCATCTTGGGGGATCCTGTTCCAAGCTGCTCGGATGATTAGTATTGTTTCTAAAATTCTTTTGGAAAGAGATCAAATCCGATATTGTCCTGTGATGTTTGTGTATATCTTGTTTCTGGCACTTGTGATGTTGATTTATCATGTGGATTCTGAAAATAATGTGATTGCAACAGCTGCATCTGATTCCCTTTATGTTCTGCGTTCTGTTCTTCGTGAATTGGCCAAGTATTGGCCCGTGGCGGAGTTATTACGCAAGTTGTTTGATAAATATGCCAACGATAAGATCAAAAGAGCCAAGGTTATTGAAAAGGGTACCAAAATGGCTTACTACGAAGATGCTGCTGCTCAAAGAGAATTACTTGCAAGATCAAGAACGGTTAATTTCCAAGGGACTACCAGTACATCGCTTAATGATTTGTATCTGCATGCTGTTGAGCGAAAGCAGCAGTTCAATCAATACCAACCTCAGCAGCAGCAACAGGAGCAGCAACAGCAACAGCAACAGCAATATGAACAAAATCTTCAACGTTCTCAATTCCAAGATCATCTGCCATCTAATTCGAATGGTGGAAGTGGTGGTAGTGTTGGAACTATTGGTGGAGTCAATCTTCAATCGATATCACCCAATCTGAATATCTCAGATATTTCTGCAGCAGATACAAGACATAAAGGTCAAGGACAAGAACAAGGACATTCTACGAAGATTGACTCTACATATTCATTCCCAGACATTTCGCTTGTGACTGAATCCATCGATAAAGACAACCAACACAACTTCTTGGAGAACTTTGATCCCACCCAGCTTTTCCCCGACGTGAAATTCAGTTTACCTCCCACCAGAGCGCAATCGCCCGAACCGTTCGCGAGAATGAGTCCAACGACCGAGGTCTCTGGTGAAGAGCACAGTGAAGCCACGCCTAATTTGGCCCATGAGGGCCAAGCGATGGCAGGGTTACCTTCGATTGGACAAACGCCACAAGAGATTGCTCAAACGAATTTCATTGATGATTCGTTCCTCAATATGAATCTACAAAAGATGGACGAAGGACTCGGGAGTTTCTTTAGTTACCTGATGTGAAATGGTGATGCTCACTGCCTCTGAAGCTTATGTAAGATCTCTTCTCGTTTAAGTTTTTGACTATAACCAATGACACTTTGTATTACTGTTTCGTAGGTTTCAAATTCCCCCTGACACGACGCGATTTCACCCATCCAAACACTTGCCAACTTCAAGAGTTGGTTGTAGAAGTGTTGGAATTGAGCCAACTTTTCGTCCACCACGGCCATGTCGCTGTCCAATAAGAACTTTTCGCTCGAATGGTTGAGCATCCCCAGTTCGATATTGCTTAGCACTTCTGAGGTAGTCGTTTTGATCAGCTCCACTTCTTCAACGGGGATGGCTTCTATTGGGGGAAGTTCAAACCCGTCCCAATCTATGTGAGTTCCACCATCAAGATGCGACGACCCACTGGGTCTTCGACCGCGGATTATTGCTGTGTCCACCTGTAAGTTATGCGACGACGACGACGACGTACCATCAGAGGTCAACTCGTCCAAGTTGATGGGGATCCCAAGTCGAAGAAGTAGGTTGTATCTTATCTTCAGTTTAGTCCAATTGGGTGGCAGTAAATATGGTAATCTAGAGAGTTGTCCAAACACTTGTTGTGACCTGTCAGAAAGTAAGTCAGGAGAAGCCCCCCTAGACACCCCCCTGGACTCATTCTGATTGGCTGATATTGGGAATAATGTACTCAAAAGCGTGTCGAGTCTTTTGTCAAAGAGTTGTGGATTTGAAAGGGTGTCTTCAGTAAACGTAGTTCCTTCTTCTACTTCTGTCGTTGTAGTGTGAACCACTGCTTCATTAAAGTCGTCGAAATCAGAGTCAAAATCCGACTCGGCCTCTGATCCAGACATATTGTGAATGAATAAGACGAATAAGACGAATACGACGAATGGCGTCAAAATGTAAACGGTACGACGTAAACCATTTTAAACCGTGCGAAATTTACACCGCGACGATCACTACTGCGACGGGAATCATTACCACCACTATTTCTACCGCGATAACCACTACGACCACTTCCACTAACTGCCACTAATACCACCACTACCACTGCTTCTGCTGCTGCTACCACCACTACTATGATCTACTTCTTTTCTGTCGGAAACCCTGGCCCTGTCAACCGACATTCTGTGGGTCACAAAGTCTTACAACATTTAATACACAGCAGCCGCGCACCACAACTAGTCAAGAAAGGAACATACTCCATAACCTCGTTGGCCGATGCCTCAATCACATTTGTTCGTTCCAATATTTATATGAATGATTCCGGTCGACTGTTTGCCAGTTTCGTCTCCCAGGAACGAGTCAACTTCAACTCCGATGTCGTATTAATTCTTTACGATGACTTTGATCACAAGCTCGGTAGCGCCAAGGTCTCACTGGGCAGTTCATCGGCTTCTCATAATGGCATCAAGAGTATAAAGAAACACATGCCCTCAATGCTGCAAATACCGTCCATCTTTAAGGTGGCTATAGGTGTAGGACCAAAGCCTACTACGACGTCTAGAGATACAATTGCATCGTGGGTCTTGTCACCATTCAGTGTAGACCAGTTACTGGTTCTTAATGAGGCAACTATGGTGAAGATGGACACACTATTAGACTATGTGTGTGTTGACGACATTGACGACATTAATTTGACCCAACTAAATAAACTGTTGAAATAAAAGGCTCTGCACCAGACGCACCAAACGGTAGCGCGCCAACGTCTAATTTGTAGGCAATATCTCAGTATCACCGTCTCTATGTTGTATACTCTTTAACAGCATGAACCATAAAGTCTTGATCTTCGATATAGAAGGAACGGTGTGTCCTATTACATTTGTTAAGGATGTTCTTTTCCCGTATTTTACTGGTCAGATCCCCCAGATATTAAGCGCATACAAATACCCATTAACTGGAAACGTTGACACTGATCATGATCCGATTCTTGATACCCTATTGAAGTTCCCCCAAGACACCCTAACATCACAAGAAACGCTCCGTAGTCATATTTTACAGCTTGTTGCCGCCGATATCAAAGAGCCAGTATTGAAGTCCCTACAAGGTATCGTATGGAAGAAAGGATATCAATGTGGAGACTTGAAAGCTCCAGTGTATGCTGATGCCATTGAGCTCATCACCAAGTTCACACAACAACCAAATCAAAAGGTATACATTTATTCTTCTGGAAGCATTGCCGCACAAAAGCTTCTCTTCGGACATGTGGAAGACGTTGGAGACATGAACCAGTTTATAAGTGGATACTTTGACATCACAACTGCTGGGTTCAAGACTGAGACCTCATCTTATACCACCATTTTGAAGGAAATATTTGGTGATGGTGAAGAAGAAGAAGAAGAATCTGTGCTATTCTTAAGCGATAATGTTAAGGAGGTGAAAGCAGCAAAGGAAGCAGGAATGGAAGGCTATGTTGTGGAAAGACCAGGCAACGCTCCATTAACAGACTCGGATAGAAGGAACTTCACAATCATCAATACCTTTGAGGATATGGTATAGGTCATACATAGATACATACAAACATACATATAGTTATAGTTTAGCCATACTTGTCTCTAAACAAGATATCGGCAGCCACCTCTTCATTCTTATCACAGGCCAAGTATACCTGAACTACCATGGTACGCTCGAACCCCAACTCGCATAATCTGATAACAGCGTTTTCTTCCAGTTCAGTCAAATTAACAGTGATATGACCTCCACTTCCTTCATGGCCTTCACCACCTTCTTCGGCTCCTTCGATTGCTCCTTCTTCATATTCATAATCTTCACCAGAGAGGAACTCATTAATAAATCTATCTGGATCTTGTTGGATAGCCTGAGCAATGGCAGGGTTAGTGGCAGCAAGTCTCTCTAAAAGAGGTGCGATCCATTCCGGATTGGATTGAATGGCCTCTCTAAGTAATGCCAACTGCTCCTCTTGTGACTCTGGGGCTACAACACCACTGGGTTCATTTTGATGGGCCTCTTCAGCAGCAGCTGCGGCAGCTGCAGCTTCAAACAAGTTCTCCCCCACATGGTCTTCATCGTCTTCGTTGGCGGTGGTGGTGTCATTTGCTTCAGTAGCTCCTGTTTCAGCACCGGAATCAGCTCCACCTTCAGCAGCTTCGGCTGGGACAGGAGGTGATGGACGTTGCAAGGACTGAGGAATACCCGTTAACAAGTATTCAACCGCACGGTGAGGGTTGTTGAAAGCCGCTCTCAAGGCTTCAAGGACTTGAGGTCTTGTGTAGCCCATTTCCATGATGTTTGTGATGGTTGCTTCTCTTTCATCGCCTTGGGTGAACGCAGAGCCTGCTTCGGAAGATTCTGAAGGACCAGACTCCGTTGCCGCAGGAGGAGTGCTAGAAGCTGGAGCTGGAGCAGAACCGGAGCCAGATTCGGAAGCAGCAGCAGCTGGAGCAGCAGCTGGCACCGGAGCTGGCACGGGGGTCTTCTTCTTTGAGATCATAAAGATAATGGAATCATTCTCTTTAATTTTGATCTCTTCCAAAGTCTTTTCGTCTTGTAACACCTTACCAGAATAAACAAGCTTCAATTGAGATGGCTCACAATCCTTTTCAGCCCCGAGCTTTTCCTTGACGTTCAACACGGTTTCGGAAGGTTCTGCATCGATGGGGATCTTCAGTTTCTTAAAGTCTTTCAATACAATCTGCATCTTGAGTCAGTGTACAATAACAATAGTGATGGCGATGATGTTGTAATATTGGTGACGTTTGCTACCACTGGCACTTACTGCACTGTATCCACTTGTTCTATGAGCACAGACAGTCACGGTTGACAAAATTTCACTGTCAATTAATTTTGATTTGGGTTTTGGTTTTCGCCCCGCGATGTGGAGGAGGCTGACACTTACTACTGGTATAGTTAGCACGGTAAGTTGGAGGACTCTTACTGTAAGTAGCTGTTGGAGGAGTCATATTGCTGTGCAGTCTGCTGTAGTGATACTGTTGCCGCTGCCGTTGCTTTACTGTTCTATCGCTGACACTGTCTGTCTGTCTGTCTGTCTGCCTGCCTGTGTGTCTGTCTGTCTGCCATGAGATCTCGTCGTACAACCTCTAACGTCAAAGGACCCAACTCGGCGTTAACTGAGTTCTTAAGACTGGAAGGTATCACCGATGCTTTTAGAAGAAGACGTGAAGCTGAAGGGACGACGACTCAGCCCCCAGAGGAGCCGTCTGTGTCTGCTGCGACTCCACCCCCCAGTGGTCACAGACAACGTCGTCAAACTAAAAGAAGACGCGATCTTGATTTAGATCCAGACGAAGAATTCATCCCAGAACACGATGACGACGACGATGACGATGCTGATGCTGATGTCTACTATGACGACGACGACGTACAAGGAGTCAAAATCTCGGGTGAAGAAGATACCTGTGTTGAATGTGGCACTACATTCTATTTGAACGTCTACCTGAGATACCTCCAGCTGAAGAAAGGGTATCTCTGTGACATGTGTAACGAGGTTCTAAAGAGACAAGAACGAGCCAAGAAACGGAATCAGGTCTCTGCTCGCCGGAAACGGAAGACGGTGGCTCTGGCGTTGCTCAACAAAAGACAAGTGTTGCTTCCCAAGTTGCAAGACATCTGTATTCACGAGATCTCCAACAACATTAACGATGTCGATGTCTTGGGCAACATTGGAGAGACCAACTTGAACAAGATATCGCAGATTTTGTCGAAGAATCGCTCGTTGAATAACAAGACCATTGGGTTGTTTTTGGGTCCTCATTGTAAGGCATTGGAGTTTTGGGATTGCTCTAATGTTGATTCGGATTCCCTTAATAAAATCGGCTCCTTTTGTCCGTATGTTGAGTCTTTAACCCTACACATGTGCGGACAACTTCACAACGATAATATGAAATATTTCAGTACCAATTTACCTCATTTGAAACATCTTTCATTGGACGGTCCCTTTTTGATTAGCGATTCAATGTGGCAGGAGTTCTTTGAAACGGAGGTGGGGAAGAACTTGGTCTCATTTGAAGTTAGAAATACCCACAGATTCGGTAACGATTCCCTTATTGGGCTATTAGAGAATTGCGGATCCAAATTGACTCTGCTTAAGTTGTCTCGCTTAGATACGGTTGATTCTGGTGATGTATGGTCATTATTGCCTCATTATTTGGGTGAAAGTACTTTAACTGAGTTGGAGATCTCATACCCTGTTAGGGAAGAACTTATCACTGATGACTTGATAATCAATATCTTATCAGTAACTGGTGATACTTTGGAGTATTTGAACTTGACCGGTTGCTCCAATTTAACTGATAAGTTATTGAGTGATGGCATAACTAAGTTCTGTCCACTATTAAGAGTATTAATCTTAGACTCTTTGGATCAATTAACTGATGAAGGTTTCGCTAATGCTATGGGAAGCTATAGTACAATTAACCAAGGTGGGTTAACCAAAGTTCTGCTTTCAAATTGTGTGGGCTTAGGTGATAATGCCCTCTATGCTTTATTCCAACACTCAGGTTCAACATTAATTGAATTGAACACTAATTCCATCCATAATCTTTCAAAAGAGTCGCTCCTACAAATGTTTACCGATGATCTACATCCTTCTAAAGTCGAACAGCAACAGCAACAGGAACAGAATTCCATTTCTTATTTCCCTCAAGTACATCTACTATTACTTACTACGTGGGATATTGGGTTTGTTCGGTCTGTGGATGATGAAGTGGTTAAGGCTATCTCCGATCATTGTACGAAGCTTCAAATCTTGGAAGTTTATGGGAATAACAGATGTTCATCCAGAGTACTAGTACGTGAAGGTCTTCTTTTGTTAGGACGTCAAAGTGATAGTATTTAATAATTTATAAATAATATTAAACACTCTATGTTTATCTAGAGTTTGGAAAAAAAGGGGCGAGCTGGGAATTGAACCCAGGGCCTCTCGCATACTTGCGTGTTGTTACAAAGTAACTAGCGCCCAAAGCGAGAATCATACCACTAGACCACACGCCCATTGTTGTTATAACAGAGACATTTTTCTGTAAAATGCTGGCCAATTAAATGTAATGTACTGCACAATGAAAGTTAAGTGGTATAATTAATTAGTATGGATAAAACTCTAGTAGAATCAACCGCATCAGATCAATATTATTATGTTTATCCCAAATCGTAGCTGAATAGGCGAGAGTTCTAAAATCCTCTTGACAAACGTACGATGACCATATGTTGTTCCTATTCCAACTGCCAGTCTGTAGTGGTGCCGGCACCACCACACTCCATTTCAAGAGAGCATCCCACTTGGAAGGCCACAGCGAGCGCCTAGTGCTAAGTCCTTGGTTGTAGGGCATATGCGGCGAAAATGGCAACTGAGAGCGTAACGAGAACTAACTAAAGGTATACAAAAAGAAGTATAATGGTCATGTGAATCAATCTTAACTACGGTAGAAAGATTAGACTAACGTTAAATTATTATGCTATGAAGGTTAAATCGTAAAGAGTGTTGATATATTAGTTGTGGTTAACTGAGCGATGAGTTACAATAATACTAGTTAGCTGGAACTGAAATTAAATTGGCTTCAACTAGTGCAGTTCGTAGTAAAGGAAAAGCTAAACTGCACTCCTCTTTCGGTAATCGTAAAGTATCTCTGGTGCTAACTTTATTTTCTTTCACGATATTCGACCTTCAGATATGTTTGGAATTGTTCTGGTGATTTACATATCTGTTGCCCATCTCAATATCAATGCAAGTGACATATTGTGAGGAATATATGGACTAATTGTACTTATCTTTTCTTCTTTGAAGCCTTTACTTTGGTTGTAGCTCTCAGAAGTTGTATTGGATGCAATCCCACATATTTCCCATTCATCTCCTTATATGCGTTCATATAATCATCAGTGGTGGAAAACTCCACAAACCCAAATCCTTTAGGCTTTCCAGTCCTGTTATCGGTTGGTACCTTCACTTGTGTCATTGTAGGATACTTTGCAAAGGCATCATGTAACATTTGGTCAGTCACATCGTCACCCAAGTTGCCAACGAATAAACGGAAATACATAGGATTCCAGTTGAGAAGACTGGCATCTTCCCACAGCCGTCCATTATGGTTTCTTTTAACAGTCTTATCATCGGATGAGGCTTTGGAATGTTGGGATACCTTTCTGATAGCTGACGATGATGTTGTTGTTGATGATGATGATGATGATGGTGATGACGTTAATGCACTATGGAGATATGAGGCAGCTTGTTTACCAGCAGCCAAGCGTCTATCGGAAGACTTGGAAGTGTTGATCTTTGATATTCTACTCATTGATACAGAAAGAAGATGTTATATATGTAAGACAAATGTTTAGGTGCGAAAATGATTAGAGAAGTGGGTTATGTAGAAAGGGATACCAATACGTGGCCAGCTGATGGAAAATACTGAGATGTTAGGGGGTTATACTGTGTATTTATAGGTAGAGGAGATGAGTGGCGACTCCTGATAATATTACCTATCACTTTTGAAATTGGAATATTACGTATCATAATTTTAATTGTAACATGACGAGTCATGTATCGATATTAAATATGACGTATCGTATTACTGGAGTAAACCATATATGTCCTTACATTGTTACGTTATATATAGTCAATTTGAAGTTAAGGTACACATGCTAATACCTAGGGTATCCTTTTATTAGTATGAACAAATAATGGGGATCAACATTGTCGTGTGGATACGATTTCTCCACCATATAATCAACTTCTCATCGCAAACACTTCACTGCAAGCTGGACTTCAAAGCCAATGTACATACTCTCGGAGATAGAGGACTTGATCCGAGTGCCGCCGAGCTCATTCAATGTTCCTATCAAGCTTTCGGTAACTGATGAGTTACATCAGAAATATTCTAATCGAGTGGTTGGTGGGTTAGGTCTAGTGGTAGCAGTTTGGGATGTACTTCAATTGGATGACGGACTTATACGTCCGGGAGATGGTGGGGTCTTTGTAGGTACCAGGTTCCGCTGTATAGTTTGGAAGCCATTTGCTGGAGAGATTCTTGGAGGTTGGGTACTGGAATGTTTACCACTGGGGATTAAAGTCCGGATGGGATTCTTTGATGAAATCTTTATTAAGAAGGAATACTTGTTTGAAGGATGTGAATACAAAGAAGCAGAGAAGGCTTGGGTATGGAAGCCTGATGCTGATACGGAATTATATATTGATGTTAATGAGAAGATCCGGTTCCGAGTTGAGGAAGAAGTGTTTAATGATGTTAAGGCTACAGAACTTAAAGCTACGGATGGAAATACCCAAAGTGGTAATGAGAAACCATCATATGTTATTATTGGATCGTGCCAAGTAGAAGGAACTGGATGTGTATCATGGTGGGAATAAGCTATACGTATATGACAGTATATGTAGATGGCAGTATACGTATAATAGCATTAATATAGTATATTATACGTATACGATAGAAGAATATACGTACGATTATATATGTATATATGTATCAATTATATTGCATGTACTGACTGGTGGAACTGAACTTCAAGTTACCCTTAATAACCTTATCAACAGCTTTAAGGAAATCCTTTTCAGTGGCAACCTTCCGTCTGGCCCTAATAGCAAACATACCTGCTTCAGTACACACTGATCTTAACTCTGCTCCTGTAGCATTAGGACATAATCTTGATATCAATTCCCATCTAATTCCCTTTTCTACACTCATGGTTTTGGAATGAATTCTAAAGATATTGGCTCTACCTTCCAAATCCGGTAATGAGAACTCCACTTTCCGGTCTATTCTCCCAGGTCTCAATAAGGCAGGATCTAATGTATTGGGTCTATTGGTTGCAAACATCACCTTAATATTACCTCTAGGATCAAACCCATCCAATTGAGTAATCAACTCCAACATGGTTCTTTGAACTTCATTATCACCACCAGCTCCATCGTCAAATCTGGCTCCACCAATAGCATCAACTTCATCGAAAAAAATAATACATGCCTTTTTGGTTCTGGCCATTTCAAATAATTCTCTAACCATTCTAGCCCCTTCACCAACATATTTCTGAACCAATTCAGATCCAATTACTCTAATGAAAGTAGCATCAGTTCTATTGGCAACAGCACGTGCACACAAGGTCTTCCCTGTACCTGGAGGTCCATACAAAAGAATACCCTTGGGAGGATCAATACCTAATTTAACAAATCTTTCTGGTGATAATAATGGTAATTCAACAACCTCTCTTAGCTTCTCAATCTGTTCCTTACACCCCCCTACATCGCTATAAGTAACATCTGGCTTCTCTTCCACTGTCATCATCGTAACACTAGGATCAATCTTGGGAGGCAATGGTAATTGGATCTCATATTTATGTCTATCCACACCAACTCTCATACCTTCTTCGATATCTGTGGGGGAAACTCGTTCTCCCAATCCAACGACAAACTTAGCAAGTTGTTTGATATTGATCACATATTTGGCTTTAGTATCGGCATTCTGTAATAATGTTGTAGTGTTAGAAGCCTGAATGATCTTAGTACATCTTGCAACTTGAAGCAGTTGCTCTTCATTGGCCCGTAGTTTATCTCCCATGACATCCCATAAATGAGGTGGTGCCAATCCAGTATCACTCTCTTTGATCCCCACAGACTCTTTTATGCGATCTTCTATGGTCTTTAAGTCCTTTTCAATCTCCTTTAAAGCTTCTCCATAAGGTGCTGCTCCATATGTCTTCAACACTTGGATGTCGCCTTCGGTCAATGGTACGACATTATCCTGATTCTTATCGTCATCCTCGTCAGGAGCGACATATTTGTCCCAGTCAGCTTTTGGAGGCATTGCTTGAATTTATATATGTATCTGTATATACAGAGAGAAGATTGGTAGTAGTAGTAAGTTTAGCTGCGTTGGGTACTGTTGATCAACCAAAGTTCATTTTCAGTGGCGGCATTATATGGTAAGAGCACGACTTTATTCAGATGAATATATCAACCACTATTAAACTCCACAACTCTTTTATATTCGGAGATAAATGCAACATTTATTCACATATATGTACTGGGGATAATAAATAAATAAATAAAGTTGAAACTGGCACACATACAAATGAATCTCCCCAGAAGAGAAAAACAATTGTCTAGGCAAAAATAACACCATTAAAATGATGCTTAATAAGAACGAATAGCAGGAGGAACTGTCTTACATTCATTTTCATCCAAAGTGGTCTTGATGACATCTCTGTAATCCAATTTAACTTCATCACCGAAATCCTTTTGATATGACAAGGTGTGCTTCCACCAGTTTTCATCATCTCTTGTAGGATAATCATCTCTAGCATGAGCACCTCTTGATTCAGGTCTTGCAGCAGCAGAATGAGCAGTTTGGGTAGCACAGGTTAACAAGTTTTGTAATTCCAAGGTTTCAACCAAATCTGAATTCCAAATCATAGATCTATCAGTGGTCTTGACATCAGAAAATGAAGCATCAATCTTCTTGATGTGGTCAACACATTCATCCAATGTTTCTTGGGTTCTAAACACAGCACAACCCTTTTGCATAGTCTTTTGCATTTCCAATCTGATATCAGCAGTAGATTTACTACCAGAGGCATTTCTTAACTTATCCAAGTTTTCAATAGATTCCTTACCCAAATCAGCAGGAACTGGTTTCAATGGGGTACCAGGAGTCAATTGGTCTCTAATGGTGTGAGAAACAGCTCTACCGAAAACAACCAAGTCCAATAAGGAGTTAGCACCCAATCTGTTAGCACCGTGGACAGAAGCACATGCAACTTCACCGGCTGCCAATAAACCTGGAACAACTTCATCTTCACCCTTTTCATTCTTCTTAATAACTTCACCAGTCCATTTGGTTGGAATACCACCCATATTGTAATGGACAGTTGGTAAAATTGGAATAGGTTCCTTAGTGACATCAACACCAGCAAAGATATGAGCAGATTCAGAGATACCTGGTAATCTTTCCTTCAATACACTTGGAGGTAAGTGAGATAATTGCAAAAACATGTGATCCTTTAATGGACCAACACCTCTACCTGCGTTAATTTCCATGGTAATAGCTCTAGAAACAACATCTCTAGAAGCCAAATCCTTAGCAGATGGAGCATAACGTTCCATGAATCTTTCACCTTCAGAGTTGACCAAGAATCCACCTTCACCTCTAGCACCTTCAGTGATCAAACAACCGGAACCGTAGATACCTGAAGGATGGAATTGGACGAATTCCAAATCTTGCAATGGTAAACCAGCTCTAGCAACCATGGCATAACCATCACCAGTACAAGTGTGAGCAGAGGTACAGGAGAAGTAAACTCTCCCATAACCACCAGTGGCCATGATAGTCTTGTGGGCTCTGAATCTGTGCAAAGTACCATCTTCTTGGTTGTAAGCCATGACACCTACACATTCACCATCTTGCATCAACAAATCCAAGGCAAAAAATTCAATGAAGAAATGGCAATTGTGGGACAAGGCTTGACCGTAAAGGGAATGCAAAAGAGCATGTCCAGTTCTGTCGGCAACAGCACAAGTTCTGTAAGCTTGACCACCCTTACCGTATTCCTTTGATTGACCACCAAAGGCTCTTTGGTAGATTCTACCTTCTTCATTTCTTGAGAATGGGACACCGTAGTTTTCCAATTCGTAGATAGATTCAGGAGCTTCTCTAGTCATATAATGGATAGCATCCTGGTCACCCAACCAATCAGAACCCTTGACGGTATCATACATATGCCAATGCCAATCATCCTTGTGCATGTTACCCAAGGCAGCGTTGATACCACCTTGAGCAGCAACAGTATGAGATCTAGTTGGGAACAACTTAGATATACAGGCAGTTTTGAAACCGGCCTCAGCCAAACCAAAGGCAGCTCTTAAACCTGCACCACCAGCACCCACAACAACACAGTCATATTCATGATCAATGACGTGGTACTTTTGTCCCAAGTATTTGGTGGAGTTAACATCGTTACCCTTGATATCACCAATGGTTTGCAAACGAGTAGCAGATGCTGATAAGAATCTAGAAGAACTTACAGTCAAGCTCTTTTTGAGCATAGATTGACGTAAACTGAGCATTGGGGGGAAAGGAATTATCAATTACAAAACAAACAAATTTTAATTAGAAACAACAACAATATGAACCCCAGATTAGGTAGTACCTTCTTTTGGTTGGTTGTGTAAGGGTCGATGTCTCTAAAACAACGTATCGCTAATTGATAGTACTTTTAAGCAACAGTACTTAAGAAGAATATGAGTGTGTAAAGTAAAATTTGCAAATCTTTTATGGGGCTAAAATTCATTGGCCATGGAGAAATAGACATAGAAAGGTCGTGTACTTTGGTTAAGCTTTTTATTGGAGCTCGAGTTTACATGAAAGAACATAACGTTATTCTAGGGAACAATCGCTTTTACAATTAGTGACATTCCATGGGCTACATTATAAGAGTTACATTATCGCGTGTAATGCTTAACAACCCTGCCAATTAACTGCTATCTATCCTCAGTATGATGAATCCCCTCCCCACAAACAACAAGATCTGGTCTGCGCTACCGTTGGAAAGTTGTTAGTTTTCGTTCATGATTTGAAAATAGTGCGTTGTTATTGGCTAGTGCTTTCCGAGCTTTGCAGCAGCCCCCGCCGGGGCCGAGAGGGAACGTTACGGGTGCGAGAAAAAAAAAACCGGCGGCATACTGTGTGTCACGTGATATTCCTATTTACTCCGAACCATATAATCTAAACTAATAATTGAATAACTTCATGTTATCTTTCACAATACCTGCCAATTCCTGCTTGAGTGCATCTCTTGCAGGGCATTCACCAATTGGCTCCAACTTCAATAATCTTTCATTCACCTTCAAAAGTGTAGCAAGACACAATTGAATGCTATCATTATCTGGAACTCTATTCATGATGCACTTTAGTAGATTTATCATTAGTTGTAAGTTCAGAGAGAATTCGCTTAGTCTTAACTCTTCAATGCCAAACATCTGGTTTGTACAGCTCAGTTTATCTTTCATGGTGCCCTCTAAAATGCGTACTAATGACTTTAATGAGCATCTAATGACTTTGTACATCTTGTGATGGCACAACATGACTATCAAGTTGGAAGAGGCTATGTCGTTAGTGAACTTGAGGATCTGAGAAGCATTGGTGCCAGTGGCATCAGAACGTTCATTGTCGTGACTTCCATCATCTTGCTCCGTTGGTGAGGGGGGAAGAATATTCGGTGGTCTGCGTGGTTCTCTTGGGGGTAAAGGAGTTTGTGCAACTACCAGTTCATTCATCATAAGAGTGAACAGGTTAGCCAAAAATTGTAGGGTGAATTGTAACGATTCACTGGAAGACATTTGATCAATTTCAATTAAAAGGAAATAATAATTTAAATTGCAAACTGCAACACATTCTTCCAAATAAGTTTTAGTTGCCAGTTCCGTATGATAAATAGCCACTATATTCTTTCTCCATTTATCTAGCGACTTCAGCAAACTATTCAACAGATCGGTGACCTGCTCAGGGGTCACTTTACCCACAGACCTTCTTGATTTAAGGTCCACTATTTGCAGAACAATCTCATACATTTCCATTTGAAGATTTACCAACTCCAAGTTCTCTTTCGGGTAAAGGGACTCAGTAAATGGTATAGTCCATTGTCGATGGGTGGGAAGTTGGGGCATTTTGTCCCTTATCAAACTTATCTCAATATCAAGATTGAACACAGTCCAATAAAGCCGTTGAATCAATACGTTATTATATCGGGACTCGGACTCCTTGTACAATTCTGATTGCACTACCACCCGATCCAAGATCCCTATTAAATCCCAAAGCATCTTGTGGTTTACAATTAACCCATAAATAGCTAGCAAAAGAAGAACAACAATATTGCTTTCAAGTTCCAATTCCTTTGAAGTCTCATCCAAGTTCACGTTGATAACATCAATGATGTTTTCAATTTGTCTTTCATTGAAGTATTTGCCAAAGTACTTGGATCCCCTTTGAACATCATACACAAGTGCTCCAATGGCCATTACCAAATAAACATCCAATGGGACAATGCATTCCTTAGAGAAGTTGATGTTTCTGAACTTGGTCATGAACTCCTCTTCATTCATAAAGGGATATTTCAAACAGTAATTGTAGAAATAGTTAACCACAAATATCTGGGGAAGACTGGTTTCGCCCAAGAAGGAATTCATGGTAATAAATTCGTCTTGAATAACAGAAGAAGCTTGGTTGTTCTCGATTGTTGCAGCCTTATTCTTGAAGATTCTACCTAACACCAGAAGAGGTGTATCTTCTCTTCCCTTTGACTTTGGTCTTAAAACTGGTCCTCCTGTGACATTGTCGGAAACGTTTCTTTTATGAGAAACTGAAGTAGATGGTTTTCTAACAGCAGAGGAGGGGTCATTAGTGTTGGTCAACATGGAGGAAACAGTTACCAATTTATCTTTTGTAGCAGTGGGTTCACTAAGAGAAATTGTGGTTGATCCACCACCATCACCAAATGCACTAAATAAAGTTGAAGGACCTGAGGTTGGTTCGGTAACTAGAGGAAATATTCCAGTTGTAGGTCTTGGTTCACCTTCTAATTGGTCATTGACTATTCGGAAAGTAATCTTTCTTCTTCTCTTCTTAGTTCTCATAACATACTCACAATCAGCTCCAGATTTGGTACAGTTGGAGCATTTGGGTAAGGCTCTTGTGCACTTCTTCTTCAACCTGTAACATCGAGTACAATTATTAGCTGCAATTTGTGAGGAGTCATTATTGTTAATACTGTTGTTTGCGCACTCCATATCAACATCGGCTTCTTCTTCTTCATCATCGTTATCTTCCTGGGAATTTGTATGGGTGGTACTCAGTGATACATTGCCATCATACGTTGCTTTATCACTTGAGGGTACTTCTGTTAATGCTGTCTTGCTGGTGGGTTGTTCTTCCGGTTCGGATGTTGTCGATGACGAACTCTGGGCAGCAGCCACGAGTTGCTGCATCAGAGGTATTGATCTTGAACTTATGCCAGTCATATCTGACGTTCTTAAGCTGGATGATCTGGCAGCAACATACGAGGTGGATTTAGGGAAGGTTTTAGTCGATGGAACAGGTGATAAAGTACTGGTGACTAAGGGGGATGAATTAGAAGATGACGAGGTTGACGATGAGGACGTCGATAAGGAAGGATCATGAGGTTGAATGGCTTCAACATCTGCTTTGGAAATCATTTTACTTGTTTGGTCACTGAAACGGAATTTCAGTGCAACTGTACCGTTGCCCATCAGCTTTGTATAGAAAAAGTCCATCTGTGTGGCTCAACACAGTCGCTTGAAGAGTATGATATCAGATGAGGATGCTATGACAAATCCACTGCCATAAAACGTATATCAAGCAAAAGAATAAAGGGTAATGTCGAAAAATCGGGACGTTGTATTATTGATGTAAGTATCAATAAGGGCTATACCCGGAGATATAGTCGGTTCTTATGGAATGAATGCTCGTTGGTGAAACGGGACCGCTCGGTTGGTGGTGTTGTTGCTGTAAATAAAATGAAATGAGCTCGACTCCACAATATGAAATCAACTCGACGTAACTGAATCTGTTGAAGAGTTCACCGTGGTTTCTTTGATGGTAATATTTTGCAAAATAATGAAGAAAACACCGTTGCGCTTGCCTAACTGTGGTGGCAGTTTTCGCCCCATCTTAAACTGTGGCTTCACTATTACTAAATTGGTCATGACGTGAGAATGGACCGCCCGTAGGAAAAGGGCGAGGGTTCAGTTGCCGTTTTCAGAACTACATTACCGACGGTCGTGTGGGACCTATGAGAAATACAAAGGTGTGTACAGTCTCTCTTGGTAAAGATGTTACTTCGCTAATTCACTATATACAAGTAGCGTGTTATGTATAGTACACAAAGAAGGAACAGATCCACTTAATTCAATTTAGAAGGTTAGTAGTCATATTGTTGCCGTTATGCTTAAGCAGTTGCTAATGGAGTTTGATCTTGTTCTTGATCTTGTTCCTGCTGCTGCTCTTGCTCTTGTTGTCTCAATAAACGGAACTCTTCAACAGCTACTTTTCTCAACTCATCAAGCATAACTGTCTGGTCACGTGGATTGAAAGGAGGTAAAGTATCATGTTCAACTAAATCCACACGCCAATGTTCATCACTACCCTTTCTCCAGACATTTTCCCAAAGTAACGTGGTGTTTTCTAACTCAAAGGCATCAACCACATGAGATAAATCTGCTACTGCCTCTTGAGAATGATGAGGTCTATATTGACCACTATACCAATCATTCATTTCTTTATCTTTATGTCTGGCCTCCTTACTTTCTTGTCGAAGATCAGTATCTCTTAGCTTCTTCAATTGTATTAACCCATTATAGGCAGCTTCTGCATATTCATAATTGTCAAAATTAGCAACACACATAATTCTCCATAAATCATTCCGTCTAGATGGCTTTCTATTCTCCCAGTTGGGACGCACAAATTGCTGGTCAATCAAATCTTGATGCCATGCTGGTACTTGAGAATAAAGAATCTGTCCACTAAACAAATTCTTAAATACATAAACTTGTGGACCCATTCCTAGCTCTTGTAATTGGGTTATGGTCTTGGGTGCATCTCCAGCAGCAATTCGAGCTCCAAAGACTTTCCGCGTTTTCAAATGCTCAAGAAGATGCTTACGCATCTTCTTTTCGGCTCTCATCCGGGAAGCTGGCATCTTTTACTGACGTTTTCTATTATTAGTGGTACTTACAAAACGTCCCTAGTACATTTGAACTTCCACCTTTTAAAATTTTTCAAGATCAGATTATAAGGTCGTGTACATTTCCCAACTAAATTAGTGCTGCCAAAAAAGGTTAAAGTTATCACATAAAGGTTTAAAAGACAGCCAACTGTTATCACATCCATTCTTATAGAATAGCAATTAAGAGTGACTGGTCACATAACTTACTCCATTGAGCATTAACATCGATTCCACTGGAGCCTATTCAAGTCAATTCAAGTGTTCAATGAGTGGGTCGGGTACATTATCTTAAGACAAAAACAATACTACTTTTACGAATATGGTTGTTGGGACTTTATTAGGGACTATACCCTTTATATTAGCATTCCTGGCTGTTTGTGTATCAGCATACTACTATATCTTTTGTAACGACTTGATCCCGTCGTATTCGGTGTTTTACATATCCAAGGACCAAATTAATTCCTACGTCGATAGGAATATCAACGTTAACGCCAGAGGAGGTGACTTTGTTATACCGCTAAATACAGAAGATATTGGTGATGATGGCATGGGGGGTGTTATTGAAGGTGGTGGTGATGATGAAGACACCGACGTGCTATTGTTTAAAGAGAAGCAGAAATTGGAAACCCCTTCATCTTTGGGGACTGAATCTAATATATTGAGACAACTGCCGTCTTACTTAGCATTAGGTGTATTATTCAGTATTACTATTGGACTTTGTGTTCAATTGATCTTACTAATGTTAAGTGAAGTGATAGAATTCTCTTCTGAAGAGTCAAGATTGGTATTGTTTCATTTCACTCTCAATTTACTCGTGTTTTTACTAACATTGGTACTTCCATTCATATTATTCAACTTGCTTGTGAATAATAATCCTATCCATATATTCTCCTTTTCATCCAAAATAAGGTTGACTATCATTACAAGTTGCATGGTAGGTTGGTTTGTGCTTTTGAGTAGATTTGGGACACTCAGTCAGTCATTCACGCCTATACAGTTGTACAATCGATCATTACTTGAATGGAAGATCAACGAGATATCAATTGGAGGCATTGTCACCCTTGCCATCCTTCTGGGAGTTGGTTCAACTTCTACAGCATTTAAACTATATCTACGGGTTAGACATGGAACAGATGGTTCAGGTACAGTTTCGGTTTCAAGCATAAACTACTTGATCCGTTCTTATAATAACACCACTGGCCTCCTACATAAGCGACAACATGAACTACAGAAATTAGTGACTCTAACAACTAATGGTACCGTATATAATAACGGTAACATCCAAGAGGGGGCTCCTAAGAGTCATAGAAGACAACAGTTACTCAATAAAGTGCAATCATTTGCTTCGTTAGGGTCATCATTGAATGATGAAGAAGAAACCTCTTTGAACAATGAAATAAAATCCCTACAAATGCTTAGACTGGGTATTTATCATGATATTGTCAAACAGATCAATCAGTATGTCTCGTCAAAATCTTTAAAAATCAATAAGGAGGAACAGGATGTGCTACAGAAACTTAATACTGGCATTACCATTGGATTTGGGGCTTATTGTACATACCGTATCATCACCGTGTTGTTGATTAGATTGCCCTATTTTTTGCTTTTGAAAACAGAATCAAAACCTTCATTGTCAACTCGAACTGGAGAAACTCAAACAATGTCTGAAGATAATGATAATTTGGCAGCTACTGTTGCCAAAGATGCGCTAGCTATAACCATTTCCAAAATGGTATCAGCTATTATTACGCTTCCCATATCAGAGAAACAATTAGTTAATCAACTTAGTTTCATTCTTAGTGGGAGTTTATTTATTGGGTCGATATCGAACGTTTTAACCACTTTCCGCTCCATTTCCAAAGCATTCCCTCTTTTTTTCATCAATGAAAACACTTATACCAAAGGCACAATGCATTACATCAAACATTTGGTTATGGGCGAGCTTTTCGGAATATATGTCATTGCAACAGCTCTATTGATTAGGACAAACTTACCATCCACAATGTCCTATCAAGTTTCCAAAGTTCTTTCGTTACTGGGTGGGAGTAATCAACAAACTCTGCACAATATATCGATCCAGGAAGTGGCCTTAATAGACGAATGGTTTGATAAGATTTTTGGAGCCAGTTGTTTAATCACTCTTTTCCTGATTGCCATGCAACTGTTTGTCAACGATAAGTCAGGAGAAGACTACGATGAGGAAATGGTAGTAGAAGGTAAAATACTTTAACACTGACGTCAATTGAAAAAACTAATCCTATAAAAAAGAGAATAACACAGAACAGAGCAGAGAAAATATAGCAACACCGACACAATGCAATGCATTTGATTGCTTGCTTGATTGATTTAACAGAATGAATTCATCCTATGAAAGGATTCTCAGAGTCACAAGGATTCAAGGACTAATTACTTGCATTCACAAGAAGTACATTTTTCACAGGACTTGCAAGCACCACCTTGGCAGCAAACCTTGGAGCAAGTACAGGAGCAGTTAGCAGAAGAGCAGCAAGACATTTTTAATAACCGGAAGCTAATTGGATTGGTTGTTTTAGTAGAGGTTACTATGGACCCAAAAGAAGCAGTTTCTTGAAGGTGAGGAAGAAAGCCCACTACTTATATATTTTCTGGGATCACTGACAACTCCTTGATTTCATTCAACATTGTGGGACAAGCCTCGGGTTCAATTATTTTCCTAGGAAGAGAGGGTGGATAATGCGCTGAAGGAGGGTATAATATAAGGGGTTGTATTCTGACCTTTCACTGTGCCGTCGTGTCTTTCACCAATCTTTTGCACATGATACATGATAGGGGTTGATATTGATCTGATTAAAATGATCACAGCTTTTATTGGATCGAGTCAGCTGTCGCAATCGTTGATAAGCAGAATACTCTACGTTGTGCACATGTATAGATGCCAATTATTTTATTACTGGTAGTTCCATGTCAAGCACGATGCTTCGAATGCAAATAGTGTGTAAATGTGGTCGTGCGTAACTATGCACAAGAACATGAGGCAATGCATGACAAGAAAATGGCCATGTTTAAAAGTATTCTAGAACAAACACTTTCGTTTACTTGTTCTAATCTCATATGCCCCTCCGACCAATTATAGTTCACAATAAGAAATTGCTGTAACCACTATTTTGCTTATAAAGGTTCATATTCAGGGGTTTTGAAAGGCTATCGTGTGTCAGAAATGGAACCTTAATCCCTCCATTTCAGGCTTTCAGCAATGGCTTCCAAGACACAAAGGTAAACTACGTCATTTTGAGTTTACTATTGGTGTGAATTTATTACGTTTATCAATAGTATGTAGCCCACAGTCTTTGATAGTTTCCAAATTACCAGTCATCACTTTGCTTACTCCTCCATACATCATCTAGACTACGATGATTTACCATTAAATGAGTTTGACTCTACTTCAGGGCACCAGTTGCCTATTTGGGAGTTTCTGTGGCTGCAACATTTTGGCTGCGAAATTATTTAGCAGGTATAAAAAACAGTTTCCGTTAACAAATTCAAGCGCTACTCTTTGTTCTCTGTTAAGCACTAATACCTTAACTTCCACCATGCACTTAAGCCATTTAAGTCAGAAAATCCGATTCCTCATTGCCAGATTCTGGTACGGAAAAAAAGTGACTTCGCCAAGGAAGAGGATCAAGTGTTCTTCACCTTCATCATTGTCGCTTGGTTCAACCAACCAAACCTTATCCTATAATCTGGGTCCCTCACCTAGCGAGTCTCAAAGCGGTTCTAATCTCCCTGTTGGTGCTACAGCTAAGGAACATATAGATACCGTCGACAATGCTACCCTTCACAACCCTCAAGTACACCCAATCAAGTCTAGCCAGTTTCCCATTCCTCCTCAAACAGTTTCTAACATCAAGCACTTGTCTGAAACAGCTACCATCAAGAATGCTTCCCTTTCGAGCTCGTTGAAGAAATCAGCTTGCTCAGAATCATCGTTTACTTCAAAGGTGTTTTCTCATGTTTCAAAGTCAACGACAGAATCCAATGGGCTAGAAGACCCAGCATCACCTTACACCATTGGCTCTAATATTCAACATAAGAAGCCATCTTTGGAAGTTGAATCTACTGCATCCTTCCAGTTGCCGGTAAACAGCGGAAAAACTCTGGGACGTGCTCCTTGTCGCCGTCATCCTTCACTAAAGTTGCCCACTTTCACTGCCTCATCGTCTGCAACTACCGTTTCCTTGCCAGTCAGTGCACTTGCTCAAGATTCTACTTTAAGACTATCACTTCCCATTTCCTCCTCACAAAAAGCAAACAAGAACATAATAAAAAATCCAAATCCTCCAAAGGAGTCATATCTTCTGTCCACCTTCAACTTAGATGAGTATAATGCTGAGCTTAATTCCAAATATCAGTTCAGAAACCCAATCAAGGGAAGATCAATTTCAACCAGAAGGGTGGGTCAAGCTACTTTGTCATATAGCTCATTGTGCAGTAGCACCAACTCTTCCTCGCTGACTGTTAAAGGCAGTGGCCACGAATTATTGGTGGATAGCAAAAACGATATTCCTAAATCCTGCAAAGGTGACCAAATATTATCAGAGGATATCATCTTTCAAACAGAATTTAACAAAGCACAATCCAGCGAGAAATCCAACTACGGGCTTCAAAACTTGACAGCTAGTGAAATCAAAACCACTGATTGGGAGATTGAACAAATCATAGAGTGTTTACGCTTAGATCTTGAAGTTGCTTCTGTTATCAAAAGCATGATCCCGATAGAAGAACTTCAATCAATGCTAGAAGAGAGAATTCAAGACATCCCGCTCATTGATAAGGCACTCTTTGAAGATCTCAAACTCAAAAGCTCCAAACTTCAAGAAAAATGGTTCTCTAGTGAGATCCCTGATCGCCATAACGAGCAAGTTACCGAGTTGTTAAAGGTATCATGGGAAATCAATGATTGGTTCGACTCTACTGACATAATTTTAAAGTTGTACTCTTTCACATAATGAGTTCCAATAGTGCATTCAGTTTGTGTCCTATGTTGGTGGTGGTGCAGAGAGCTGTGGATTAAAGGAAAGTACTGCTTTCAGTTTTCCTCAATAGTGTTGGACCAAACCCCATAGATTTGAAACAACCCTACTGGGGTTTTTGGGGGGTGGATTTTTTATCGCTAACAAAGCTCCAGAGTATCTTATTATTGAGCTAGCCTCATAGCTCCTAACGTTATTCCGGAGACTAAAGGAAACCAATTTAGCATCCGAATCCGGCATGTGCCACTTACTATTTACAATACCATATTCTTAGTTCCTTTACATACATTCTTATCAAGATCGATCACATAGATAGTTATTCCCTTCATTGGAAATTGCGTACTCGTATCATGGTGTAATGCTGCAATCGCAGGCTTCTCCGCTTTGTGCATCCTCGGGTAAGTAGCCCAGGGGAACAAATGTTTATATGTCGGACCACTAAAGCTTTTGCATCTCTGAGCTGGCTACATGATTAGGGGGGGGGGGGGGAATCTATGGGAGCTATCTCCGTGTCACAAGAACTGATGAGGAGGCTCAACAAGGTAAATGGGTCATATCTCCATACTTAATGGCTTTGGCATAATAATGTCTTAGTCTTTGAGATCCGGGGAAGGAAGAATTGTTGGCTAGTGTGGGTGAAGTGAAGTCAGTGTCCGTGAGGTACGAAAGCACACTCCTACCCCACACTTTTAAAATTGGCACAAGATTCGACCCTTAAATAAAGACATATGCGAAGGTGGAAATTCCAATCAACTTTTTTCTTTCTTTTATATTATCAGTGCCTTGTTAATACTTAACTAAGGAATTGGTTTTTGGTTCAATATTATTATTATTGTTGTAAAATGTCGACCGTCACGAGCACTAAAGAATCTTTACTGCATCCGGAAAAGTTTAGAATAAAACACCAAGATGCTGTTAGAGTACTAGGTGACAATGGTGATAGTTTTCCAGTCGATGAAAGCAAAGAGACCCTTGAAACTCATTCAAAGGTTGCCATAGTTGGTGGTGGTTTCGGTGGAGTAGCCACGGCTTTGGGTCTTCTCAAAAGAGCCAAAGAATCAGACTTTTGTATATTTGAAAAGCACGATCAATTAGGAGGTACTTGGTATGCTAATACCTATCCAGGCTGTCTGTCTGATATTCCTGCCATTTGGTATTCGTTTTCGGATGAGCTCAATACCAATTGGTCATGTTCCCAACCCCCTCAAGCAGAAATGGAGGAGTATATTTTGACCGTTGTAAAAAAGCATGGTATCGACAAGAAAGCTACTCTCAAAACAGCTATCACCAGTTTTGAATGGGACGAGAAGACTTCCCTTTGGACTCTTTATGGTGTCAATGTCGAGTCTGGTCAGCGTATTAAACACACTGCTTCTTTAGTTGTGGCTGCCAGAGGAATCTTGGTTATACCAAATCACCTCAAGGTTCCAGGATTGGACACTTATGATGGAGTGTACATGCATTCTGCTCTTTGGGATTACGACGTTTCTTTTGAAGGCAAAGATGTCTTGGTTATTGGAAATGGTTGTTCTGCTACTCAAGTTGTACCTTCACTTTTGACTAATTTCAAACCGAAGTCCATTACTCAATTAGTTAGCACCAAGCAATGGGTTATGCCAGAGATTACTAAAGCCCTCCACAGGCTTTATAGCATAATCGGAGCAACATGGCTTGGTTCTATATTTTGCAGAGCTCTTATTTCCACAGTAGCAGAAATGAGATATCCAATGTATGCTGGCAATGGGTGGATTTCAAAGTTAGTAAGGTATTTGAATGAAAAAACCGCTTTAAATTATATGAAATCCACTTGTCCACCTGAATATTTGCACCATATTTTACCTGATTATAGAATTGGCTGCAAAAGATTGATCTTTGACAGAGGATATTTGCAGAGTCTTCACGATAAGCGTATGAGTTTAACAGGCTCTCGAGTTAAGCTGATTGATGGTAAGATGGTCACTTTCCAAGACGGCCTGAGAGCGAAATTTGACATCATCGTTGCATGCACCGGTTACGACGTCTCAAAGCCATTCTTCATGGATACCGTAATAGGTGAGAATGGAACTAAGTTGAACGAGTTATGGGATAAAGAAGGAATTGCTGCGTACGAGACTTTCATGATAAAATCGTTTCCAAACTTTTACCTTGTCGGTGGACCTAATTCTGCAACAGGACACTCTTCCGTGGTTTTAGCTATTGAAAATGGTGTCAATTTTTTCCTCAAAACCGCAGGTTCGGTGATCTCTGGTAAGGATAAGTATGTGGCTGTGAAATCTGAAGCCTATGATCGGTGGGACAAAGAATGTCAAGAAAAGTTATCAAATGCAGTATATGGTTCTCAATTTGGTGGTTGCGCTAGTTGGTATACTGACAATGGTAGAAATCATACCATGTATCCTGATTCCCAGCTCAGAATGTGGTACAGATCATCTCATCCCAATTATTCGGACTTGGAACTTAAATAATTAAAAACAACTATCTTACCCTTTTGATTTTTGAAGCTGCAACTTTCGGAAAGCCATGTAATTTTTTTTCTGTACCCCAGACGGAGCATCATTTTTGTGATTGTTCAATCTGCATGGAAGTCCGGGCGCTTAGTCGTTAGACGCACCTATCGGAGATGAACTTTTCTAAAAGCAGCCAAAACTTTTATCAGTCCGTGGACATCACCCAATGGCAAAAGGCTTGTGAAATTATTTCCTGGAAGTATATAGACTCAATCAAACCGCTATAATTGGAAAATAATAGTTCATTTGTAGTATCACTATTAAAGCTTCAAGGAAAAATGCCTAGTGTAAGCTCGCCTCTTGAATCACATAAACAACCTGAAAAGTTCAGAGTTAACTATGAAGACGCATGTAATGTGCTTCACCCCAAGAAGGGAAAGTTCTTTGAAGATGAATCCATACCTGTGAAAGAAACAAGCTCCAAAGTTGCAATTGTTGGTGCAGGTTTAGCAGGGATTGCCACTGCAATGTCACTTTTGAAAAATCATGGGGAAACTGATTTTACCATGTTTGAGAAACATGACAATTTTGGAGGTACTTGGTATGCTAATACCTACCCAGGATGTTGTTGTGATATTCCAGCCATCTGGTACTCATATTCTGACGAGTTGAACACAACTTGGTCTGGTGTGCAGCCGCCACAGCATGAAATGGAAGAGTACATTCTTGCTGTAACTAAGAAACACGAGTTAGCCAAATATGCCCGATTTGAAACTGCTATCAATGACTTAGAGTGGAATGAAAGTAAGAAAGAATGGACTTTGAAAGGTGTTGAAATAAAAACTGGTCGTCGTTTGAAACATACTTGTAAGATAGTTGTGTCTGCTAGAGGAGGACTTGTTTATCCTCAATTCCCAGATATTCCTGGACTTCAAGATTTTTCAGGAAAATTGATGCACTCAGCGCTTTGGGATCATTCAACACCTATTAAGGGTAAGAAAGTGGTTGTGATTGGAAATGGATGTTCTGCTGCTCAACTTGTCCCTGCACTTCTTAAAGATTATGAGCCTGAATCGATAGTACAGCTATTCCGTTCAAAACATTGGATTTTACCTGAGATCCCCAAATTTGTTCAAAACTTTTATGTCAAGGTGAGAGGATTTCTGCCAGCTATAACTGGAATCCGCTACGTTATGGCAGCAGCAGCAGAGCTGAGATATCCTATTTTCAAGGGTAAATGGTGGCTTCCCAGAACTATTCATTGGTTCCATCAACGGAGTTCTCGTTTGTATATGGAGAAGACCAGTCCTGAAAAGTATCATGACCTTCTTATACCCGACTACAAATATGGATGCAAGAGACTTATCTTTGATCAAGGGTATTTGAAATCGTTACACGATGATAGATTATTGCTTTCTAACGTTAAGATTGACCGTGTCGAAGGAAAATATGTGATTTTGGAAAATGGAGATAGAATAGAAGCTGACATTATAGCTGCATGTACCGGATACGATTTGGATCAATCTATGTTTGTTGGTAACATTGTCGGTGAGAAGGGGAAGACATTGAAGGACTTGTGGAGGGAAGAAAGGCCAGCAGCATATGAAACTTCTATGGTTAAAGGGTTCCCTAACTTGTTTATAGTTGGAGGGCCCAATTCTGCTGCTGGTCATACATCTGTGTTACTTAGTATTGAGAACATGGTTCAAATGTTTGATAGGACGTTTAGTCCTGTTCTTAAGGAAAAGTATTCAACAATCCAAGTGAGTCCTGAGGCACACGATAGATGGAGGGATGAGGATCTCAAGCATTTAGATACTGCTATTTATGGTACCAGTGAAGGTGGCTGCACCAGTTGGTATTCAAAGACCGGAATTAACTCTACTGTTTATCCTTATTCCCATTTCACTATGTGGTACAGAACTCGGTTCCCCAATTACTCTGATTTTGAGTACATGTAAGAGAAAAGGATTATATAGAATAAATAATAAGGTTACCGATTATTTGTGTATAAATTGTTGAATGTATGTATAATTTTTTGCATCCAAAATTTATGGAATATTCGTCGTGTGTGAACCAATATTATGTTCCAAAGAATTTAATTTGAAAAATTTTAAACCACCTTTTGGGTTTGGTCCCAAAGTATTAGTCACAATACGGCTGCAATTCAAATCTCTGTATTGTTAAGATATTAGCAAGAGTCAAGACGAAGTTGTCCACCGGAATAATTTCAAGGAGAATCTCTCGCGTTTTCTTTGCTAACATGTCTACCGCCACTGCAAGATCTACTGTGCCATTCTCCAGAGAATCCTTGGAGCTGGTTTTGAAGAGACGTTTCTTCTTTGCTCCATCCTTTGATATCTATGGAGGTGTTTCTGGGTTATATGATTATGGTCCACCAGGTTGTGCTTTCCAAGCCAACATTGTTGACACCTGGAGAAAGCACTTTATTTTAGAAGAAGACATGTTGGAAGTTGATTGTACCATGTTAACACCTCATGATGTTTTGAAGACCTCAGGTCATGTTGACAAGTTCTCTGACTGGATGGTTAGAGACTTGAAGACCGGGGAAATCTTTAGAGCAGATCATTTGGTTGAGGAAGTGTTTGAAGCAAGATTAAAAGGTGATAAGGCTGCCAGAGGTGTTGCTACTGAAGCCAAGGAAGACGAAGATAAGAAAAAGAGAAAGAAGAAGGTTAAGGAAATCCAGAACATTAAGTTGGATGATGATGTTGTTACTGAATATGAATCTATTTTGGCTCAAATCGATGGTTACTCTGGTCCTCAATTAGGTGAATTAATCGTTAAACACAACATTACTAACCCTGCTAACGGAAATGCTTTATCTCCTCCAGTTGAGTTCAACTTGATGTTTGAAACCGCAATTGGTCCTTCTGGTCAATTGAAGGGTTACTTAAGACCAGAGACTGCTCAAGGTCAATTTTTGAACTTTGCTAAGTTGTTGGATTTCAATAATGAAAAGATGCCGTTTGCTTCTGCTTCCATTGGTAAGTCTTTCAGAAACGAAATTTCTCCTAGAGCTGGTTTGTTAAGAGTTAGAGAATTTTTGATGGCTGAAATCGAACATTATGTTGACCCTGAAGACAAGTCCCACCCAAGATTCGAAGAAATCAAAGACATCAAGTTGAAGTTTTTGCCCAAGAATATCCAAGAATCTGGTTCCAATGAATTATCGGAAGTTACAGTTGGCGAAGCCGTTGCTTCAGGAATGGTTGACAACCAAACTTTGGGTTACTTTATTGCTAGAATTTACTTGTTCTTGATTAAGATCGGTGTTGACAAGAACAGATTAAGATTTAGACAACATATGTCCAACGAAATGGCTCATTACGCTGCTGATTGTTGGGATGCTGAATTGCAATCCTCATATGGTTGGATTGAATGTGTTGGTTGTGCCGATAGATCTGCTTATGATTTAAGTGTTCATTCTGCTAAGACTAACGAAAAGTTGGTTGTTAGACAACCATTGGCTGAACCAAAGGTTGTTGAAGAGTTTGACGTTGAAATTGCAAAGAAGAAATTTGGTCCAAAGTTTAGAAAGGATGCTGGTGCTGTTGAAAAGTGGTTGTTGACCAGAACCCAATGTGAATTGGAAGATTTGGCTACAGAATTGAAGGACAACGGTAAGATCACTTTCTCTGTTGAAGGTGTTGAAGGAAAGATTGAATTGGACACAGAATTTGTTAACATTGAAAAGAAGAGCAAGTCTGTTCACATTCGTGAATTTACTCCTAATGTCATTGAACCATCTTTCGGTATTGGTCGTATCATCTACTCCATTTTTGAACATCAATTCTGGGCTAGACCTGAAGATGCTGACAGAGGAGTTTTATCATTGCCTCCTTTAGTTGCTCCCACCAAGGCCTTGTTGGTTCCATTATCCAACAGTGCTGAATTACGTCCTGTTGTTAAGAAGGTTTCTGAATATTTGAGATCTGAAAAGGTTCCCTTCAAGGTTGATGATTCTTCTGCTTCTATTGGTAAGAGATATGCCAGAAATGATGAATTGGGTACTCCATTTGGTATCACCATTGATTTCGACTCTGTTAAGGATGAATCCGTCACCTTAAGAGAAAGAGACTCCACTAAACAAGTTAGAGGTTCTTATGTCCAAGTTATTGATGCAATTAAGGCCATTACCTATGAAGGTGCATCTTGGGCCGAGGCTACTGCCAAACTCACTCCCTTTGAAAGTCAATCTGGGGATGCTTAGAGTATATAAATTGTGAATAGAGTTTAAACAACATACTGTGGTAGACTTAATCTTTGCAAAAAGAAAAAAGCAGTCGCTACCAGCATTCACCAAAATGTTGTACTTGGCATTTATTCTTCTATGTTCAAATTAGCCTTCAAGAACGACTCCGTGGCCAAGCTGGCTAAGGCGTAAGACTGTTAATCTTAAGATCGTGAGTTCGATCCTCACCGGGGTCGGTTCTTAATTTCTATGACTTCGTGGCCAAGCTGGCTAAGGCGTAAGACTGTTAATCTTAAGATCGTGAGTTCGATCCTCACCGAGGTCGCTTTTTTTTATTCAATAAATGATTATCATTTGAATTCATTCATTAAACAACTTCCTTCTTTCTTCCTTCATTTTTATCAAGCTCTTATTGTTAATGTAAAGAAATCGTGCAGTTTGGTAGTACACCTAACGATGACCGATCGAAATAATAGCGTTTAGTAATTCACCCTGTTACACCCACACAGCTTGACGCTCTTTGTAAACTTCATACAACAAGGTATAAGGCGTATTTAAGAGTTGATAAGGATAAGGAGAGCTCTCTATGGTGTTGTTAAATGAGTTATGAACATGTCAGGGATTTATTGTGGTGATTTCCTTAGAGGGCCCGAACTAGTATTTTGTCGGGTAGAAAATTACCTAATTGAGCTTCCAAAGGGCTATGATAAAACGTCAAACTTTCAACTCCTTTAACTAACAATTGCTGCGACCTTGGACGTATACAGTATAATTCGCTGTAAATAATATAAGCAAATTCATAAATCTTCGAGTATAAAATGATCGGCAAAAGTCCTTTTGGAAAGTAGTCGACAGGGAGTGTTTTCTACAGTCAATTGCTGCGAAAATATATGCCTAAGACATAATCTGCTACTATGGAGGCTGGACCTATAATTACGGCTGTTTTCGCCCTATTATCGTTTATATTGCTTATTCCTGTGTTCTGTTGGCATTTTGTTAGACAGAATGTCCCTGTTATCAGTCTATTGTTCTGGATGATGTATGGTAGTTTGACCACATTTATTAACGTTCTCATTTGGTCAGGACCTGATTTCGATACCAAGTTTAATGGAGAGATTTACTGCGACATCACCAACAATTTGGAGTATGGTAGTAATGTTGGTCGTATATGTGCCGTCGCTACGTTAGCCCTAAACCTCTATATCATTTTGAAAGCTCTGAACCCTTTATTTCTTGACGAAGCATATAGAAAACGAAAGAATTGGTTGAACTTCGCCTTGTGTTGGGTCACACCTATATTTACCATGGCTACCGTTTACATCATCCAAACTCAACGGTATGTTATTCTTCGTTATAGAGGTTGTGCTTCGGCAGTGTCGCTTTCTTATCCAACAGTATTGATTATTTTCCTCTGGAAGTTACTCTGGTCTGCGGTGTCGGTGGTGTTTGCTGTTCTTACTCTATACAAGTTTTATGTCACCAGAAGAGACGTGAAAAATATCTTAAAGTGCACCAATTGCGGCTTGAGCTTCAAAAGATTTGCTCGTTTGGTTTCAGTGAGTGTCTTCTGTGTTATTACATTGGTTCCTTGGACTGTCTACACGGTTGTTATTAGTACAGAACACTTCAATGCTCATTTTGATTGGGAGGCAGTCCATAATTGGCCACCATACATTCTCTTTACTGATTTTGGGTTCGTTGCGATGTACGATAAGCTTATCGGCATTGGAGTTGCACTCATTACTTTCTTGATATTTGGGGTTGGTTCTGAAGCAAGTATGGTATACTTTAAATGGTTTCTGTTCTTGTTCAAATGGCGGAAATCGTCATCAACGTCTTATGATAGTGGTGTTGAGAACGGCGGTGATAACGGTGAAACCGATAACGATAATCATTCGCACGTGATGCAGCAATCTCAGATCAGCGACATGGTATATTGCACGCGACTCGATGATTTAGAAAGCAACTCCTTCATCTTCCACGAAGATAATGACGATGATGAAGTTCGTGACCACGATATCAAGTTGAAGACTCCTACGGATGTCACGGTTGTATCTTTACAAGACTCAGAAAGTGAAAAGGGTGGTCTCTAATATAGTCGTGTGTATGTACAAGAAAATTATAACTTAAATCAAACGTTGGAACGTCTGTAGGAATAAACTGGACTTGACTTTCCCTTGTGATTCCTTCATGGCCAACCCAACCAAATGGTTAATCGACTTGGCCTTCCCTGCACGGATCTTCTTGACAACGTCCGGATTCTGTTCAATGATTTCAAGACAAATCTCCTGCACAGCTTCAAGTATATCATGTTCCGAGACGTCACGTGGTTTCTCTAGATCAAGCTCTTCTATTAAAGCATCCAAGGGTCGTGCGTCTCCAGGATTTGAGATCACGTGAGTAAGGAGAACTCTAGCGGATGTTAATGTTAACCGGGAGTCATGTCCATTGACCAACGTTATTAAGGATGCCAATTTGTCAAAGGGCAAGACGTTGATGTCGAATATTTGGTTGTTCTTGTGGAAGCTTCCAAGCACCTCGTGGAACATCCAGTTATTTATGGTAGTACACTTAATGTGTGGGTCTCTCGCACCAACAGCCTCAACCAATTGGAAATAATATGGTAAGACATTGTCGTTATTATCCAATAAGAACTTTGCATGTTTCACTTCGAGATCGTACGGCGACAGGACCAACTTTTGTAGCACCCTTTCAGGAAGTTGAGGCTCTATTTCATCGTATATTTCCTTCGCAATTGTGGGTGAAAGATATATCTGTGATAATTCTGAATCCGGTACATATCTGTAATCAACAGCGTCTTCTTTTGAACGTGCCTTAACAGTTTCAGTCCCATTCCAACCCCTGGTTTCTTGAGACACGGTTATATTTACTTGGAGCAACTGGATCTGTCTTTTATATTCATAGCGTAATGCTTGTTTGATCTCTGTGGTCGACCCCAAGTTCTTTATCTCAACTCTATTCCCACCATTAACGCTGATATTGACATCAACACGAATAGCCCCATTCTCCATGTCTCCAGAACATATATTCAAGTATTTCACCAACTGCTGGTACTTACGAAGGAAACATCTGATCTGCGTAAAGTTCTCAAAGTCTGGCTTAGTCACAAGCTCCACCAAGGGCATGTTTGCTCTATTGTAGTCGATTTTGATCTCATCGTCGTCAGTATATATCGACTTGCCAGTGTCTTGTTCAATCTGTAGTTGTTCTATGTTGATGCACTTGTCTGCATCCAATCTGTAGTTGCCCTCATCGTCCACGCCGCTCCTCAAGGTCAACGAACCATTCTTAGCAATCGGATGGTAATGTTGGGTGATCTGGTACCCTAATGGTTGATCTGGATACATATAATGTTTCCTGTCGAAGGCAGAGGTGGTTTGAACTTCACATCCGAGGGCTGCAGCCAACTTCAAGGCCAATAGTAGTGCCTCGGGATTAAGCTTGGGCTGCGTTCCTAAAAGTCCAATGTCAAAGTAACTGATGCTGGAGTTGGGTGGCACAATGTGGGATGATGTGGTCGTCGGAGACAAAGAGAAGAGCTTATACTTGGTCTTCAATTGAGTATGGATTTCTATCCCACATTTGAAGGCATAGTTTGGGTCCAATTTAAACCTTGAAATAGTAGAATGAGAAAGTAGTCGTATGAACCTCATGGACGATAATGATAAACAAACTTGGAACGCAGTGAATCAGACGTTTGGTATTTGGCTTGATCTCGCTTGACTGCCGCTCGCTCTAAACTTCTCAGCTAATCCCATCTGCAGTGCCAAATGGTACGCAATTTAATCAGAAAGTTAGACGGTGGTTAACAGTGAAATAAGATGAAATAAGATGACCTTGGAGTGAGTTTAAGTAGAGATGAGCTTGGTAGATGGTAATTGAATTTTACTCACTTTGTATCTAAATGTAGTTGCACATGATGAATTTGGTGTTAGGGTCTTTTCACATAGCAGCACATTTTCTTTGAAACAAGCTTTTTCACATTAAATCTTTAAGTTATCGTACACAAACTTGTCAGAAACCGATCACCTTCACTTTAAACATATAGCTTTATTCATCGGTGTCAACCACTATTATTATTAATTAGTGTCAACTACGTTCAATTGTGAATCATTTATTCAATGCCTGTAACTCGGTTCATCTACACATGTTATTAATTCTACACATACAATTCTATGCACAGCCTTACATGTATCCACATGCATCTACATGTATTTACATGTATTTGCATACATAAATTTTCTGTTTCTTCTATGTATACCAATGCTTCATCAAATCTATTCCTTCGGAAGGTCTCCCTCTTTCAATAGTGGTCATTCTAATAGTATATACACGACTACTTACAATACTGCATACAATATCGCCTCCTCCCTCCTCACTTGCCCCCTAAAACTGTCATAAAGTGATAACGATAACGATCACTCTTTATCTTCATCCAAAGAAACCTACACGACAAAGATACTAGAGACATAGTGTTGAGACTGGTATGTATCAACAAGTGGAGTAACTCCACGAGCGAGGGTCAATTGACCGTATAGACCGGTAGCGGTACAGGGCTTGGGCGATGATATTGGAGATCAATGTTATTGTTGGGTGTGGTAAGCCTGTGGAACCTGAAACTGAAGTGGAATCTGAAACTGAAGTGGAATCTGATTGATCTCTTATATGAAGCTAGAACACACAATAGAGATGATTCAGTCTATCATGACAATGACGAAGGCCAACAACCGATTAGATCATTGATGGATGTTTGATTAAGGATTCGCCACCTAACCTCAGTCTAGATGTATATATAGAACCCCCAACCCCTTTAGCAGAATATATTACTAACAATTTGAATCAAGATTCTTTTGAAGTTCTAATTAACACCCAAACAATGAGATCCCAATTCAAGGACGAATATGCACTTGGTACGTATCAGTTTAGTATTCACAGTGTCGAGAAGGACTATTACTAACCAGTCAATGTATAGAAAAGAGAAAGGCCGAGGCTGAAAGAATCTTAACTCGTTTCCCTGACAGATTACCCGTGATATGTGAGAAGGTTGAAACCAGTGACATAGCAGACATAGATAAGCGTAAATACTTAGTTCCTAAGGACTTATCTGTTGGTCAATTTGTCTATGTCATTAGAAAGAGAATCAAGTTGCCCAGTGAAAAGGCAATTTTCATTTTTGTCAATGATATCTTACCTCCTACTGCTTCATTGATGAGCAGAATTTATGAGGAACATCATGACGAAGATGGATTCTTGTACGTGTTGTACAGTGGGGAAAACACTTTTGGTGACATGGGATTTGAGGAATTAAAGGAATGAGATATGTATATTGTTGTTGTTGCTTTTATTATTATTCTTTTTGGTTCTTTTTTTTGGTGCTTCCTATTTATTCAATTACAACTATATCCAAACTCTTATCTCTCTACCTGATTAGGTGATTGCTGCTTTGTTTCTCGTAATCCCAGCAACAGGTTTTGCACCATGCATGTGCTTATCAACACTGGTACATTTATGGCAGGAGTGCTGTATAAGGTCTATTTCGATATTTGTTCTTAGTTAGGCACTCTAAATTCTAATTAGTACTGTTCCTTTTCTTTTTATTACCTTTATCATTCTAATCACGTGACAAAATTTGACTTTTCTTTTGTAGTATCTGATATCTGTACGAATGTTTCAAATATGAATCCATTGACACTTTAGGAGAGCTATGACAAATTAAGATAAGAGTATTCCATACAGATTGGAAGATTTTATACTGAATGGTACTATTATCTGGGCTAATAATGGTGTTGGTGATGGTACCAATATCGCACTAAAAACCGTACTGCTCTGACTAATTATATGTAGAAAGTTTACTACAAGTTCCAGTTTTACTAATACCAGAAATTAATAACTCTACTAATATCTCTACGAATATCTTTTCTATCAATCACAATAATTGTGCCTTTAATAGCTCTTGTAATAATTCCTGTAACAACTCCCTAAATTCATATTTTCGTGCATTTACCAACCTGCTTATACAGTAGTTTGAGAATGTTATCGTTTGAACCGATATGGGATTCCATATTCCAAATACAGGAGACGTGTATCTACCACAAGGCATACTTAGACAAAAGCTTAGTTCCTGTAGACTAATACGAACTCGAAGTTGATTAAATGGGGGTGACGGGGCTCCTATGCAAAACTAATAGGGGTGATTCAGACGAGAATGCGGTAACTGTTGATTACAATGTGGCATATTTTGTATGGTCAATGGAAAATTAATGGTGGAAAAAATACATGCACACATACCAGCTCAGATAACGAGTGTAGGTAGCTAGCTGGCTAAAGCAATGTATTTATTTATGTCTGAATCTATAATCGGTCTGTAATATATGACTCTTAGTATTAAGATTATTCCCAGTATTGTTATTATGTAACGAGTTCCAGGGGCTTTCCAGTTGCCGGATTTATCGACAGAAAGTAGTGCAGTGCGACCGGTCCTTGTGTAACCGAACCAGTGGTGGAACAGTGCACATTATGTGTCAGGAGCGGAACGGCGTTGTACGTAGTACCAATCTAGGTCGATGGCAGCAATGAATGTGACAACTGTCATACACATCTTGCAAACAGAGATGAGGGGGGCACAACTGCTTAAGACCATATTAGAGCAGAGCAGAACTGAGTAGAGCAGAACAGAGCAGAGTTGAGAGTAACAGAACCTTAATAGACCAAGCACCAGTCACAGTCATGCCATTAAGCCTCATTTGTTACGTGAAGGAACAAATAAAAAAACAACTCTAAAGAAACACAAAGCCACACAACAAGCAAAAGAAATATACGGTTGCATGATAAGTGTCCAGATGCAGTTTTTGCGAACGAGGAAGGCTGTTGGCTAATGTATGGGGGCAAAAGAGAAATTTCTTTTACTAAAAGTTGTCAAGCAACAGCGCAAATTAATAGCATGATAATAATAACAAATAAGTAATGACATAAAACTAATAACATCTAAACAAGATCATAACTTGTCATCGAAATCATTGATATTTACGTACAAAAATAGAATATACAATCGTCATTCGATTCAATAATTTCATGCCGTAATAATAAGAAATTCTCATCCACGACCAACTATTAATAGCAGCATAAGTCGTGTCCGCGCAGAATGTAAAGTATTACTACTAAGGGTCATGTTATGGTCCTTCATTTGGAAAAGCCGCTTCCGCTCCCACCACAAACTTGTTGTGTACTGGTTAACTAACGCATTAACACATTGAATTATTTTTTGGGGCATTACGACGTAAAATAACAAAGACAAACCATCAATACTAATTGTACCAACGACAGTAATAAATATTACTTTTACCGTTAACTGCGCGCTAGTATGCTACTACTGCTATTAAAGGGTTTTAGTCCGTTCGTTATGTTGGATTTCCGCCCTTTACCTCCTCTGTTCTATAGATAGCAACTACTAGTGGGGGGTTTGTGATTGTGTATGTTTGATGTCCACTGTATGCATGTCCGTGAATAGCACATGGTGAGATAATACGGTACGTGCTGCATGTAAGATTTTGTTACCCCTCGACAAAAATTTTTATGTATAGAATTTTTGCAATCGGATGGTATGGCTACCCGCAGATGTTTACAATAGCCCATTTAATTTCCACCAGCCTCCATAAAGAGAAACTATTTAAATGGACCCAGATTCCCATTCAATTAATCCCTAATGCTAGACTAGTTTTTCCTTCTTTACACCTTGTTAAATTAACTTCAGTTACTTTTACGTTCGCTGTATTCCATTCGCTATGTTCTCTAAGGTCCTCGCTGCTTCCGCCCTTGCCTCCGTTGCTTTGGCTGGTTACTCCAACTCTACCTCCGTTCCAGGTAACTCCACCGTTGTCACTACCGACGTTGTTGTCACTGAGTTCACTACCTACTGCCCAGAATCCACAACTGTTACCTTCACCACTTGTCCTGAAGAAGACGTTTGCGGTGAACACGTTGTTACCGTTACTGAACCAACTACTCTTACCGTTACTTCTTGTGAAGTCCCAACCACCTACACCACCACCGTCTCTTCAACCACCGTTGAAACCGTGTGCCCAACTTGTACTGAGAAGACCACTGTTGTCTCTTCTTCTTCTATGACTTATGATAACCACACCGTCACTACTGCTGTCGGTGGTGCTCAAAAGGTTGCTGCTGGTGCTTTCGCTGGTGTTGCTGCCGTTGCTGCTGCTTTGTTCTAAGCAAGTTTACTTTGGATTTTAAAGGCTATTAAGTTTTGTATGCTACATGAAGCTTGCTATGCCTGAGGTTTGGTATATAGGCTTGAATAAATAATTCGTTAACACTTTATAATACTTTAATACTATTTCGTTTATTATAGGAGAAGACTGTAGACGGGCAAACTTATGGGAGTGATTTATTGAACCATTTTTCTGAGTCAAGGATTGAATGCGAACAATAGTGAAGTTTCCCGTGGTCGTGCCATTCAAGTAGTGGGCCATGTTTCGTGTGTAACTAGTAGCAACCCTAAACTTAAGGCTTTACGGTTCAATCTCATCAGGTTAATCTTATTTTGTCGACACTCGAGAGGTGGTTACAGGCCTGAATACATAACGATTACAGGAACATATGGAGTTCCTGGTGGGATTATTTCCATTGAGAGAATTCTTTGACTATTTTGTGTATGTTGTGCCTTACATTACCGGCTACATCGATTAACAGTATTCTACCGAAATCTTTTTTCATATGAAACAAAAGTTATGACCAATGAAATCAACGGAAAACTAGGTTTAATTCTCGGCAGCCAAAGATGTTACCTGTATATAAACCAAACATACAACAAAATGAACATGGTTAATAGCTCGGCCCTAACCCATCAGGATATTTTATTTTCATGTCAGTATTTACTTACATCGAAACTGTATATAAACATGTACCATAAATGCAAAAGCTTGTACATACCGGATATACCACTATACCGTACGGCACTTACATGCACACCATCAGTACAAAGTCAGGTAATAATTCACACATTCAGTCGTAAATATACTATGCGTTTAAACCGAGGACCTATTAGCCTAACAAAAAGATTATAGAAATAAGTTAGACCATGGAATAATTTGGTATCTAACTAGTATAAATAAAGTATTTGATTTTTCATTTCACTTGCATGATATGCCAAGTTCCACTCATGCATGATCGTCTGCAATTTAAAATTAGTTAGACAAAGCTTCGAAAATATCGTATACAACAGTCGCCTAATTCTTCAACACATAATCAGGGAATAATGCTTCCCAGTCTTGATCAAATAAATCCGACGTCATTAACATTGGCGGACCCCCAAAGAAATCTAAATTCTCTTCAAATAATATATCTGTATTGGTTTGCTCAACCGAAGATAAAATTTCAAATCCGCCATTAACTCCGCCTGAGTCTAATGAAACCGATGACGAGATCTCACCTCCAACTATTCCATTGGTAGGGTCATCTTCTAATCTTTGATCTCGCTTCACCAGCGCCATCGGGAAGCGTTCATTGGTATCTGGAGAATTGATCGATCTTCGTTGTAGGAGTGGGAAAGGTGCCACTTGTGGTTTCAAGATCGGTCGTGATTGTAGAGGCTGTGAGGGGGGATTCAAAACAGGTTCTACTGAGGGACCAACAACAATCTTTGGTGGAGGGAGGTATGAATTCGAATTGGAAACATTTGGATCTCCATTAGCTTCCTCTGAAACTGATCGGAGATTAGAAACAATTGGAGATATTGGTCTTAACTCCATAAGTTCTTGTTTAATTATTGGAGGAGTACTTATAACGTCGGGGATCATTTGTGGTGTTGGGGGAGGAGTATCCACTGCCTCATCTTGAGTTCTTTCTTCCTTTTTGAACTTTAATTTTATTTGAATTAAATTATAAGATTTCTCCGCCAATTTCCAAGTCTTGGAGGAGCCACGTAACACATCCAAGAAGAATAGCAACTTCTTTTTCTTTCTTTCAGTCACTAGTTGTCTGTAAGTGTTGGTCAATAACAATATTGAAATGGCCAAAATCGAACTGTAGACAATAAATATGGAAACTCTTCGGAGACCATGTACTTTTTTAAATCGGTTAATGGCAACATACAAATCTCCTATTGCTTCTTCACAAATTTTAATTGGTGAGAAGGGTCCCTCATAATCCTCAGCATCTGCCTCTGGATCATCATCAACAGTATTTGTTGCTGCTGATTGCTTTTGCATTTGCTTCTGTAAACATAAGCCCACAAATGGCCGATTCAAACATAGTACCAAGATATAATAATAATATCGTAAGCCAGCAAGGGTAGGGTTTTCAGCTGTTTCACTAAGAGATTGTCTATCCCATCTTAGATCTTCAGGTAAGCTTTCCTTCCACTTTCGAATCTGAAGATTGTATTGGTGAAGTTTATCTAGTCTCTTTGAGTCTTCAAGATTGAATTCATCCTTGGTGAAAATATCACTTAAAATATTATCACTTATAGAAATTAAAACAATGATTTTCTTAAGAGGATTCGAAATATACGATACTTGATCACTCTTTCGGTTATAAATGTATTCATCGATCCAGCCCAAATCTGGCAAGTCCTCCAGTTCTGGGATGGAAGCATCAGATTTCTTTAATAAACTTGGTCTTCCCAATAACAAACTAATGAAATGGTCTGCCATATAAGATCCCCAATAGATACGTGAACGAATGGATTCTGTGAGTTTATCAGCCTTTTGCTTGTGCATGAACCAAACCTTTGGATTCAATTGGAACCCTAGATCGTACCCCATTCGGATAGCATTACCAGAAAGCATCCAACCCGAGGAATTATGGCCGTTACATATATCATAGAACGCTAGAAGTAGAAACAGCTGAATTGAAGTAATAGAAGGCGGATGGTCCAATTGAGAAAGTAAACGGGCTTTAGCTTCATCATAGAACTCCTTGGATCGATTGTAAATGGTATCAACCTCAGACATAGAAGACCCGAGGGCACAGATGGCTAACACAAGTACCTTGGAGCAATACATCATGTTTGGCTTTGGATTGAAAAAGTCTATAAGGAAAGACTCTCGGAAAATGAACATGTTATGGTCTGGATATTGCCAATTGAAAAATAGTTTGATACAATGAAGGATTTGCTCATCTTTGTTCATGATTTTGACACTAGCCAAATCGTCTTTGTTGCTTGTAGATCTTTTTGAGATGAGGGAGTCATCGTCATACACTGCCGTTGGTCCGTAGACTGCTGTTCTGTGAATACTATCAGAAGTATCGTCATCTTCCACATCAACTGATCTCTCTTTAGTAGCAGAAGAGGATGCCAAGGAAGAAGCCAAGGAAGAAGCCGACGAAGCAGAAGCAGAAGCAGAAGCAGACGCAGAAGCAGAAACAGACGCAGATGCAGACGCAGAAGACATAGATATCGGCGATTCACCCTTAAGTTTCTTCAGCGAATATATACCATTTTCCTGAAGTAATGATTCAAAAGTTGACAGCTCTAAAAGCTGTTTCTGACCAGTCGTATCGGAGTCTTGAACTCGCTGAAGGAACAGCACCAAGTTCGTATATCGTTCCTGGAGCTCGCTGACTTGATTAACTTTTAGTCGCTTCTTCCGCATGTCGTCGGTTATTTGAACACATTCTACGCCGTTTCGTATGCAACTGGAGCATGGGAAGTCAAAGCTACATTTAACTTTGCGGAGCCGGCATCGCTGACATGAAAGCGGTTTCTTTTTAGGATCCGTAACGGGAAGCCCGGTATCGGCGACGGCAGTGTCTAAATGATTACTAAAACCTGAGTCGTCATGGTTTCTGCCGACCATCTGTGATATGGTCACCCAGATGGAGATAAGAAGAGTCTTTTGACAATGATGCGTTTGGTTTTGGTGATTTGAGATATTGTGGTTGTGGATATAAAGATTCCAAATCGGGGAAGTTAAAGTCCGGTATAAGCGTATATGCAGGATAACAAACTGATATATTGAAACGTAACAAGCATTTATAGTAAATTGTAAATGTATTATTGCTTATTATGATATAAATAGGTCAGTTTAAGAATAAGATTTGGTACATGGAATAAACCAATACTGCAACTCCAAGCACTATCAATGATAAATCTGCCACCTTCAATATAGAGTCAGTTTTGGTCAAATAAGGTTTCCTTTGAAGTACTCTGAAGTGGATCAAAGGAGGATAGATGTACACCAAGGGGATGCATGCAAAGCAGCCATTGAAACTAACGAATTTGTCGATATTATTACGGTTAACGTAAGCAATGGTGCAAACCCCAATAGTTGAAATGGAGCGGAATAAATTCTTTGACCATTTAATATTGTTGTTATATTTCCCAGAATATAACTTACCCTCGGTATCGTTCAGTGGAGTATTGAAAAGAAGACCCTCACCGATCTTGATGGCTGGAAATAATTGTAAGGGGAACGTCAAGAACACAGCGATGGAATAGAGAATCATAATGAGTTTAACTGAGAAGGCACCCAGTGGTAAATTAAGAATGATAATGGACTTAACGTCATTACCAAACGTTAAGTAACCTAAAGCGCCCACAAGAGTGAAGATTACTGTGATAACCATCATTGAAAGACCCAATACCATGGGGAACTTTTCAGGGTTAGCCATAGATGATTCAATAGGAAGAACAAGACCAACTCCTTCAAAAGCAGTCACAGCCACACCAACAAGCATAGTCCAAGAGTTTGAGTTGAACTGGATTATCTCGGAAGCCACTCCATCATCATAGAGGTTGATGCCACAAAAGTAAAAGATAATAAGTAATCCAATGATGATGAACAATGATGAAATAAACGAGATAAGGGACAATTTGGTTAAGTTTCTAACCAACACTAAGGGGATAAGAAGGATGCATTGGATGACACAAAGAACCACTTTGGAGATACCAAACAACTCATTGAAATTCTCCAGCGTGAACAAAACATATGTCAGGACAAAACCAACCTGTGACAAGATAATCAGGACCATAATGAACATTCTTAAACCCTTACCATAAGTAGAGTAGCCTAGCTCACCAAAGGAATGTTTCCCGAGAGCATTTTTCAGAAACACCAAGATAATGTAGCAGAAATAAGTAATAAAGCCGAAGATTGCAAGGGTGACGATACTAAAGAGTAAACCTCCATTGTAAAAGGCCCGTGGAAGGAAGAGAACACCGGAACCAACCAACGACTTGAATAAGAGGAAGAACGTCTTGGTCACACTAGCAGTTCCCTTTGGAGGACGAGCTTGTTTGCCTCTTGGGGCACCACCGTTGGGTTTCTTTCTAGAAGGCCCACGCAATTGTTGCTGCAATAATGGGGTTTCTTCATCAGATAACAACTCTTCGGAATAATCACCTTCTGATTCCCCTTCGTCACCCTCGTCATCCAAGTCCTCACCGGCGAAATGGCCATACAACGTCAAAAACTCAATGAAGTTGTTGGTTAAAAAGTTTGGAGGTTCTCGCTGGTGTTTAATCAGCTGTTGGATCAAGAACTCTCGTCTGAACCCTCCAGGAACATTGATGTCACTGGCAGTTGAGCCTCTTCTGGACTCTGTAAGGAAGTTCAGGAAACTGCTGGATCTCTTTCGGGTGTGAAGAATATCTCCACCACCTACACCATTTGAGTGAATGGACTGTGCGTCATCGATAACGTTGTCATTGGTGGATGGTACTATCAGAAACAGATGCAGATGGGATGTAGAAGGGGATGAGCCTTGTAAATTGGCATTGTTCAATTGATGGTAAATGTGCCTTGAAATGTCTCCTCCCGGCGATTTCAACGTATCTTCCTGAGGCAATAAATGCTTTTGAACCAGTCTTAAATCAACGCTATGTGGTTGGTTCAAGCTCTGGATATGTTCAGAATAGTTGGTCATTGAAGCTCCTCCAGATTTAGTGAAGGAAGAGTTCCGTCTGACCGATGATGGATTCGATGATGCACTGAAACTGTTGTTAATGCTTCCCAGAGGTGTCGGAGACTGTTTGGGGATCGGTAATGACGTATTAGAGTAACTCATGGTGGAATATATGGCAGTAAAGATTTGGTGTCATTAAATGGACCTAAAAACGGACAAATGGGTAGAAGTTAATACCGAATCTTTGGTGATAAAACTTTGTAACCAATTTTATAAGGCAACAATACTGTTTGTAGGTTATAGCTATAAAAGCAGGTTGATTTTCCCCTTGACTTGGTTAGTTTCTTTTAGGCTCATCACTCTAATATTCACATATACGACTGCATATAAGAACAGTCAAAACTTAACTGCACTAGAACCCAAACCAAGTGCCATTACAGTCTAAACTATCACGTGACAGTTTTCTTATTACATAAGCAACCAAGAATTAACAACAACGTGTTTTGTTACCCGTTCTTGTACCGAGCCCCAAACCTGCGACTCATCAATCTTTTGTCTGTTGGTTCGTTTATCCTTGTGAGTCGTATATCAATTTGAAGTATAACTCCTTACTATAGTAGTATTTCAGCTCTCGGCTCCCTACCTGGGCCTTCACAGGGCCTCACCATTTGTGTATACGTTTGCAAACGGCGTCGTTGCATAGTCTGCAAAGTCGTAGCAGACTTTGTCTAGTTAATGCAATCCACCGCGCTACCAACAGTATACTTAATATAGTCTTATGCTTATCTGGCACACATGATGGCTGCTCATGATAAAGTTCGAAAAGTCTCTCGTAAAAGGGAATTTCATAACATGGAGTGGGGTACCATGTTTCGATGAGAACCAGCAGTAAATGATAGTGACAGTGAAATAAAGTTAATGGGCATATGAGTTAGAACGTTCTCTATAATTTACGAAAATTTCACTTGATGACCACTAGTTCCATGTTCCAAGAAAGAGAACGCTGTTGTTGATATTTAGTACATGGCGACTTTGACTCATATTTTGCAATGATGACACCGATGCCGTGAAGCGACAAAAAGCCAATGTAGATTTTAGAAGTTACAGGGGATTCACAAAATGGTGCAGGTGACGAATGGGAAATCAAGTCTGAAAGGTAAATCTCTCCTATTAGCCATTTTAGTAGAAGCTTTGGCAGCGGACTTTCAAATGTTGAAAATAGGCAAGGCTGTATCCCTATACTGTATGCGATATATTCAAAGTGATTGTGAATTAAGTTTTGGTGCAGAAATTGTGTTGCAGAGTGCAACTTGGGGATGCAAGTGACTATTCCAAAACAAAATTGACTCCCAATCAATATACAACCAACGTACCCGCACAAATAGGTAATATGCCGTACTATTTTATGAGTGCTTCCCTTTACAACGACGGATGTGACTAGTTGGGACTTATCCGACAACCAAGTTTACAAATGGGAGTGAGGCTAGTACTCTTGATTCACATGTGACGTCTATAATATATGGAAGTTATTTGAGAGGAAAATACTAAAAATTACAATGTATGGTAAAATGCTTGGAATAAACTTAAACATTGAACTCACAAGTACGCTGGTGTTCAGGATTTCATCAGGGATGTAGCTTCGGCCACTTTGCACAAAGTAAGGGGGTTTATGACGATGGCTATTCCATATAGAGTATATAAAGAGTTTTTTCGATGCCCAATATTATATCTATTGTACTCTCTATTTTTTTCTGTTCTGTGACCTCAAAAGTTAAACCCAATGGAAGATCCTTCATATGTCAAGATGTGCAAAAAAAATCGGATTAATAAAATCGACGAGATAAGCCTTCTGCAGCTAGGTGTGTGAAAAAAAGTGGAGTAAGAAAAGAAGATTCTCGGAAAAATAGAAAATGAGTTGTTGAAAACTTATTGTTAATACATCAACCATATTCCACGGGCTGAGAAAAATTATACATGACATCATTACTAATCATTTGAATATTCCCTTATAACAACTTAATCACAATAAAATGATCAGGCATTTTTCACGTTTTAGTCTTTACGTAGGAAGATGACTTGGAGTTGGCATGTATCGGAAGGGCTTATAAAATATAATCGAAAGATGACAAAACCGTCCGGAAAAACCTATGCGGTTATGCCTACATTCCGACATGCAAACCTGCATACATAATGGTTATAGCGGTCAAAATTTTTCTGTACGTTTAACGCAAAAACTAAACAAAGGTCATGAAACAGACAAACAGCGACAGACAATTTTCTTGAGTTTACTTAGAAAAAGTCAGATATTGTTGCAGGAGCAGGTCATTTCCCCAAAAAAGTTCAACTATATGAGTTTCTTTTTCCATGGTGTTAAGAACAGTAGTAGAAAAGGGCATTTTGGTCAGCGAGTTATTACCAGAATAGGAAACGCCCTTCTGCTTTGGTTTGAGGAGTTGTCGATAAGGACGAAAAGGGTTAGATTAATATCATGGGGGGTTTTCTCTAAATGCTATTTTCAATGTTATGTTATTTGCGAAATGTGAAGCATAGTGTATAAACTCCGGCAAATTTGTAGCAAGGTCACTAGTTCAAGATGGAGGTTGTCGTAGGTTCTCCACCTTAATAAGAAGCTTCTAATGCAAAAGAATGGAACAATCGATGTAGTGTTCAACACAATGGAATGTTACGATACATCCTTAACTCCAAACCATTTCAATGGTAACGGACTTCTTTACCCCGTTCTATAAAGTTGAACAAGAAAGAACGAACGTTCCTAATTGTGGCACTCAAAGACTCAAAGACTCAAAGACTCAAAGACTCAAAGACTCAAAGACTCAAAGACTCAGGGTTTAATGAAGAAACACCACGATAATTCTTAGCAGGAAATTTACGATTGTTTCCTACGATTGTTCGTAGTGATAATACAGATGTTCCATTTAGGAGTAGTCCCATACGTTTTTTCAGAAAGAATAAGAGAACTGACATAAAGTCGGGGTAAAGACTACTGTGGCTAACTTGGAACATTCGTTGTCGCTGGAGTTAAGCTTCGCAATTATAGTTATATAGATGGAATATTCAATGCATTGTTTCAAAAAAAGAACTATTGCGAAAACACTAATTCCGAAGATCATTGCTTCTTTGTCATACATTTGGAATACTCATGTTAAAAATTGATTTAACCAACGGTTTTATCTTATTGTTACATATACGGCAACGCAAAATAAAGCTCTTGAACGTGGACGGCTGGTTAGGGGAATGAATTGATTGCGGAAAAGACATTTGGTTATGAGGTAACAAATGACGTCTTTAAAGGTAACCATTATAAGGGGTACGATGCACCATAACTGGTGGGGGGAGTGAGGGGACTTAATGGTTGGGAAACTCAAAAAAATCCCAGTGAACGGGACATTTCCTTTTTCCTGGTGGTAGGCTTTGTGACTGAAACTGAGAAATTCCGAGAATTATATTTGAAAGACTTTTTTGTCACACCAAAAAAGTCTTACCCCATTCTATCGGGCCTGCATTCTAAAGTTGTCTGCGTAGAACTTAGACGGCAAGAACCGCGGGGGGAAAGATGGGTAAATGCCATACAGGAATTTTATTTTACAGTACTTTATTTTTTATCTTTTTTTTTTTTTATTTTGGGGATGAATGAGGCAATAGATCCTCTGGTTCAAAATGACCCCAAAAGATATATAAGGAAAGCCATTTGACAGGGGTTGTTGAGCCTTTGTATTTTCTTCCTTCTTAATATAATAGACTAATATTATTATCACCATATAGCTTGTACTGGTGCGGGTTATTTGAGTATCGATTTAATTATTAATTAACTCCTCAACTTCTAATATCGTTATCCAACTTATTCTTTGCATTATAGTAACAATTATAATTTCATTTATTTATTCACAATGAGATACGCTCACGACGACTTGCTTATGAACTCACAAGCTACTTCGCCGATACGGGAAAATGTGGATTATATGTCTCCATGCGAACCTCACTTGGAGAATGATTTAAACTTATACATGTGTTGGAAGCTGCATTCTGTGGATGATTCATGCTATCAAGATCAACGTTTAGCCAACATTAGTTGGAGAAGATGGTCTAAGAACTTGTATCATTTAAAGTGTTTGCATCCATATGAAATCAACTGGTTTAAAGAATATGATATCACATGGTTGTACGGACCAAAGTTTACGCATCCATATTACGAGTCAGATTTCTTTACATCTTCATCACATCCAAAGAACACCAATGATAATAACTACACCACAACCGTTCGTCCTATAAATATCCCTAAAAGAGAAAGTGTTTCAAGCGAATCATCCGTGTTTTCGTATCTGTCTTCGTGTTCCTCGTCTTCAAGTTTAGATTGCTATCGTAAACCGAATTTGAAAAAGGAATCCAATTCACCATTTGCGGCTCAATGTGGCGATACGCCACGGAAGAAGAAGAAGGTGAGCTTTAACTACATCATCAACTCCCGCGAGATCATCAATGGCATATCAGTCGACTATGACTTCCTTGATGAGAAAGTCATGGCCTAAAAGGGTTTGGGTTACATATAATAATTTATAAGATCAAAAAGCGATTCAAAAGGCAAGCAAAAAGGTCTAGAGTATTTGAATACTTTTGTTTGCTCTACACATGACATTTTTTGGTTCCCAAGGAAGTTGATGTCTATTACTTCCATCATCGTCTTGGGACCGTTACTGCAAGAAAGTCGTGACGTCCTCAGGTGTTGGCGCCACTAACAGTTGGCCGTAAATGGTCATCTGTAAAGGTAGTATATAATTTTAAAGGTAGTATATATTTTTAAATGGGACAGTTTCAACTGGTTTGAACTTTAATGGGTGGCTTGTATATGTACGTGTGTAAGTATACGTGATTGTAGTGTCTAAGGACGCCTAACGGAACTAGTTCCGCTATTTTATTGTTTGTTTGTTGGAGAAAACTGTGCGGCTTTCGGATTCTTCCAAATGCGGATATCTATAGGGGAGGCCGATACGGGCGTGATAGGGAAAAGTTCCACTCGTCCAGCCTAGCCGTCGAGTCACATGGCTCGGAATTCGACGATGGCAATGTTTTCTCTTGAAAGGGAAAACGCCAAATGCTTTAGGATCTACCCGCACTTAAAGTAGGCGGTGAATACATGTGACTGGATGGGTCATGGATTCCACGGAACAAATAGTTGTACCGAGTAAGGACAAAAATTTGGTATCAACAAAGAGCTTCAACTGTCCTAGTTTAAGCGCTACCACAAGGAATGTAAGTTTAAGAATTGGATAGGAGAAATCTAACCACCACTCGGAGTGGCTGTGAATTTAGCCATTCCTTATCCTGAATAATACTTGCATGTGGAAATAGAATGCCTTTCTTTCGCTACCAACTCTTTGGTGACGAAACACATTCTTGGTTACAGTTGAGATACCCCAGAATTTACCACGTGCATTTAGTACTGATTTATTTAAGCGACCTTTTATGCGTATTAGCCTGTCGCACAGCTTGTCTATAAACTTCTACTTCTACACCTGGTTTGGGAATCGTCTACCTTTAGATAATGAACGTGGTGGTTGTTCGGTGGGAAGAGTATCCTCGTCTATACGAACTCACATACTCCCATGGATATCGGAAAACACTTAATGCCTTATTAAGACTGGCCTCCGAATAATGCAACTTAAAAATTGGAACACCTCTCTCCTCTCCCGACACATGCGTAACGACGCAAACCGTGAAGGTTATATTTACTTTATATTATTTTTTGGCCATATGCCCCTTCCATACTTCGAACCAGTGATCTATTCCTATCAAGGTTGTCGTCATTTCACCTATTTACAGTTATATCTATCCGTTGACGTGAAACGTACGTCCACCAAACCACCAACAAGCACGCGCTTAGGTATGGTCGAAGAAGCATCGGGATGTAGGTTAAAAAGATTGCATAACGCATTATTTATTTTTTAACCCAGATAGCATGCTGCTAAATATCTTAAGTTCGAGTTTAATGACTAACACCCCGCACTGTGACTCAACTCAAATGTTGAGCGTCTTAAGTAATCGCCACCCCGTTCAACAAATAGCTGGTTATCTTCTCACTTTAAATTAGCCTACACTTAACTGATATCAATAACGACCACCTTTTGAGGGGTTGCTATGTAGTTTCGATAGATTCTAGTTGAGAAGGAGAGCAGAAGTTAGGCAATTCGTATCATGGTTGACACATTTGTACCATATCCTCTGCAAGTGAACTCACACAAACGCCGTCTGTTTTTGTGGTGCAAAGAGCGGACATGAATAAATAGGGAAAAACAAAACGCTGCCCTGTTTCTGTGCTGTATACACATCTGGAAAGGACCACCTTATTCCACGATGATGATAATCAAAACCAATGGAAGGGAGAATAGTACGGCTCACAACCATACTATATTTGATAACTAAGGTACCATTCAATAATCTTGCGTAAGCGGAAATCCGGTTCTAACTCCCGCAAGCAATAAATTTTTTACGCCGCTTTTTACCCCACAGTATACTTCCCACTAAGTCGTACATATACTGACACAAATGGAAGCATTCCATATTGTATTTCATAACTGACTCAAGAAAAGATTAGGCTATTTAGATCAAGCTGCCTTGCGCAATATTTCACTATGTGCTCGATTGCTGGGGTACATACCCCGGCATATATTCAAACCAAATACTTGATATTATTCTCCATTGATCCCGAAAACCGGTCGAAGCTGAGAATATACAGCTTTTTTGTCTTTATAGTATTCATCTACTATCCGGAAATTCCGTTGCTAGCATGAACACTTGATTTCAATCAGGTGGATAATAAGAGTGTCGAGTGTACCGAGATGATCCGATGTCTGATGTTTTGTAGTTTTTCCGGGCTTTAGTTTGACATATAGGATTTGTTATTGTTTATTGTTTGCCATCGGAAAAACAGGTTTCCTGACCAGCAATTCCAAGCCATGCTCCACACCACAACTAGTTTTTGTCGGGGGCAGTGTCCCCACCATTCGGGAAATTTGTCGGCAACAAAGTTGCCGGACCGTCCTTTTTAGATTTTTTATCCTCGCTAGAGTTTCCCTTTCGAGAACTCGCTTAACGCTTTCCGTGGCACGTGAAGTATGATTCCTAATTGGGCAGTGCTACACCAAATAGTATAACGTCTAAATACACCTCTTAAATGCCTTAATCTTAACCTTAGCCGAACCCTACAATAAACCCAACTTTACCACTTTAGATTTTATCTCTCCTCAGTTACCAGAAAAAGAGATAACAACGCGGACATTTGAAAGTTGCTATTGCGTCTGTTCCTATCACCGGGAAAGCTTTTCCCCAGATTTTATCAGCGATGTGCGAAAACCGCTAAAACATTTTACCGGTCCATACACACCCAATGTTCTTAATGTAAATACAAATCAAAGGGTGCAAATCTAGCACTAGAAAGTCAAGCCATGGCAGAAGGTGAGGTGGCGGAGATATCGCTTCTTTCCGATAGAGATGAAGATGATGATGAAGACGTGTTTGATGATTCCTTGACGCAGTTATTAAATGCACAACAGACGCGTACCACCAATACCAATGTGATACGTCAGATACCCACTCAGAATACAACTACAACCATCTGCAACAATACTACGCGTCCAGGTGCAACTGCCACATATACTGTGAATGAATCAGAGCTTAGTACGTTTGTCTATCCGATCAATTACCCCAAACGGTCGTATCAATATTCTGTGGTTCAATCGGCTATATGGAACAACACCTTGGTGGCGCTTCCTACGGGGTTAGGGAAAACATTCATAGCTGCCACTATAATCCTCAACCACACACGATGGTTTCCTGATAGTACGATTCTATTTATGGCCCCCACGCGACCGCTTGTAGCGCAACAGATCAAAGCTTGTTGTGGTATCATGGGTATATCCCAAGACCGAATAGGGATCATGTTGGATAAGCTGATCCGGAACCGGACCCCAGTGTGGACGGATAAACAAATCATCTTCACCACTCCACAGATTGTAGAGAATGATTTAAATAAGATTGACGTGTATCGGATCTCGTTGGTTGTGGTTGACGAAGCTCATCGTACTCGTGGTAACTATTCATATAACAAAGTATGTTCGTTACTTATGGACAAGTTCAACCATTACAAGTTCAGGGTATTGGCATTGACGGCTACTCCTGGGTCTAATTTGGACGACATTCAATCCATTATCGACTCTCTACGAATCTCTCGAATTGAGATTAAGTCGGAAGACAGTGAGGACATCAAGCCATATATAAAACAGAAAACCTTGGAGAAAATCCAAGTGCCGGTATCGGAGGAGATCAACACTTGTATAATGTATCTTTGCAACGCCATTGAACCAACGTTGAAAATGGTTAACTCCAGAGGAATCTATGACAACACTAACCCCGAAAGAATCAATTTCTTCCAGTGTCTTGAGATTCAGCAGTCTATAATAAGGAACCTGTCGATTCCTGAAAACTTGAAATGGTCCAATTACTTTCTTCTCCAGTTGCTTTGTATTGCTGGCCAATGTCTTCGTCGTTTGAATATCTACGGTGTGCATTCCTTCTATCAATACTTCAATGACAAACGGAACGAGTTTCTCACCAAATGGAACATGAAAAAGGCTAAGAACAAGCAAGCACATCTGTTTTATACCCATCCCCAAACCATTCAATTGATGAAATACGCCGAAGAGCTCGTACTGAAGCCTGGATTCTACCCTCACCCCAAACTTGAAGTACTCGTTAATGAATTAAAGGCTTTCAAACAAACACAGCTGGGGAAAGTCATAGTTTTTGCTGAATTTAGAGAGACAGCATTAAACATTGTTACCCACATTGAGAAATTGGGGGATTCCCTGTTACGACCCCATATATTTATTGGTCAAGCAAGAGAGAAGGAGAAGTTCTCCGAAGAAAGCTACAAGGCGAAAATTAAACGTCTGAGGAAGACAAAGAAACCTGTGGCCAAGGCAAAGGGTAAGGGTAAAGGAAAGAAAAGAAAGCTTGATGATGAAGTAATAGAAGATGATGATTCTGAAGATGGAAGTGTTCCTAAGAGTGGAGTAAGAACCTCTTCAGAAGATGCCCAACTCAAAGGTATGAACCAAGCACTTCAACGAGAAATTATCAAGAAATTCAAAGATGACGTTTACAATGTTCTTGTGTGTACATCTATCGGTGAAGAAGGGTTGGATATTGGAGAGGTGGATTTAATTGTTTGCTATGATTCCACTTCTTCCCCTATTAAGAATATCCAACGAATGGGTCGTACCGGACGTAAACGAGATGGCCGAGTGCTTCTACTCTTTTCACTGAATGAACAGACAAAATTCGAAAAGGCTTTAAACGACTATTCAAACATACAAAAGTTGATTATGGAAGATCACAGATTACAATTACATCCTGCTATCAATTTGCTTCCTAGAGGGATAAGACCTCGAATGGTTGACCGAGTCTTAGAGGTCCCTAAAGAGAATATTCAGCTTAAACTTGAAGAAGATGACGATGAGATTATCAAAATGGCTACTCAATATATGAAGGAGCATTTAACAAAATCGACATCAGCCTCTTCTAAGGGCCGTCAGCGGAAGCAGAAAGAAAAAGCGCAGCCGCAGTTCTTCTTACCACAAGGAGTGGATACTCAGTTTACTTCTGCATCCAGCCTAATAGCATCAACAAACAAGCCTTTAGAACAGAAGGAAATTCAAGGAGAACTTTCTTCAGGTATTGACCATTCAATATTGGAGCAGTTAGTTGAATCGGACTTCTCCAGTAGCGAAAACGAAGATGAACAACAAAGGAGTACAGAACAAGTCCAAAAAGGTGACGATTATGACGACATTCTGGTAGCGAGCAGACATAGGTCGTCTAGTGGTATAATGGAACAGCTTAGAATCCAACAGGAAAACCAAGGTATATTTAATCAGATGGCTCCAGTTTACGGTGGGTCTGTTACCAATAAAGCGACTTCCAAAAGGACTCTAGGAATTAAGAGAACCAGAATAGCAAGTTCAGACACTGGAGAGTCAATTATAGAACAATTACAGAAACAGAGAGACAAAACCTTTAAAGACGGAATAATTGAAGTTGAAATCGATGATGATGAAGAAGAAGAAGACGATAAAGACGTGTGGAACCGCGCACCTTCATCTTCCCCGTTAAAGATGAAGACGACCAATAATAAAGCACTACATTTTTGCAGTGAAGACGATGCCAATGTGTTTAATAAAAGCACGCAGGAACCATTAACTACACCCCATACCGATCCCTTGGCTCAGAGTACTCAATTGCCCCAAATAAAGCAGTCAAAAAGTGATAATAAAGATGAAGACGAAGATTTTGAGGATGTTTTCAACGATGGACTCGAACGGAAGCTCGGACTTAAAAGCAGTGGTTCTAAAGATATTATCTACGAAGTAGAGTCGAGTTCCAATGCTGGTTTACTAAACGAGGATCAACAATTAGAGCTCTACACGGAGTACTTCTCCACAATAGACCCTCTGGAATACATTATGCCATTTGGAGAAGGTAGCTATTCGAATACACGAGGTGTGGTTGGCCATTCAAAGTATAGTCAAAGGTTGCTAGACGTACTAAATAAGATTACGTAAGTAATCGAATTTGCAATTTCTCACCATTGGGTTACCCGGACAAAACCCCCATTTGAGAACGGGGTAAAAACTTTTTTTTATGTTCACTTCTGTTTTCTTCTTCTTCCTCTTCTTTTCTTCTCCATCTTTATGCAGGGGCATTACGTGTATCAGTGAGGATTCGTCCGAGATCATGTTTTTGCTGGTTGAAAACTATAACCTGACAGCTCTGTGCCATGTAGCGGTCTTGTATCGCCGATGGCCAGGAATTTTTGGAGAATCTTTTATTTTACCCTTTGTAGAGAGTATTGTGTGAAGTTAAGGAGGCAGAGTGTGGGAACACAAGATCTTTTGATCTTTACCGCTGAATGTCTCAGGCCCCTTTACTTTTCATGTCCCCTTTGTTTATGCTGTGGATGAGGAGGTGAGGTCACCTCTACAGTGTAAACAAACATTAACATAATTAATTAATTACTAATATTGCCTTGTGCCTCGCTCGGTTGTTGATAATCTACCAATAGCTTTGAGCTGGATGTTTCAGGGGATTCTTTCCCCTGTTTCAACGGGCCAGAAAATACTAGGACTTTTTTGAGTACGGCCTCACCAAGACTTTGTCGGATGGTGAGTTTGTAATTACAAGTCTTTACATAGTAGATATCCTGCAGTGGTATAGTTAACAATCATACATTAAATGTACACAATGGTGCTATACTGTGGTAGTATATGCTAGACACCTTGTGATGGTTTACTGCTATAGGTGGTAGTGACAGCGGTGGTATACGCTACTCTGGTAGTATATACTGGTGATAGTTATAAACGGTAGCACCGTCGTTGTAACTGATCCGTTTTATTTTTTTCTGTCGCACGAAAATTTTCTTTTACCACCACCACCACTGTTCCTTTGAAATCAATATCATGTTCAAGAAGTTTACTAAGGAAGACGTTCATCTGCGTTCCAACATCAAGTCATCCGCCCAACGTGGGCTCAAGTCCAAACTTGTCGCGGAATTTCCTCAACTTGAAAACGCCATAGACAACGTCATACCGAAGAAGTCCCAAGTGGTGATGATCAAATGTGAAGACAAGATCCATTTATATGCCAGCGATAACGAAGTCATTTTGTTCGAACACTTTGACGACGTTGTTCCGGCCTTACGTACAGTCCATGCTTATCCTGATGGGTTCCCCAGAGTTCAAGTTGATCGTGGAGCAATCAAGTTTGTTTTATCTGGTGCCAATGTCATGTGTCCAGGGTTGACATCTCCTGGAGCCAAGTTGCCTGAAGAGAACATTGAAAAGGACACTCTTGTGACCATCTATGCCGAGGGAAAGGAACACGCTTTGGCCGTAGGGAAATTGACCATGAGTACTGATGACATTAAGTCGAAGAATAAGGGGATTGGCATTGAATTGCTTCATTACTTGGGTGATGGACTCTGGAACTTTCACGATTAAATAAACAATAAATAAATAAATGTAAAGAATTAGTTATGATTAATAGCGACATAAATTGTCTGACCTTCTTTGAACCCATAGTTATCAACAGTAGCAAAATTGTCATCAAGGACTCTTCGTGTACTGCTTTCGTCGTCATCTATGTAATAAAAGAGTATCATATCAAGCAAACTCATGCTTAACTTCTCACTTAAGATCCCCTTGACCCGCAAGATGGTGTGAGATTTGAGCATCTTCCTTTCTAGTGCAATTGTTCCATCAGTATGTTTTATGTTTAGTCCAATTGTAATGCAGCTGTGGTGTGTGGGTGTTGTTGATGATGAGGATGATGATGATTCTTGTTTAATGCCATGTTTCTCGATCAATTGGGTCCATCTCTTACTGGCTCTATTGAAACAGTAGTCACCATTGATAACCTTTGATACGAAGAATAACTCTGCGTTGAGTGTCTCTTCAGCATCTACAATAGACCCATTAACTGAAAGTAATCCACCTACTCTTGCAACGACATTTAAAGTCATATCTTCCACCAGAATATCATCAAACAACGGATTTCCATTGATCCGAAGTCGCTTCAACGACGGAAACCGGTCTCCAAGAACATCAACATCCTCCCAGTGGGAAATATCGTTGTATCTCAAGTCCACTTGCGTGCACCGAGGACTCAAGACCAAAGGAGATCCTTTTATGCGAATACGATTATTGGCCAAGTTCAAGCATTCTACGTCGATCGAAGGGATCACACTCAATGAATTGAATGAAACATCAACATGTCGCAAGGACTTTACATCAACAACGATGTCCCACTCGCTATAGCCATTGCCTGCTAGAACCAACTCCTCTAAATTGGGGAACGCAGGAAGAATATAGGACCGTAACTCATCCAAGCTAATATGAGTACCAGCAAGTTTCAAACTCTTAGTCCTGGGATACGCCACTGACTTCCCGTCGCCCGAGTCGCTTCTACTAAACACAGTGAACCTATTACCATTCAAGTTCACCTCCTCCACCAAGGGCATGTGTCTGAGTATGTCCCAGAGCTCCTTGGTACTTGACAACAAGTTGTAGCTCAAGTCTAAACTAATGACGCTGGCCAACAGACCGAGTATGTCTGAGCCATCATGGTTGTCACCACCGCAACCAGTGATATTTTTTTTGTCTAAGGAAACAGACCGCAATGTTGCATACTGCTGTTGGGTCGAACTTAGCTCCTTGAATCCATAGTCTTCAACCTTCTTGCTACCAAATGTTACACTTAACTGATGATACGCGTGTCCGTATGAGCCTATCAACGCTTCGACAAATGTGTTCCGTTCGCGGCATATTTTTTTACTGGTACTCTTGAGAAACGTCCCGCTGTTTGACACGCTGGTCTCAAAGTACCGTACACCCTCAAGGGTGCCACTGTGTTTGCCTAGTGATGGGTCATCCCATTCAACGCCAATAGCTATGACTTCCGATCCCCACACCGGAAGCGGTCCTACGTACCGAACAGTGCCGTAATTGTTTTCCGTTGTACATATACGATCATTTACACTGTACATATAATGACTGTAGGTAGAAAAGAATGGAGTAACATATACAATTTATTTTTAAAGCACTTTTGGTATCAACCTACTGAAATTGAGTATCAAAGTTTCCTGCATATAACATTATACATAATATACTACTAATTAAGTCCAAAGTTATCACCTAACAAGCCATCTAAATCAAATTCTTTAGCCCATTCAGTTACTACGGTAATCTGTGCCTGTTTTGGGGGTTCCTTTTCTCCTCTCAAGGAACTCTTTGGCCCATCAATGTTCTCAGGAACATCTCCATCAGTAGCCTTGGAAGCCTTAGGTAATGTCCACCCAATCAAACGACCATCTCTCCAATCGGTAATGATGGCCATGGCTGCAGATTCAAGATTAGGAATACCGCCACGGCCTAATCTACCTTTATGTCTGGCAACATGGATCAACAATTGTTTACAGAAGTCGTCCAAATTACCAGAGGGAATCGGAGGAAGTCTATAGTATTCCTTTAAGCCGTCGGCCATTCTTGGGTCCTTAGCAAACTTACGTAAAAGAAGAGTGACAGCTGGGACGGGGTCAATGACTTGTTTAGGAGGAATAGCTGATAATAACACCAACTTAGCAGCTTGTTGAGCACTAGATAACTTTTTGGAATTGATAAACTCTTCGGGGAACACTATACCTGGAGAGTCGAGGATCTTTAACTTAGAGTCGATCTTGACTTCTCTTAACGATGTAGTGACTCCAGCTTGGTTCCCAACGGGACAAGCGACTCTGGAGGAGTTCCCATGTCTATTAGTTAATGCATTAATGATGGATGACTTACCAACGTTAGGGTACCCTATAACACCCACAACGATGGACCGTTTCAAATTTGATTTGGCAGAATATGATTTTAAGGCTTGTAACAACGTATTGGCAGTCATTTGGTTCAGTAAGTTCTTATTGAATGATGAGCTATTGGTGGCGCCAGGTGATGCCTTAATAGGAATAGTAGGGAACGACAGCTTCAACACATTAAGCCATTGGTTCAATACATCTGTTGGAATCAAATCAACTTTATTCAATACCAAAATCAATCTCTTGCCTGCTGATTGTAACACAGCCTGTTCCACCTTTCTTGATCTGGTGGCTTCAGGGTCTCTGGCATCTAAAACATACAATACAACATCCGAGGCTTCTACCACGGTCTTAAAGATCTTATCGTACGCCTTTCTTGACTTCTCCAACTCAATGCTTAACTCATTGAGTTCGTCGTCGTTGTCATCTTCCACATCACTCAAGTCGTATTCAACCACAGACATCGACCCTTCGTCTTCGTCATCGTCATTATCTTCGCCTTCATATTCTTTAGCTGCTTGTTGTGCTGACTCCAATAAAGCAGCCATTCCGTTGGATCCATCGTCTTCATCTTCGTCTTCATCATCATCCATGTCCATGTCTTCGCCTCTGGCTTCACGTTCTTGCTTACGCTGTAACTTAAGCTGCTCGCGCTTCTCCTGTTCAGCCCTTCTGTTGACCTCTAACTCTTGAATGATCTTGTCTTTGTAGGGGAAACTAGCTGGAATACCTGGGTCCTTCTTGTGCTTACTCTTCCATGTGACATCTTTCTTGGATAACTTTCTTTCCTTACGGTGATGAGCATTGACCTTCTTCTTCAATCCTTCCCGCAACCGGGTGGACATTCTCTTTGACTTAGGCTTCTTAACTCTCATGGTTACGGTCTATCGGGAATACGTGGTGGTAAAGAGTTCATGTTAACTAAAAAAATTCTTTGAGATGGGCTCGTCCCAAAAAGGAAATGGTGATGCGATGAGATTAGAGGGGGGGTGGGATTGAGACCCTTGTACTACAAAGTAGTGCACTATGATAAGATCAAGGAGTCTTGAACTTTATGGTATAATACGGGTCAATGATCTAATATATCAGCAATTTTGTACATATAAGTGTACCGGTGATTATTATATCAGCCACTTTAGTATATCACTTTGTATTTTTGGTATTCTCCTGTCAGTATGAAATATACACCGTCGGGGTATATTTCAGCATAGTTAATGCTGATATATAATACGGGAACTCGTTTCTCTAATTAAATTGTTAATATCACGGTCCATGAATGGTTATATACATTAATTAGTTTATCCGTTCATTAACATTTGCAATAATTATAACCACCAATAACTCGTGAATACCAAACGAGTTAACCAAAAATACTAATACTGTCCGTTCCGACGATAAGGAGAACGAACACTTGAATCATAATCAGAATATTCATCTTGATTCTTTAACACTTGCTCTTTATGACGACTCTTCTCTACTTTCTGAGCAACGAATTTATGACGAGGAAACTGGACGGTTTGTTTAGTTCGTTTGGGAACAAACTTCTCGTTAGAACGAACGACTTTAGTAGATTCAATCTCTGGAAGATTACTATCATCACTGCCACTATTAGCACCATTTTGGCTCTGGCTTTGACGAATGGCTTGGAGTTCTGTGATTTGGCCAGTTTCATCATCATAGATTTCCTGGGTCGGCAAATAGGAGTAAACTTTGCCATCATCATCAACCTGTTGAACCAATAAACTTGTTTGACTCGCCAAAAGATGTTGAAGCAAGCGATACTTCAAGTCGTTCTTTTGCCTTCTAAGTTTATGAGGATATTTGAACACCATATACTCTGCTGAATCTTTTATATCCTTGGCGGTTATAATCAACTCATACCGCTCTGGTCTTTTGTTTGATTTGGCTGTAGAAATTAACTTGGGTTGCTCTAATGCCATGGTTAATGTTATAATAAACGATAAAAGAATTAAAAGTCGACTCATTACTTGTTTCATGTTGATTGGTGGCAAAGAATGTCGTGGTGCTGTTTCTTCTTAATGATCTGGCTTCTTAAAAATTTTTATTGACCCAGACGAATTACTCCGAGGGAGAGCATCGAACGAAAAGTTCTTATTCTTGAACGGTATGAAAGGCTTATTAGCAAACGATCTGACATCAGGAGTCGTTGTTGTTGTAGGCATGAAGTCTTGTTGTAAGTTCACTGCTGATCTTGTTCTTAATACGCTGTTATCGTCGTACGGTAATACTTTCCCCGAAGGATTAGTCCTTGTGGTAGTCGCAGTATTACCTGGATCAAAGAGCCCTTCTTCAAGAATAATAGCATCATCTCTTGGAAGAAATATGTAGGAGTCTACCAAACGACTGACAAAGGGAACTTTAAGTATACTATGTCTTAAAACCCCTTTCAACTTTCTTAATCTTAAATTCTCTGTGAACTTATAAAGAAATCCTACCACCAAAATTAGAACCACAATTATGAATATAAAAGATGAAGAAGCAGTAGTAGAAGATGTTCCCCCTAAATAGTAACCTCCCATTGGATCAAGTTTTGCAGGTATTCCACCAGGAATAAACGGTTTTTGGGATATTGGTGGTGGATATATACCAACTTGTTTCACTTGTGAATGTTCTTTTTCCTCTTTTAACTTTATTTCAGATGATGCATAAAGAAGAACTTTACCTAAAGTCCATGATAATTCTTCCCCATTAACAGAATTTGCTGATTTGAAAGGTATATGAATTTTATCCAATTTCTTACCTTCTTCATCAACAGTACTATCCTTAACATCAACACCTAGCCGAGGCACTTCGAACCCTTCATGCAAAATATTAATTACCCATGAAGCCTTGAAACAAGCATCCTTTAAATACTTTTCAGGATCAAGTCCAGAATAATGACCATTCTTAGAGTTCTCCAACACAGTATCCCATTGACTCTCACAATATAACTTCACCTTTTCATTAAACAAATGGAAATTATATTCACCTCCACTCTCAAAGATATCATTTGCTGTATACCAATATTCACTTATCCCTATAAATTTGTCCTTGTCAAAATTGATACTGGGACCATGTACACCATTGAATAAACATGGCTCGTCAATACATGGTTCATCTTTCATTAATAAAGGGTAAATCGTCTTAATACAAGACCCATAGTTCCCCGTACCTTTGAATGTATGTCCTTTATAAGTGGAAATGGCTCCCTTAGGCATACATGCATCGGAGATATCCATTCCTTTATTATGGTTATCTTCCTTAGTATGGATCAATTGCTGGAAGTACCGTTCTCTGGCTTTATTAGCACCAAATCCTAGCCATGTTTGTACAAATAACGACCATTCACGTTGAGTGCCGTCTTGTAAACGTAAGGCTACTTTAGATAAGTCTTCTTGATGCTTCTCTACATCTTGTGGATTGGAAGGAACAAACGCTATCTGTTGCAGTGCCCCTCCCATATCCATAAACCCTAATGTATCACCACCATTACCCGTCTCAAACAGGCCCATTAAGTAGTTAAGTCCTAACCATCCATAAACTCCCTCTGTCTCACCATCGATGACCTGAACAAACTCCTGACAACTGGGTAGACTGTACCGAGTGTGCTTTCTTATAGCTCTACACACTTGGTTCAACATAGCGTGTTGTTTCTCCAACGATAACAACCTCATCCCAGCAGTACACTGAATAAACACTGGTGTCTCAGGTATATGATCTGCTGGTATGATTTTCTCAGCAAAATGAAACAAGGGAGCATAGTGATCGTCCCAAATTCCTTTGATATTATCAGCATAAGACGATAAACCTGGTGATGTTTTCTTAGACCAACCGTCCTCGTGTTCTATCTTGGGCAATGACGATGAAGATGAGCCTTCATTGTCCCATCTATATACTTGAGCCCTTGATCCCAGTGATCCAGAGTCTATCACCAATGCGTATCGTACCATGGAGACACGATAATGTGGAGCAATACAATGACTAGTTGTCTGTGGTTGACTATAAATAGATGATTGAGCAATTACTCAATAGCGTAATCAATCAAGATCTGTACATAATAGTTAGTACAAAGAGTTACATATGTACGGATGTTATTTTGATAGCAGGGTTTTTATTATGACATACGAGGTGTGATTTCCGAGGTAACGTAATGAATTACGAGATACCGGAGTCAGGGTGGTGTTACATAAACAGTTTAGTTTGCAATGATGCATAGCAGTACCTTATGAACACTCAAATATATTTTTAAAATCATCACCACCATGTTTGAGTTGCGTTAATTGAATATTGTACTAATAACAAGCTATTTGGCTTATAGGTATAAAATCAAAACTAAAGTTTCGAGGGTCAACCCGAGGAATTGACCATCCAAAGACAAGCGCGAACTCTGAAATTATAGTCCTCTTATATGAGATCCGAGGGTACGTTGTAAGTTGATATCTACTAATACAACTATCGTTATTAAGTATACCACCATGATGTTGAATACTGTGAAATCGTTAAAAATGACTAACAGACCATCACTGTTCCTAACGTAGTGTAGAAGACTTCTTCTGCAAATCTGTGTACAATACTCTCAAGAATAACTCTAAGATCAACAACACCCACTAATTCATATCAATATCGTAAGACACGCAACATTAGTAACGACAATGAATATAGGACATACATTTTAAGCCTACCAGTTCACATAGTGGGTGTTGCTTCACTACTCTATACAAAATGGATGGTATTCTTATCACATAGAGCACCGAGAACACACATTGAATTTTTTTTCATTGAACTACGTCTACAGCAGTTATACTCCACCAGTTATGCTACATCTATACTGTTGCCATACTATCCGCAGCCGTATCAACTTTACTGTTCCATATTACAGTTCGCCGTTCCAAGTTCTCTTTTCTGTGCCAAAATGCGACATGAAAAAGTACAGCCAATAGTTAACACGTATGGCCTCCTTCTACAGCAGTACAAATGTCAGCACGACAATCCAAGTTGCTTTCGCTAGATGCGTTTGCTAAGACTGTTGAAGATGCCAAAATCAAAACCACTTCCGGAGGTATCATCACCTTAGTGTGTGTGCTTGTGGTGTTGATGTTGATTAGAAATGAGTACACTGATTATACTACGTTAGTGACTAAACCAGAATTGGTGGTAGATAGAGATATCAATAAGAAGTTGGATATCAATTTAGACATCACATTCCCCAACTTACCATGTGATGTTCTTACTATGGACATTTTGGATATTTCTGGTGAAGCTAAAGTGGATATCTTGAAGTCTGGGTTTGAAAAGTTCCGGTTGGTTGATGGTCAAGAAGTGGCCGACGAGACTCCTGTGTTGAATGGGTTGAACGTTTTTGATTTGATCAAAACTGATGATCATTCTGGCCCTTGTGGATCTTGTTATGGTGCTTTGCCACAGGAAGGTTACTGTTGTGATACCTGTGAGGCTGTTAGAGTTGCATATGCTAATAAAGAATGGGCCTTCTATGAGGGGAAAGACATTGAACAATGTGAACTGGAAGGGTATGTTGCTAGAGTCATTGAACGGATCAATAGGAAAGAGGGGTGTAGAATCAAAGGAACTACTCAAATCAATAGAATTCTGGGTAACTTACACTTTGCTCCAGGTGCCTCTCATACTGCTCCTGGTCAACATGTCCACGATTTATCTCTTTATAACAAGTATAAAGAAAACTTCAATTTTGATCATGTGGTTAATCATTTGTCTTTTGGTAAGGATCCAGAATCAGATTTGATAGACTCTACTCATCCATTAGATGGTCATAGAAAGGATATCAACGAGAAGTATCATTTGTATTCTTATTATATCAAGGTTGTTGCTAGCAGATTCGAGTCTTTGAACAAAGCTAAAACTTTGGAAACAAACCAATTCTCAGTCATACAACATGATAGGCCTTTAAAAGGTGGTAGAGATAAAGACCATCAACATACCTTACATGCTAAGGGAGGTATCCCTGGGGTTTTCTTTTACTTTGAGATTTCTCCATTGAAACTTATTAACAGAGAGGAATATGCCAAAACTTGGTCTGGCTTCGTTTTGGGGGTCATTAGCTCTATAGCTGGGGTTCTCATGGTAGGAACTTTGATCGATAGATCTGTGTTTGCTGCCGAACAAGTTATTAAAGGTAAAAAGGACATGTAATGTCTGTACGTTCTTTTATATAAAAATTCTATTTACATGATTATAATTATTATTTCTATAGATATTTCCATCGTTAAACATCATTGAATAAATGTTTAACATCTTCATAATATGCACCCTCCAAGTATTCTTGTAATTCTTCCTTTGCTAACCACATAAACTTGGTAGAGTTATCAACTGGTGCAAACTTTCCTGCTAATATATGTGACTTGATGAAGTACTCCTTCTTATTTTCTGAGTGATGCAAATGACATGGAGTATTGGAAACATTGTAGTAATTAACAGTTTCGCCGCCAATGGATTGAAAGCCAGTTTCAGCCAACTTATGCAAGGGAACCTTCTCTTCTCTAGACATTTCAAAGTTAGGTAAACTCCACTTGTTACCATCTAAACTTATTACCAAATATAAAGTACGAGCCAACTTTCTTTCCAAACTAGTCAAGTCTTTAGTTTCGTCTGCTTTGGTGATTCTGGAATTAGGAACAATCTTTCTGGATAAATTATCTGAAGATTCGGCAGCAGTTTCATCTGCTCTTTCGACTTCAGTGGAATATGTTTTAGGTAACTTAAGTTCTTGTTTGAACCGACGATCTCTTCCTTGTCTAATCTCCGGTCTTCCATTGGGAAAGTCCACATTCGGATTGTTGAATACTGGTGCTGGATTCAATTCCTTGAACATTTGTTCGGAAATGGTCCCATCCTTATAATAATACCATTTGGGGAAAGTCCACATTAATCTCTTCCATAATTCATTGTTGTATTTATAGTACTGTGATTCGAATGCTGTTAACTCTTCACTGATGATCGGGGTACGAGATATAAGTAACGTAGATGATACTACTGGCTTCAAATCTGTGGAATAAGCCCGCAAGCTAATCCGCCCAAGTATCCTACCCTTCATAGTTATGCTACTACAGGTAATATTTGTAGTAGTACTACTACCTCACTGCTTGTATGAGGTTAAATTTTTCATCAAAAATTTTCAAACGAATCTCGGTTTGCGCACGACCTAAACTTTATGTTGCGGGTAACGGCATTTTTACTTGTCTATGTTTGTGTAATTTGTCTTTTAAAAGTATAAATATCGGACGACAATCCCCTTGTTTTTTTTCTGCGGGCAAATTTTGCTTTATAAAGAAAGACACTGAACGTTTTCTTTCTTTCTAACTTTCATTCTTTCATTCCTATTAGTAACAATATTAATACGTGGGATTTGATTCGTCGTTGATTTGATCCAAGTTTATCTGTGAGTGAGTGATATTTTAGTAATATTTCCATAGTTCTCACTATTAGTATATTACAAGTTTATATTTGGAGAGAGTTGTTGAAAGGGATAGATTTCCGTATTTTGTCTGTCTAATTGCAACAAGACTCTTTCTGCTCGTATTATTTTTTTTGCGTTTGGAGTTTTCTTTGCTGTCATAGACCTTTTTTCGTAATTAGTAGTCTATCCAGAAACAAAAAATATCAACATTATGTCTGTGGTTGAACAATTTGAAACAATTCTCAAGGAGATTCCTACTTTGAAAGCACCAGGTGTAAGTGGGTCCCGTATTAAGAAGTTGACGGAGTTAGCTGTACAAAATGTTGGAGAAGAATCAAAATTAATTGCTACATTGTATTCCAATTGTAAAGCCGTGCCTTCTGCTTATAAGTTAAGTACTCTCTATGTGGTAGATTCCATTGTAAGGGCTTATGTGGATGCCAAAAAACCTGAAGAGATAATTGATGCCCTGGCTCCTGAAGGAACTTATGCTGCTGGTGCTTATAGAATAAGCGAATTAATTGAACCTTTAGTGGACGATGCCTTGGATTTAATGGTTAGCAATAGTCAAAGGATCAAGGTTAGTAAATTAGTGGACATTTGGGAAAGGGCAAAAACTTTTAGTCCCGAAACCTTGAAACGTATTAGAATTAAGCATTTTGCCTCTACTACTCCTCCTGGATCACCTCCACCTTTACCAAAAGAAGCATTGCCTGCAAAGCCTTTGTCACCACTGGTATCTACTAACTCATCGAAAGAACAAGAATCTAGTACCATCTTACTGGCTCTTGCTTCTTTAGCCAAGACTAACACTAACACAAATGTACCAACACAACAACCCCCAAGTAATGTTAGATCTCCACCCCAAGATGCAAATGCAATTTTGTCACAATTGTCTGCTATGGCCAATAACAGATCTCAATCTCCACCTTCGAACTCTAATTCTGGTGGTAACAATCAAGATCAAATTCTTAATATGTTAAAACAGATGCAACAAGGTGGTGGACAGGCAAATTTACAGCCCCCACAACAACAGCAACAGTATCAAGCACCTCAAATGCAAAATCAATACCAACAACAACCTCCAGCTAATCGCGGGCGTGATCAATATGGTGATTCTACTGGTGGCTATGCCAGAAGGAACAGATCCAGATCTCCAATGGGTCGTGGTGGTAACAACATGGGTAGAAGGGAAAGATCACCTCCCAGAGGAAACAATCAATACCAACAATATCAACAAGGGCCACCTCAAGGACAATTCCCACCAACTCAAAACTTTCCAAATGATCAAGGACCCGGACCAGATGGTTTCAATGGTGGAGTTCAATTTGGAGAAGCCAATACTCCTGGTACACCTCACTATCGTGCTAGAAATGTTGGATTTGATCAAACTTTACCTCAAGGGTCATTTAAGGTATTATCGAGAACTTTATTCATTGGTGGTGTTCCTCGCAATATGGATGAAGGTGCGTTATCATCTGTTTTAAGACCTTATGCTGAAGTTCAATCAATTATTTTAAACAGTGAAAGGAAGCATGCATTTGTTAAAGTTTATTCCAGAAGGGAAGCAGAACAAGTTATTACTCAATTCAATAAGGATGGATCCTTACCTTTAAGAACACGTTGGGGTGTTGGGTTTGGACCAAGAGATTGTTGTAATTATCAACATGGAATTTCCATTATTCCAATTGCTAGATTAACGGATGCTGATAAGAATTGGGTTGTTCATGCTCAATGGGGTGGTACAGGAGGACAGCCATTAGTCAGTGGTGTTGTTATTGATGAGCCTGATATTGAAATTGGAGCTGGTATTTCTTCCAAGTCGATGTCGAAGAAGATGCCTACGAACTCTGCCAGAAATGGACCTAAATCAAACAAACCTGGTGAACCTGATGAAAATTATGTTAAGACTACATTAATTCCCCAACATCAACAACAACAACATCATCATCAACCACAAAATTTTCAACAGCAACCACCGCAATTTGGAATGCAAATTAACAACAATCCTATGGGAGGAGGAATGTACCAAAGTCCTCAACAAAGGTTTGCACCTATGAATTCTGGAGGTTATCAACAACAAGCAGGTATGCCACCTTTCATTGGTAACCAACAGGGACCTCCTCAACCTCAACAACCAGATGCTGCCAACTTGAATGCTTTGGCCAACTTTTTCCAAAAGGGTAATATGAACCATTAATCTACATAGTTTCAATCAAACCATATATATATATACCAATAATTACGTTATCTCTGGTAGTGTAAGTTTACCCAAGTTATTTAGAATATAATTTCGCATTGTAAGTGGGTCTCCTTCTTTCCACACCCCAACACCAACGTAGACAGACATGCCCTTCAATAGCAGCAGAAGCAGTAGTTCTTCTAAGAGCAATTCCAGTAGCATATTTGAAAGGGATTCCCCGGTCAAGAAGTTTGGGAAGAAGCAATGGGTAAAGATCTACGGACCTCCTTCAAAGGGAAAGCGACCTATGTTTGATTGCAACCAGTCGAATAAGCGACCCAAGTATGATACAAAGCTTCTAAATGAAGTGCCTGTTGTTAAGAGGAAGAGTAACATATTAGGTGGTGACGATGACGATGACGATGATGATGATGATGATGAGTTTCTTATTGATTTCAATGCGCTTTCTTCCCCGGAGAGAGGAAGTACCAATAATACACTGAACAGGTCACAATCTGCTACTAAGCCAGAGTCTGCTGACGTGTCACATTCTGATGAGTCAGAGTCTGTTTACAAGTCACAATCTGTTGATGCGCCACTGTTGGCCGTTGATAATTCAAAATATGATAGGTCAGATTGTGATAGGTCAGATGTTATCCTGAAGATTGCAAACGATGGCTTACTTGCTACGCTTCATCTTTCTGACGCCGAACAAGTACAAAAAGTCAAACAGAAGTTCTCTAGTTACAATTTCCCCCAACCTTCTTCGTTGAAGTCGGAGCTAAAGCGAAGTGCTCAACGTCACTTGCCTTTGATAAAACGAATACTCCATGGGAAACATAAAGTGTCGATTTTCTACGACATGGCCAAACAGAAACAAGCTGCCTCCGAACACCAGACTATCACCAACGTAGAGAAGCTAGACATTGATTGGAGACAATTCTGTGGAGGTTATTATGGATTTAAGAGACAATACTACATTGCATCAGTGATTGAAAATAGTCTACGGAATACACTTCGGAACTCTGAGAGTCGAAATAGAACTATAGAATATTGGACTATTCCTTCCTTCACGGCTTATGTGCTTGCCAATGAAGTGATTATACGTTTGGTCATGAAAGACATGGCTTATAACTACGATCAAGCAGAAGCTTTGGTGCTAGAGACTTCCGAATATGGATACACTGTTTCTGACACCATTGACTTAGATGATGACTTGGAAATTTCGGACAATGATGATGATGATGGTGCTGCTGGTGCTGGGACTGGTCACTTTGAGCAAACCATCGATGGTGTCAAGCTGAAATCCACTACGGTTACTTCCACTACAGGTTCTTTACTTGAAGAGTTGTATAATAGTGATTGAAAATGTCGCATTACATCGTTTTGATTTTGCGTACTACCACACAGATAAAAGGGGAAAATGGAAAACTTTTTATGCACGACATTTTTTGATAAGACTTTAATAGTCACTAACTATTACAGTATTGAGTTTGAAGGTTCATTAACGTCGGACAACAGATTCTGTTGCTGTCGAAATAAACAAGATTGGACCAATCGTGAAGTCACTACGCCTTTTAAAGTCGGTGGTTAATCCGACACAATTCAAGATTCAACATCATTATTTGTCAACTACTAAACCCATGTTACAAGATTCTGTGTTCATCAAGAAGTTAGCAGCCACGACTAATATTGGTAAAGATGCTTGGAACAGACCTACACCCCAGCCAATAAATGTCTCTGTTGAGTTACGAACAGATTTCCGTAAGGCATCAAAGTCTGATAATTTGAAGTATTCATTGAATTATGCAGTTATTTCAAGAAATATCCTGGAATTCTTGAAGGCCCATGAGCATAAGAACTTCAAATCTTTAGGTAACATAGCTGAAGCAGTGAGTGCTGTTGTTCTTGATGAGAAACGTGGTGGAGGACTGAATGTGAAAGTTCTGGTTCAAAGTACCAAATCTGAGATCAGAGCTGATAGTGTTAAATATATTGCTTCCAGATCAAATGATAATGAGATTGTTGAAAATGATGAGATAGAAGTTAATGGGTTGAAATTGCTTACTATTATTGGTGTTTTCACCTTTGAAAGATTACAAAGACAAATTGTGGATATCGACTTAAATTTACAATTGGAAGGATCCACTTCAACTTCAACACCTATAAGTGAAATTATTGAAAATGTTGTGTCCTACGTGGAACTGTCCAACTTTAAAACAGTGGAAGCTTTGGTATTCAAAATAGGTCAATTGATCTTTCAATTTTATGGTGAGAAGATGTCTACTATCAATATAAAAGTGACCAAACCAAACGCAATCTCATATACAGAAGGAGTAGGTGTTTCTTCTACTATGACTAGTGAAACGTTCAAAGATTCTACACCAATTGAGTTTACAACGGAAGGACAGAATCAAACTCAATTACATGGCTGTTCAATGTTTAACTTACCGACAGATACCTCACCCATTGATATTAGTAAGGATCATACAGCTTATATTGCCTTTGGATCAAATAAAGGTAACCAGGTTGATAATATCAACAAGGCGATTCTGTTACTTGAGTCTTTTGGTGTCAAGGTGTTGGCTACTTCAACCTTGTACATATCCAAGCCCATGTATTATTTGAACCAACCAGACTTTTTAAATGGTGTGTTAAAAGTTCAATTTTTAAATAAAAGTCCTCATGATTTACTTTCAATTATCAAAGATATTGAATATAATCACATCAATAGAGTAAAAGAATTCGACAACGGTCCAAGATCAATTGATTTGGATATTTTACTCTATGATGATATTACCATGAATGAACCAGATTTATGTATACCCCATAAATCTATGCTTGAAAGATCCTTTGTCTTACAACCACTTTGTGAATTGGTTCCTCATGATTTATTACACCCCATTAGTGCTGAACCTTTGCATAATCATTTGAGACAAGTGTTTCTGAATCAACCTTCACAATCATTACAAGAGTCCAACCGTCTCTTACAATATGTTCACTTACCAAATTATACCACCGATGAAAATCCATTGAAATTTGATCATTTGCATAACCAACACCCAACTGTGGTCATGGGTGTGTTGAACATAACTCCTGATTCATTCAGTGATGGTGGTGACCACTATAATAAACCAATAGAAGACATTCTAGAAGCAGCTGAGAATATGATTCAAGATGGCGCTACCGTTTTGGACATTGGTGGGGTTTCAACTAAACCTGGAAGTGAGCCACCTTCAACAGAAGAAGAATTAGCTAGGATTTTACCAGTGATTAAAGCCATAAGATCATCATCTTCTAAATCAGAAAAGTTATCCAAAGTCATTATCTCCGTTGACACCTATAGAGCTAAAGTAGCCGAGGAATGCTTATTAGCAGGTGCCAATATCATTAATGATATTTCCATGGGGATGTATGATGATCAAATGTTCTCAGTAGTGGCTAAATATGGTTGTCCTTATGTTATGAATCATACAAGAGGATCTCCCAAGTCAATGCTGTCACTCACAACCTATGAATCAAATACAAATGATGATATTGTTGAATTTTGTATTGATCCTGTCAAAGGAGATATGGAATTAAGTTACCCACCAGATGTCAGTAATTTGCTTACTGGGATTGGCCGGGAGCTTTCACTCCAGATGTTAAAAGCTTTTGAAGCAGGTGTTCGTAAATGGCAGATCATTGTTGACCCCGGGATTGGATTTGCTAAGAACCTTGAACAAAATGTTCTCATTATAAGACATGCTTCCCATTTCAAAAAGTATTCAGTAATGGTTCGTCATCAAGATGAGCATCTGTGGAAATTAACTCAATCATATTTAAGTTTCAACGGGTTACCCATGCTTTTAGGACCTTCAAGAAAGAAGTTTTTGGGTACTTTGGTTAAAGAACCTGCAGCTAGTCGTCGTGCTATTCCAACGGCTGCTGCTATTGTTGCTTGTGTCGAACAAAGATCAGACATTGTCCGTGTTCATGATGTTCATACCGTCAAACAAGCCATTAGTATTGCAGATGCCATTTATCGGGACGTCTATAGTCAATAATCTTAATAATAGTCAATAATAAAACCCAAGGATAGAAGTGATATCAGATATGTTTGTGTCACGTGCGTTGTCACGTGATAAACTGCGATTCGAGAAAAGGAAAATTTTTCCTGATGAAATATTAAGCAAACTTAAAATGTCACCGGGTAAATTCAGACTTTGATCGATAGCTTTGAATATTTTATCGAGTCGTTGTCGAGGAGTTGTTGTTGAAGTTTGAAGATGGCTGCTGTTTTCCCAAGAACATGTTACAAGTGTGGTGAAGTTGGTCACATTGCTGACGCTTGTCAACAAGAAGAACGTTTGTGTTACAATTGCCGTAAGCCAGGACATGAATCAAGTGACTGTCCTGATCCAAAGCAAACCACCCAAAAGCAATGTTACTCCTGTGGTGATGTTGGACACGTTCAATCTGACTGTCCTAATCAATCCCAAGGTGCCAAGTGTTACAACTGTGGTCAATTTGGACACATTTCCAAGAGTTGTCCATCTAACGAATCTGCTGAAGGTGTAACTGAACAACCTACTGCTGTTTCCTCTGCTGCTGCTTCCAAGCCTGCTGCTGCTTCTGCTCCAAAGAAGTCCTTTGGTGGTAGTAAGTTTGCTCCTAAAGCCGGTACCACTTGTTACAAGTGTGGTGGTCCAAACCATTATGCCAGAGATTGTCAAGCTGGGCAAGTTAGATGTTACGCTTGTGGTAAGACTGGCCATATCTCCAAGGATTGTAGCTCTGCTGCTGGTGGTGAACACACTAGTGCTAAGACTTGTTACAACTGTGGCAAGTCTGGTCACATTTCTAAGGATTGTGACGCTTAAATGATTTGATTGTTAAAAAGATCTTCCTCATCTTTTGTCTGTGTATTTACAACCTCCTGTTTGTTGTTGATTGTATAATGTATACTAGTAAAAATGTGTCTCTTCAGATCTTGTAATATGACCTTTGGGAGAAGTCAACAACATTGTGATATCCATCAATGATACACCATTTATGAAGCTTAACATATGCTATTTCTGTTTCTTCTTTAGTTTGATATTCCATAGCCTAGACTTCGCTGGGATTGCTGGTTGCAAATCACTTAGGCAGTTCTGATAGTTCCAAATCTTCCAAATATGGTGATCAAATCTTCGAAAGTGGTAATGGTGTTTAATTTCCCAATAATTAATGTTTGTAACGATTGATGAATGTTTTAGGGGGTGGTTTCATCCAATAACTGTAGACTTGACTCATAATAATGCATGTTGCTTAGTTGTGCAATTGATGGTGACTCAGTGGAGAACATTACTGAATTGGGGACTTTAACGTCTGAAAAAGGATCATAAAGAATATGACAATGGGTTATTCTTATGAGATCATCGACTTTACTACTGTTCAACTCTTGAAGCGTAGTAAACCCTTCCATGACTTTCCCAAATGGTATTTGATTGGTTGATGCTTCATATTTCACACTGAGACTGATGGTAAATTGAGATCCTATAACCCCATCTTCATTCACTAGGAAAGAAACAATGCCCACTTCACTATGATCATCATCATCAGTAGTAAGCTTCAGCTTGGTCTCAGGAGTCAAGTAGTCACCAACAGTTCCATACGGTGAAATATCCAAGTAGTGGTTAATGGCAAAACATGGATCAGCTTGTGGGTAAACTCTATTCCCATTCAGCACCAAATGGTCTTTCTCAAATGAATGGAAGGGAGAAAAGAAATAGTAATTTAGCTGACAAAGCTTAAGGAAATTGAGACTTAAAAGTGGTTGGGTTTTATACCATAAATCTATCACAATATTACCTTTAGTAGTTTCTAAGAGAACACTCATTTGGAATTCAACCCTAGAGGTTATGGCAGACAGAGTCAACAAAATATTCAGCCAGAGTCACAGAAAGAGGCAGCCAGAGATAGACTTCACTTTATAGTACTGTCTATGGTGTTGACTAGTATTGGCCAGTACTGTCCTAAAGTAGTACTGTATAGCACTGACTTGGAGTGCAACTATCTTGAAGTATGATAATTGTGATATAATTTATCTCTTCGCACAATCAATCATCAAGTGGCTCCATCTACTGCTGTCCCCCCATGTCGAATATACTAGAGCATCAACGACAACGACTTGAAGAGATAGAATGTATAGAAGAAGCCATCAGCAGTCGATTACAACGGAACCCTCATCTCGTTCCGGATGGTAATACCAATGTGTTGTTACCCAGTAAACGACAGAAGAGACCATGGAACGAGATGATGCAACAGAAACATGAACTCAGGTATTTGAGTCAGCAAATGATGAACAAAGGCAAAGAAGTCAAAGACACTAAGGAATCATTGAAGGAAGAATTCATTAACGAATTAGACCAATTGAATGATCCAAAACGAACTTTTGCACTGTTTGATGAAATGTTTCAAGATCTCCAATCCAAAGCTCAAGCTCAAGCTCAAGCTCAAACATCAACAGATACCCATAGCGGCAGTTTGGCAGTATCGTATCTGATGTATTCCAGTACTCCTAAGAGTGAATGGATACAGTCGTCGTCATCATCATCATCGTCCAGTACCAGCAAAAGAACGAAGAAGAAATATATACTTAGTGAAGCAGCTAGCCATATTGATCTCAATGAAGTGTTCGCCTATGAAGAAGGCTCAGGACGATATCTTGACTTGAGACTATTCTATTCCTGGTATAGAGACCATATTGATAATCAATCCACCTACACTGAATATCTATCTTTGTGGTGGGTGTTGCCATACAAGAAGGAGAAGAAGGCCGATGGTTATAATGAATACGTTACCCAACTTTATACGTATTTGATTGACTTTTATAGGAGGAGTCACCCTTTGAATCAGATACCCCCAGAAGTCCAGATAAATGACCACGACGGCAATGACCTGGAACCAGTTGAAGGGGCGAAGATCTTTTGTGGTAGTTGTAACAAATGGTTTACAAAACAATCTGTTTACCAAGGACATTTGACAGGAAAGAAACATCAAATGAATAAAGTCAAACAACTTGAACCTATCATAATGTTACTCGTCACAAAATATCTTAATGAGGAACGAGGAGCCACCATTACTCACCATGAGCGGTTGCCACTTATGACTGATCGAGAACGAGAACTCGAACGTATCAACAACGAAGGGTATGGCTCAGAATATACCAGTGTTGATGAGAACGATGAAGATAGAATTGATAGTGATGAAGAACTTAAGAACAAAAATGATGACGATGATGAAGATGACGATGTGAACTCAAAAGATCTTCCTATTGGACCAGACGGAAGGCCAATGCCCTTCTGGTTGTATCGTTTACAAGGGCTTCATCGATCATTTGAATGTGAAATCTGTGGTAATGTCTCGTACAAAGGACGGTTGCTCTTTGAGAAACACTTCAATAACACCAAACATCAACAAGGGCTCAAGTTCTTGGGTATTTCAGAAGACAAACTTGTTCTATTTAAGAACATAACACTGATCTCCGAGGCGAATGACCTCTGGATGCAAATCAAAAAGCAAAAGAGACTTGACGCCGCAGAGTTGGAAGAAGCTGTGGAAGTCGAGGATAACGAAGGTAACGTTATGTCCGTCAAAGACTATAACGATCTAAAGCGACAAGGCTTATTGTAATTATACAGGTAAAGAGTTGTATAGAGTTGGATAGAGTTGACTAGAGTGTAAGTGTAAGCTTGAATGTTTCTATAGTGCGATGCAAAGAAAAGGTGTATACAAAACACATGGTGGGTCAGACTGTGCGAAACAAATTTATACCTTCTTCTTTGATGCGAAGACTGGTGCTCAGAATGTCGTTAGAGGTCCCCAAAGGTATTAAGCGAACAAGAACATCGTCTCCACCAGCTGTCGAGAATGTCGTCGTCTCCACCAGCACGAAACCACCCCGAGGAACCAATAAGAAGCGAGACGAGAATGGCTTCAGAGTTAGACAACAAGTGCTTGATAAAAAGACTATGACGGTGTTTGAACAGTTAGGCGGAACTGCAGGAGCTGAACGGAATCTGGCAATAGAGGAAACCCGAACTATCCAGGAAGATGAGGCGGAGGGAGCTCAATACACCGTTGAAGGTTCACTACAAAAGGTATCACCATATTTTTTTACCTATTTGACGTATTGTAAGATGAGATGGAGAGATCGCAACATTCTCGATGTATTCACTACTGAGTTCCGGGACCGAGAACCGAGGTACTATGAGAAACAGATCATTGAAGGGTACGTGACCTTGAACAAGAAGGTGGCTACCTTGGACTCCATAGTCAGAAATGGGGATTTGATCTGCTGCAGAAGTCATAGACATGAACCAGCAGTTACTTCACAGCCAATAAAGATTGTACATGAAGACGACGATCTCATAGTTATAGATAAGCCTTCAAGTATACCCGTGCATCCCACTGGTAGGTTCAGATACAACACCATCACTAAGATCCTTCAACATAAGTTTGGTAAGGTGGCTCATCCATGTAACAGACTTGATCGTTTAACCAGTGGGTTGATGTTCTTAGGTAAGAATTCAAAGGGTACCGATAGATTTGTGCAACAGATCAAAGATAGATCGGTGCGCAAAGAGTATATCGCTCGGGTGAAAGGATGTTTCCCTCTAGAGGAAATCAAGGTGGATCAACCCTTACTGACGGTTTCACCTAAGCATGGTTTCAATAGAGTAGACTTAGAGAATGGTAAGGAAGCATTAACTGTGTTTCAAAGAGTTTCCTACGATCCAGAATCTGATACCACGGTGGTAAAGTGTATGCCATTAACTGGTAGAACCCATCAAATCAGAGTACATCTTCAATATATCGGGTATCCTATCGCCAATGATCCCATCTATGCAAACACCTATGTATACGAAGAAGACTTTGGCAAAGGAAACACCGGTTCAACAGAAAAAATATTGGAAAAATTAGATAGAGTGGGCAAAACTGTCCCTAGTACAACTTGGATTCATCCTCAAGCCGATGGTCAAATCAATTCCGATGAGAAATGCTCAATATGTGAAATGGAATTGATGTCTGATCCAGGGCCAAATGACCTACAACTCTGGCTCCATGCCTATAAATATGAAGCTCACGATAAGTCGTGGTCTTTCAATACTGAATATCCTGAATGGGCTTTGACACCACAACGAAAGTTTATGAAGTTGGCTATTCAAGAAGCAGAGAAGTGTGGTGAAACCCAAACCCAATATAACGTGGGTGCAGTACTTGTTAGTAATGGTGAAGTAATCTCAACAGGACACTCAAGAGAGCTCCCAGGTAATACTCATGCTGAACAGTGTGCATTCGAGAAATATTTTGAAAAGGTAGGTAAACGAGAAGTTCCTCACGGAACAGAGCTATATACTACCATGGAGCCATGTTCTCTAAGATTAAGTGGTAACCTTCCCTGTGTTGATAGGATCTTGGACACGTGTATCAAGACAGTGTTTGTTGGAGTCAAAGAGCCAACGACTTTTGTAGAGAATAATACTGGCTATGGTAAGTTATCTTCCAAAGGTGTGGAGTACATACATATACCTGGCTATGAAGAAGATATCTTAAGAATATCCACTAAAGGTCATGATAAAATAATCGAACACTAATTGCTATAGAATAGACATGACACCATATAATAGAATACACATAGCCATATAGATTAATTATCAACTAGCAAAAGGAATCTTCCATAGTCTGAAGTCTTATCTCTTATAGCTCAATTTTGTTACCTAATTCTAGTTGTTAGTCCCGCACACCAGATTTTGGGCTGGTTTGGGTGCAGAAAACACAAGAAGTAACAGTCTGAGCTGAAGTAGTGTGCTCTCCTGGGGTTGCGCATGCGGTGGTGGTAACAGTGATTATTTCAACGTGGAATAAGAAGTAGACATTGGAATAACGGTTACAATTCCATTAGAATCTGTCACCGTTGTAGTTGATTTAATGGATAAAGAGCCTGTTTGGGTAACTGTGACAGGAGAAGGAATTAATAAAACATCAATTTGAGTTCCATCTATGAAAGTACCACTGATGCGAATGTCCTATGACAAAGGTTAGTCTCTCTGAGAAGGTTATTCAGCGTGAAACTCGTATGATCTATACACTCAAGAAATCGTTTTCTATTTTTTAGTGATCTGACTCTAAAATGCTTATCACAAGATTGACTCATTAAATTGGATCTAACTCTTTAAACTTTTTCTCCGAAGATTAAGTATATGAGGGAACACTAATTTATGAGAAAAAACTACTTAAAAGCATTAAAAATCGGAAGTTGTGGTTATATATTACTAGGATAAACAAGTCTTTATGAATCTCGCCTAAGCTTTAAGTGAGAAGTTAGTGTATAGTTTAATTTTAAAGCTGTTTATTTAGCTTGTTAATTATATAGGATCATCACATTTTAGGGTTTCGGTGTGCGGGGCTCTTGTGTTTTAGGGTTTCGGTGTGCGGGGCTCTTGTGTTTTAGGGTTTCGGTGTGCGGGGCTCTTGTGTTTTAGGGTTTCGGTGTGCGGGGCTCTTGTGTTTTAGGGTTTCGGTGTGCGGGGCTCTTGTGTTT